GAGAGAGTATTGAAAAACAAGAAAAAAATGATTGTCCGATTGAGCCAGTAACATATATCTATAGGGTTTAAATACGTTAAATGAAATAAAAAAAAGTGTATGGATAAAACGAGTGCAAAGAGTAGAGGTTGTTGTTGTTGTTGTTGTTGTTGTTGGTTATGTCTTTTTTTTGTGTGATCTTTTGGTGATGAGTGTGAGGATCAGCATGTATGCGTGTGCTTTTATGGTTGTGTGTGTTTTGTGCGGGTATGTATTCTGTCTTGTGTTTATCATAAAGCCTTGAAAGAAAGGACAACAAAACCACTAAGCCACCACAGACAAACACACAAAGCATCACCCCCCCACGCGTATGACTCTTACACTAATTTCTTGCCCTCAACAGATTCACCTCTTCTAGCGGCAAATTTGGCAGCAGCATCAACACCTTCCTTAACCACAGCAACTCTCATGGTGGCCAAAACGTTGTGAGCAGCGTTGGAATGCAAATACACACCTCCGTTGAAAGCGCGTGTGGCATCTTTGCTTAAAGCGGCTTGGATCAAAGTCTCACCACCTGGATGCTCGGTGATGTAGCCGGAAACGTCATGGACAATACCGGAAATAACCACCAAGCCAGGGTTGGACTTGATCTTGTCCATGAATTCGGATTTGTCCCATACGGGGAGCTTGGTGAGAGGAGTACCCCAGTTGAGCGTGGATCTTTGACGATCGATACGTTTTTGTTGTTGTTGTACGATACCTTGTTGGATAGCGTTTTGAGAAAACTTCTTGAGGTTGAAAGCCAAACCAACGAGCGAGGACATGTAGATGAAAACCTTGGTAGGGTCGTATTGGTACCATTTGATAGCGTTTCTGTAGTCAGTTGGGAATTCGTGGTGGAAATTGTGGTAACCTTCACCAAAAGTGACAAGAGCGGTGATCCAGTTGTCACGAGGGGTTCTTCTGTCGTCGAAAGGTTGGTCACCGAGGTAGTGGGCCAAGGAGTTGATGCAGAAAGTGGCTTGTTGGATGCAGAAGGCACGCAACACACCGGCGTACACGAACCCACCGGCCAAGTCGTTGAAAAGGTATTTACCGAGCAAAGCGGGCAAGACAAAGGCACTGAGAAACATGATGGGGATGTAGTGTCTGTGCTGGAACCGGACGATCCAGTCGGCGGTCAAGTCGTCAATGTCGGCGCGGGCACGGTACTTGGGGTTTGGTTGCAGCAACATCCAGCCCATGTGGGAGTACCACAGACCCTTGCGGGCGTCGTAGGGGTCGCGCGAGGTGTCGGTGTAACGATGGTGGATACGGTGCGAGTGGCCCCACCACTTGATGGAGCCCTCGACGGAGGCGGCGCCGAAAAAGGCAAAGAACAGTCGTAGGGGCCAGCGGGCCGAGTAGGCACGGTGGGCCCACAGACGATGGTACCCGGCGGTGATGGAGACACCACCCAAAACGTAGTAGACGAGTGAGAGCAGCAGGGTGTTGGTCTTGAGGGGCACGCGGCCCGAGAGGGCGAAGTACCACCCGATGGCGGGGATCACGCACACGAGCACCATGTTGAGCCAGTTGAGATGCTGGTGCCAGTTGTTGAGGGTCCAGGGCTGTTCCGAGATGTGGCGGTTGGCGCGGTAGCGGTCTTTTTCCTCTTGGTCGCGCTGGAGGAGGTATTCCATGTTGGAGTCGTTGGCGCCGGCCTGGGCCTGTGCCTCGGCGGCTTTGAAGTCCACCTGGACCATGTTTTTGGAGCCCATGAGACTGCCGAGACCGTTGACGACGCGCACGGACTTTTTGTTGGCGCCTGCGGCCAGGATATTGGCGTTGACGAGGTCCACCTGTTCCAGCTTGCCAGAGGGGGTGTCAGTAGCAGACATGAGGGTGTGAGTGGGTGTGAGTGGGTGTGTGTGGGTGGGTTACTAGAAGCTACACGATGGATAAGGACGGGGGATCAAATTGAGAAAAGTGCACATCTCTTCCTGTTCCAAGCGCCCTCGACGTCCTGGCCTTTTATAGTCCCACTAGGGGCAAATCTCAACAAACGAGACCGAGACGAAGGGGGTAAGCTGGCGAGAAAGCGAACGAGCGTGCGCATTGTGTACGAGCGGGCACCGACTCGGGTTTTCGACGTTTTTGTGGCGCGTTCGTCGCGGGTGATGAAGTTTTCCAACAAAAAAAAGAAATGCCGGCTTTCGACCGATATTTACCGACGGGGCGAAAGGGCGAGGCGAGGCGAGGCGATGGTCTAATGGGGTGTTATAAACGGTACTTTTTTCTGTTGAACGAGGAGAAGGGGGAGAATTCAACAAATTGGGGGGGGGATGACACAAAGGGCGAGTACGGGTGTGGGTACTCGGAGCACAACTCGTCGTACAATTGAACAACCGAGAGCTTCAGCGATCGTTTGTGAATAAACTAGGCAACTCGTAGTACAACTGAACAACTGAGAGCGTTAGGATAGGCCTTCAAGCACTACTGAACAATTGAGAGCGTTAGCGATCAGTTGTGAATAAACTAGAGAACTCGGAGCACAATTGAACAACCGAGAGCTTCAGCGATCGTTTGTGAATAAACTAGGCAACTCGTAGTACAACTGAACAATTGGGAGCTTCAGCGATCAGTTGTGAATAAACTAGAGAACTCGTAGTACAACTGAACAATTGAGAGCGGCGATCAGTTGTGAATAACTTAGAGTACTCGGAGCACAATTGAACAACCGAGAGCTTCAGCGATCAGTTGTGAATAAACTAGAGAACTCGGAGCACAATTGAACAACCGAGAGCTTCAGCGATCGTTTGTGAATAAACTAGGCAACTCGTAGTACAACTGAACAATTGGGAGCTTCAGCGATCAGTTGTGAATAAACTAGAGAACTCGTAGTACAACTGAACAACTGAGAGCGTTAGGATAGGCCTTCAAGCACTACTGAACAATTGAGAGCGTTAGCGATCAGTTGTGAATAAACTAGAGAACTCGGAGCACAATTGAACAACCGAGAGCTTCAGCGATCGTTTGTGAATAAACTAGGCAACTCGTAGTACAACTGAACAATTGAGAGCTTCAGCGATCAATTGTGAATAAACTAGGCAACTCGTAGTACAATTGAAAAACCGAGAGCTTCAGCAATCAGTTGTGAATAAACTAGAGAACTCGTAGTACAACTGAACAATTGAGAGCGGCGATCAGTTGTGAATAACTTAGAGTACTCGGAGCACAATTGAACAACTGAGAGCGTTAGGATAGGCCTTCAAGCACTACTGAACAAAGAGAGGGCACATGGTACTATGTCGAATGGCCACAAGCGCTTCTTAACAATCGATCACTGAGGCTCACGATTGTTGATAAGTGGGAAATCCTTGGTATTACTAAAAAATTGAGCTCGTTAGCCCCCATTGCGAATAAGTAGAATGTCTACAAGCAATATTGTAGGATTGATGGCTCTCAAGTGTGAATAGGTAAAGAGCTCGAGAAAGAAATCTCGAACTACCATTGTACCTGTAGAAAGGTAGCTAATACTGAACTATCAGAAGCGTCAGAGAACAATAAGGTATATGAAGCATGAAAGCGTTGGTAAACGTCCAGAATGATACCAAGCACTATCGAACAGTTCACAGCGTCAGCGCTCAATTGTGGATAATTATGATAGCTTGAAGCACAACTTAACGATTGAGAACCCCAGCTAACAATCGTGAACAAGCAATGATCTCTTGGTTTTTCTAAACAATTGAGAGCGTTAGCAATAGTTGTGAATATGTAAAGGGCTTGATTGAACCCTTGAGAGCGGTAGATATCAATTGTGAAAATGTACTATGGCTACCAGCACTACAGCGCCAGCGCTGTTGATTGTGAATACGTGAAAGCTTAGTAGAAATGCTAATGAGTATGAATACGAGTACAATTCAGAGTGTCAGCGAAGGCTGCTACAAGCACAATAAAAGAGCGTACTACAAGAAACTTTACTGTGGTTTCCGCCCTAGAGTGCTTGTAGTATCGTAGCCATAAGCACAATTGAACAATTGAGAGCTTCAGTGTTCGAACACTTTATATATATATGGAGGAAGCTTAATCGAACAATTTAAAGCTTTATCAATTCTAAAATAGAAGGCTCGTAATATGGTTGCAAAACGTACTTGTTCTTTTTTGAGTCCCAGTCTATGGCTGACTCTTGAGTGTTGAGCACTTTCAATAATCCTGTTTACTCAACAATCGATTGCTGACGCTCTCAAATTTGATTGCTGACGTGCTCGAGACAGCGATCAATTGCGAACAGTAGGAATCCCGTAGTAGGTTAAAAGTGCCAGCGATCGGTTGTGAATAGGCAAAATGGCTTCAAGCATTTTGGAACAATTTAGGGCTTCAACGATCAATTGCGAATAAGTAGATGGCTGGAAATATTACCAAATAGTGAGAGCATTAGCGATCAATTGCGATAGAAAAGGGGTTTGTGACAATTAGAGCGCCAGCGATCAATTGTGAAGAGGCAGAAAGCGCGTATCATGTTTGAGCAAGCAAATCTTTGCGACAACGGGTTGACCGTTGGCGAACGGATCTGCAACGCTGGGGTGGCACATTGTCGCGTGATCAAACGACAGATGACAGATCAGTATAGAGTGATGATATCGATAAGAAAAGTTGAGGCCGGGAAATCTCAAAGTTCTTTGAGGGTGGAGCTCCGCGGAAAAAGTGACTAACGTCGTTTTAGAAATCACATATACTTCATGTTGGAGGTCCTCACAGAATGAGTTTTTGGGTGGTGTCAAAAGGATCGCTTTGAGAACTCCGTACCACGTGACCAGATAATAGACTGGCTACCCCATAGTTCCTACAACGCTACCGCTCGATCTTTACCATTGAGGTCGATTCTCCTCAAACGGACCACTAACTACCGGAATCCCATCCCACTGTTGACCATATCGCATTGAAGATGCTAAACTAAGCCGACTCCGTAAGAAAATCACTTTGTACCGTCGCGTCATCTGTCATTGGATCACAAGCTCCCGAGTGATGGCTAATGCGATGGTTCCCTACAGCAGGAAATGCGTTAGTTCTCGACTAGCAATTCTTTGATTTGGTTAATCAGTCTCAAACGGCCAGTTCTGGATCGAGCTTATGGAAAAATTTCGCGATTCAGAAGCTTATCGCTTGTCGTCATTTTAAACAGAGCATATATATACATACGATCATCGGCAATCGATCCGGCCTGCGTATGGAAATTATTGAATTGTCATTTGTTGTTTAGCACGGTCAGCAATCGCTTTTTGGCTTTTAGCCACTTGTGCACCCAAAAAACGGTCGAAAGAAAGAGATGTGTTAAAACAAGTCATTTGGTCGCTTTGAGATTGACCAACGGTAACGATTTACTTACAAGATCAATTGTGGCTTGCTTCTCAAATCAATACATATTTGCAGGCGGTGATCCTTAGAAATTAAATTAGTATGAAGCCAGGTGTAGCTTAGACGATTTAGAACTTATAGATATTCAAAACAATATCAAAGCACGATGGATAATTATACGTATCTCGTAAAAATGGCAGTCACCCAACATAATGCTTTGCGCTTGAAAATTAAAACACTGGTAATGGTATCGAGGTTTATTTGCAGACCAATTTGGACGAGTAACTCTTGATGACGTTCCGGACAAAAATCCAAAAAGACAGCCCTTTTAATACACACACAATAATCTGTCACTTCTAAAATCGCCCCAGTGCCGATCTCATCTTATTATGTGCTTATGACTTACAGATCTAAAATTGCCACAACGCTTTGGGGTTCAATTCTCTCAAAACTCAAGACAAACAAGGCGTAAGAAACCAAAAGCACGTTGCAAACCAGTTTACGTATATATGGTGAAGCGCTCGATGTATAAAACACGTGATTGCAAATTCCTATATTAAATGATACCCAATTTTATCAATAAGGCAGAGCGTTACAGCTATCAGTCAAGTTGATTCCTGTTTAACAGTTTTGCTGCATCAGTGCAAGCATAAAAGATGTGACGTATTATAGTTTAGTACAGTGACCTTCAAAATCAAGCCCATTTACCAAGCAAGGACATGATACCGGCACCCAAAAGCATGCAACCAACCATGAAGCATACCTTGGATACGCTTCTGTTCTTTTCTTGGTGGAAAAGGAAATCGCGGGCAAGCAACTCGACCAAACCTGTGTAAATCAAAATACCTGCAGAGATGGCATCTAGAACTCCTGAAACTACATTGACATTGTAAGAGTTACCATCGTAGGTGGTTCTGACACCCAATCCAATGGCAATGCTGATAGGAGTGGTCAAACCGTATGCTGCACAAAGCGCATATGGCCACCATTTTTTACCCTCTGGGAAACTGATTGCAGATAGTCTGGCACCGATACCCAAACCTTCAAAAGATTGATGGAACACGAGAACCGCATACAATTCACCGAAATTGTCACCGGTAGTACCCAAATTCAAACCAATCATGACGGAGTGGAAGATGATACCAAATTCCAAAATTAAAAACGCACCAATTTGACTTTCGAAAGGCTGTACGTTGATGTCGGATTCCGAGTCTGACACAACGTCGTATGATTTTTGGCCCGCGACGTCCACGCTGTTGGCGGATTCGTTGAGAGTGCATCTTTCCAAATCATTTTTACTCGCAGGGTTGCCTTTTTGGGGCTTGGAAACGACAGCGTCTTCGATAACGTCGTTGTCGCAGCACCCGCCTTGACGCCGGCCGTACTTTCTCTCCACGTACATGCCACTGGCCAGGTCCACCAAAAACGTCAACACCAGAGTTGCCAACACAATGGCGGGACACCACGAATAGAGGGCCCAGTTGCCGGTCTGGCCGACACAACTGGCACCTCCGATTTCGTCGTACGCAGGGTCGAGCAAATGGATAAAAGCGGTGGCGACGATCACACCGGTACCGAAGTAACGCGCGAAGTAGTACACGTATCTGGGGATTCTGAGCCACTTGACCTGCGCTGCCACGACGGGGAAAAGCGTGAACGCGGTCGACACAAACAAAATGACGAAGACGGACGAGATACGCGATCCCAGTCTACCGTTGTAGTTGTTACCGCCGTAGAAGACGCCGCTGAGAACACAGGTTTTCCACACATCGGGCACATCTGGGTCGCCAACGGTCACCTCATCGGGGCTCCACTGTTTCCACCAAACTCCTTGGGTGCTCATTGTTACCGGTACGCTGAAAGGCTGCTGTATGATGACGGATGGAATGGAAAGGTGAGGCAAGCATCAATCCCCAAATCAGATTTCTCAACTCACTAGCTACATGGCCCGCTTATATACCCAAGACCTACTGTCAGAGAATTCCGTCGTAGTAACCTTTCAGGTGTCCATGAGTAGCGTTTACCAGAGTTTTGTCTCGGCAGTGCTGTTTGGCAGCTAGTTAGGTTTTGGCAGCAACTCACCAGGCGTTCGCGTGTGTGCCAAGCATGTCTGCATTGCAAACGCCAGGGCTCTATTGTGCAAGGACTATAACGTGCTTTACAACGACAGTTGTGAAAGGTTAAGAGACGCTCTTCGGCTTCTACTATCGCGACATTCGCGCTTGTGATAACCTCGGTGGTGTTGATGATCAACTTCGTTACGAACGGTAATTCTCAAGCACAATGGCCACCACGACCATCATGGTTAAGATCAGAAGAAGACCCTGTCAGTGGTTGAAAAAGAGACTCACGGACGCAGGCGCGTAGTTAGCTGAAAAGGAAGGGAGTTTCGAGCATACGAGATGCGATGTCAGAGTTAGAGGTTACGGGTGGGTGTGTGTGTGTGTGTGTGTGTGTGTGTGTGTGTGAGTGTGAGTGTGAGTGTGAGTAGATCACTTTGAAATCACTTTGAGATCATTTTGTACTAAAGTGTCATCCAGTAATGTGGAGATGGCAAAGAGAGAGAGAGAGAGGCAATGTGTGTGTGTCTGTGTGTCTGTGTGTGTGTCTGTGTCTGTGCTTCTCTGTGTCTATGTGTCTATGTGCCTGTGCTTCGCACTCTATTTCCAAGCTCTGTTTCTATCCCCCAGGCTCTCAAAGTATTCCAAAATCAAAAGCTAGTGACGCAGGATCATGCTTAAATGCTAAAGTCCGCCAAACGCCTACACTGCGCTACACCGCGCTACGCTATGCTACTTCCCACTTTCCCATACGCATTCTGACTAGCTAGTCAGGTGACTCGATGACACTCTGGTACAAAGTGATCACAGACCAAACAAGTTAGTATCCGATCCTCTGACACATACGTGTAGATACACTCACACTCACACTCACATATGGGTCCTGACATTCACTGGTATTGATCATCGCGGAAATAAACAATAAGATGTTAATCAAGCGCTGAATGCTCAATTAAGCACGGCAAACGTTCAATTGCTACAGCCATTCCCCATATATTTACCTTCCTCAAGTCGCGTCCCACCTTCAAACCCGTCGATTTCTTCAAAACCTAAATATGTCAGTCAAACTTTCTTCCGTGCCACCTTTCATGCCCTCTTCCGTTTTCTTCAAACTCATAACTTTCACCCACCGAACTGCAAATCTTTATATCATTGAGATTATCCATATCTGAAGCCGGAAGTTAAAAAAAGTATATTCAACGTACATATACAAACACAAAGCTATATCTCAATCACCTCTTACCACCACGCACCATCGTCCCACCGTTGACAATATCAAAAATTCGTTTTCAGCATCACTGACACACGGAAAATATAATCGAAAAAGGTGTCCTTGAAATTGCAGAAACTACACCAAAACACACCACCAGAGCACAAACCCCGCACCAATTCTTAAGCGATGGCAATCAGCCCAACAAACTGCCCAGGATTCATCGATTTCTTATGTAGATCTCTCTTCTTCATCCTCACTCCGCACGAAGGGTTATCCCTGATTTACTAAAAATTTGCTGAAAATGATTGCCCCATGTTTAAAAACCTTTAAACCAGATCGTCAAGCACAATTGTAAAGTCCAAAACTCAAACTTTGTGCACCATGAAGGACACCGCCAATCAATCCCAGAACATGTCAAACACTTCCCGACACGCGTCGATCGTGGAACTGCTTTCCACGCCGCCCGCAATCGCCCAACAGCCGTCTGGACCGGTGGAACTAGAGTCGATCTCTCTTTCGCGCAACGCCAGTGCCACATCTCTAGACTCGCAGATGAGCTCGACGACTTCGTGTCTCACCAAAGTACACACACAGAAATGGCAGCATATTCTGCTCACACAGCTGATAGAGGAAAATAAGCTTGTGACGGTGGATGGGTCGCTTTCCATGGAAGAAGCGTTCAACACGCTGGTGCGTCACAACCTCACTTCTCTGCCAGTGGAGCAGTTCCCAAACGATATGAACTGTTTCACGTTTGACTATAACGATCTCAACTCGTACCTGCTGCTGGTGCTCAACAAGATCCAGGTGAACGATCCACAGGTGGCTCGCGATTGCCAGATGGGGAAGCCAGTTCCAGTGGGCCAAATCGTTAAACTCACACCAAAAAACCAATTCCACAAACTACGCGAAACAGACAATCTTTCTACCGCAATGGGCATACTTGGCTCCGGTGTGCACCGCGTAGCCATCACGGACCCAGAATCTACGCAAATTAAGGGCATTTTGTCGCAGAGACGTCTCATCAAATATCTGTGGGACAATGCGCGCCAGTTCAGCAGCTTGCAGCCCCTGCTGAATTCGAGCTTGAAAGATCTGGGCATCGGGGTGCTCGACTCGCAAACTGCCCCCACCAGCCGACAGTCGCGCGTCATCTCCATACAGGGCGAAGAACAGCTCATGATGGCTCTTTTCAAAATGCATAACGAGCGTATTTCTTCCATCGCAGTGGTCGACAACCACGGCAATCTTTTGGGAAACATCAGCGTCACAGACGTCAAGCACGTCACTCGTACCTCCCAGTACCCCCTTCTGCATAACACATGTCGCCATTTCATCTCGGTGATTCTCAATTCCCGTGGTCTCGAAATGGGCAAGGACTCTTTCCCCATTTTCCACGTATATCCCTCAAGTTCTCTGGCAAGAACACTCGCCAAGCTGGTCGCTACCAAAGCTCATAGACTCTGGATTGTCCAGCCTGAAAACTCCGCTGCATCTACACCTTCGTCTGCTGTATCGAGCTCTCCACAAAGTACGAGCTTGAACGCTCATAGCGGCGGAGGTGACCACGATGTGCCCAACAGAAGCGGATCCCCTATTAGCGTGAAAAGCTTCGATGAAAACATGGCTCAATCTCAAGCCACTCCCTTATTTGAAAAAGAATATCGCACGGGGAAACTCATCGGCGTCGTCTCGCTTACGGACATCTTGGGACTTTTGGCCAGACGACAAACCGAGCACAAACAGGTTGATCCACAATCTGCCAGAAGGCAACGAGGCAGTGTGACTGCGTAACGTCCGACTCTTGTAACTATGTGAAATATTCAAACGACGACAGGCAAAAATGTCTAGTTTTTCGGGTTAACAGAAAGCACTTCAAAATTTATAGCACATTAGATTTTGTTCTCATCTACAAAGAACAGCGTATAACAAACGGTAGTTGTAGACCTGAAGAAGGTCTAATCAAGCCATAAACAATCTTGTCGGATGGATACTAAAGATGGAGATTATCGCATTGTCTTCATCGTGTGATGTTATATTATGAACACTTGATGGATTTTCTACATGCACGATTTGAAGATCTTAAATACTAAAAGTTCATCGGTTCGTTAGCTTCTTGACACTCCGATAACACACATTTATCTACCTTATTCTAGTACAGTCTTGATGTTCAGTCGAATTCGGAACGTAGGGACAAGAGTATGGCACCCTTCATTGCTCCGAAATGTTGCCTCTAGGAGCAGAGCACCTCCAAAATCATTATTACAGCGGCAAGCCAAAAGACGTGGGGATATGGACTCAACAACGTCATCGCAGCTAATTGTCAGTTCTCTTAAGGACATTTTTTCAATTTTCAATCCATCCGGTTACTCTCAAGAGGACGAGGACTTAGAATCCAATGCCAGAAAAGAGGCAGTTGCTGAAAGAATAGAGCACGGTGAGCTGCGAAGTTTATACCTGCAAAAGTTCTCTGCAGTGCGTGTTTCACCATCTGCTAAATCAGATAGCTCCGTAAATGACCTAAGAATCCCAACGCGCAGTCTAACGGTAATGTTTCCACAACTATCACAGCAAGACAGAGAGCTGATTGATGTCTCGCTAGGTATGATTCCCAAATCGACAGACTGGAGGGAAATTCCCCTGGTACAAAAGCAAATGTTGTTTTATATGGGTTACGGATCGTACGGTCCTAGAGAAGGCATTAAGTTCTTTGGCTCGAAACCCGAGGATTTTACTTGGCAGCACGCTGCCAAATTGGGAGGGCAAGGTCTAAAAGCCCACAAACTACCGAAAACCCTAATCACCGACGTCTGGAAGTGCACAACGTCAAGGCAAGCACAATTCGATGGTATGACAAGGCGTTTGGACCCGGGCACACTAACCATTGCGTTGATGGGGCTTATTGTGGCCATATGTGCGACTTTAGAAGATTACCAGCAACGACGGGACGTGCATGGGGTTGTACAGGTGGCTCGTTTTGAGGAGACAGACACGGCCGCACCATGAGACATTCGAAGTACAACCAAGGTGCGTAATCTTGTCCATCGCGAAAATTCCAGTTTTTGCCAGCAACGTCAAGCCTTCCTCCGACCGGGTACGTCTATGCAAAAATGAAATACACGTATGTACAATGCATGGCATTCTTTACTCATCGTCTTCGTCGTCGTCCTCATCGTCGTCGTCCTCCATATCTTCCAAGTCGTCTTCCCACGATTTTTCCACCGTCTCCTTGACTCGTTTTATGTACAAAGGTTTCTGGTTCTTGAAAAGGGTTGCAGCCTCGACGTTGGCGGGCGAAGCTGGATTAGGGTCGTTGAACAGACTCTGGATGGACGTCAAAATCGACGCGACATCATATGTGGGCGTCCATCTGTTTTGCAGAATATCCAGACAGATCTCTCCGTTGGCGTACACGTTAGGATGAAACATCTCACTCAGAAATTTGACATGTGGTGGTTTGTTAGGGTATTCTTCGTCAAATTCCAAAAGCAAGCGGAACGTGCCGTCTTCATATGGCGTGTCCGCAGGCCCTATAATCATCGCATTCCATACCATAACGTTGTCCGGTAAGGGAGAAGCAGAAACGCCAGGAGGAGCATCTTCCTTCATGCGCTGTTGTAAGCGAGTTAGAAATGGGCTTTTTTATTTCAAATTTCGAGCACCGCAGAGGCTAATTGAGCACATACCTTGAAATCTCTCATAAGTCTTCGCCTGGCTGGAGTAGACATTGTATCAAAGATTCGTTGTAGAGAGTCTAACTTGGGTTGATCGCGTTGGTTATCAGCTCTAAGAAGGTTGAAATGTCGAGCTTACCAACATTTAATATATCAGGCCGTTCGTAACGAGTGACCAAATCGCGAGCCAAAACGTCTGAGGCTATAGGCGAGTCGATCAGAAGCACCTCGGACCGGTATGGCACCCTCTAGTAAGCCTTTCCCTTACACTTTGTCCAATTGCAGTTTGTCGGTGTGGTACATGAGATTTCCTAGTTTCAAAACGGTGTCAGTACCGTAGCCATTTATCGAGTGGACCGTTAAATCGCCATTCCAGTACTCTGCATAGACCTTGCACATGGCAAGACCAATTCCTAGTTTGTAGCGTGAAGATCTTTCCAAAAGACCCAGTAAAGGTTTTTCGAATTTGTGGCCGTGAGGTAAATTAGACGCACTGACAGGCTCCAAAGAGGTAAATTTGTATGGATGACTGGTGGGCTTGCCCCCATCTCTGTCATACATGTAGTCGTAAAGAGATATAGTCTGCAGGCCGGGCAGCTTGTGGAAATTGTTGAGAGACTCGCTTGCGAGCTGTTTGGACTTGCCAAAGGACCATATGGTCTTTTCGTCGTGCGGGATCCCGCCAGCGCGATCCGAAATGCGAAACATGAAAGACTGGTCGTTCGAGACTATAGTCACCGTGATTGGCTCCGGGTTTTTGAGTCCCAGTCGAATGTACTCTTTCATGGTAGCCTCGTAACTGTTCCGCAGCACTTCGCCCAAAAGATACTTCAAGTGCAAAGGTAAAAAATAGAACTTGAGCTCTAGGTTGCCATCAATGACAAATTCGGGCAGTTTAATGCCTTGGAAATACATGTCCTGGATGAATTTCTCGCACATGGCTTTGGCACCCAGAAGAAACTCTCGTGCGCTGCACTCTTGGAAAATATCGCCGAGAACCAGAGTATTCTCCTTTTTCCCGCTCTGGTAGTTGGCTGTTATACTCAGATGCTCCTCCACAATCAGTCTTCTAGAGATACGCGCCCGCAGGAGACTCGAAATGACCTCGTCCATCTTTTGAGGCGGATAGAGATCCAATATACGGCACTCGAGGGCCCCCATGATGAGGTGCGGTAAATTCAGAGAGTTGAAGTCCGACAAAATGCTCTGTAGAAACCTGGCAAATTTGTCATTGTCGGCAATCGTTTTGACCGTCGGATACCGCCGGAACCGCTCAAAAATGTTGTAGTAGGACTCGTAGACCTGGCTAAAGTGGAAGTTGTTCACCACGTTGAAGGGCAACGTCTGCAACAGATGGATTTTGTGTGCGATACGTGTGACCAACTCCTGTTGTACAAATCGACTGCTATTTACGATTTTTTGTTTGGTCAAAGTGTTAGAGTCATCGAAATACTGCGCGAGTTGTGATAGTGACACGGGATGTGGTTTCTTGGTCAAATAGTGTTTCTCCAAAATGTCTTTGTTCTGGTAGTAGTGTTGTTGATTTACGTACTTGGACTGCAGTGGATACGCACACAACGTGGGAGAAACGTACGGAGCTAACTCACTAATCGACTTGGTGGGCGAGTATTTGCTGAAATCAGGAATTTGGGAGATGTGTCCTCGATGACAAACTACGGATTTTCGAGCCTGCGAATCATATTCAATCGTTCGCTTTGTTACTGAAAAACGCGTAACTTGAGCTAGGCTCTTCAACCCAGTCGCGCCCATTGATTCACTCATTGTTGAAAACTGCCCTTTTATATAGTTCTAACAATGAGATGAGATGAGCTGTAATAATTAATATAGTTTTGATATTAGACTATATAAAGTCAAAAGCTTTAAGAACTCAACAAACTAGCAGAAGAGCTTCCATCAAGGACCAACCCCCTACGATGGGTGACGAAAGTATGCGATAAGATTATAGTACTTGGCATGGAGTATTTACTGACCTAAAGATAACGTTCACTTAGCCAATATGAATGACATCAGTCCCGCAAATCAAGCTACCGATAGCACATCAAATAAGAGGAAACTTGGCGAAATAGAGTCTCCACCCGACGTTGTGGAGGATAAGTCGAAGCACAGGAAGAGTGTGAAAACCGAGGAACGCAAAGTCCCAAATATTGCACTGGAACTTGCCAAGAACAGAACAGCTGCAGTACCGGGCTCTAGACCTTCTCCGTCAATCCCACTTTCATCACTTCTTTCGGGCGATCAAACGTCCAGCCATGTACCAGAAATGAAACAATCGACCATACCGTTGTCGAATCCGCGTCTAAAAGTATGCTCTTTGCTGTCTCCAGAGCCAAACGGCCGTGGTGACAGAAACTCAAGCCCGATTATTATCCTGCCGACACAAGGTTCTGCCTCCGGTACGTCAAGTTCGGAGTCCTCAGGACTTATGGTTGCCAGAACGAGCTCTCCAGTTTCCTTTTTGCCCCAAAATGGGAACGCGAAACTCAACAGAAGCCATAGCACGCTGAATCCCATCACTAGCTCTGCCAGTCCACATATCGCGGTAAAAACATCTTCAATGCCGGTACCGAGCGATGTTTCCGTTTTAAATGAACTACCAGTTAAACCAGAAGTCGATACCCGCGCCTCCTCTTTAACGACAGCGAAAGGATCGCCCTCCGTAATAGTGGCCACCAAGGATGAAAAGGAGCCAGTAAACTCAAAGAAATCACCTGAAGCGCAAGAAAAACAGCAGCCTTTACCCGAGGAAGTGGCCGATGCGGTTTCCGCGGCCGCCCCAGAAACTGAAAATCCAACTGACGCGAAAAAAAACGCCAGACGGAGAAGGGCAAGGCCAAGAGAACCCAAAAAAGTTGACATCGAACCCGCCAATGTTATCATCGAAGACATGAGAAAAGCAGAAGAAGTCAAAACTCCGGTTGCAAAGCCAGGGCCACTTGAAACGAATAACGAAGCTACCCCAACACAAATTAACAATGAATCAAAACCATCCCAACAAGACAATGGCACTGGTGTTCCCGTCACCAAAAAGCCCACAAAGACTACGGTAACAAAAAAAACCACCAAAAGCGTCGATACCAAACGCACAACGAAAACAGCCGAAAACAAGAAAGGAGAAAAGCCTTCAGAACTGAAGACAGACAGTCGAAAAGAAGGAAATGGTCTCTCGAAAGAACCGGCTGCTAAAAAGGGTAGCAAGGCCGCTTCTGCCAAACTAAATTCTAAGACAACATCGCCCGCCGCGGCTATTAAACAGACGGATTCAAAAAAGGATCCAAAAATTAATGTTTCCAAGCAAGAAAGTGCAGAAACAACCACCAGGCCCTCATCTAAAGTTTCTGACTCGCCAAAAGAGAAATCTTTTGGTGCTACGTCGAAAGAGGCAAAGACGAAGGAAGGCAAAGCTACCTCCAAGGATGATGTAAAAAAGGATACTAAAGCAAAGCGAGCCAACACAGCATCGAAAAAGAAAGAAGTTACACCACAACCGACAAAGGCTGCTACAGAATCCAAAGGTCCATCCACGACCCCTAGGAAATTACTTTCGGCACCTCTATTGAAATCTCCATCTATATTGGATCCGATCGAAGCACCTGACGACCGAGATGAACCTGTTATTATCGTAGATGTGCCACTATATCCCGTTGAATCTAATGACTACTTGGATGAAAACGGACAAGTTGTCTTTAACTTCTACAAGTTAGTACAAGACAAATTTGGTCACTCTGGGAAAACGAAACGCAATCTCATGTCAGATCTTAACGGCGGGGATGAGGATGATGAGGATGTTGCGGAAGTTGACGACGATGACGGCATAGAGGAGGAGGAAGATGAAGATGTTGACTTGGAGGAAAAGAACACAAATTCCACCGCCCCTGTCGCCTCTCCCAAGAAGAAGTCGCATCCAATGAAAGGAAGAAGCTTAATTGGAAAATATGATACGGAGGACCCTTTTATCGATGATTCCGAGCTTCTTTGGGAAGAGCAGCGTGTCGCCACTAAGGACGGGTTTTTTGTCTACTTCGGTCCATTAATTGAACGAGGCCAATATGCAAGCTTCGAAAGAGTCAACGGAACGATGAAAAGAGGTGGAATAAAATACTCGAAATGAAGGTACAACATAATTAGTTACAAGATCATACTTAGGATTATTGCGATAAATATGATTTGAGATTTTCACTTGCTATTTGAATGAAACCAATCTCTGGTTCGGACTTGTCTTTGATGGCCTCGACAAGTTCGTTCGCATTTTGTTGTATTACTTTTAACAGCGCTTTGTCCCATTTGAGTCTCAAGCTGATAAAGAAGTTCAAAAAGTTTAACGACAGCAGAAGATTCTGTTTAACGGGCACTTTTTTTGATTCCTCGAAACTCATGATGGCCAAACTATGAATGGTTGCTTTCCGGTCTTCGTTCACCATCACGTAAGGCCTCGCTGGCAGCTCGGGCTTCGAAGATGCCTTGGTCTCGCTCGAAATTTTCAACCCAGCGAGCATTTCAGTTGTCTTTGCAGTTGCGCCTTGAACGTTCAACATTAAATCCTTGAGAATGCCCAGAATGCAGCACTTCATGTCCATAGAAGGACAGTGCAACAACGTGTCCCTCACGAACTCAAAAGCATCAGACTCGGGCGCTAAGCACATTAATCTTGTGAGTAGAGTAAATGCAACCATTCTTGAATATTCTAAAGTTTCGCTGAAAGCACTCAAAAGTTGAATTTGAAGAAAAGTAGCAAGAAGGTACGAGGGTATTTTGCTCAAAGCGTAACGGCTCTCCTTGCACGTTGAGTTCATCACCGCTGCCCAAATCCAAAACTGACAGCTCTCGTTTGCGTAAGAGTTTGGATTGGAATCAGAGTAGACCTCGGGGGTATAAAATCTCAAGGACATGCAAATCGCTTCGTCGATTTTAATATCGGGACAGAGTATTTTCCTGGTTTCCTGGTAATGGTAGGTGGCAAGTACAAGTATTCCATGTGGGTCTAACGAGAGGTTCTTCTCGGTGATCTTTTTTTGTAAGCAGTAAGTGTGTGCCAGCTGGTATATGAGCTGTGTTATGCCACTCTTCGCCTCCTCATTTACAACTTCGGAGTCTTGAGGTAGGGATTGATAGATGGAAACAGACTCACTGATACACTGACTCCTGAATGCGGCCTCAATATCGATATCGAAAGAGAGGGCAAGCTGATAATATCGGGCAACAAGTGAGCGCATGATGTTGCGAAGCTCATAGTTGAGGTTTGAAACATCGATATTCCTGAGGTTTAAGACGTATTCTGTGGCCGTACACATTCTTCTATTCTGCAGAAGCTGGCCCAGAGAATGCGTAATTAAACACTGAAGGAGTTTGCGCTGCAGAGCATTTTCGTCTTCCACCAGGGCACTGTACTCTTCAGAAGTCAGGTCTTTTACGGCTTCGGACTGGTGTTGAGGAGGAATGTAATTGCGGGAAAACGCGTAAATTCGACGCAAAACAAAGATACAGTCGTCAATGCGGGCAGCATTGTTCCTTATGAAACTGAAAATAGCACCAACAGCTGCAGCCAGAAATCTTGACGGATAGCAAGTATGGATACGTTTCATAGTTGTCGCGATAAATTCTATTAATGCGTAAAGCTTCAATTCCAAGAAGTATTCTTCAGGCTCGCGATTGAGAGTAGCAACACCCGCCCAATCATTTTCGGTGTCTGAAATTTTTTGGTCCAATTCGCCGGAAACGGTGTTGTCGGTTTCGTTTTCGGGAGCATCAGTTTCATCATCAGTATCGTCTTCGAATGCACCGTCGTCTTCAGGTTCGAGAGTCTGCATATCCAGTTCTCCCAAAAGCTCGCACCCTGCCAGGAAACACTCTTTGGCATTTCCCGCCAACGAAATCTCGTAGAAACATTTTAGTACCATTGAGGTAACAGGATTATTGGAAAGTGAGAGACTGAAGTCGAGGTGTTTTGGAGCCAGAAACCTTAGGAGAATTTTGGGCAAGTCCCAGCCAATTTTTTCAACAGTTTGTGGGTTTTTTTGCAGATTGACATGAAGAGCGCGTAAAAACGCGGCCTTGTCGGGCAACGAGCCACCCTTGATGAAATCAATTGAGTACAAATCGATAACGGTCACCAGAGAAAGGGCATCATTTTCATATTCTTTGAACGCGAGATCGAGCTTCTCGCACAGTTCTGAAGCGTTTTTCATGGTCAAATAGAGACGGTACCAGAGTTCAGAGGACGATTTGGGACTGCGACTGGTGTCCGTTACGATTGAGTGTGTTTAAATCCTTACGATGATGGGAGCAGAGAGAGAGGGTCTTTTGAGATAGAAACACAATTACGTATATAGCGATAATGAAATGCAATTTACTTGTCTAATCTAAAGCACGTGATATGCCTTTGGTCACGCGTTAAGGGAGTATGATTATATAAGCTATAAATCACGTGTATAGTATTTTCGTCAACTGTGATGTATTCTTAAACGAAAATTAACAGTCTCACTTATCTAGTTAGAACGAGGTAGAGATGTAAAGGTAAGCCCCAAACACCGAGCTACCAGACTACAATGAGCCAGATTCTGGAAAGCGAGAGCGATGGTGGCTCTTCTAGTATTTCTGAAAGCTCGGTGGTTCCAGAAAATCAATTTACCATGCAAGATGAGCTAGAACAGTATGCCAAAAAACTCGATTTTCTAAGACTCGATGGAGATGAAGAACCCTTAAAGGAGATGTCGCTGAGCTCTGCCGACTTGCAAGAGAGCAACGGCAACATTAAGACGAAAGAAGTGCCCACATTCAAGGCGCCAATGACCACTTCGGTCATCTTGACGCATTTGACGCCAGCGGGAGATGCCGCTATCAAGCACGTGATATCCAAAGAACAACAACATCCCGTAAAACTGCACATCAAGTTTCAAGCCATTGGTGCAGTGCCGCAGGTGTCTCCACAAACCGCCCAGATTTCGTCGTCGCAGCCGTTTTCCGTGTTGATCACTTTCCTGAAGAAAAAGCTGAAAGTGGCCACCGTCCACTGCTATGTGAACAATTCGTTTTCTCCGGCTCCACAGCAATCTGTGGGAGATTTGTGGATGCATTTCAAGGTGAAAGACGAATTGATTGTCAATTACTGCAAGGGAGTCGCTTTCGGCTAAGAACTAGACAGACGAGAATTCGAGCGTCAGAAATTCGATTGAGACTAGATTTTTTTTTTCGGAGTTTTTTTCAAACTGCTGGTCAGGCCCTAGTTCCACTAGGTTTAGACACAGCAAGACTGGGCGATAAGACTGGGCGATAAGACTGGGCGATGAAGCGAAGATACTCATAAACTACTATGGATGGGGTCACAGTTTACTACAAACCACATCTGTATGCACGTGACTTGTGGTGATGTCGCTATCGACGTATGTACTTGCTGACTTAAGCATTTCTGGTCACGTGATCCATCTTTCTGGGAAATTCGTTCATCAACGTACTAACAACGATCATTGATGTTAAGATCAACATCCATCTCAAGATACTCGACTCATCAGTCCAGTCTTCGTCGTCAGCAATACTGTCACTATGGATGAGAATGGACTCGATAATTCCTCTATCAACAAATTAATACCCGAGATCTTCGATCAAATGCGTTCGAATCTTAGTCTGGGACCATCTGGGAAAAACATGAAACCCTTCCTTTCAGCAAGCACAACGTCTTCGAGCATGACTGCACAATCGCTTTTGGAAGAAAACAAGTGTCTCGACGAAATTATACCTGTCATACAGACTCTGGAGTCATCACTACGATCAGCAGGACCGCAGCACCTCAAAAGAATCAGGGAAACGTGCGAGTCTTCCAATAAGATTCTGGATTCGTGGATCCGGATTCAGTCACAAGCTGGCTACGCTTATGAACTCATGGATGACAAGTCATATCTGGAATATGTCGTTGCTGCCCAGCAAAACGCAGCTTTGACACCACAGGCGTATCTTGAACAAAAACAAGCGCAAGTAGCAGATCTGAGGCGAACACTAGACGAGAAGATAAAGTCTCGAGAAAATGCATATGCCGAGGAAAAGCAGCGGCAAATGAACGAAAATAATCCCGCAAAACGGGAGAGAAGGTACGGCGCCGCGAGTAGAGCGCCCACGCGGGGGAACATGAAAAAGCCAAGTGGAATTCCTAGAAGCACATCGAGAATTACCAAACCATCTGCAAGAGCTGTGCGTCCGACTGACCGCGCTCCTCGCTAGGTCCAATTTGTAACACTAAATATCAATTACTGCATTCATTAACGAAAGAAAACTATTAAAACGCTTATAAGATCTACTATTGTACAATAATTAAGAACGTTGCCTCCAAGCCATCTTACTCATCCGAGGTTCGTTAGACTGGGAAGTTATTCCTTTGGTGGCACGGAGTCTTCAAGAAGAACCAAGAGGTCCGAAGCGTCCACGTTTTCGCCATCTTTAACCATGACGTCCTTGACTTGGCCATCGCTTGGAGAAGAGATCACCATCTCCATCTTCATGGCACTCAACACGGCAATAGGTTGACCCTTCTTGACCAAAGATCCCTTGTGTACCTTGACCTCGATGATCACACCTGCCATTGGGGCTCCAACTTGGTGAGAGTCGTGAGCGTCAGCCTTTGGCTTCGCAAGGGATTCGATCTTTTGAGACTTATCAAGAACAGAGACCTTTCTCAATTCACCGTTCAAGTCGAAGTAAACTTCTCTGAAACCGGTGTCCTTGTTCAGTTCACCAATAGCTTGAGGCTTAATGATCAAGGTTTTACCCTTTTCGATAGTAACGACGATTTCCTCGCCTACAGTAGGTGGTGATAGGAAGTTTTTGGTAGGTAGGACGGATAGGTCACCATATAGTTCTCTCATTTTACGGAAATCTTCGTAAACCTTTGGATACATGTTGTACGAAGCAACATCGCATTCGTCAATGTCACCGAATCTGTCTTGCAGCTCTTCTTTGATCTTAGGCAAGTCGAATGGGGTGAGTTCCAAGCCTGGACGGACTGTCAACTTTCTTCTCTTGTTCTTCAAGACGTCAGTTCTCAGAGGCTCTGGGAAACCGCCATATGGCTGGCCGATCAAACCTTCGAAGAAGTCCATGACGGAATCGGGGAAGTCGAGAGACGAGGCCAAACGTCTAACATCGTCTGGTGTAAGCTTGTTGGAGACCATGAATTGCGCAAGATCTCCGACGACCTTGGATGTTGGAGTGACCTTCACTAGATCGCCTAGCAAATAGTTTGCCGCTTCATAAGCCTTCTTTGTTTCAGCCCATTTTTCTCCGAGACCCAACTGTTGAGCTTGGAAGAGCAAATTGGTCAATTGGCCACCTGGAATTTCGTGCTGGTAAACTTCTGGGTCTGGTCCCTTTAGGTCAGCCTCGAAACACGAGTAAAGCAATCTCATTTGAGCCCAGTAAGCATCTAGCTCACGGACCATGTTAACTTCAACATTGCTTTCAATCTCACCGTCCAAAGAAGCGAGCAAAGCGTTGATCGATGGTTGAGAGGTCATGCCAGACATCGAGTTGGTAGCCACGTCAACAACATCGGCACCTGCAAAGGCCGCAGCAGCCATCGAGGCCACGGCGGTACCGGCAGAGTCGTGAGTGTGAACATGGATAGGCAAGTCTGGGTACTTGGCTCTGATTGAACCAATTAACAATTTGGCTGCAGATGGTTTCAAAGTACCAGCCATGTCTTTGATACCCAAAATGTGAGTGCCCATGGCCACAATTTTATCGGTAATGTCCAAGTAGTAGTCCAAGTTATACTTCTTTCCGGACTTTAGCATGTCACCGGAGTAGCAGATTGTAGATTCGACAACACCACCAGCCTTCTTGACGGCGTCAATACCGACCTTCAATTGCTCAAGATCGTTCAAAGCATCGAACACTCTGAAAATATCAACACCATTCTCTTTAGCTTGAAGAACGAAGTGGTCAATAGCGTTGTCAGGCAAAGAAGAGTAAGCCACACCATTGGCACCACGTAGTAGCATCTGGAATGGGATGTTTGGAACTAGTTTTCTCAAAATTCTCAAACGCTCCCATGGATCTTCATGCAAGAATCTCATGGCGACATCGAAGGTGGCACCACCCCAACATTCAAGGGCAAAAGCACCAGCCAAAGCATGAGCAGTGGTTGGGGCAATGGCAGCCAAGTCGTAAGTACGGACTCTGGTGGCCAACAAGGACTGGTGGGCGTCTCTCCAAGTAGTGTCCATTAGAAGGGTACCCTTGAAATCGCGGACCATCTTGGCAAAGCCAACTGGACCCTGTTCCAAAAGCACCTGTCTCCAGCCAGCAGGAGGTGGGCTTGAAACGTCGACGACACTTCCCTGCGAGTCGTGAAGAACTGGGATGGTTGGCTGAGTGTGTAGCTTGGGCAAGCCAACTTGACCCTTGATAGAAGAACCATTGACAACCAAGTCGGCCAAGTAGTGTAATAGCTTCTGGGCACGGTTCTGAGACGAGACCATCTGGAAAAGCTCTGGGGTATCGTCAATGAAAGTGGTCCAGTACGAGCCGTCGATGAAAACGGGATTGGTCAATAGCGTCAACAAGAAAGGAATGTTGGTCTTAACTCCTCTGATTCTGAATTCGATCAAAGCACGCAGCATTTTACGGCGAACGATTTCGTAAGTAGAACCGGAACAAGAACATTTCACCAACATGGAATCGTAATGAGGGGAAATGATTGAGCCAGCGTAAGCGTTACCACCATCCAATCTAACACCGTTACCACCAGCGGAACGGTAAACCTCGATACGACCAGTGTCGGGCTGGAAATTTTTGGCAGGGTCTTCAGTTGTGATACGACACTGAATGGCAAACCCACGGGTGGTGATTTTGTCTTGCAGCAGTCCAAGCTGTTGCAAAGAAGCACCGGCAGCGATCTGGATTTGAGCAGCCACGACGTCGATACCTGTGATTTCCTCGGTGATGGTGTGTTCGACTTGGATTCTGGGGTTGATTTCGATAAAATAGTGTCTGTTTTTGTTATCAACCAAAAATTCGGCAGTACCAGCATTCACATATCCGGCTTCTTTGGCCAATTTCACGGCGTCGGTCAAAATGGCGTCGCGAACGTCTTTAGGTAGAGTTTTGGCTGGAGCAACTTCAACCACTTTTTGGTGTCTTCTCTGCACAGAACAGTCACGCTCGAACAAGTGCACAACGTTGCCATAGCTATCAGCCAGAAGTTGAACTTCTATATGTTTTGGCCTGTCCAAGAATCTTTCGATGAAGCAGGTACCGTTGCCGAACGCGGTCTTGGCCTCGGAAGTGGCACGCTGGAAAGCGTCTGAGATGTCGTCGCCTTCGCGAACAACTCTCATACCTCTACCACCACCACCAAAGGCGGCTTTGATGATGACTGGGTAGCCATATTCGGCGACGAAGGCCTGGGCCTCCTCCACGGTATCGATTGGACCTGGGGTACCTGGAACAGTGGGCACTTGGGCACGAGCGGCCAGGTTTCTGGCCGAGACCTTGTCACCTACCGAGTCAATGATCTGTGCAGATGGACCGATCCACGTGATCCCGGCGTCCGCCACTTTTTGGGCAAACTCGGAGTTTTCCGACAAAAAGCCGTATCCCGGGTGGATGAAGTCAACGTCGTGGTCCTTGGCGATCTGGATGATCTCGTCGATGGCCAGGTAGGCGCCCACTGGTGTGTATTTGCCCTCTGGGCCCAGCATGTACGCCTCATCGGCCTTCAAACGATGCATTGAGAGTCTGTCCTCGTGCGAGTAAATCGCCACGGTTTTCATGGACAATTCATGCGCAGAACGGAAGATACGGATTGGGATTTCACCTCTGTTGGCTACCAGCAGCTTATTCTTCTGGCCCAACAGGTTTGAGCTGTCCCTCAGCCCTGCGACCTTCGACATTATTACTGTGTGGTGTGTGGGTGGAGTTCTCTTTAGTTTTGGGTCAATCCAGTTCAATGCTGTTTTTTCTTCGCACTTGCCGTTAAAACGTCCTGATGGATTGTTGTGTATTCCTCAAAAGTGACTGAAGTCCCTTAAGAGCCCTTTATATCTTCTCGTCCCTTCAAAGGTTTTTCCAACTTTCTTACTGCGTCAAGAGATTGCAATTTCGTCCACCTTTATATAGTTGCTCACCCGGTCGCGCTCGTCGTCTGTGATAAATGCTTCAGCCAATCATAGCCCGGTTCGCGTCTGGTCGTGGTCATCCATGGATGACTCGTTTTTCCATAACCATGTGGTGACGGTGATGAGCTGGCTCAAACGACGACGTGGTGGCGGCGGCGGGAACGTGAGCTTCAATGAAAAATGCACTTTGCAGTGGAATTTCGAGCCATTGTGCTTCAATGATGATGATGATGCCTTTCTCGAGGTTTTGATAAGATTTAAATGAATCGTATTTTTTTTTCCCTTGGGTCGGGTCTTGGATGCCACAGCCAAGGGAAATTGAGCGAGCGCGCGGTCTTAGACCATGTGAATGTTTTGTCATGTAGACGTCACTGTTTTCGCAGTGACGGAAGTAGTGTCTGTTTGTTTGTTTTTTCGTCTTGATCTTGTAGCGTTTTCACTCTCGTTAATGTGTGGATGGTCCTAGAGAGCCCAGCCCATGAGAAACGGTTCAGCAACGATGGCTCGAATGACTGAAAAAAACTTTCGAGTTGTCCGACTAGATGTTCGGGTCGATGTTCGGGTAGATGACTCCGAGCACCTCGCAATTATCACGTGCTCCACCGCTCCACCATCTCATTCATCCATTGTCCACCCTGGCTCTGCAGCACCTTGGGCAGTTCTTCCAAGCCCTCCAACAGCCCGTCTTCGTTCACGGTCGCCGAAGCCATGAATCCGTTCAGCAGCTTGAGCATAAACAGACAATTTGGATACACGATGCATTGCGCGTACGGCGGCTGGCACCAATACTCCAGGTATTTCAAATACGCCTTGAATTTCGGGTCCCGCCATATCTGCTGCTGGCTGAACAGGAATATCACGTACGGCACGTTCGCGAGACACTGGACAAACTCGAGCTCCACTTCGAAACGCGTGGGCGGCACGTCAGCTTCCTGTGCTTGTTGTTCCGGTTGAGCTTCGTGTTGTTGTTGCTGCTCCAACGTTGTGCCATTGATGGCGTCGTTGTTGTTTTCCATATCCTTACCGAACCCTCAGTACGTTCCTGGCTTCTTATGCTCCAGCTTTGATTCTCTCTCGAGCCTGACTTGTAGTTCTTCAAGCATGAGACAGAGATCTGTCCTGAAGATCAATATTCGTTAAATTATGGAAATTAGGACACTTTGAACGAAGGGCTCAAGCTTGTATAGAACTGGAAATTCTGCCATACTTAAGGACACGCCTGTCAGATCCGTAACAGCTCTCTAATAGACAGGATTTGACTGAGGAAGATCGTTGTGCGATCTGAACTCTCATTCAATTGTTTTATTGGCAAAAAATTTTGAAATATATGGTTTTGTCCCTGTATAAGGTTTTCCTATTCTCGCTGTGTCCACTGACTTTGATTGTGGGACACACTGTGTCGCAGTATATAAGTCTCGAAGTCGACAGAGATGGATGGTTTAACACGTATTTTGTCAAGCAAGGCTGGTTTTGGACGAGTCTGGTAGGATGGTGGTGTATGATCAGGTATAGTGGGTTTGGCCACCGTGGGACATGGAAGAAAACGCTACTTCGGTACTCTGTGCTGACCGGGTGGTGGATGGTCTTCACGCAGTCCATATGGTCAGAAGCGGCTCCACTTATGGATTTGGTGTTCACAGCCACCGGGGGTCGCTGCAGTTTCGACGTTTTCGACCCGTCAGACCCGCGGACTTGGCAGATCAATGAGAAATTTCACGACACCCTCACACGGCGACAATCCAGTCTTCGCAAAATCTACCAAGCGCTCAAACAAGCATCCACCAACCCCTCTGTGGTGCTAGAAAATGCGGTCTCCGCAGTCGAGTATTGGCTCTCAGAGGGGAGGGAACATCTCATGAACATAGAAATGACGCCCCACCAACTCAACACGTACATCGATGAAGCCCTACATTCGTGGCGCAGGATCAACTCTTCCAATCTTTGCAGGTCGCTGGGTGGACACTGGAAAGGTGGACACGATCCCAGTGGCCACATTTTTCTCATTACGCTCATGTGCATGTTTCTGCTCGGCGAGCTTCAGGCCATCGGCAGAAAAGCGCTGAGAAAACTGAAGACTGAAAGGCGTTTCTGGCTGGCGCTCAAGACGCATTCGACCAACATTGTCCAGAGTGGAGCTGTCTTCACTTCTTTCTCTCGGCAATCTGTCACTTGGAAAGCGCTACTAAAAGAGCTCGCCGTGGCACCAGTAAATCGTTCGAAACAATTACTGCTGCTGACGATCTCCACGTTCAGATTTGTCGTATGGGACAACCCCATAATAGCCCTTGTCGTTCTCACAGTCATGTGGTGGTGGAGCTTCCTTGTGACAACGATTGCATTCCATACTCTTCCAGAGCAGATTAGCGGACTTTTATGTGCATACATCGTGGCCGCTATCGTCTACTGGAAACTCGCATGAAACCTCTTAATAGCAGTGATTGTCTATTGAAAATAGCATATATCTTGTAAATAACTAGTGACACTGCCATGAGGACGGAGGTAGCTTCTGCAACTGCTGAGCTTTCTTTTTGATAAACCCAAAGTACAACCAACAACCCACAGTAATGCAAAATAGATTGGTGACAAAATAACCGTCCCTGATCGTAACCCAGTCGCCACCGGCCGCGCTACAACTTGCTTCCGTGACAATGTCATTTTCGACCTTTTTTGTGAGGACGCATCCATATTTTGTAAAACGGTCAATCATGGATAACACTAAAAGTCGGGGCCACGTCCCACCTAGATTACTCAAAGTATTCAGCAAAGTCATGTAAGTGCCGCCGATGACCGGGTCTGCTATCTGCGTGTGAAAGGAGCAGATCCCCACGAATTGTACCGTACTCATAAATGACCCGAGCAGATGCTGGAAGACTACCATGCAAAAGTAGCCGCGAGTAATTTCACCATCGACGGGGAATTTGGCAATCAGAACGTTGGCCAAAAAGGCGGCGGTAAGCCTTCCCAGGAATCCCCATAGCCAGGGCGTTAAAGTTCCAGTTTTTCCTACAAGAAACCTGATTATTCTATTGGAAAAAACTGGATTAGAAGATAGTCCCGGTCTCGTTTGATCAGAGGAGTCACCGCTCCATTTGGCAACGTAGTAGCCAAAAATTATTTCAAATGGAAAGTCGATAAGAACAGTGACGGCCAGATCCTCTCTTTTAAAACCTCGTTCCAACAATTTCAGATTCGTGGCGCCCTCATTACACTGAAATGCGAATTTGCTGAAAAAATGGATAATCATTAGAGATTGCACGCTTGGAAGTTTCAGGACCTTGAAGAATGACCGATATACATTTGCTAAGCTTTGGTGAGCTGGGTTTGTGTCGTAATTGTAATCAATGAGGTCCCCGATCTTCTCGTCGCTCTTTTTGGTCGGCAGTGCTGGGATTTTTGTGGGCTTTTCCTTAGTGAAGAGTGCGATATAAAGTGTGACGACCAAATACAGAAGTCCCGCGAGCTTTAGAAACCCGCTCAAGCTGACAATCCCATGCTGCAAAGGGACGGTCCTTATGTATTTGTTCATAAAGTCAGCAGAGTTGAAGGTCAGGAAAATCGTGAATGAGAGAAAGTACCCGGTGTTCAGTCCGACGGTTTGCGCAGTCGATGCATAGGAGAGGGACTCTTTAGACAAGATCTCGAGTGCCCAGCCATCGACTGCTATGTCCTGGGTCGCACAGAGGGCAATGAGACTCAGAAAACACACTGTCAGCGATGGGATATTAAGGCTCGATGGCGATGTGTTCTGCGGTACAGTGCCGCTCTGATACGACTCATCGACGCCTGCGAAAATCAGATCTTTAGAGACTGCAACGCCCAGAATCCACAGAATCGTGCCGCTCAAAAGCTGGACCGGGATGATCCATGACCGTCGCCGCCCAGTTTTTCGGCTGTAGATCGAGTCGACAATTGGCGACCAAAGTATTTTGAGCGAGTACGGATATGTAGCCATTGTGAACACTCCGAGCTGCGTAAATGTTGTATTTTTTGTCATTGACTTGAGTAAAAACGGCACGGTGCCAAAAGTCAAACCCACCGGTACACCCTGTAGAAAGTAGAGCAGCACCAGCAAACAAAACGGTTTGACATCGTGTTTTGCCAATTGGCAAGGATTTTCGCTCATCAGCTAAAGGTTGCTCGGCTGCAGGCTGAATGTGAGCTGCTTCGTTCGCCTACAATTTGAATGGGCCCCTCTCATTTCATCGATTAAAGCTGTAGTAGACATAACAAACAGCTTTGGCACCTGATGTGGCCAATACCAGCTTAAAAGACTATGCTGCTTAATAAGCAGCGACACATCCGTATAAAGGTATGAGCGTCAGTTTCGCACACCAAGCGATTCAAGCGACGGGATCAGGAAGAGTGCATTTTTGGTGGTTCTCCAGTGGTTCAACTTTCCCTCGAGCTCAAGTCCCACGAGTTCAGCTCTTCCCCTTTTTCTGTGAAACGACACACTCAAGTATCACAGTCTTCAGTTTAAAACGGTTCTTTCTGCCTACAGCGCGATTTCATCTGAAAGAGTGCTTTGCTACTTTCAGAAGCAAAGCGATCGTAACTTGCTAGCTTCCTCTTTCTTCAACATCTGATTATTTTGAATTTGAGTTCAATGCGTCTCGTTTCAGATATCAAAATGATTAGCCGCGGAGAAAGTTGATGATTCGTGCATTAAGGTATCGATATACACTTCTAATGATTCTTCTAGAGAATTCTGAAAGGTTTTAAGACGCTCTCTATCAATATTGCTCGATCATCCGTAGTTGTGAACACTATACCTCGAGATTAAGTATTTATTTAGTTAATTCAAGCTTTTTCTTATGTTCTCAAATAATGATGGAGCGTCCACCGTACAAACGACACGAAAAGAGCTGAGAGCGCTGTTTCAAACTGGTAACCGCGTTCATAGACTAACGAATCTACTGTAAACATTCTCACTAATTGCAATATCTGGATTTGACTGGAAGGACTGGTTATAATGATTGCGGCTTGAAGCACAAAAATACGGCAATCGTAGCAGTGCGCTAGGGAAAAGCAGGTTTAACAGAAGATGAATATTGTAGACCTGGCAAGTTATCTTTGTCTAGAGGCTATGGTGTCGTTAGAGCGAAGTTTATTGTCACACGAGCGACGTACGGTATTTTCCGTCTCGTGTTTAGATCCTGTGCGGTAAAGTACCTGTAACTAGCGAATGTTTCTGAATTCGATATATATATATAAAAGTAAAATCGGACTAGCTAAACAAATAACGTCTAATTATCTTTTACAACAGCGGTCTTATCGTGAACACGCTCTCAATCGTTTGATCATTCTGACTCTCTCCTTTCAGAACGAAAATTTTCCGCGATGAGAATTGTTAAAGATTCTTGGTCTGTAGACATGAAATGACATGGCTATGATTTGGGATATTGGGTGTGTGTGTGTGAATATGGATATCAGCCAGCTTGAGCACGAAACCTCTCTCCTTGAATCGTGCGACACTGGCTGACGGGTAAATGCTGCGGCGGATTTTGAGAAGACCGCGCGAAAAACTCTCGAGATTCAAGTTGCTCTCTCCAAAACAACTGAATCACGAGAACGCGATCGCTCTGTGTGCGTGAACTCAAAGGAAAGGGAAAGGTGGGGGGCACTTATTGGAATGAATTTGAAGATCTCTCTTTAATTCGAGACCTCTTCGTCGTGAAAAATATAATAGAATAGGAAGGTTATCGGGAACATTTCAGCAGTGTGACGATGGCTTATGAAAGCCTTGTGCGCACCACTGAATTGTTCTCTTTCCAAGCGTCTACTCGACGGACAAAACCTTCTTGACGGCAGAAACAATCACGTCAGGGTCTGGAAACGCAAAGTCTTCTAGTTCTTTCGCGTAAGGAGTTGGCACATCAGCACCAGTGACTCTTTGCACTGGGGCGTCCAGGTAGTCAAAGGCCTCAGATTCCATGACTTGGGCCACGATTTCAGAGCCAACACCGAAGCTGGGGAAAGTGGACTCTACGGTGATCAAATGGTTGGTCTTCTTCACACTCTTGATGATGGCGTTGACGTCCATAGGTCTGATGGAACGTAGGTTGACCACCTCGGCGGAAATACCAAACTGTTTGTCCAAAATCTCGGCTGCTTGGAGCGAGAACATCACGTTTCTGGTGTAAGTGACAATAGAGATGTCAGTACCTTCACGTTCGATCTTGGCGGTGTAAGGGAGCGTAAAGTCGGTAGACAGACACTCCTCGGACACCTCGAAGGACTCACCGTACAAGAGCTCATTTTCTAGGAAAACGACGGGGTTGGGGTCTCTGATGGCCGCCTTAAGCAAACCACGAGCGTCCTCAGCAGAGTAGGGCACCAACACCTTCATACCGGGAATCGAACCGTACCACGCGGAAAAATCTTGCGAGTGCTGCGCACCCACACCGACAGCGGCACCGTTGGGTCCTCTGAACACGATCTGGCACTTCTGGGTACCACCGGACATGTAGTAGGTCTTAGCTGCAGAGTTGACCACTTGGTCGATAGCCTGCATGGAGAAGTTGAACGACATGAATTCTACAATGGGCTTGAGGCCCTTGAGCGCGGCACCGACGGACAAACCGGTGAAGCCCATTTCGGTGATTGGTGTGTCCACCACACGGCGCTCGCCAAAACGGTCCATAAGACCTTTGGTCACTTTGTACGCACCGTTGTACTGGGCGACTTCCTCACCGATGATGAACACGTCATCGTCGCGGTCCATTTCTTCAGCCATGGCACTGTTTAGAGCGTCTCTGACCGTCATGGTCTTTGTTGATGCCATTCTGAGCTGATGTGCCGCCGCAGGCGACTTCATCATCTGTTTCGCTCCGCCAAAAACGCTGACGGGGAGTTTGAAAACCATTGTAGCGTTGCGAACGAGGTAAAAAGCTGTCTGAAGAGTCTGAAGAGAGAGAGATCCGGGTTTATCCAAAAAACACTTGATAAGAGCGCCTTCTTTCCTTTGGGTTACTGTTTTGAAGATTTTCAGAAACACGGAACTTTCTTAAAAAGAGGTCCCCTTTTATATACAGGGAAAAAAATGAAAACTGGCAGATATATTGGTTTCTTTGGATAAAAATTGAAGAAACGAACAATGTACATCACTGTGGACGGGACCAATCGTAGCGCTGCGAAGCGAACTTCAAGAGATGAGCCAGCTCTAGAGACTATAAACGTAAGGTTTGATCGTCAAGATCGGTGTAAGCGTTGGTTAGTGCTGGTTAATTTCCACCAGCCCATTTTTCTGGAGTCGTTGTGACTCTTCTATAGCTTGCTCTTGCCCGCAAACACTTCAGCGATGATCCTACGCTGAATCTTGCCTGTGGCGGTCTTGGGCAGCTTGTCGACGAAGAAGACACGTACAGGAACCTTGAACGAAGCGACCCTCTTGCGCATGTAGTCGGCCAAGTCCTTGTAGTCAAGTTTCTGGCCAGGTTTCAACACAATTGCAGCGTTGACCACTTGTCCGTATTTTTCGTCAGCCACTCCAAAGGCAACGGCCTCGTCCACTTGAGGATGCGACAGCATAACGCTGTCCAGCTCGATGGGTGAGATTTTCTCGCCACCACGATTGATCAGCTCCTTCAGCCGGCCTGTGAGGACCAAAAACCCTTCTGCGTCGAAATAGCCCTGGTCACCGGTGCGGAAGTAGTTCTCACGACGAGTGAAGTTCTCACGGTTGGCCTTGTCGTTGTGTGCGTACCCCAGTGTGACGTTTTCGCCGCGAATCGAGACCTCACCTTGCGCGCCCTGCGGCAAGACATTGTCTTTGTCGTCTAGAATGAACACCTCAACGCCCTGGGGCTGTCCCACAGTGCCAGGCTTACGTTTGCCCGGTGGCAAGTTGTTGGACGTCATTTGGTGGGAGGCTTCCGTCATCGCATATGCCTCCAAAACGGGAGCTTGGAATGCTTGCTCCAGCTTGTGGAACGTAGAGGGCGCCAGCGCAGATGAGCAGGAACGGATGAATCTGATTTTGGGTAGTGGTTGCGGTTTGGGCGTGTTGAGCATGATCATACTGATGGTTGGGACGCAACTGAACCAATTGCACCCCCAGGCCGTGAAATTGGCCCAGAAATTTTTGGCACTGAACTTTGGAGGCACGACAACCGAGCCTTGCGCCCAAAACGACGACAACAACACCCCAATGAGTCCATGAACGTGGAAGAGCGGCATAACGACATAGGAGCGGTCCTGAGTGGTTAGTTTGTAGGTTGCAGCGATGTTGCACATGCTTCTGGCTATGTTCAGATGCAGCAAAGGAACCGTCTTTGGTGCAGACGTCGTCCCACTGGTGTGAAGAATGAGCGCTACATCTGAAGACCGTGCGAACCCTGGAAATCTATCTTCGTGGTTAAAAAACGCAGCCTTGTGGACGGAAGAGTATATCTTAATCTTATACCCGTTCCGGGGCGAGTAGATGTCGTACTCAACTCTAAATCTGTCCGCATTGAACCACAGCTCTACCACGTAGCATTCAAATTTTGCAGCAGACTTCAAAATTTCGGCTTTGCTACCTTCTTTCACGGCTCCCTTGGGCACACAGATGACCTTGGCTTTCAAATCATTGAGGTAGAAATTGAACTCTTCGGCTCGGTAGTTGGGATTCAAAGGTGCTCCGACCTTAGCGTCCGTAGTGGCCCCCAAGAAAGCAGTTATGAACTCAAGGCCATTGGGCATCGAGATCGCAATCGCAGATTGACGACCCACCACATCAAACAGAGGAGAGTCTGGAGAATGAAACATAGTTTGTAGGTGGCCTGTCATGTGGGATAGATCCCGATAAGTGACCTGCGCACCAGTTTCCGGAACAATTACAGCAACATTATCGGAAACTTTGAAACTTTCGTTGAAGGATGCAACGCCTGTCGTTTCTTGATTCATTATTGCCTTGTGGAATTGATACAATCACACTGATGAACAGCTTCTTGTCATGTTAGCTTGGCACCGTTTATGGTCCATTTATACTTTTGGATAAAGTCATGTGCAAATTGCCGCAATCGAAGTCTAACACAAATGGAAACCTTCAATCGTGGTCACCAGCAGTAACTGTGTGCATTACGAGGTATGGCCTAAGCGCTAGACCTCGCTGGCATCTTGAACTTCTAGACGTCTTTGATCGGAATCTCTATGGCAAAATTGAGGGACGAGCAACGGGAAAACGCACAGTAGAGTATCTCCAGTTTCTGAGAGTGTAATCTTGGCACAACGACTCAGCGAGCTCAAATGCCTCAGTGCATTGGAAGCAATGTAGCGGATTCCCATGGAGATGAGCTTCTAGTTTGATGTGCTAATGTTTAAAAAAGCACGATTTTCATCACTTTGGTTTGGGCCGAATCACAGATCGTGTCCTTTGCCATATAGCCGCGGTTTAACCAAAATTCACGTCAAATGCAACATTCTGTGGTTGTGATTGTTGACAACTTTCGAAAAGGCAGGCAACTTGTCATGTCAAATGAGATCTCTTGGTATTCGACAACTGAGAAAACGAAATTCTCACGCGGCAAAGTAGGCCAAAGAAGAGCTTTCTGTAGTGATCTCCCGCTGCCCATCGGCCGGTAATTCCCTCGCTTTACAGCAGAGTTTTCATGGGAGTCTTGGCCACACTGCGCTGGTGTGCGATCCTCCGTGAATGACAGATAAGTACAAAGTGATACCGAATCCTACAACCATCCGAAACCCGCCATGGTCAAGTAAGTGCAAGCACCTCGTACACCATTTCCTCATTCCTCCTACTAAAATTACCTCATGAAATGTCCAGATCCACCCCTGCAACGTTCTTGGTAACTTCACACCAACTAATCCTGTTGTTGATGTAAATTGCCCAGGGTGTCAGGCTTTTCGTAAGCTGCGGAGATACAAAACGAGTCGTCCTTGTCATTGTAGGGAACTGGGGGCTTTTCAAACGGTACCAAAACACATACCTTCGTCTGTTTGTTCGAGTGAGGTTCAGCGAGTGACCGGCCTGCTCCATTAAAATTACTGTAGACCAGGTCCGTCGCACTTTCTACTACAACCTTGACATCTTGCGAAGTCTTCAGTAGAACACCAACCTCATAGTTACGCGGCTTGGAAAAATATGCACCCCAGGCGTTCATACTCAGATTAGCAGTTGTGAATAGTAGCCAATCCACGCTTTTAAACGCTTGGGCATTCGGATCAGTAGTCGACGATTTCATCAGAAACTTGGTATGTGCTGGCGTGCATTTTCTTACAAAGTTAGCAGGTAGGTTCCTCTTGTAAAAAATGCCCAACCGTTTGAGCGTGTGGTACAATTCCCGACTGGTTGCATTCCGCTTCCAGTGATGATGGAACCAACCACCCGCCAGATACCCCATCGGGCTGGTCCTCAGCTCCTCAACGGTTGGATACACAATATAGGGCTTGATGTGATTGTAGTCCAACCATGTTTTGAAGTCTGGAATATCAAAGGCTTTCCGTCCGCGGTTAACTTTAGGGCTTGATTCTGGGTTGACTAGGCCTGACAAAAGTGGAATCATCAAATGAGCAAACAGATTTCCCGGTTTCGTCAGTCCAGTCTTTATTGGCGATCCTATGGTGGAGACTTGTGCGAGATAATGGTGCGTTTTGTCTTTGTCTCCTGGAGTGTGATGTTGATCCCGTAACAGACCGCTGAGAAGGGGCAAGCCAGACGACGAAATTTCTGGATGCGAGTATACAAATTCAACCCCCAAGAGGTCGAGCGGAAGAAAATCCACTTGATCCAGAGCTTTGATTAGCGATTGCATATCAACAGGATAGCCTTGTAAGTACTTGAAAAGAGCACTTTTGAAAGCGGAGGGCCGTGGCTCTGTTGTACATTTTTTGAGAAGCGGGCTACACCATACGATTTGTGTCGGAATATTAGTTTCGGCGGACGTGAAGTTGTTGGAAGGGATGTATATGCGACAGTCGCCGTTTTTGAATTGATTGACGACCAATTTGGAGTGATGACAAGCATACGGTGGCATCTTGACGAGTAAGGTTTCCAATTTCTGCACCAGCTTCAAGATACGAGGCGTTTGTCGCGTGGCTGGCAAGACTGTTCCAAGCTGCGCAATAATGGTGACCTTGGTGTCCTCGGCGAACATGGGCAAAATGAAGTCCAGCTCAAATTGAAAGCTGAAAAGCCAGGTTCTGGATAATCCAGGGGCTCCAAAAATGGACTCCAGTGTAATGAAGTGCTCTGACGAGTCATTCTGGTCATATATTTCGGACTTCACCAATTTGAAGGGGAAAATGGTCTTGGGCCCTATAAGTATCCCATCGCGAGTTTCCCCGTCCAGAGGGTTTGTTGGCACGTTTTCCAAATCCTCAATCGACCTAACTTCGGATACCTCTGTTTCTGAAGTTTCTGCACCGCTGTTCTCAGCTTCACTGGTCAAATCAATGACTTCATGAGCAGCATTGTCGGTGTCGCTTGAAACACTCTGTTCGACTTCTAAATTGGGTCTTTTTTGATATTCAAAATTCCCCCAATGCTCCAGCAGTCGCTTCCTGACCTGAGAAATAGGTTTTTGGCCAGACATCTCGAGGAAGTTGGAATGTATTCACTGCTATAATCTTGTCTTTTGCCCTTTAACTTATTCTCAATTATGATCTTATACAATAAGGATGTCCTAGAGTGAACAAAATTGAGGTAAACTAGATATATAACACACTGGGAAACGTATCGCGCTGTTATTCAGCTGAGAATGTGGCCGAATTGACTTGACTTGCGTTCATGGTTGTCATTCTAATGATGCCTCACACGCCTTCGTTGCTTATTTGAACGCTCCAAGGACAAAATCAACGATGAAAACCCGCTAAAACCAGCTATTTGTCCTTCCTTTAGCGAAACGTTCGGCACAAGTTTCGAAAAGAGTCAGTTGATGGTAAAGCAAGAAGAGTAAGATCCCACACTACCTGATTTGGGACCATTTGCGAGCGATACAAGCAAGATGGAAGAGATTATAAGTGCGTCACTATACACGACATAGCCGCCCATCTTCTTTAAAATAAGTGATTTATGTCTTTGACCATTTACGTTCATGTACCAGAACAGGTCAAGAGTGAGAAATCGGTTGTTGGGTGTTAAAAACTCATCGGTTAGTGAAACGCAGGAGGGAACGTTCACTGAAATCGAAGAGATATCTGGTTTGACCAGCGATCGACGAGACAGGACTCGCGAGGGTGGCAAGAGGAGGAATGACCCATTCAGCATAAAAAGCTGTAAATATCGTACAAGAAGGTCGAAAAGGGCTGTGATTTGCGAGCCTACGCAAAAAGCGGACGCTAACACGGAAGCTGATATGGCAGCTAAACTATGTGGAATCGAACTTTGAAGTTTGAATGAAAATAACCCACGTTTGTGGCGACGTATGCTGCAGAGTACCTTCTGCATGAAATACCTCGATGGTGTGCATGTCCTTAATATTACATGTGCTTCCTGCCATAAATGCTAACGGGTTCATAAGCTGAAGAATTAGAGCCAAAAATGGCATTTTCGACAGTCCACTTTGAACAGAACATTGAATTTTGCTGAAGCGACGGTAGAGGCAACGAGAACGTACGAAATAGCCCAGTGCTTGTTGGTTGCTCACACTTGACGTTTGAAAAGCCCGTTGATCACAATTTTCGCAAAGAAAACCGTTTTTTCGATGCACAGGATAATCGACCTCAGTTTCGACCGCCGATTAGAGTTTTGAGATCCCAGAAACAGCCAAAACATCGTCCTCTACACGTAAAAGAGGTAAAGTGTGCTCGCAGACGTACGCAAGATGTGTGCGATCGTCCGTGGTGTGTTCCGGCCACTATCACGTGAAGATTACTCACTGCATCTGAAAATTCCAGCGCTAACCTCCTCTTTTCAACAGTGGCTTTAGGGCCCGGCATAACACCGACAGTCAACGAAGCGTCGCCGACGCAATTCACATGCCTTGGCTATATAAACGAACTACCACCTGAGTGGGCTTGGGCGGATAGGACACGCGAACAAAGATAATCATAGGTTGGCATATATTGACATTTCTTCAAGCTACAGTTTCCTCCAAGAACTCACAGTTTTAAGACGTTTTTGCATTGCTTTGATCTTCTTAAGATCGAATACTAAGAAAAAGGGCCAAGAGTTCAGGACTTGCGTTTTCGAAGGTTATCCGATTTGAGGCATAGAGAAGAACAGAAGAACCAAGTTACATTTGCACAATGAAGGTGTCTGAAAAATTGCAGAAAAACCTCGAGTCTAACGAGAAGTCGAAAGCTACTTTCTCGTTTGAGTTTTTTGTTCCAAAGACCTCGCAAGGTGTTCAGAACCTGTACGACAGAATGGACAGAATGTACCAAACCCGTCCTCAATTCATCGACATCACGTGGAATGCAGGAGGCAAGCTCTCGCAGTTGTCCACGGACTTGGTGTCAACCGCACAGTCCGTGCTGGGACTCGAGACATGCATGCATCTTACTTGCACAAATATGCCTGTTCAGCTAATCGACGATGCGCTTGAGAAAGCGTACGCCTCGGGCTGCCAAAACATCTTGGCATTGAGAGGAGATCCACCCGTGACCACTGGTGAATGGAAACAATGCGAGGGCGGATTTGCCTACGCCAAGGATCTGGTTAGCTACATTCGCCAAAAATACGGTGATCATTTCGACATCGGTGTTGCTGGATACCCAGAGGGCCATCCCGAGGAGGAAGCTACCCCACAACTAATCGAGTTCTTGAAAGAAAAAGTCGATGCCGGAGCTAATTTCATCATCACGCAAATGTTCTACGACGCTGACATATTCATTGATTGGTGCCGCCAAGTCCGTGAGGCGGGCATTGATGTTCCCATCATTCCAGGTATCATGCCCATTACCACTTATGCAGCCTTCATGCGCAGGGCCAATTGGTGCCAGATCCATATTCCGGACGACTTCATGTCCAAGCTAGACGCAATCAAGGAAGACGACCAAGCTGTTCGTGAAATGGGAACCCAACTTCTCACAGAAATGTGTCAGAAACTCTTAGATAGCGGCTACGTGACACATCTGCACATGTACACTATGAACTTGGAAAAAGCGTCCTTGATGATCTTGGATAAACTTGGCCTGCTAACGGAAGAGGAAGATATTTTCAGAGACGAGGTCTCTCCAATGCCTTGGAGAAGGTCGCTGCACCCACAGCGTAGAAACGAGTCCGTGCGTCCTATTTTCTGGCAAAGAAGACCTTACTCGTACGTGGCTCGTACCTCAGAGTGGTCCGCGGACGAATTCCCTAACGGTAGATTCGGAGACTCTTCGTCGCCCGCATTCGGTGATCTGGATTTGCTGGGATCGAGCTTGATCAGACAGTCGCCTCAACGTGCGCTCGAATTGTGGGCAACGCCTACCAGTATCACCGACATTTCCAATTTGGTCATCGGCTACTTGCAAGGCAAAATCAAATGTCTGCCTTGGTGTGATGTGGCTCTAAATCATGAAGTCGACACCATCATGCCTCAGTTATTGGACTTGAACAAAAACCACATTGTTACTTTGAACTCTCAGCCTCGTGTAAGCGGGATCAGCTCCAGCGACAGCGTCCTTGGCTGGGGCCCAAACAACGGCTACGTTTTCCAAAAAGAGTACCTGGAGTTTTTGCTGCCCAAGTCCAAACTACCACAGTTCACCGAGATCATTGGCGACAACACCAGTCTGACCTACTTCGCCGTCGACGCCTCAGACAAGCTCTACTCGAACCATCCAGATGACACCGCGGCCAACGCGGTCACATGGGGTATTTTCCCCGGCCGCGAAGTGTTGCAGCCCACGATCGTGGAAAAAGTGTCATTTTTGGCTTGGAAGGAGGAATTCTTCCACATTTTGGATGAGTGGCAACTCATCTTGGCCCAGGACGGCCACACCGACAGCGCTGCGCTTCTAGACACCATTATTCGCGATTATGCTTTGGTGAACATCGTTGATAATGACTTCGTCACTGTTGGCGACCGCATCCACGATCGTCTCAAGCTCTTGTACTGAGCGTCCACGCTCACCTTTTTTCCTCTCCTCTTCCGCATTGCTGCCGGCGTCTGCTTTCTCAACCAAGCACGACCCAAGCGGCACTTTTCGTTTTCTTTTCTGCATTCAACATGGGATTTAATAGAACTGGGTTTCAACAAAAACAAAAGCGCATGCTACATCCGATCGCTCTGTGTGAGCCATAACTGTACAGATACATACACAAAGAGTCCTCGCTATATAGCATAACACCACACTTTTGCACCTTTTTACCTAATGTTTCCTGGCCTATGTGCCAAGATATATCTGTTCGAACAACAGATATTAATTGATCGACTCTACCACTAGTTTGAACTAAAATATAGTTTTTAAAACTTTTAACAAAAGCTTCAGTCGCTGTTCAGGCCGTTTTTCGTCAGAATATCGCCAAATTCAGAGTCTAAACTCACTTTATGTGATTCTTGTCGTTATCCCATTATCCGATTTCTTATGCATTGTTAATGCACCGAACTCGCTGTTGAAATATTGAAAATTAATTTTAGACTGTTCAAAATTGAACCAAGGAATAACCAGATCTGTGAAGAGAAAAAGCAGTAAATATCAGCTATTTCGAAGACTTGAGGGAGATCTGTCACGTTCAACAGTAGCTTCGCGTCTCAAAATATAAATTTGAGCTTTTTGGCGTCAAGTTTGGGCTATTTTTGAGCAATATAGCTAACAAAGGCCTCGTAATTATAGGTCAAATAGTAAGCAGTTAAGCTCCTGTAAAGGCTCCAAAAAAGAGGCATTAAAACAGTCCATCAGCAATGGAGGGCAAGAGGCTTCACTGGAAGAGTGGTACCGAGGGCCCAAGACGCTCCGGGAGGAGTTTGACATCTCTGGTCAAAAATACGAATTCAGAAAATGGCAGCAGTTATGGAATACCATCTGTATCCAAAACAGATATCAGCAGCAAAGACTTGAAATCACCGTCGTGGGCTTCGTCGATTTCAACAATCACTGAGGAACTCCCAACACTAGACGCTGCGGAACCTATGACCAGGGTGCCGTCTTCGTCTAGCACATCACGAGCGCCATATTGCTCAACGTCTACATCATCTAAACGCAACGGCAACAACAACAACAACAACAACAACAACAACAACAACAACAACAACAACAACAACAACAACAACAACAACAATAACAACAATAACAACAATAACAGCAATGACAATACGGTGGACAATATCCGGTCTTGGAACATGCTACCCCGGATCGGTGAAACCCTGCATAGTCGTAAACACTGCATGAACGTGGCGGTACACGCCGTCAACGGCAGTCCCAAGCAAATCGTGTACGACCCACGGCAGAATCCACTTTGTTCAAAAATGGAGATTTTCTGCATGTTCAACGCGCAGTCCCCGCCGTCGGATGCCTACGCACACGCCAAATCCAGGCTGGAGTCCTACGTGAAGTTTTTGGAGGTGTATCACCACTCTAGAAAGTTTGCATATGCGTGTTTGCCCTTCAACGTCAGCATCAGTCACAATAGCACCTCAAGTGGCTACCCGTCGTATACTTCTGGCGTGAGCTACGATGAAATCGGGGAAGTGTTGCAACTTTGGTATTTGCAAGCTTTGAAATTCCTGCTGGACAAGAATTCGTTTCTCTACTCAAGTGAAATCATCGCCTACCTCATCAATGAGTCTCCCGAAAGATGCATTTTTAGGAAAAACACAATTCAAAAAAGTGGAAAACTCATCAGTGCCTTTGAGGATACCATCTCGAAAGCTGATATCCTTCTCGTCCGATGTTCCCTTGAGGAAGAATTCGGATGGCAGCTGGCATTAGATGAGCCAAACTGGAACATCGTGGATTTATTTGTGGATGTTAGAGATTTGCGCAAGCCGTCTCTCGATACCGAACATGACATATCTCCAGATAACGATACCCCCGTAGATGTCGGGAACGGGTCCGACTTGTTCTCGAGCACTTCGGTGAGCTCTTTTTCAAGCACGGATAGTGACACGTCTACAGAGTTGTCAGCACTGAACAAAAATTCAGAGCTTGACGATAAGCACGGTGTACCCGATACCACTAGGCCAAGTGGAACGTGTTCACACTCGAAGACTGAATCGCTGACCTCGACCGAGAATAGACCCCCTCGGGTCCTTGATTGCGTAGGCCGCGATCTGGAAGAGGTTTCGAATGAGAGAGGTAACTTCTCCGAGCTTCCAGAAGGTGTTCCTAGATCAACTGTTTCAGCTTCCTCTAGCCAAGAGAGCGTGCCAGAACAAACATCAGCAAACAAGGCCAAAAGTGAGCAACCTAGCACTATGGGGAGAGCTTCTTCTGCCCTTGGACTTTCAAGCTTTTTCAGAAGAAAGAACTCCCAGGCTGCTGTCGATAAAAGCGATTCTACGGGGACTACCCGTCAGTCGTCACCAGGCGAATCAACAAAAATGAATCTGAACATACAAAATAAGTACCTGGAGGAATATTACTCTTCGACCTTGGCGAACTATAGACGGATCGCACCTAGTGACAGCTTGTTCACGCACTACAATGTTCCAAAACACTCAGAAAATTGCAAGAAGCATGGCAAAACAAGCACTAGATCATATCGTGACGATTTCATGCGCTTCACTCTTCCGTTGAAGGATAATTTGTTCCCGGTTGTTATATGCCCGGATATGTGGTACACTGTGGAGCTGAAAAGGTGGAAAGGTTTTCTCAGTGAGATTTTTCGTAGTATAAAGCCCGGTGGGTATCTCGAGACTTCGACCTGTAACTTTGCTGCCGTTAACGATTGTAGTGATCTTGAGGGTTCTTCAGAGCAGTTCGCCACGACTGCTGAGAAAAGAAAATTGAAGGACGCGATCTTGATGGGAGCAGCTAAGGTTGGGATTCAAGTTTATCCCATGAGACATTTAGTCCAGGTCCTCAAGAAAGTTGGATTTGTGAACGTTAAACATTCCGTCGTTAGCCTCAAAACCGGCGATCTGACCAACAACATGGGTATGTTATTCGAATTTCTGGCAGTGCGTCAATTCGATTTTCAACTCCGAGCCAACTTTCTCACAAATAAAACCACACCTAGCGGTACTGACCCAGCATCGCTCCCACTGCGATTCGTTCAGGAACATATGGGTAAGGCGGACGAAGGCGCAGGTGTCTTACGTTTTGTTCTCATAACTGCTCAAAAGCCATGTTTTCCTACCAACACGTAATGATAATGATTAACCTATTTCATATTATATATATCTAATATTCTTTGCATGATTAATCGAGTTTGAGTTGAAATCTGACTCATTCGTGTATCTTTTTGCCCTGTAGAATACGGGTGCCCGTTCTTCCATAGATTTTATCCAGGATTTTCCCTTTCTTGACATCTTCCTTGTAAACATCTTCGATGAATTGTTCTCTCTCTCCTCTGGAATAATACTTAGCAGCCACATGCGTTGCTAAAGAGTGTTTAGACTGTTTCAGCGAGTTGACAACTTTTTCATCTACCAAAACGTACGAGATTCCAGAACCTGGACATTCGTAGTTGACATTGAGTAACAATCGTTCCATGATACCTCTTAGTCCCCTGGCGCCAGTGCCCTCGTCTTGAGCCAAGCTGGCGACCTTCATTAAAGCCTTCTCTGTAACGCATAGATGCACTCCGAACTGCTTAAAAATGTATTCATACTGATGCACTAGTGCATTTTTGCACTCTTTAAGAATATGGTACAGATCTGTTCTTTCCAGCGGCTCCAGGGCTGTTATTATTGGTACTCTTCCTATAAGTTCGGGAATTAAGCCATAACTTACCAGATCAGTTGGTGTAACGAGATTTAAAGCAGATGTCTTCTTGCCATTGGGAAGCTCGATCTTTTCTATTGTGCTGCTGAACCTTAGGCGGTTCACTTCATTCTTTTTGTCCTCAGTATTACTCTGTTCTGGACCGGATATAGCACTGTTGACTCTCTTCACAATGTGTTTGTCCAAACCCACAAAAGCACCCATCAATATGAAGAGAATGTTTGAAGTGTCCACAACAAAAGTTTCTTCCTTTTTCGCAATCGTCTGATTTTCCTTAGCGTCCGCGTTCTTCTTTATGGGTCTTTTGGCCACAACTTCGACAGAACGACCCTCGAGCATTTTCAAAAGCGACTGCTGTACGCCTTCGCCCGAGACGTCTTTGGTACCAATGCTTGCAGCTGGTTTAGCCAGCTTGTCAACTTCATCTAGTACGATAATGCCACGCTCTGCTTTCGCAACATCGTAGTCAGCACCTACCAACAACCTATTTATGCACACTTCTACGTCTTCACCGATGTATCCTGCCTGTGTCAATTGCGTGCAGTCTGTTATAGCTATTGGCACATCAAGCACGCGGGCCAAGCTCGATGCCAGAAGAGTTTTACCGGATCCTGATGGTCCCACCATTAGAACATTACTTTTGGATAATTCCAAGTCATCGTCTTCGAGTCCCATATTTTGCGAAAGTCGTTGACGCAGCTGTCGGTAGCCGGATTTGGCCTCAGTGCTGCCGGAGTAGATTGGTTCATCTTTATCATCATCTTGTCGCTGTTTTTCCAACAAATCACTTTGGATTTTGGCCTCCACTCGTCTCTGCTTATCATTGACTCTTAGGTAGTGATTATACACAGCAACACTCATCACTTTCTTACCCACATCTTGTCCAATAACATATTTATCCAAGAACTGTCTTAGCTCCTTTGGAGATGGGATTTGTTTCGCTGAAAAGAGATTTCTTCTGCTGCCAATCAGCCTAGCAGGCTGTAGAGCCTTTAAAGCTTTCCAATGGACCTTTATCATGGAATTTGGCTTTTCATTCACTTTGACTTAACAAATGAAATATGACAATCTTTAGTGTTTAAAATGGTCAACTCTTGAATATAAACAAAAATGATCAATATACTGAAAATCGCTAAACGATGAGTCATGGGTGAGCGTGAATTGAATCATAGAGTACCAGAATTCTACTGCTGCTATTTGCTGAGATCTGTTCAGAAGAAACAATCATTTTACATAGGTTCCACACCGAATCCGGTGCGCAGACTTCGACAACATAATGGAATTCTCACCAACGGTTCGGCATACAGGACTAAAAAAACAGGCCTTAGGCCTTGGGAGATGATCTTCTGTGTATATGGTTTCACCAGCAAAATTGCAGCGTTGCAATTCGAGCACGCCTGGCAACATAGCTACCACACGCATTTCATTGACGATGAAGAGCGGATTGTGAAAAACAAGACGAGCGGGAGAAGTCTCCACCACAAGCTGGGGAACGTCCGCTTGCTTTTAAAAAACCCGTTTTTCCAGTACATGGATTTGTTGACTCACGTCTTTGACGAAGAGGCCTTCAGAGTTTGGAATCAAAATAGATTCAAGCTAAGCAGCTGTGCAGAAATGACCGTTTCGGACTTTGACGACGTCGCGGATGCATCAAGCTTGCAAGTCTCAGAGAATCCTGGGAACTCCGAGAACTCCGATGACCCATCGCTAGCAAACTTGAAATTCGTGGAAAAGTTGTTCGCAGATATTCTAGCTCAGCATCGCAAGAACATCGAGCGCCAACAGAAGTTTCTCTCTCATGGCAAATTGGTGTGTGGTGTTTGTCATAATTTCTTCAACTACATGGATGAAAACGACAGTGAACGGAGATCGAAACCATTGGTAGCATTTTGTCCAGCAGAAAACTGCAATTTCGTATCTCATCTGAACTGTCTCCATCGGGTCTTTTTAGATGACGAACAACTAGATAGAGGCGCCAGGACGCTGATTCCTAAGTCAGGAAATTGTCCCTTTTGCGAAAAAGTTGTGTCTTGGCCGGTCATTGTAAAATATTCCACCTGTATAAGAGACTGTAACGAATTGGGCAAGGCTGCAAAAGACCTATGAAAGTTCCAGAGACCAAATCTCATTTACTGCGAATTGCGGGTTTTCAAGTACCACAAGCTCAGAGCTGTCAACATCGCGCACTGAGTGATACCATTGCCCTGTCCCTTGCTTCAATGTCGCATCGACACCGCTTACACAGCTTTTGGGCGCGGCAATGAGGATTTTCTCGATTTTGCTTGTAAAAAGCTCTTGATCGGCCGCTTGGTGAATGACATCCCATTTCAAGACACAGTTTTCAAATGTCAAAGCGATTTCGAGGTAGTTGCCGTTCTCAAAGCCAAAGGTCTCGCCGTCGTCCACGTACAATCTACCAGTTGCTTTGCCTTCAGCATCTGGAGCAACCAGTACGGTGAAGGGATCATTTTTCTGGAGCTTGGAAGACCTCCTGTATCTATCCCTTCTGACTATAATGTGCCCACCTTCAATGAAAAGCGCTTGTTCATCTAGCGGGACATCCACAGTGATCTGCTCAGGCTTCTCCACTGCAAAGGATTTCATAGTCTTATAATCATAAAACAAGCCACCGGGAAACAGTACACTGGTAGTCCTACTCTCAGGATCGGTGACAGGTTTAACCAAAAGCCCAGTTTCGCCGAGGTAAAATTGGTCGTCAACGTCGTAAAACTCATGAAGTTCTGGATGAACGTAGAACATCGGATTCATAATGGGTGTGCCATTGACGCTTGAAGAGTGGAAGGCAGTATAGAATGTAGGCAGCAGCGAGTATCTTAGGCGAATGGTATCTCTAATAATGGATTGAGCGGGCTCTTGTAACAGAAACGGCTCTCTCCTTTCAGCATCGATGTGTGCATGGCCCCGAAAGAAGGGATACCACATTCCAGCCTGATACCATCTTATAAGTAGCTCTGTGGTTGGATTTCCTGAAAAACCAGCAATGTCGGCTCCTATGAATGGAAACCCAGCGATGTTATTCGTGAGACACATGGGAATCGACTGCTTCAAGTAATCCCAGCTTGCGACGTTGTCTCCGGTCCAGGTAGCCGCTGTTCGCTGAGACCCTGCGAAAAATGACCTTGTTAATACAAATGGCCTCTTATCCTCAGCTTTGTAGGATTCCTTCATGGCCTCGTAGGTGGTTTCGTGCACTGTTAACCCGTACAGATTATGAATTGATCGCTCTTCAAATCCTTCTCCGTGCACTAAATCTTTAGGTGCGGTTGTTTCAGGACCACTAAAGATGGAGGGCTCATTCATATCGTTCCATAAATGCAGATTACCGTAACTTTTCAAGAATTTGGTAACAAGCTTGCCCCATACCCTTCGTGCCGAGCTGCTCACGGTATCGATCCAAATAGATTCGCCTGGCCAACAATGACCGTGGTAACTGCTGTTATCATGGTTTCGTACAGATACTTTACTCTCTTCGATCTGCTTACTGACTTCGTAATTGGCCTTTAAATGAGGGTCAATCAGAGTTACAAGATTTCTGCCATGCTTCCATAACTTCTTCAGCATTCTTTCAGGATTCGGAAAGGCGTCGGCTTTCCACGTAAAGAACTTTTTGTCGTCGGTGTATTCTAAGTCAAGCCAGATGAAATCATATGGTATGCCGGCCTTATCCATTTGAGAGTCTACTGTGAGGACATCTTTTTCATCGTTATAATTCCATCTACACTGATGATATCCAATGGATGAAATCATGGGCAATTGGGGCTTTCCAGTGATGTCAGTATAGGCATTAGTTATTTGTAGCGGGGTATCTCCCAAGAAAATAATAACGTCGATGACACCATTTTCTGACATCCAATGTGTTTGAGTCTCTTTCTCAGCGTACTCAATATCTATCCAAGTATCTGCAGCGTTGACCCAAAATATGCCTGCTGCAAATTTTGGCGTACTCCCAATCATCAAGGGAATTGCCCCATACATGGGTGTTTTGGCATTCAAATTGTACTCGAAAACGTCGACATTGAATAAGCGATATGGGTCTCCATCTTTTGTGTCCTTGAGACGCAAACTCTCTGCGTGCTCCGGAATACCATATACGTCCTTGACACCAACGAGAGTGAAATCGAGAGCTACAGATTCTGGCCCGAAGGGCAGGCTGTCTTGCTTGGAGTATTCAAAACTGTCCTCAAAATCATTGAATGTCAATTCCTCTGCCAGTTTTTCGTCAGCGTTACGCTCTAGTGTTCTCTGATGTTCCACGTTTAGTAGCATTCGATCGTTGACGACCAAAACCAGATTTCCACGATAAAAAAGATCCAGACGGAATTTCTGTAAATCGATCTTGATCGAGACATTGGAGTCTGTGCTCTTCACCACAATACTGCTGTGTCTTTTAAAGGGCCAAAAGGATTGTTTAGACTCAACTTTGCACGGTGAGACATTAGCCTGACTGTCCAAAGCCCACGACAATGCCTCGTCGTACCGATGTTGAATTAGCACATCAGACTTAAAATCTGTCCTGGGCTCCCTCAACTCATCTATCTTGAACCGGATCTTGCCCCCCTCCAGCACGTCGATGAACAGCGGAAAGATGACCTTTTTGACGCCTGCGCCGTGTTCCGCGGAAGGAATTCGTTTCACGATATTAGCCTCAAAAGTGTGATTGGAGCTCTCAATTTGAATGCTCGAGGGATCCAGCGAATAAACATTTTTGGCGCTCTTTACTATCTCTCTAGCATAATGTCTATTCCTCAAGCAAAATCCAGACTGCGAACAAGATTTGAGCAAGTAGTCTGTGAATGCTAAAGCATAGCTCAACAATGCCAGACTTAATACTAATTTCAATGAGAGCCCGAACTTAGACATTTGCTATTGGAATTACTAGGCTCGGCTCTTGCGGCCTTGACAACTACTTGAGGGAGAGGTAAGGTCTGTGTTAAGGTCGTCGGTGCGAATACACCGAATTTTATAAAAGGATCGCCAATGACGAGTATTTAGCTTTAAAGGCATTGGACTCGGTCTATATGGCCTCGAATTCGAGCTAGGTTGGCATTGATCTAGAACGCCATAATTTCGCTAACTATATGTATATCAGACTTTTGTTGCCGAAATTCTGGCGTCGTTGTGGGCCGGATGAGCGTTGATATTATTAACGATTTTTTATCTTGATAGATGTAATGCTCAAAGGACCTTGGCCATGGTCATGACGAAGTACTAGCGAAACTTTAAAATCTCTTGCATTTTTTATTTCACTTGCTCGTTGGCTTCGAATGTAGAGACTCTGGGTCTCGAGATGGTCGATCTTGTATTGGCGAAACAATAAAATAAGACACCAGCGAAACTTTGATCATTTCATATATAAACAGGCCAAATATCTTGGGAATGGGATGATTCTCGAGCTAGAGTTTAACATCTTGCTAACTATTACTTTAGGTGTTTTCTGGCTCAACTCATCCTTGTGCTCTTTGAATAAAAAAAGCGTTCAATACTACTATAAAGAAAGCTTAAATTAAAAATGCAAACAGGTGCCATCATCCAGCATGGTGGATTTCAGGAACTGCAAAATCTCACCGTTCTTCCAAGGATCAAAATTCTTCAGAAAGGCAGTAAGGTGAGGCCAAGTCTACCTAGTATTCGCCAACTGCTCAGAGATATTAATTCGCGTGGCAGCGAAAATAACTTTTCTGGCACTGGCACTGGCACTGGCATTAACGGGGTTCACAACGCTCCTGGACAGGCCCATGTATATTCTTCGGTCAGTCCTGAGGTCAAGGAACCAACCAAGAACTATACAAGACTTTCTCAAAACAGTGACAACGAGATCTCCCCTGCGCCCTCTTCTGAGGCGCCACGATCTCATGCTGATAATCACCAAACTAACAAAAGCTGTCAAGGCGACAACATGCAATTCGTGAGACTGCAGCCGTATAGGACTGCACCACAACCACCAACAGCTCTAGGTCACATCAAAAAACCGAGTGGTGAGCTCTTGAAACTCGCGTATGCTGTCGAAGCGTCTTCTTTTGCAGGGCGTGGCACACTGACTGGCAATCACCCCACCGACAGTATTATACAGCTCAATGGGGATTATCAACTCAAAGTTGCAGACACCCTAGACAGTTTACAGGTCCTTTATCGAAACTTGCAAGAGTGGCCACTATCAATGCATAGTCAGGACGTCGGAAATCACGATGACATGGCCCTTTTGATTGATTATGTCTCACCTGATAGCCTAGAATTGACAATTAGAATGGCTAAGCGAGCGTACGACGCCCTCAAGACAATCGAGCACTGGAAAATAAAATACAAGAGACTACACCCCGGTATCTCTCGGCATCAAAGCGACAAAGCGGTAAGAAAAAAAACCTCACCGCGAACACCAAGTAGTGTGAAGAGTATAAGCAAAAAAAATCGCCATCATCAAATTGAGTTTTTGACTCAAAGGTCAAGAGATTTATGCGAGAAAAAACACTTTGACAGCTTGAAGCAGGTGTCGAAGAAACCATCAATGGGTGGTCGAGGATCCCTGTCGACCCCCTCGACGCAATTAGAAGATGCATCGACTAAAGCGGGACTGCAATGTGCACATTGTTTATCAACCAAAACACCAGAATGGAGAAAAGGGCCATATGGTAGAAGAAGCCTTTGCAATGCTTGCGGACTCTTTTATAAAAAACTCTTCAGAAAATTTGGTGATAGTCAAGCGAGCATGATCATGAAGTACAGAAAAAGGATTTCGAGCAAAGACCGTAAAGTTCCTAGGGTCTTCGACGTTCCAGAAGTCGAGTGAACGAAGACAACACCGTGAACAACTGTTTTCCTTTGGAACGTTCTGATCCGAGTGCGGTCAAGCTTCCTAACTCAGTGAAAAGTGCACAATGACTTAAAAAATCGCGCCGTTCTTGACAAACAATCTATCCTCATTTTTGCGGCACCAGTCCACAATCGATTTTGCACTTTTTAATATAACGTTGCGATCGCTCGCGCCATTATTACAGATCAACAGGAGCTCGAAGTTCGGTGTCAGCCACGCCAGGCACAGCACATCCACTGCCTCACCTTGAGGCAAATCGTTCATAGGCAGGCCATCACTTAACCATTGGACAAAACTTAGAACGGACTTGTTAAATGGAACTCCGTTTTCGTCAATGACGTTATTTCGAATATGGGTATAGGTTCGCATCAGCTTGTAAAGATAGTGCTTATGTCTCCCCTTTTTATCGGTTTCCATACCGTCTTCAGCATTCAAACTCTCACGTCCCTCGCTTCTCTCGTTGGCGGTGAAAGTGCTATTGGCGTCGTCGTATGTATCATTGTTGTACAAATCAAGCTCCTCAAGTCGTGGCATGACATATTGAACGTGCTTCTTGGATTTGTAGATGAAATGATGGACAAACTTGGCAGGGATGTCAGCCATGGTAAAGCCTAAGGAGGATATGGCTGTAATCTGTTCGAGAAGATGTTTGCTGATAAGGTCGTCCACGATTCCCTGGCCAATTTTTTTTAATGCGAAGAAGCTCTCTTTTTGGGCGCTAATTAGGACAAGAGCGGGTTTGGGAGAAAAGTTGGACGGATTTTCCTCGGAAGCATATTCAGAAAGTGAGCTCCGCGCATCTGACCCAGAAGACGTGTTTTGCGACGCTACAACGTTTCGGCTCTTATCATCGGATAGAAGTCGTATGTAACAATGCAAAAAGCCACTAGAATTGAACTTGGGGAAGCAAATTGGCAACCACAACTCTTGATCCTGTTGCAAGCCTTGAAACTGATTGAATATTAGCGAGAATAGAAGGTGGAGATCGGTGGTATGCAAGGTATGACCCTTTGGCCTTAGCACGGAACATAACTGTCCCCCGGGTGCAACAATGAGCCCATACAAAATTGTGCCTCGCTCTGCAGCGGCATCTGGGTGCTGCACATGTGTCAACATAACGCCGTGCAGTGCTTGACGTGTTGATTTTCGCATTGTTAGGCATCTTAAAGCGCCTAACAGAAAATCTGGGTTGAACCCGTTTGCGATAGATTCGCAGATATGTGTCAGATTCTGGAAATCGGTGTTGGTGAGAAAGTGACGCAGGTCGAAGTTTTCGCGCCTAGAAAAAAGTCGGGTCAGCTGGCGCCGGCTGAGAGTGCAGATGAGGTAAGAGTACAGGAAATCCAATTGCTGCAGGAGGTCATTCACGGACTCTTCGCGCAAGGAAACAGCCATCAGTAGAATGGGACTTTTGTCGAGAAAAACCAATTTTTGCTTGACGCTGTTTCCGCACGAGTTCACTATTGCGCGCACCTTAGTTGCATGCACCTTGAAATAGTTGGTCACTGTGTGAATTATGCCCATGAGACCCATCACCAGCTCGTCCTGGCCATGCATAGAGAAAACAGGTTTTCCAGCCGATGACAATATAAAGAACTGCTTTTCCTGTCGCAGGGCGGCCACTGGTGCCGAACTTGAGTGTATGCACTCGAATAGTGATGGAATTTCATTGCTAACAGCGTGATCTCTGGGCGTCAGGTCCAAAGACCGCATCGATTGCAGCAGTTCATGTTCCAGATCACGGTGATTGGTGCGCACCGATTGCCGCTCAGAGGCCAGATCCAAGTACATACTGGAACTAGAGGGCCGTGATTCACCCAGAAACGGCTGCGACGATGTGGAAAACGACGATGTGAAGTTAACACTCGTCGTAGGGTTCGTGGCCCTTACAGCAAACGGAGACGCCGGACGCGAATCCAAACGCGAAACAGGCTTATCCCGCACTTGAAACTCATCTACGTAATCTTCTAGTGGAGGTTCGGCCATTTAGATGCCACCACTTAAGCGATGAGAGCTACACTGCTCGATCTTGAGCATTGTAGATTTAAGGGAAATGGGTTTTTCTTCTACAAGATATATCTTATATATATATAAACATTATGACGTTTTGACCAGGTTATGTTAGTCGTGAGACGTGATGTGCGAGTTTTGATCGAAAGCGATTGTCGATTCATCTTGAATCAGATCTTTGGACACTTATAACCGTTAAAATGAGGCCTTCATATTATCTGGTTAGTTTTGGAGCTTCGGTTTTTAGCATAGCTTTTTTTTCCGGGGTTTTTGGTGCCTTTGTGAGTTGATTCGCTGGATGCTAAATTATAGCATAATTGAGATACTCATTGAGCGACATCTCATGTCAGCTGGATAACTGAACTGCAAGACACCAAGTTGAACGACAAAGACCACTCAGTCTAGCAATGTCATTTTTTTAATTGTTTGTGGAGTTTTTTCCAATCAACCAATAACTTCCTATTGGCTGCGCTTAAATACTATTTAATTTCGGTATGAATATGATACGAGATACGAGGATATGCAGTAGTGGTGGTGTAGAGGCTATAACATGTCATTTGCCATGGCCCAGGCGCGAAAGCGCATTCACAACTTCTTCTTGTCGAATTTAGAGTAATACTTGGCAGACAAAAATGCGTCAAGGGCCAAAAATGCAGTGGCACCGCCCACAGTAGAGATAATGATGGCGTCTGACTTGCCCTTGAGGTATCTGGCATGGTGTTTGGCGTAACCTCTCAAGATCGACGAAACCAGCGCCGAGCCCAGCGCCACGTTGGCAATCACCACCGGGTTCTGCAGTTCCTGCAACGCGCGCGACGAAGTCTGCTTGGCCTTGGACGCCCAGTATGAGCCGACTGCGGACACACGTGACGACGCAGCGCGCAAAAACTCTACCACGTTGTTCTTGTACTTGTCGATCGTGCCGTTTGCCTTGAGCTCGTCAAACTCGCGTTCGGCCTCGTCTCTGAGGTCCTGGGCTTCGGAGCGCAGCTCCTGCGCGGCCTTTTTGGCCGCGTCAGGAATGTGCGACGCGTCCACCTCTGCTTGGTTCACGGCTTCATTGGCCTCTTTCTTAGCGTTTTTCACGTGTCTGTCGCAATAGAAATCGACGTTAGCATCTTGCAGGAAGGTAGATAATCAAGCAACACTGGGGTAGAGACAGAAATCAACGCTCTTTTTTTGAGCGATCGATTTCGTCACTGTTCCTCTTTTTCCCAGCAGCTTCCAGAAAAAAAGACCCACGTTTCAACATACTCAGGCATGGTTGTCTTGTGTGTAGTTAGTCCTTGATGGTCGGAATCGATAAATCCAACGGTTAGTTTCGTGCCCCGGTAACTAAACCATCTGTCAAGCCATCTGAAATCCCCCGAAAAAATGCCCCTTCTGTAGTCTGCTTTTATAGTTTTTTTCTCCCCTAATTGCGCCAAAGGAAATATTTCGGGATCATGTGGTACGATGTGAGGTTTTCCTATTTTTTGCTAAAGGCGTGTCGCCAGAGAGTCACGGGACCGGGCGCCAGGGCAAAACCGAAGGTGACGGAATTGGGCTCAACAGTGGAGCATTGAGAGAGCTTTGAACAGTTTGAGTGTGGACGTTTTGGAGTGTTTTGAGAGTATCAGTTTTTCAGTGTATACGCGATTGTCGAGAAAAAAAAATGGAAAAAGAGGGATCGAATCGATTGAAATTGTCAATCTCAGTGTCAAGATGACGGCTGATGGGGAAAACGTGTTTGAATTGCACACATCTACTGTTGTTCTTTGGGTTAGGTTGACGAACCTTCTTTGAAGAGTTTTTCTATTGCGATCGCGCGTCGCATCAGAACTGGACGTGGTTTATTTGGAATCTACTGACAGCAGAAGGAAATCTCTGAAATCGAGAAACGCAAGATTCTGGAAGAGTCCAAATGTACTCGCCTTGCCAGAAGGGCTTCACGCAACGCTACAAACGAAACCTAGGAGATCTCAGAGGCTGAAGAGAGAGCGAGAGATGGCCAGACGAGAGATGGCCAGACGATTGCAGAATACGAACTCGCTCGGCCACCATCGTGGAAGTGAAAAATGGCCTCTTCTCGGAGATCACGTGACAGTCGTCAATTGCCCTGTCCTCAGCGAGCGTTGCTGGATCCAATCCTGACCGAAGTCTTGAGTGGGATCTTCTTCATTCTCGCGACACTTGGATTTCTGAACCTTTCTCTTGACTGTCGCTCTCTCTAATTTTTCAAAACTTAGTACCCCGCAGTTTTTCTCGACGGCTTCCGGCGTGTCAGGGTTCTGGAGGACCCAATCCTGTCAGTGGGTTTTCCGAATAGTCTAAAAATTCGTACAAATGGTAGACTAAATGAATAACCTTCGTGTATACTTCTTTTCCGTCACATTTTCACCCCGTCAGACGTTAAATTGAAGAGCTTGATGAGTGTTAAAGCTGGCATAAAATGCCATTGAAACTGAAGATCCAACTGTTAACTATTTAAACTACATCAGAGAGCTACTGATGACACAACTGACGTCGCACACACACACACACACACACACACACACACACACACACACTCTCTCTCTCTCTCTCTCTCTCTCTCTCTCTCTCTCTCTCTCTCGAACGCTGCTCTTCCGTCGAGACTGCTCTAACACCCATACATTCTCTATCTCGCAAATTTTTCTCGTGACTTTTAAAAATGAGGGGAATGACTCCGGTTTGCTCACCCTATACGGATATACAAACCCACGCAAACCAGATTACCTAATCTGAAAATTTTGGACATAGTACTCGCGTCGATAGCGACATGTACTCGTCCCTCCACGCTGGAACTCTCAACCTGCTAAAAAACATCTTCACATCTTTTCAACCACTACCACTCATCTCTTCGCTCAAAACCCCAGTCTACTTTAACTCCAAGTCGATCGAAAGTTACCATCCATCAACTTTCCGTGATCCCATTCCGGCTAAAAGCAGTTCAGTAGTCAAACAAACCAGATCTCATAACGCAAAAGATGTCTGCTCCAGCTCCAGCTCAAGGTCAAGCCCCAGCCAGAGGCGGTTTCGGTGGCCGTAACAAGGGTCGTCAACAAAGAAGAGGCAGAAGAGACCAGGAAGAGAAGGGATGGGTCCCAGTCACCAAGCTCGGTAGACTTGTGAAGGCCGGTAAGATCTCCTCCGTCGAGGAAATCTTCTTGCACTCTCTTCCAGTCAAGGAGGTCCAGATCATCGACACCTTGTTGCCAACCTTGAAGGACGAGGTCATGAACATCAAGCCTGTCCAGAAGCAGACCAGAGCTGGTCAAAGAACCAGATTCAAGGCTGTCGTCGTCGTTGGTGACTCCAACGGCCACGTTGGTCTAGGTATCAAGACCGCCAAGGAAGTCGCTGGTGCCATCAGAGCCGGTATCGTGATCGCCAAGTTGTCCGTTATCCCAATCAGAAGAGGTTACTGGGGTAACAACTTGGGTCAACCCCACTCTTTGGCCACCAAGACCTCTGGTAAGTGTGGTTCCGTCACCGTCAGATTGATTCCAGCCCCAAGAGGTAAGGGTATCGTCGCCTCCCCAGCCGTCAAGAAGTTGTTGGAGTTGGCCGGTGTCGAGGATGTCTACACCTCTTCCAACGGTTCCACCAGAACTTTGGAGAACACCTTGAAAGCTACTTTCGTTGCTATCGGTAACACTTACGGTTTCTTGACTCCAAACTTGTGGGCCCAGCAGCCATTGCCAGTGTCTCCTTTGGACATCTACGCCGACGAGGCCTCTGTTCAAAAGAAGAGATTTTAAATTATTTAATTAGTAATTTGAAAGGTTTGTTTTAGCTCCAGTTAACGCAGAAGTGTGTATTAAAGGTTGTTAACAACGCCAATGACGATCGTGGAAGCGTAACGTCAAGGCTATTGTCTGCGTAGTAGGATTTGTCGAGCACAACGACTGATTAGTACAAAGTGATCTGGCATCCGCATCACAACTTATTACTTCAACGACAACTAGCGTCATCGCTGAGCTCTGACAGCCATTTAATACAGCAGAGGAACATTTGATGGCTCGTAAGTATTCACTTTCACTCGACATTCTCTTGCCATTCTTGACATTGCGTGCAATAATTTTATCGAAAACACCAAATTGTATTAGCCCGAGAGTCAAAGAGACTGTAAATCGATAAATTCAATATCACAAGAAGCGCGTTTTCACATTACTTCCAAAATTTTTACATTCATAGCTTCTCCGAAATATCTACTCAAACCCTTTTGAGTCAAAATTTCGTAAAGCTATATAAAGATTTGAAAGTATTTTTTGGTCTGATTGCGCTTTTTCTGAGCGTTACAAGTAAGCTTCAGTGCAATCTTAAAACCATCTTGACTAGGTCCGTTGTGACCCAGTGTGTTCTTCTTTTTTTTTTTCTGTTATTGTAAATACTAGATAGATTTAACCATAGTTCTTGAATAACTCAGCCTATCCCATGATGGCATCGTTTTCTTGAGCTGGCATAGATTCGGTAACTTGGTTGTCGGGCACAGCAAAAGGACGTTCATTAATGGATGAATTTCCTCCTAGCAGATCGGAATTAACCCATGTGTTGTTTGAACTGGACGAGTGCGAAGGTTTCTGGGGTAATTCTCTACCTTCGGGGTGCTTGTACAAACAGTAGATGTTTCGACAGTTTACACCAAACTTGCAATCCTCATTTATTGGGTGACCAAACAAACAATCAAGTCTCGTGCAATTGGCACCGTCACGGCACATAATATGTGAGCGGGCGTGTCTGTATCGGCATCTTTTGTTGGTACAGTTGGGGCCAAATTTACACTGCTCTAACGATTTCTCGACAGGAGGACGTTGTGGTTTGCGCGAGGCAACAGGTGCTACCTCTCTGATTTTTGAAGAAGAGCTGTGAGCCTTGTCACACGCAGGATTTTGACAGTTCAAATTTTCTGGACACCATGCAAACGTAATGACCTTCGCATCATCATTAGCAGGCGTTGGATGGCCAAACGGACATTGTGGGTTGGTGCACAACAGTCCAAACTTGCACAGAACAATACCGGAACGTTCAGGCTTAGTTTTGGCAGCGGCGAAAGCAGCTCTCTTTTCGCGGAATTCTTCACGAGTCTTCTCGATCTCCTTCATTAGTTCCACATCCTCGTTAGGGTGCAAATAGTTGCAGGTTCCAGGAGGATTGGGGCAGTTTGGGTAGTCTCTGCATGCTTGAGTGGGGTGTGCGTGAGGACAGTTCTTCCCTAGCGGGCAACGAGGAAAGAGCGGGCACCGACCTTGTTTTTTGTTCACGAAGTTAACGTTGGGGTTTTCCAGTCCTAGAGCCATGGCCAAAGCATTATTGTTAGCGTTGTTTCGCCTTGTACTTCCAGGTTTTGTGAGTCCACCTCTTTCTGAACGCTCTGGACGGCCACCACGACCGCCAAATTTGCTGACGCCGCCGCCACGCTGGGAATGGCCTCCCTTGGACACACCAGCAGAGTGGGACGAGTGGGGTGGACCGGCAGCGATGTTGACGATCCCTTCGAATGCCGATTTTGGTTGTGAAGCAGCAGAGCTAGACGCAAAGATAGAGCTTTCTGATCCATTTCCAAAGGCTGATTGCTGAGGAGCCAGCGGCTGTTCTTGCTGTTGCTGTTGCTGCTGCTGCTGCTGTTGTGATTGTTGCTGTTGCTGCTGTGGTTGTGTTTGTGCTTGTTGCTGTGGTTGTGGTTGTGGTTGTGCTTGTGCTTGTGGTTGTTGCTGCGAAGGCTCCTGCTGACGATGTTGGCCCGTGAGCTTAGCCACCGTTGTCTCTAGGGAGTCTCCGCTCTGCAAATACTCCATGGCCTTATACGCATTCTGAGCTACCGATTGGAAAGCCTCGGCAGGAACAGTGTCGAAAAGCGAAGTAAGTTCTTGAACCACGGATTCCACGTTTCCTCCATTAGACATCAAAAGCACAATGTATTCTGCGACATAATTGACATCCTCGTTAAAGTTGGGCAAAGTCTTAAGATTTTCGGCAATGATAACCTTCAAGTTGTTCACCACTTCTTCCTGAACTCCCGACATAGCTTATATAGGTGAGGACCTCGCTATTGTATGGGATGGAGTGTTGTAAATTGGTAAGGTCACACATGAGAAAAGTTCCCATTCTTATGATTTAAATTTGATATCATGTATGGATCGCTCTGTACGAAGGCTATTGGGCTATATAACTATATACCATAGCAGTAGTGCCAATGACAGAACCTGGATCAACCACCTATGTTTGATTAGATGTTTACTTGATCGTTAATGGACAAATCCCTTCTTATTATTTATGAATGTTTTAATGTACACTTGTGTATCCTGATTATGTATGTTAGAGCTAGTCTCTGTGCTTGCTCTTCTTGCTCTTCCTCTTGGTCTTTTCGTCATTTAGTTCTTTTACTCTGTCGACCTTTTGCTTAATGCGCTCCAGGGAAAGCTTGACGTCACCCTTTCTGAAATTGTCCAGGTCGTAATACGCAGGGGCCAGGTCTACGAGCCATTCGGGCCTAACAGAAGTGACAGTCCTGATATAGTTCTTCGAGGTCAATACAAATTCGTTGTAGACCACCCACTCTGCATCATGTCCAAGCACAGTACTTGGGTGGATCAACACGTCCTGGTCATCCTTCACCGTGATGTAGCCCTTGCCACCGGATCTTTTCTTGGCCACTTGCATGAAAAAGCCCGCTGCCAAGGCCTTTCTGATGTTGTCGAAATAACGAGGATCTTCATAGTCGGTTGTGGTCAGGGCCAAGTTGTAGCGCACCATTAGTCTTTCCAATTGGGACCGGATATTGTCTGCAGACGATAGCGCTCTGTAATTCAAAAAGTTGTCGCGACACCATTTGGTAACGCCGTATTCGTAAGCTTCGTCAGACTTGAAAGCATGGTATACGTTCAACAGCGTAATGTGGTCGCCGTCGGGATGCGCGAAAATAGTCTTGGCGTCGTCGGCTCTTTTCTTGTCCTTTGGAGGACGCACAAACACGCTGGGCACGGACAGCATAGCCACAATAGTTAACATCTCCTCGGAGCAGTGGAATTCTGCCGATCCTATCAGCATCACTGCCAGCATCGGATCTAGCGGGAAGTTAGAGGCCAGACGGCCCAGCGGCGTCAAGTTTCCGTCATCGTCCAAACATGCAAGGTAGTTAAGCTCCTCTAAAGCTCTCATCATGGTCTCTGGGGCGGGTGGGTCCATGAAATCAAAATGCACCAAATCATCGATTCCAAGCTTCTTCAGCTCCAGAACTGTTGACGACAAGTTCGAGCGCAGAATTTCAGGGTAGCTTTGCTCGATCAACTCCCGCTGGAAGGCTTCTTCGGTGTAGAGTCTGAAACATTTGCCCGGTCTTGTACGACCAGCACGACCGGCTCTTTGCTGAGAGGATGCTTTGGAGATTGGCGACACTAGCAAAGATTCCACTCTGATTCTAGGATTGTAAACTTTCTGCTTCGAAAAACCAGGATCCACCACATACACGATACCGTCGATTGTCAGCGATGTCTCGGCAATGTTTGTTGATACCACGACCTTTCTGCCAGCACGTCCATTCACGGCCTCGGGAGCTGGCTCAAAGATACGCTGCTGTTGGTGAGGTGGCAAAGAACCGTACAACGGATAAACACTGATGGGACCGCAGTTCTGTTCTCTCATCAGTTGATCACCTTCTAAAGAAATCTTCCGCACCGAATCTTCAATCTCTTCCTCACCCGTCAAAAACAACAGGATATCGCCAGGGTCTTCGGTGGCATGGATCTGCAGTACGGTCCGGATTGCAGAATCCAGATAGTCCCTTTGAAATTCTGGGGTGTAATACAGCTCGACAGGGAAAGTTCTACCAGGCACAGCCAACAATGGGGCATCCATAAAGTATTTCTGGAATTTTTCAGCATCCAAAGTGGCAGACATGATGATAATCTTGAGGTCTGGTCTGCGCACCACCACTTGTTTCAACAGACCCATCAAAATATCGGTAGCCAGGGTCCTTTCGTGTGCTTCATCGAGGATAATGCACGAATAGCGCGTTAAGTCGTGATCCTCCATGGCTTCTCTCAACAGCATACCGTCAGTCATATACTTCAATATGGTTTTGTTGGAGGTCTTATTTTCAAAACGAATCGAGTAACCGACTTCTTCGCCTAGCTTGACATCCATTTCCTCGCTGACTCTCTGGGCCACGGACATGGCTGCCACACGACGAGGTTGAGTACAGGCCACCTGGGTGTTCTGTAGATGTGGCATCTCGTCAAAAAGCACAAATTGGGGGATTTGAGTGGTTTTACCGGAACCAGTTTCACCCACAAACACCATGATCTGGTTTTGTTGGTAGATCTTTAGAAACTCGTCTCTTTGGGCATGGACTGGCAGCTCCCTTCTGATCTTCAAAATGTCGAAATAGCGGGGTGTGAAGGCTTGTCCTGTGAATGGGTTCACCGATGCGCTTTCCAGCCTTTCCGCCTGCTCACTTGTAGTATTGTGACGTTGCATCTGAGCAAACTCGCCAGCGTCATGATGCGTTAAAGGTTGCTCGTGGTATTCTGGTTTTTTCTTGCTCAGTTCTTCGGCGATCTCGGCCGCGCGTTCGGGTATCGAGCTTTCTACCGCAGATTTATGCTCATTGTTGCTTGATAGTCGTCTTTTGGAGGTCATTTCGATGTATAGGCTAGATATTCTACTAAGAGTTAACACTTGTAGAAGGTTCATTGTATGGAGCTCATCGCGCGATGAGCTCTAAAATTTTATGAATGGTATAGAGTAATCATATACGAGAAATGTAATGTCAGTGCTTTTTTGAATATGATCGAATATCGGCACCACCAGCTTATTCGGTTGTCTGAGTCTTCGTATAGTTGTTAACCAATTCATCTCAGAGTCTCCGAAACAAACAGGATTCTGGCGACTCCGATTCCGTTAAACAAGTGTCCATTCCATATCAATAAGTTCTTATCACTTTGTACTCTTCTGTCACGTCCTGATAAACTTCGAGCTGTGATCCGTTTTCTCTTCGCTTTCTAACGTTTCTATATTACCATGGATAGCGAAAATTGACTGTGTCAGAGTGTGTGGCCTTCATCATTTCAACCGCTATGTGGTTTATTACCCGAGATTTGCAGCGAAATAAACCATTAATCTCTTTATAGCTGTGTAGACACGAAACAACACTACAAGCTAGAATAAAGTAAGAGCTCGAAAGACTCAGTCCACAAATAAAGTTCCTTGAATCTTATTACAAAACCCATGGAATCCTCTTTTTCAAAGAGCTACTTGTTGGACTGCTTCACTATTATTTTATGACAAGCATAAGTTTCGTTAATACTCGAAAATAACTGAGAAGTCAGTTTTGAAAAGCTGGCGATAACTCTCGAAGTAGATCCATTCCAATAGGAAGCAAACTCATGAGATCACACCAGTACAGCTTATCCAGCTTTGATGATTTTTCAACTGTGTCGCCAGTTTGTGTCACGTGACTGAGCATAATAATAATTAGGTTAATTTGTCTATTTCGACTACCTTTCAACTCACCTAACAATAATTTTGAAAGAAAGCCGCATTGCTCCCACTCTGTCGCTCTTTCTTCGATTTCCTTTACATTTCGTACTCTGCAAGGTTTGAAGTGTTTAATTTGCAGTTTAAATGAGCTCCCGACAGTCTTTATACCATGCGTATTGCCTGCTGTCTTCTGCGAAGGAAGTCATCAAGGGAAGCGCTTCGATCGGCTGTGGATCGTTGACGTCCTGGGTTGAGAGTTCGACTTTGACAAGACCAATTTCGAGCAAATTCCAGTGGTTTTATGATCCCGAATGGGAAAAAGCCAGGGCATTATCTGAGTCAGTAAGGTCCCATCCCAAACCTAAAGGCAAATCCAGTAAAAAAGGCGGCGTGAGACATTACTCTACTCACGCTTTTGCAAACGCAAACAGGCAGATGTATTCCAGCTCTGCTAAAAAGGTTGTCAACTCCAAAGCAGCAGAAAAAGAGGTATGTTGATCCTTTGTTAGAACAGTATGAGGTTCTATCGATACTAATGAAGTTTTTATATGAATGGCAGAAAGCCGCTCTGCAAAGCTCTGAAATTCCGTCGTCGAGGATATCGCGACTGTTCCACTACGGGTCTTTGGCTGCCGGTGTCGGCTTGTCGGCGGCCACAGATGGATTTTCACAAGCCGTGCGTGGCCGGTCGCCCGACCTCAAGTCTTTGATTCTTTCGGATGCCAACATAGACCGCATAACTCAAAAGTTCTCCAAAATGCGTGGTGCCGCCCTAAAAATAGGACAAATGATGTCTTTTCAAGACGAAAATGTATTGCCAAAAGAGTTGTATATCATTCTTTCGCGCGTTCAAAATGGCGCCCATTACATGCCTCAGAGACAACTAGATCGCATTTTGAACAAGGAACTAGGCTTGTCTTGGAGACAGAAATTCTCCGAGTTTGATCCCATACCCATAGCTGCCGCCTCTATCGGTCAGGTTCACGAAGCAGTGTTGCCTTCTGGTCAAGAAGTTGTGGTCAAGATTCAGTATCCGGGGGTTAAAGACTCTATCGATTCAGATCTTAACAATGTACTGATGTTTTTGACGGCCTCTCGTTTACTGCCCAAGGGTCTCTTCTTGGACAAAACAGTGGCCAATGCCCGAACGGAATTGAAATGGGAATGCGACTATAAAAGAGAAGCTGCCGCTCTACAAAAGTTTGAAACTTTGCTGCAAGGCGACCCGGTTTTAGTCACTCCGAAAGTGTTTGAGCAACTTACAACTGATAATATCATAACCATGACTAAAATGCAAGGCAAAGAAATCATGAAACTACCTGAGGATACTTCTCAAGACACAAGAAACTTTATTTCGGAGGCAATTATGCTCCTATGTTTGCGTGAGATTGCCGAGTTCAAATTCATGCAAACGGATCCTAATTGGGCGAACTTTCTGTACAATGAAAACAACAAGACTTTGGAACTCCTAGATTTTGGCGCTTCCAGAGGTTTCTCCGAGGAGTTTATTCGCAACTACCGTCGGTTGCTGACGGCAGGTAGCTTGAGAGACCGCGCCAAAGTGGCTCAGATTTCGGAGCAGCTGGGTTATTTGACCGGACTCGAGTCGAAAGCCATGGTCGATGCCCATGTCGACTCAGTGCTTACGCTGTCCGAGCCGTTTGTGGGCCCTGCCGATCAAATTTTCGATTTTTCCCAGCAAACTGTCACAGATAGAATCCGGGGCAACATCAACCTGATGTTGAAAGAACGCTTGTGTCCGCCTCCCGAGGAGACATACTCATTGCACAGAAAATTCAGTGGAGTTTTCCTATTGTGTGCAAGGATGAGAGCGCAAATACCGATGTCAAAGCTATTTCAAGAGCACTTTGCTTTGTATGATTGATGGGTACTGAATGGTAAATAAGAAGATATAGACAGAATACAGAGGGCATTCATGAAATTGAGTGTGTTGCTACCAGAGTGAAGGTGCAGATGCGCATTTTGTGTCAATGAGGTAGTGGATGACAGCGTGTGCGACTTTAACATAAAATACGAAAGGTGTGTATGAAATCGAGCACATAACATGTCGTCAATTACAAAGTGGCCAACAAATCGAATCTCGATGGATTATGACATGGCTCAACCCAAAAATGGTACCTTCGATGGAGTTCATCAACCCAGATTTTGAAAAAATACCGTAAAAATTTCAAAAAATGAAACGGACAGGAATTGAACCTGCAACCCTTCGATTGCAAGGGTTTCCTAGTTTACCAGGAGTTAACTGGAGTCGAAAGCTCTACCATTGAGCCACCGCTTCATTCTTGTATAACCGCAAAGAAAAAAGTGGATTATACCGTTCGGTAGACAAAGCTGATCATCGCTAGCAGTCGAGCAGCGACAGCAGAAAGAGAAGCAGACAAGAGAGATAAAGAACGACAGACTATCACCCAATGCTAAAAATTCTAGCGTGATCAACTCTCTCGGCAAAGGTCACTTGAACTTATCTATCAGCGTATGAAGGACTTAAATTTGATGTGTAGCGTAAAAATTCATGAATGGGACAGTTTGAGCCTTGAGTGAAGGCTAGTTTAAGTGGTGAAGGATGGCAAATGATTTCGTGACATCTGCCCTGGCTTTAGCACTTTGTAAGCAGCAAACAATTACTTGGGTTTCGGTTTCGATTTACAAACAAATATTAAGGTGTCATTTGAATATTTTATTCGTGATGGGATGACAAGTCACTTTAGTGACATCAAGCCAAAGATTAAAGGTATAAATTCCGAATGCTCTTCGAATAATCAGCTGGAAAATTTATACAATGGCTATCAACTCGATTTCAAACAATTAAGCAGCAAAAGCGGTATTTGACTTAGGACACTCTGATCTGATCGGCAGCCAGTTGGAAATCTCAGTTGCAGAACTCTTTAAAAAGTTGCGCTAATGACAGGGACCGAGCGCTGCTTATTATCACCAGGGCTCTAAACATTTATTGCTGTATTTGCAGATTTCCATTGGACACAGTGCGATACCAGAGTAAGTCTCCAGGTAATTACGACACAGGGTTTCCATAAGGAAAAAAGGTCACTAGAGCTCTAATTTACAGCCATTGACGTGAACATCCGCTGAGAAAGCTCGAGTTTAACCCAATGTGGCCCGTTAACATCCAGCACTGTATTTTCAATATCGAAAATGTTATTATATATAACACAATACGCTTGAGCTTGTATCTCGCGCTGTTTCAAAATAGCTTTATTGGGTGAGAAAATTTGGCTTAAAGATAAGCGATTAGCGAGTGTTGAATTTGATTGACAAGTGCAGTTCTTTCGAGCTTTTACGTGTTAATCAAGTCGGTTTAACTGATCATGGCGCTATGTAATTCCAGGTCGCCGAATGATTAGTATACAATATTTACGATCAACACAGCTTAATGAACCAAGATCAACGAGCCATTTAACCCACCAGAAGGTGTTATACGGACCTTGATAGTTGATTTCATCCTGTTTACTCTTCCGTGACTCATGGCTTCCCACTAATTGTTTCTTCACAAGCTTTGACTCATTTTTCTCCGGCCCATTTGTTATATAAAAGAAAGCTTGCGATGATGCCAGTGACATGAAAAGACGTAAAATTCGAAGAAGTGTGCTTTGAGATTGTGATTCATCCAAGAATATGTTGAATCCTAGTTCAAAATTTACTCCAAAGATCTTGGAACTGCTTTCCAAAATTGCCAGCGAAACGACATTGTCGCTGACAGAGCCATTGATGGAATTCGTGGACATTCTGACAGAGTCGCTAATGTATCCAAGAGGCAGCAGAGAGTCTTTGCTGGACGTAATGTGTGGAAATATAGGCAGTCTCAATGAAGCAGAAATAGAAGAAAAGCATGATTTTGTTACCGAAGAGCTCGGTTTGGGTTGTTTACTGGAGACAGTGCATACAGCCGAACTTCTACGCAAAATGACAAGGATGAGTAAAAACTCTAATTTTGTTTTTGGACAGTCTGCGACGCTGGAGGAAATCCATTGCGTATTGGTGAACCTACTGAAACAGCTCAGTGCCCAAATTGAAATCTGCTTTTATCCCAAGTTCTACCAAACTCTGCTGCGGGAAAATGTCACCCATTTTCGCCGGGCGTTTGAAGCGCTACAAGGCCTGGACAATATCACTGCAAGACTGCTGAAAAATGCAGAACAGCAAAGAACCACAGAGCCCGCGTTTTTAGAAATCGACGCCAAGACTACGGAGTTTATACGCATTTTCACAGTAAGCAACGCCAAATGGCACGAAGAGCTGCTGCTGGGGTCTCGAGCGCTTAAAGAGTATCTGGCCGTGAAAAGCGAAAGCAAGAATGTTTCAGCGGATTCTGAGCTGATAGAAGAAATGTGCGACGAGGCTATAGCTGTGGTGCGGTCTCCGGTGTTTGGCAACTATGTGCGGGTGCGAAAGTCGAAACTAAAGATAACGCATCGGAAAATATTTTAGAGGGTTGAGAGAACACCAGAAGCTGTAAAACAAACGCCATCAAAGAGTGCAGGCGCAATTAATAGGGCGGCAGGCAATGGTGAGAGGTGTCAGTCTGCGTTTACAAAGTCAAGATATACTCATAAAATATAGATATACTCATAAAATATAGAATAACATACTAAAAGAGGCAAGGTTCTTGGTGGATGTCTCACTTGTGGCGATGATGGGTACGGTACTGTTCACCAAGAATAGAGAGTATGCCAACTGAAAAGAATATCACTTTGTACCTACGTGACGCTGAACAAAATTACATGTCTAATTATCCTATGGTAGTCTCAGTCATACATGGTGGATAAAATCCAGACCACTGTCACTTCATCCTAACCGTCCATATCATATCTTCTAGCGAAGTGAAATACTTGCACTACAATTGGGCTGAAAAACTAAAACAAAGCTACATTTTTTTTTAACAAATTCGTCCATTTGAGATCAGATATTCTGAATTTACATTTCTACAGCTCCAAAATCCGGTTTCTGGCTTCTGGATTTCGCACGTTAATCCCTGCTGATCTCGACTTTCTGAAAATGCTTGAATTTCGCCCCACGTCGGTTTCGAACCACCGCTCTTGACAAGAATGACTGGCATGGATGGGCCAATTTTTTTTCAGCCGGTTTTTAAAAGAAAAGACGCCGCATCGGCCATGTGCATCTTTCGCTCGAAGATTCATACACACTTGGGTTCTCCACAATCTTGTATAAAAACACCGACTTATTTCGTGGACTTCTGGGATAACATTCTTGAGTTTAGTATCAGTTTGGGTGAATTTTGGTGGTTTTAGCTAACTTTCTTTCTTATTGTAGCACAATATCGATGAGCGTACAGTCTGAGCTCACAGGACGCGCTGGCGCCAGCGGTGTTAATGGAACAGCTACCGAAACCATAGTGCCAAAACGTGCGATTGACACGAATGGCCAGGTTTTTGAAGTGCCAGACTACACAATCAAGGACATTTTGTCTGCCATTCCTAAACAGTGCTACAAGAGAGATCTATGGTGGTCGCTGCACTACGTGGTTCGCGATATAGCGGCGATCGTGGTGATCGGGTATGTCGGGACCAACTACATTCCAGTGTGGTTTCCATCCAGCGCTTTTGCTCGTGCTGCTGCGTACATGGTGCAGTCGTATTTGATGGGATTGTTTGGATTTGGACTTTGGATTTTGGCCCACGAATGCGGCCATTCTGCGTTTTCGGCCTCGAACGCAGTCAACGACACCGTAGGGTGGGTCCTGCATTCGTGGTGGATGGTTCCTTACTTCTCGTGGAAGTTCTCGCACAGCAAACACCACAAGGCGACGGGCCACATGACCCGCGACATGGTGTTCGTGCCATACACGCAGAAGGAGTTTCTAGAGGCCAAAAACAAGTCAAAACTCAGTGAGATCTTCGAGGAGGCCCCCATCGTCACGCTTTTCAACCTTGTGGCCCAGCAAATCGGCGGATTACAACTGTACCTGGCCACGAACGCGACTGGCCAGCCATACCCGGGCGTTCCCACGTTTTTCAAGTCCCACTACTGGCCCACCTCGCCCGTTTTCGACCCCAAGGACTTCTGGTTCATCATTCTCAGCGATATCGGAATCCTAGCAACGCTGACCGCGAACTACCTGTGGTACAGAGCGTACGGTGCTAACGTGGTGCTCATCAACTGGTTTGTGCCTTGGCTCTGGGTCAACCACTGGTTGGCATTTGTGACCTTTCTACAGCACACGGACCCTACGATGCCCCACTACGACGCCTCGGAATGGACTTTTGCCAAGGGAGCGGCCGCTACAATTGATAGAAACTTTGGGTTTGTAGGCCAGCACATTTTCCACGACATTATCGAAACCCACGTTCTGCACCACTACTGCAGCAGAATTCCCTTTTACAACGCCCGCGAGGCTACTGCTGCCATCAAGGACATCATGGGCAAGCACTACCGTTACGACGGTGAAAACATGTGGAAATCATTGTGGAAAGTTGCCAGATCCTGCCAGTTTGTGGAAAACAACGAGTCCAAGGACGGTATCTATATGTTCAGAAATGCCAACAAGATTGGCCCTAGCCCAAAAAGCGAGAACTAAAAAAACACACAGGACACCTTCCACAACACCTATTTAAAAGAACTAATATTCATTGGAGTTTTCATTTTATATTTATAGTTGATACAGTTCAAGAAAGATAATATCGTTCATTTTTTACAATTTTCAGCAAGTGTCCTACTAGAAAGACGCTTGTAGGAGTCTGAACGTGTAAAAGTGGTTTCAAAGACGATGTCAGTTTAAGATATAGTTTCTGTCATTGTATATAAAAATGCCCAAACTGCAATTTGTTGTTGTTATTCTCAAAATTCGTCGAAGATGATTAACAAGCACGTGAGTTAAAATTACACGTGACCCAGGGGTCCCTGTCCGAATCGGGGAAAATGTAAATATCAACACTTTTCTTGACATTCGAGCAAGCGGGAAGCTCGCTTTTTGAAGAAGCTCATCTGAAATCAGTGTTCAAAGAAAGTGGATTTTTTTGAGAGGTTCACAAATCGAGTTGATTGTCTTGTTGAATTTCAAGCAGATCTTGCCAGGTGAGAAATAGAAAAGAATCCCGGATTTTGATTTGCCCAGCTTATGTCGGACAATCGCACCAATAGACTCAACTTCACCGATAATGCAAGCAAATCTGTACTTTCCCTCACTTCGCCGGCGAAGTTAAATGTGGTGTCTTCAGACTGGTCGAAATTGACAGCGAAAAAGCCCATGGGGAAAATCAACAAACGGCAACTCTCTAGCAATTCGACAACACTATCAAACGTTACGAACATTCTGCCGAGCTCGAAAAGCGCTGTGCATCGACCCACGCTTCAGTACGTGCCACCGCTCTTGAAGCGGTCTTCGTCGCTGTTCAAAGATGATCTCGAAACCAACGATCGCAAATCTATCAAGTCACAGGACTCTGACGACGGCTGTTTCAACACCGATCGATTCATCCCGCTCCGCAAGGAAAACTCGTTTTCCCACTCAAAGATCGACCCGCTCGATTTGGAGGAAGAGGTCCCCCCACCCAATGCATCGCCTTCAACCCATTTGAAGGCGCAAACCAAAAGAGTATTCAAGCAAAACGTGGCAGAAGCCTGCGGGCTGGACATGAACCAACGCATTTTGCAATACATGCCTAAACCGCCAGCTTCGTCGAGCCGGAAACAAACGTATTCGATCGGCAATCGATCCCACTATTCATATTCGTCATTGGCCAACTCGGGGCCCAGTCCAGAGCTGGCCAAACTGAGGAAAATCAATTCCAACCCAGAAAGGATTTTAGACGCGCCAGGTTTCCAAGACGATTTCTATCTAAATCTTGTGAGTTGGTCCAACAAGAACGTTCTCGCCATCGCGCTCGACTCTGCATTATATCTCTGGAATGGCGCTACCGGCAACGTCACACTTCTTAACGATTTTGAAGAGCCAGGAGCGATAAGCAGCGTTACTTGGTCTGACGACGACTGCCATATTTCGATCGGTAAATCCGGAGGAGACACAGAGATCTGGGATGTCGAAACAATGTCGCATGTCAGAACAATGAGATCTGGGCTTGGGGTTCGCATCGGATCACAGTCGTGGCTCGAAACGCTAGTGGCTACAGGAGCCAAAAGTGGTGAAATCCACATTAATGACGTTCGAATCAAAAACCATATCGTTTCCAGCTGGGAAGAACATCGGGGCGAAGTGTGTGGAGTTAGCTATCGCCCAGATGGGTTGCAATTGGCTTCAGGTAGTAACGACAATACCGTGGTCATTTGGGACACAAGAACTTCCTTGCCCCAGCATATCAAGAGACAGCATACTGCCGCCGTCAAAGCCATGGTTTGGAGCCCTGACACTACAAACCTTTTGGCAACCGGGGGCGGTCAAACAGACAAACATATTCATTTTTGGAACACAACAACCGGTGCCAGAACTGGCAGCATAAACACTGGATCCCAGGTCAGTTCGCTTCACTGGGGTCAAAGTTACAGTTCCAACACCATGCAGCGAGAAATAGTGGCCACGGGCGGCAATCCTGAAAACGCAGTGTCCATTTACAACTACGACACCAAATTCAAAGTTGCTGAGATAGTTCACGCACACGAGGCCAGGATATGCTCCAGTCAATTATCGCCAGATGGCACCGTCTTAGCAACAGTAGGAGGGGACGAAAACCTAAAATTCTACAAGGTGTTTGAGCCCAGGAGGAAAAGACCTCAAGGAGTTTGCGACGGGGATAGTCTTATGGGTCTTCTTAACGTGGGTGACGCCTGTGACGACGATTCTTCGCGATCACCCACTCGCAGAAACACTTCAGGTTTCGTCATTAGATGAAGCTTACTTACCGTACTTTATTAGGGAAGGGAATGCATAAAATCAGTTAGCTAGTGTTACATAACGTTTACAATTCTAACTGCCAAAAAACACGGAAACGAGTACAAAAACAAGCCAGTTGAATGTTATACGTAGATTGAATGAGTCCTGAAGAACCTCTAAAACCACCAGATGATCTCATCTGTGGTGCCTCTAGAAGGTTTTTTTAAAAAAAAAAATAGGGGGCGAGAGAAGACCAAACCGAGAGGCACACGCGGTGCGGACTATACCCGTGCAATGACCGCAGCACCTCTGAGTGGCTCGACACCGAGAACGCCTTTATAACAGCATCAGCCGCTACTTACGCAGAAAAGCCATAGCTCCGCCTGAAATGTGAAAGCCGGAAGAACGAGCAAGCTCGCCATATTACAGCGCCGAAACACGACCGGCACACACCAGAACAAAAAGACCCTTCGTCTCCCTCAAAGAGGGGCGCAAGCGGCAACAAAACACCTGGGCAGACCCGACGCCAAACAAAGCCTCGAGAGCGCAGAATCTCTTCTGCGACATCCCGCGTCAAACACCCTCTTCCCTCTTATGCGATTCCAAAAATATGGTTTGTAACATATTAAACATCCTCATTGAGGACATTCCAGTTGTTACACTGAAAAGAACAGATACTACACTTGATCTAAGCCAAAAGGCAAAGAGATTTGGTCTTTTAAAAAGTAGAAAGACGTACGCAGGAGAGAGGAGAGAGCTTAAGTTTTTCTCGGCGCTTTATATACTTTTCTCCAAAAGGGTTACCCGGGGTCGCTATTAGTATAAAGTGATACAAAAGTCAAAAATCCTCTGTCGAATAAAACTTAAGTAAGACCCTGAGCCGTTCAATCCATGCCAATCCCCCTTATAATATTCACTTTGGAACGCCCAACAAAAACCTGTCGTTTCAATCATTTTTTAACATAATCAAGCAATATAACACTATATCATTATATACGAAGAGGGGTTTGCCCAAGCTTCCTGACGCACGCTTGGGAAATAAGCGTACTTATAATTCGTCTTTCCTTTGAATATAAGGAACTCAACCAGATAAACACTGAACAAACACGTCAAAACACGTTAAAACTTGTAAAACCTGGGTAGCTCGGGTAAAAAATCTCACAGCAGTATTCAGTTTTTGCCAGGCGATTGTAACAGGATGGCGGATTCTATACCCACCGAACAACAGCTTGCAGTGCAGTCCATAAGGCGATTTCTCAAGTCCAAGACGTCCTACGACGTACTGCCGGTTTCATACAGATTGATAGTCATGGACACATCTTTGCTGGTAAAAAAGTCGCTGAACATCCTGCTGCAGAACAACATTGTGTCTGCGCCGCTATGGGACTCGCACACGTCGAAATTTGCGGGTTTGCTGACGTCGTCAGATTTTATCAATGTCATTCAGTACTATTTTTCGAACCCTGACAAGTTCGAGCTGGTGGACAAACTGCAACTGGACGGGCTCAAGGACATAGAGCGTGCAATTGGCGTCAGACCGCTCGACATGGGGTCGATTCATCCGTTCAAACCGCTGTACGACGCGTGTTGCAAGATGATTGAGTCCCGCAGTCGCAGAATTCCGCTGATCGACCAGGACGAGGAAACGCACCGTGAAATCGTGGTGAGCGTGCTGACACAGTACCGTATTCTTAAGTTTGTGGCACTGAACTGTCGCGAAACGCGGCGCCTGAGAAGGCCCATTGGAGAACTGGGCATAATAACGACGGGCAAGCTGCTGAGCTGCAGCATGCACACCCCTGTCATCGACGTGATCCAGCTGCTGACGCAGGGGGGCGTGTCGAGCGTGCCGATTGTGGACGACCAGCGCCGGCTGGTCAACGTGTACGAGGCCGTGGACGTGCTGGGATTGATCAAGGGCGGAATGTACAACGATTTGTCGCTGAGCGTGGGCGAGGCGCTCATGAGACGGTCGGACGACTTCGAGGGCGTGTACACGTGCACCAAGAGCGACAAGCTGTTCACCATCATGGATACGATTCGCAAGTCTCGTGTGCACCGGTTTTTTGTTGTCGACGACGAGGGTCTACTGACCGGCGTGCTGACGTTGAGCGACATACTGAAATACATTTTGTTTGAGGAAAACTGAGAAAAAAACAAACCAAGCAGCTTTGAGAAAAACTCCGACGCTCACAATGCATTGTCCCTGATTCTGACAGCCCCAGACATTTCCCACACCACACTACACCACCGCCAAAAATTCTGATCCACGCAATAGTTCGCAGGCCCTGGAGGCAACATGCCCCATAATTCGTGATCCCCCCCCCCCGCTTCCCCGCAGTGCGGTATTCCCAGCTGAGGCCAGCTCCGCAGCTTAACTACAATAGTGACTAAAGTAACGTACTTAATTTTTCAGCATCAGCAATATATCCTGCAAGTTTTGCTACAGTAGAACACTCAAGACACCAGAAATCACAGCCTGGAGGACTACAAGACCAAAATAACCTTTCAAACAGATATGTCAAATCGACGTTGTTGATCATGTCCTAACCATTTGTCTATCGCTTTTTATACTTGATTTGTCTTATCTTGATAGTATATCTCAAATTGCACTATTAGTAATTGAACCCATCTTCTATAAGTTGTTGATAGTTTGACGAACATCTGGTATTTGTATAAAAACATTGGTCTTCTTCAAACAAGTCACAGGTGCCAGTTAAACAGCTGTGGAGGTGGGATTCGCTTATATTCACCGCCTAAAGCGATACAGTAGACACTTCAGATACTATATAGACCCGATAGACTTCGGAATGAGCACAATTCCTTTCGAAAGCAAGGCATTGGTGCACCAGACGTCAGCTCGCGCCACTGTGGCTGGTCTGCTGATAGGGTCGTTGGTGCTTGTGTCGAATTTCCAATTTGGCCTCCAAACAGGCTGGGTGTCGATGATGTCGCTGCCCTCAGCACTGCTGGCGTGTGCTATCTTCAAGCAGGTAATACCGAAGGTGTACCCGCAAATGGCGGCTTTCACAGACGTCGAAAACGTGTATATCCAGTCTCTGGCGGTCGCGGTCGGTACGGGACCGCTGGCATACGGATTTGTGGGTGTCATACCGGCAATCGAGAATTTTCTGACGTTTGAGGAATCGGGCTTCACGCGGGAACAAGGTGCGCCATTCACGTTCGAACAACTTCTTCTATGGTCCCTAGCATTGGCATTCTTTGGCATTTTCTTCGCAGTTCCGCTCCGTAAGCAGGTCATCGTGAGGGAAAAACTGCGGTTTCCTAGTGGCAGCGCAACTGCTACGTTGATTGCCATTCTGAACGGGTCTGAGATACTGCAAGAGATCTCTTCCTCAGAGCTCAAAGAGCTGCGAGAAAGGAGACATCGTGAGTACAGTGACGTCTTATCCAGTGATGAGTATACTTCACTGAGGCAGGATGAGCAACAAAACTCGGCAGTGGAAGATGGGGACGATGAACGCGCAGAATCCGTAGAACCAAGCCAGGCTACAGCTTACGGCACAACGCCAGTTACTGCAGCTACTGCGGCCGATTCCAAGTCAACCTACGAAAAGAACATAGCCATTTTGATCAAAACTTTTGCCGTGTCTTCCCTATACACCATCCTGTCCTATTTTGTGCCCTCCATCAAGGCTATCCCCATATTCGGATCGAAATTGTCGAAGAACTATCTATGGAACTTACAACCTTCTCCGGCTTACATTGGCCAGGGCATTATCATGGGCTTGCCAACCGTCATTTACATGCTTTTCGGTTGCGTTTTGGGTTGGGCAGTGCTCGCACCACTGGCCCGTTACAAGGGCTGGGTTGATCCTGACGTCGATATCAACGACTGGGAAAACGGAGTCCAAGGTTGGATTCTTTGGTCATCCTTGGCGGTAATGGTTGTAGACTCGGTCGTTGGGTTCATTGTGTTCACTACTAAATCAACAGTAAGATTCTGCCTTCGCGACGACAAAAGAATGGCGCTGGAATCAATGTTAGACGATTCTTTGCAGTCTATGTTACTTGAGGAGGAGAGAATAATAAACAGACAGAGTTCTGGGGGTCGACGCCAAAGCACCGTGAAGCTCGTCAGCGCAGACCAAGACCACGAAGTAGACTCACGCCAGCTTGTGAAGCTGACCACCGTTATCAGTGGCCTTATTGTCTCTTCAATAATATGCGTTGTGTGCATAATCTATCTTTTTGGAACAAAAATCGTTCCGCTATCATCTGTGCTGATTGCGCTAGTATTGGCTCTGTTTTTGTCAGTTCTCGCTGTAAGGGCACTAGGTGAAACTGACCTGAATCCTGTGAGTGGCATAGGAAAACTGTCACAGCTGGTCTTCGCAATGATCACTCCTCGGTCGATGAAAGGTGGTGTGCTCCTGAATTTAGTTGCTGGTGGAATTGCTGAGGCTGGCGCCCAACAAGCTGGCGATTTAATGCAAGATCTGAAAACAGGACATTTGCTGGGGGCTTCTCCACGAGCCCAATTTTTCGCACAACTAATCGGGGCATCGTGGTCTGTAATACTTTCGAGCGTGATGCACATTCTCTACAACCGCATATATGAGATCCCCAACGCTGAGTTCCGAGTGCCAACCGCAGTCATATGGATCGACTGTGCACGGTTGGTAACGGGCAAGGGCCTTCCAGACAAAGCCCTTGAGTGCACAATTGTTCTTGGCAGTGTGTTCGGTGTTTTATCGCTGATCAAAAACTTGTATCGAGACAATGGCTACAAATGGCTGCTATGGATTCCGTCAGGCGTTGCCGTCGGTGTTGGTATTTACAATGCGCCAAGCTTCACACTGGCTCGGGTCATTGGGGGCTGGTTTGCACACATATGGCTGCGAACACATCGGGGCAACACCTCTGCAAAGACATCCATGATCGTGTTCAGCTCGGGCCTCGTGCTGGGAGAAGGTATCTGCAGTATTTTCAACATGATATGCGCTGGATATCATGTTCCTCACTTATAGAAAAAGAGACATGAGTTTTTCAATAATCACATAGGTAATATCAAGAACCTGCCAATCTCTGCTGCAGCTCTGTTTTGCGCATTTGGCGGTATTTTTTGTCTTTGAACGTTTCAACACGATTCAAGAAATCTTGTTTCTCAAGATAACCGTCTTTGTTGTGCAGCGTGAGTTCTTCGTTGATACCCTCTTTGTCCACGTACGTGGCCCAATCTAGTTTTGATTTTTCCAGAGTGGTGAGTTTTGGTTTCAAAGCCCCCGCTATGATCTGCTCCAGTATGGGCGGTCTTTTAAGCACTTTTCTGAGTTTCAGCCCTTGTTCGTTGGTAGCTGCCTTTGTTGCTGCTGAGGGACCAGTTCGAGTTTTCTTGAACTGGATGCTATTCAGATATTGTTGCGCCTCTGCACTGCTTTTGGGCACCATTTTCTTCTCGTGTAAGATTTCGCCTGCGAATTCGTACTTGCGATCGATGAGAATTTGCTCCTCCTTGAGACTGTCCTGTAAATCTTTTGCCGTTTCTTCACTCATGACAGAAACACTTTTGCGAAGTCTTTCACTGCTTTGTTTCTGCAACTCATCCCATGCAGAAATCGTCTGTTGCGAAATACCCGTTTCCCTCAGCTTTTCGTACCGGTTCTGCAGCATGCGCAGTTCCTCTAGTGCCCTCCCGCGTCTCGTGCGTACGAGGCCACCTTGTCCGCTTTCAATGTTTGAGTAGTCTGGCCCCTGTTCGTTGTAGTCATTATCTTCGTTATCATCATCCTCTGCTTCGTCACCTCCACGAGTATCCACCTCTTTGGAAGGGTCAAAATCCTCGTCTTCTTCCTCATTATAAGAGTCCTCATCCGTGGCCACTTCACCAACATCTTTGGCTCTTTCAAGGTCTTCAATAGCGCTCATATTCTTCGGTATTCTTGCTCTTCAACTCGCTTTTTATACTTTGATGGTTGATCTTATTCTACTGTTGATTTATTAGGTAACTTGATATTTATCCACCTTCAATAACTACACCATTCGAATAACTTCGAGACACGTAACGACCTATAAAAGCTAGAGACTCCGACAGAGTAGCTGCCAGATTATTGTGCTGAAATAGAGCTTCAAAATGATGGGCGTTAACGGGGAAATTGAGGATTTGATACAGTCGTCGAACGTTTTGAAACGCAAGAAAGAGGACTGTCCAGAGGAACTTCTGGAGGCTGAAATCAAGCGAGTGGCATTGAACGACGAGATGGAAGAAAAAGACGATACAGAAGGAGATTTAGAGCAATCTAATGAGGGCAATAACGCTGAGATTGCGGGTGGTATTCCGGATATAGATAACGAAACCAAACAATTGCAGCGGACACATTCGAATTCTGAATTGGAAAACGATAGGGACGCAGATACTAAGGACTATATCCATTTGCGCATGCTGTGTTTGGTTAAACAGGCCTCCATGATAGTGGGTCCCGGCGGCGAGAAAATCTCGAAAATGAAAACCGAGACCAACACCAGAATTAACGTCTCGGACAACATTCGCGGGGTGCCCGAGCGTGTCATTTTCATTAGAGGCCGGTGTGAAGACGTGGCCAAAGTGTTTGGGCTAATAGTACGCGCCATAAACGACGAAAAAGCGGGCGACTCGACTCAGAACTCAACACCGTTGACACTCAATCTTTTAGTACCGCATCACATGATGGGGTGTGTCATCGGCCGCCAAGGCTCCCGTCTGCGAGAGATCGAGGAGCTCAGTGCCGCCAAATTGATGGCAGGTCCACAGACACTTCCCATGTCCAATGACAGGATCCTGTGCGTCACTGGCGTCGCAGACGCCATCCATATTGCGACCTATTACGTGGGACAGACAATTCTCAATCACAAGCCGTCGTTTGCTGCAAAAAAGTGCATTTTCTATCTTCCCAGCGCGTTGCATTCGGTACTCGTCAACAACTACGGCGTCAGCATGCAACATCAACAACAGCATCAGTACCGGCCGGGCGAAAACGGCAAGAAACGACTTCATCGCATTCCCTCATACGGCTACGCAGCCATAACGACACATCCCGCTGGTTTCGCACCCGCAGTGAGTGTAAACAATGTTAGACTGTCAGATACGGTTACGACTGCGCCAATTGTGCCTGATTTGACTTCCCGACTGAGTTTAATCCAACATGAGATTTATATTGATGATAATTACGTCGGGAACGTCATTGGAAAGCGAGGAAAGCACATCAATTCCATAAAGGAGAGCACTGGATGCTCCATACTTATCGATGATCCTGTAACTGGCTCCACTGAACGGAAAATTCTCATCAGAGGAACCCCCATGGGTAGCCAAACGGCGATTTTACTGATAAACAACAAAATCGAGACGGACAAGAGAAACAAAGAATCAAACGAACATAAAGAAGTGGATCCCACCATGAGCTTCCCGGGCTAGCTATCTGCCAATGTCTGGATTAGCTTACCCTCGAGCATATATAACTTTGGACGGAGGTGTACATCCAAATTTTAAAGAGTCAGATCTCAGAGCACTGTTGCTCATGCCGAGTACGGAGCGACCTTTACGTGAAAAGGTCGAACTGTCCCATTCGAATCACACATATGAGACCTATCGTTGATGGAATTTGATGAACGTAATGAAGAAGCTTCGTGGCGCCAGGTTTCTCGCTCGGGAACGGGACCCAATGACCTAGAAGGCTTACAATTCGTGGGATCTCATCTCCAGATTCCGGACTCTCTTGTTGATTACACAATTGCACCTGTGATGATTATGGAATCAGAAGCGTCTCCTGAAGCGCTTCGTGTTCTGTCTCGTGGTTCAAAGGCTTTGAGGCATGTTTTAAAATCCTGTAATGAGACTCTGAGCCAATGGTACGTTCTGGAGAATTATGTGAATAAATGCTGGCTTCTGTGGACTCTGATAGAATCAGCTGAAGATAAAATTTCCAATCTCCTTGGTACCGAAATTACTAGCGCGAATGGAACTGTCCCCGTGCCACCATCGGTCAGCTATTCCAGTTGGATAGAATACAAAGTTCCCGATCTTCTGAAGAGGTGGGCAGAAGACACATGTTTACACAATACGGAAAGCTCTGAATTGATGGGCGAGGTGAGTATGCGGCCTAGTCGAAAAGTAAGCACAAATCGCCGGTACAGATACGACCAGAGCAAAAGCTCGTCAATGGTTGATCCCAAAACCTATTTGCAGAGAAAATATTATGAGGCACTCTTCTCACTTCGCATACCGTTGGCCTACTTTGTGAAATCGAACCTCGTGAGGACTAAACTTTTGAGTCAAGGTCCCGACAAAAGTGACCATCTCCCTTATCAGATGCACCTGGCAGATTTAACGTTGGATATCGAGAACTTTGATAAAAGACAGAGCGAGGGTTTATTAGTGACTGATTTACTTTCAGAGGTGGCCTCGGAAATTCGCATCAACTGCTTGAATAAGCTCGAAAATTTGATAAAATCGGGCGTCCCAACTGTGATATCGGACTTACTGCTGGTCTTTAAAGTTCGGGAAATTAAATTACAGATCATTCTTCTGCTCGAGTTGATCGCTTTGAATGGTCTTGACTCAAAGCTAGACAACTTCGAAGTAAAATATAAGACGAAGCTAAAAAAACGCGTCAAGAAGGTTGCTAGAGCAGGCTTATCTTCTCGTTACAAGAAGAAAGACGTCAAAGCCCATACAAATACACAGCAGCTGGATTATTGCGAAAAGCTTGATGTGTATGTGGATAAACTTTGCATCATCGACGCAATGTTGCTTACCGATGTCTCTCTTCAAAAAAACTCACCGGCGAAAATTGTTACACCTGATAGTGCAATGCACTCAAGTCGAGAACTTAAAAAAAACATGCTCGACCCCGAGAAAGAAGCGTCGGCATCAGGCTTTATCACATACGTGTTAATACCTTACTTCAAAAAAAAAGCCCCGCATGCAGTAGCGTTTGTATCAAGAAAGTTGAAGGGACCTCATTTTGAAGCCCTGTCAAGGACCGAGAGCAAACGAAGCCCGTTAAATGCAGTCTCCGGGACCTCGAACCCCGACCTCGGTAAAAAGTCAGACCGTCCTGATTCACCGGCTTCACAAGGTGACCTACCGGCCACTTTGCCGCTAAGCGTCGAACAATTGCATCCTCCGTCGAAAATATACATGAGAGCGTCTTTACCACGTCGCCCATCTATTCTGAACTCTCGAAGCAACTCACAGCTAAGTGAAATTCTTGACATGGAGACAGGAAATTCAAAAAAGTATGGATCAGTAACGCGAGGTAATTCGGATTTATTTCTCAGCAAACTACAGAAACGTCAACTACCGGCCACAGATTTGGCCTTCGATAGCGATGCTTTGATCAGCCGAACTAAGTCAGACTTAGTCTTTCCCAGCGAGACGGAACCTGAACATTCTCAGACTAAAAGGAAGACCTCGACGGCGACTTTTATAAGAACAACGAGACGAAAAATCGAACCTAAAAAGGTGGTTTTAAGCTCGGCTGAAAAATTCAGCGTGCAAGTGGAAGCTACCCCGCATGGGAAAAGACCGGGTTTCGAGGCCGAGCATATTCGGAATCCTGCAATCATTGAGTCGCCATTGGCTTCTCTAGCCAAAGCGTCACCACTAGTGGCTCAGGAATCAATGAAAGACGGAGCTCGTCTGACCACGCCCTCCAGATCACATTCTGAAGGTCGTTTACAAGTTCCGGCGAGCGATGAAAAGATCACAGTGCGTGAATATGGTTATTCGAGACCTTTGCCAGTAGTGGTCAAGAAAAAAGTTCGCCGCCGCTTGTTTGCTCCCGAATGAAAATCATCTGTGCACTTATATCCGCTAGCTAGCTCACCAAATTACTCAGTTTGAAATTACGTCCCTTGTATATTTCCTACTAGCTTACTCGCCGAAAAAGATAGCGGCTGCAAGCTCTTTGGCGTCAGACCGTTCGACTATTTGAGATGTTATCGTGGAACCACAACGCTTCTTCAAATTGTCCTTTTCTTCGTCTGTCAGGTCACCATCATATTTTGTACCTGCTGGCAAGTCAGACTTCAAGACAATCAGCGCGTCGATAACCACGGCACACAGTAAGTGACTCTCAACCTCTGTAAATTTCCCCGTTATGGCTTCAGTCTCCTTGGCAGCATTTCCTGCATGTTCTTCGAACACTAGGTTAGCCCAACTTTGTAGGTTGCCCATAAAGAACCTCACTGACTCAGGTCCCAGCACTGCAACACCTCTTATACAACCATAGTAAGTGCCGAAGGACCTGTTGGTGTCGAGAAAGGTCTTTAGCAGAGTTCTCATTACCCGTGGCTTCAAGGATTTGTAAACTTGTGGGAACTTCTTCAAAACGTGGTCAAGAAGCGAAGCGGCAAAATCACGCAAAGCATTAGTCTTATCCAAGAACTCCTCGTAAGGACTTTTCGAATCTGGCTTTGATGAATCTGACTGCTCTTTCAAAGACTTCTGTGGTGGGGACCCGCCCAATTTTTTCGCCAAAAGTAGTGTCAATATGGAGGGCATTAGAGAATGAATATAAGGATCCAAGAAGACATGCTCGTTACTGAGAAGAGAATAGATCATTTCGAGCATTGTGGTGAGAAGCCCAAGATCGGAAAGGTTGTGAGTAATTTGTTCTGCGATGAACTGAATGAAGTACGGAACCAGCTGGTGCAGACCTGTATCTGATCGCAGCGAAGTGAGGGCGGCTGCTCTTAAATGCTGCGTTTTGTCGTCGTCTTCCTTGGAGGTGAGTGCGCTGACGACTTTGTCGAAGTAGATTTGGAGTTCTTTGGAAAGAACGTGTTTCACCAGAGGCTTGACCTCGTTGGCCTGTCCGGGTTTGATGGAAGATATATGCTGCGACTCCTTCTCTTCCGAAGCCGACGTTTGCAGACTTGTGTCATTGACGGTGGTGACAATGGCACCACGCACGATTGGAGGCTGCGACATGCGAACGTCGTTGAGACTGGGGTTCTGCGGTATCGTGGGTTGCACCCCTTCTATGGCGAGCCAATGCGTGGTGAAGGTGGGCAGTCGGGGCACCTGGGGCAACGGCTCGTTGATGAGCTTGTCGAAGTCGACTTCTTCGTCGTTCAAGAAAAACAGAGACTGGCCGCCCTGCGTTGAGATTCTCGAAAACGAGACGTCCTTGGATCTGGCCGACCCGTCCTGGTACCCGTACAATGGCTCAACGTTCAGCACTCTGAGCGCACGTGCGATGTCCTCCGTGGTCAGAACCTCTCTTTTCGCGTGTCTTTTGAACTTGACAGCCTGTTCCACGATCTCCAAGATACGGTATTCCACGTCCATTGCAAGCGATCTCAGGACATCCTCGCTGGCGTTGGAAATTCCAAGAGCGTCGGCCACGTCTTTCACTGTGTCTTGCGGAGACCAAATAGTGTACGATTGTTGTGGGTTACTCATAGTCTTGTCTTATCCTTCGATTGAGTGCTTGAGAGACTGTTGGTTAAAGCTGAGTTGACTAACGAGTTATAGTAGTACTAATTGATGTTTTTAAATTTAACTATCCGTACAAAGTGATATTACAGACCATATATGTAAAAACGAGCTGGGAATCTGAGCGGCTAAACACAACAATACCATTTTAAACAAACTTAGATTGTGAAAAGACGGACCAGGAAGCGTGGAATGTGATCCAAAAGGGTTGAGAACAGTCCTGCAATGCGTTCTTAGCGTTTATCAGAGTATATAATCGTCCAATTTGAAGAAATTAGCGTTTTCGCCTGTTCAGGGGCTTGCAGGGGAACATATCAATCGGCTGGAAGAGCAAATAGTAATGATTAATTACGTTTCTGATGCTTGATCTGATCACAATGGCAAAGATCCTGTGCTGAAAGTTCTCCAGAACTTCCTATAGCGTTGGGTCTTCGTTTATCAAATTACACTATAAGAACGACTGCGAAAGACCCAAGAAGCGCCAAAAAGAGGCGAGAAAAACCACAATCTAGATACCCAGAGGCACTGCGACGTCAGTTCTCGAAGAACAATGCCGGCCTTTTGGTGAGAAACCGAAGAAGGAGAAGGGGGTCACGTGACTATATGAGCTTCCACGTTATCACTCACAACAGCTCATCTCACCAAAACACGTACTCTTGAGTGAATCAAGAACGAGATACGACAAGGAGCACTGGCGCGGACTCACACGCTCGCAAGATCGCCCACATCTCCTCTCTCTCGTGAACCTTACCTGTCTCAACACCAGCACCAACTCCAATGGAACTCACACCGTTGCAACGCAGCGTTTTGAGTAAATACGAAACACTTTCCAAAACGCTTCACAATCTCGACGATACAATCAAGAATCTGAGAGACAATGGGTCTTCAGAATCACCAGAACAAGTGTTGCGACAACTGCGAGAAATAGAGGTGAAAATCGCGCTAGTTGGGACCCTTTTCAAAGGTAGCGTGTACTCCCTTGTTTTGCAGAGAAAAGCAGCACAGAGCGCCGAGCAAGCAAGAAATTGAGCCATGGCAGCAAGCACTACTAAATGACGACTATTATTTCCCAGATCTACACTCTATAAATCACCACTTTCCCGTCCAGGCCACACGAGGACACTTCGGTGACGTTGCCGCTACTTTCCGCATAAGGTGCAAGCTCCATAATGGCATTTTCGTGAGTGCACTCTTGAACTTGGGTCGAAACTTTGCCCTTGAGGTCCAAGTCTTTGAACTTTCTCAAAGCAGAGATACCAAACGACGGGTTTTCATCTTGATCATCGCCCCCCTCAAAGCTCGCAGCCACAGGCGTTCGAGAAGCAACGCTCTTGTCGATATTCTTGGAGAACTGCCAGCCATTGGCACCCTCCGAGAACAAAACTGGATGGCACGAAAACCCGCCACACACGGCTTCGTGGTCATTCACCCAGACTACAGACGTCAAGGGGAGGCCCTCCGGGTATTCAGCGGTCAAAATCTCGTCCGATGCGTCGACAACATTGAAGGTACCATTGTGAGTTACAAACGCCAATTTTTCCTGCGATCCTCTCCAAGCAACGCCATGGATCCACGCGCCATCGTACCACTCGCGAATAAGAGCTCCAAAAGGAAACTTGTCGGCCCAAGGCGAGTTGGAAACCTGCTCTTTGGAGTCCAGACCCTTGACAAAGCCCGAAAACGCACGCACGTATCCGTCAGTTCCACCACAGGCAAGCATTATTCCATTGGGGTGCCACGACAAGCAATTGACTGTGGACTTGATGGGCTTTTTAATGTGCTTCGAAACCCACCAGTCATTCTCCTGCTCGTAGTAACAAATAGCGATGATTCTAGCCGATGACCCCACCGCAAATTTGTAGCCGCTTGGAGCCCATTTCACACATGTTGCAGCCCTGTTGATACGTAAAAGCACCAAAGTTGGCTTATAGGAGCCATCGCTCAAGGGCTCCCACACAATTGCGTTTCTATCTTGCGAACAAGTGACAATTCTTCCGTGAATTGAGATGTCTACCGAGGTCACGGTCTTGTCATGATCCGGTAGAGTCGCTACCAATTGCGGTTTTCCATTTGGGATCAACCGGAACACCAAACAATCACTGTTCAGAGTTAGAGCTAAAATCGACCTATCCTGCGAGAAACAGTGGGAATAAATGGGAGCTTTCGCAAGCTTATAATTAACAACAACAGAGTCAGACATTAGGAGACTCTCGACTAATGCAAGCGGTAAAGAAAGTGGTTTCTTGTTCAGTTCTAGATAGGATTGAGTTTTACCTTTTTATCAATCAGTTCTCCATAATAGGAGCAAGCTAGACAGTGAAATGATCGTGCACGTGACATCAATGAGTTCCAAGGCTGAAATACATGGCCGTGAGGGATAGGACTCTCCAGTTCCCGTCAATTTGTTTGCTGCGTTCACTGTTGTATTTTTGAGGGCTACCGGGCTTGTAAGTGGGTTCGTGTGGTAGATGTGTCTCGACTCTATTTTTTTTTTTGAATTGATTCATAGGCAGCAAATTAGGCAAGTGTGGGCAAAACAGTGGGTCTCATTGACACTAATGCTAATGAGCTTTCTTGAGCCTGAAGAGGCTCCGATTTTGGATCAGGCAGCTCAACGAAATCCTCGATTACAGCCAAAGAAATGATGATAATTTCAAAATGACTACTACGGAAGTATCAGGTACAAATGTACCCCTTGAACTTGCAATTATAAGCATAGGAGCACTCTTTGATGGATTTCAGATCATTGTTTCGCTACTAGAGCTCCATTCAGAGTCATACGCTTGAACTGTTACGATGACAGATGCCAGGCCGCAAGATTAATATTAATGGATTTTTTATTATGTTCAACAGATAAACTTACGCCAAATTGAACCTAGGCGAAGATCTCTAATAGTACTGCAAATGGCACAGAGCCTTTCTGGCCGCGAAAGTCCCGCTCTTTGCCTGGCGTTTCGAGAACACCGACCATCATCACTTTTCCCCAGGTCTTCACCTCGTAAGTCATGATCTGGCAAAATTTTATGCAGTAATGGCCAGTACCGCGAGCTCATCGGCATCTCATCTCATCTTTCACAGCATACAACAAACAAGTTTCCTGTTCAGATCGTTTCTTTGAGAACACTGCAAATATCAATGAGGCTTTTAGTGGCGTGCGACGATAGCGGCAGCATTAAGGAAGTGGTATGTAACCGCAAGACGGATACCTCGGTCCAAACGGCACCTCAGCCTTTCCACATAGGAGTGCATCTTTCAGAAGGTTTGGATAGCCGAGTCGAAAAAATGGAACAGATTTTCGACAATCGTTTGCTTATAGCAAGAGCAAATGGCGTAGTTCAGCTTGTGGAAATCAGTCTAGTTCCCAGACCTTCAGATGGCCAAAGCTCAGAACTAGAGCCTAAGTTTGATGTCATGGATCTAAAGGTGGTGTCATCTGTCCAGGGTCTTCTGGACGACGTTCCTCTCCAGGATCTACACAAAAAATCCAAGAAAAGGTCCACGCCTAGAGACGGGTTTGTAGCCATGCAGCTCATACCAGGTTGTTCAAACAGGGTGTTTTGCGCGACAAAATCTGGCAGAATTCATATATTGAGCCTGAAAAACAGCACACTTAACATATACAAGAGCCACTCGGTCAAGGCGCCTTTGGAATTTGCGCAAATATACGATAACAAAGCGATCAAACCTCAAAAGAAGGCATCCACAACCTTTGCGTTTGGCGGTGAGGAAAATCTAGTGAAGCTAGCCAAGCTTTCTGCAGATTTTAAAAAGCTGGAAAATTTTTGGGAAGCCAAGAATGTTTCTAATGACAGATTAGACCTCAAAGTCCCTATTTGGCCCATGCGACTCAAATTTTTGAATACACCATCTGGAGACAACTCCGACACCGATGACTACCACTTTCTCGCCATAAATCGTCTGGGCCACTTACGCGAATATCGAACAAGCACAGGCCGTAAGCCAAAATCATCATATGCACTTCTATCAAAGAATGAAGCCGCAACTGGCCTTCAGGTATTCAACGCAGACCTTACACCCTTGGGCAATGTCAAAGCGGACACCGTTGATGATTTAAAAATTGTCATCACTGACTCTAAGAGAAATGTGTTCGCGTTCGACAGCTTTCCAAGAGCCATAGGAAAATACGGAGCCGGAGATATAACCGGTGCGGCCACATTTGTGAATGTGGTCAACAACAAGCTGCTGCTGCAGTGCGGTCTTGATAGATATGTTCGTGCTTTCGACGTCGAATCGCGCTCGGTGCTCTGTAAAATTTACGTGGGAGCCAAAGCAAGCTCTGTTTTACTCATAGACGATAAGGAGATTGACGTACCGCAACCTGAAAGCTCAAATAAGAAGAGAAAAGCTACCGAAAAGAACTCAGAGGCAGAAGCGCTCGAGAATGAGGAGCTTTGGAGCACTCTAGAAGGATCAGCTAAAAAGGTAAAAACCGGTTAAGGAATTTACGTGATTTTCATGTTTCGAAGAACTAGGTAGTAAAAGATATAATTAAGGCATTACTTTAGACATTTTTTTATCGTGTCCGGTTTTCCTATTATGGTTGGCCCTAGATGCTTTGTTCTTCTCCTTCTTAGCGTTTTGTCGGGGTTTGTTTCCAGGACCATTTGCCAGTGCTCTTCTGGGCTGTGTCTTTTGATCGTCTTTCGAAACGTGGCTATTATTTCTATCATCTCCGGAGCCATTTCTGTTTTGGACAAACGCTCTCTTTCCAGTGCGAACGTTCCCCTTGAACATGTACTTTTCTTCGAGCACTTGAGCTCGTTTTGGACTTCGTTCCAACATGCGCGCCCAGCCTTCAATCTGTTCGTCAGACCAAGAAGTCGTGAACTTCATGTCTTTTCTAGTTTTTGAGCCTCTGCCAGACCTCTCAAAGAGGGTTTTGTTGTCCTTTAGAAGTTCCCATAAGTAACCTTCCGCTTTTTCGTATGAGCTCTCGCTATTTGATTTGCTCCCTTCATCTGGAACCGCCATTGGTTGAGCTTCTGCATCATCGTATGTATCGTCTTTTTCGTCTTCGTCGGCTTGATATAGAAGTGAAAGAGCTCTGGTCAACGTCTTGTTTCTCACCTCATCGGGAACATGATCTACACTGACTGTCTCCTTTGAAACCCTATCACTTTTCTTGAGCTCGCTTTGAAATTCTGTTGTCTTCAAATCTTTTACAGTTGATGGAACAGGCGCTCCGTATGTCAATTCTTCCTCAGCTTCCAGTGGGTCATCGAAAAGGCTTTCAATTGTCCGGTCTACATTCCCATGAAAAACCTGGAGTCTTTTTACGATCTGGCCTTGGGTCAAAGACGGAAAGAGTTCTGAAATGATGAGGACGTCTTCTGATTTGATGGTGAGCGAACGTGCTTCGATTTTATTTTCTAACAGCGGTCTTAGGAACGGCAGTTTTGATCTGAGGCCCGTTGGGTGTCTCGCTGATGAATTGTTTAGCAGTAAAGATGCCATCAAAGGGTATAGTTGAAGAGTTTCCAAAGTGTTGACGTTCAATTCTGACATCACCTCGACTATCCTGTTCTCAGATGCGCAAACATATGTCAGAATACCTAGATTCTTGGCGTTGGCTATTATAAACTTTGAGTCTTGTTTGAACCAAGATTCCAGGGTTTCGGCCCATTTTGCAGTGAGAAATTGGTTTGCAAAAGAGTTTGCTCGTTTTCTTTCTTTGTCTGATAGAAGACTTTCCAGAGCTTTGAGATCCACTCTTGAAAACCTGGAATTATCTACAAGTTGCTTCAGATGCTGGTGCAGCTGATACGTTCTGTTAAGATGTGCTTTTTGGGTGTTGATTTTAGGCTTCAGAGTTCCTTGAACCAATGAACGCACGGTTGCTGGATTATCTCTCGCATACAGCTTCACAAAGTCCCATAAAGTGTCACACGAAATCTGTAGATGCAACAAGCCACAATCCTTCACTAGGGCTAGAATCCATCTTCTCAGAAGTTGCAACTGCTCCTGCACATCATTGTTCATCCCAAGACTTAAAAGTTTGCCCTCTTCGTCCGACAGCTCTCGCAAATATTGTCGCACAAACAGACACATATTTTCGTAAGTGGAATCGTCCAGTAACTCCAGTCGACCTTCGCACATCAAATAAGCGAAATATTGGTTATAAGTTTCGAGCAAATGTAGCCATATAACCGGATCTTTCTCAACCATTGCTGCTCGCAGTTTGAATGGCGGGAACTTCACGAACGGTAGCGAGATTTTATCACACCCGTTGATTTCTAATATCTTTTGCCGACTTCCACCACTCATCATGATGCTAGCTCTTCGCTTTTAGCTTGTACTTCACTGTCACTCTCTTCAAGTTGGCACCATTTTAGAAGATTATGAACAAATTGAATATTGACATTTTTGCTAAATCCAAGAAAGCACGAAGTTAAGCGAAACCGGAGACCTTGAGCATTTGGGATTATATATAAGGGTCTCCAAACAACTCACCAGAGGACAGGTGCTCATAATCCGACTTTCAGCGCTTCAATCAGAGCTCAGATCGCTAAGATCTGTGTCTTAACAGATATTTAGAACAATCAGGAAGTCACCAGTCTGAGAAGGTTCGATATCGAGGAAGAAAGCGAAACTCGAGGGTTAAGCAAGGATTTGGTTTGTATTTTTCCTATATGTCGCGATTTTTTGACCTTCCAGGGTCCCACAAACCGCCGAATGCTGCCGAAAGTGATTTAATACCGATACAAGGTCGTCGAGCTAGTCTCACGTACTTCGATTATGGTGCAACGGAAAGAGCTCCCAAAATCTCGTCAAAGCTAGATCCAGAAAACCCAAACAAAGACAAGCTTGGGACGTTCGAGGGCGTGTTTGTACCGACGACCCTGAACGTTCTGTCGATTTTGATGTTTTTGAGATTTGGCTTTATTATAGGGCAGATGGGCGTGCTGGGAACCATAATTTTGCTTATTCTGAGTTACGGGATCAATCTGTTGACTACTCTGAGTATATCTGCCATCTCAACAAACGGTACCGTTCGTGGTGGGGGTGCTTACTACATGATATCTCGGAGTTTGGGTCCGGAGTTCGGTGGCTCCATCGGGCTCATCTTTTTTCTGGGCCAGATGCTCAACAGTGGCATGAATGTATTGGGTGTGATAGAACCTGTGATGTACAACTTCGGTTCCAAAATCGACCAGGAGACCCCTGCTATTTATCCATTGCTGAATCGTGGCTACTGGTGGGAGTTTCTCTACGCCTCATTGATACTCTTGTTTTGTCTAGGAATTGCATTGGTTGGATCAGCTACCGTCTCAAAGGCCGGTAAAGTGCTCTTTTGGCTACTTCTTTTCTCTACGTTGTCAATTCCCATTTCTGCTCTTTTCGTTTCGCCGTTTAATGACGGCGAGATCATATACACTGGGCCATCCCTACAAACACTCAAAGAAAATTTGTATCCACACTTCACAAAGAAAGCAGCAGGCTCGCTTTTAAAGGGAAAGGAAACCTTCAACGATCTCTTCGGGATTTTCTTCCCTGCAACGGCTGGTATCTTCGCAGGTGCCGGGATGAGTAGTGAATTGAGGAAACCGTCTCGGTCTATACCCAAGGGAACACTTTGGGGACTAATGGTTACCTTCTTTTGCTACCTGATAGTGATCTTCACTATTGGTCTCTGCGTTCCGCGTGAGTCTCTTCACAGAGATGTTCAAATTATACAAACCATTAGTGCATCTCAAGTCGTGATTCTCATAGGCGAACTTTCAACGTCCATATTTTCCATCGTTGTTGGTATCGTGGGGGCAGCTTTCGTTCTAGAAGCGATCGCTAAGGACTGCATTTTCCCAGGCATATCAATTTTCGAGAAACACCCGGTTTGGTCTATTTTGTTTACGTGGCTTTTGACTCAACTTTGTCTGTTCTCAGATGTCAACCAGATTGCAACCTTCATCACAATGACGTTCCTAACAACTTTTGTTGTGATGAACCTGGCTTGCTTTCTTCTTGAAATATCTTCGGCCCCAAATTTTAGGCCTTCATTCAAATACTTTGACTGGTATACCGCGTGCATAGGCGGAGCTTTAGCAATACTAGCAATGCTAATTGTTGATGCCGTTTCAGCTTTTCTGGTCATACTAGTCATATCAGTAATTTTTGTTGTGATTCACCTATTTTCTGCCCCGAAGCCGTGGGGAGACGTTTCTCAGAATATCATATACCATCAGGTTCGCAAGTATTTGCTGCGTTTGAGGCAGGATAATGTAAAGTACTGGAGACCGCAGATTTTACTTTTAGTGGACAACCCTCGAACTAGCTGGTCCCTTATTAAATTCTGCAACAATCTTAAGAAAGGAGGCCTGTACGTGCTGGGACATGTTACGGTTGGTGAAAGCTTTCAAAGTGAATATGAGGAGATGAGAAAGCAAACGCGTGCATGGGTCAAGATTAGAGATATGGCAAACATTAAAGCGTTTGTTCAAGTGGGAACTGGACCTAGTCTTCCTTGGGGTGTGAGGAATGTGTTTCTGGGCTCTGGATTGGGCGGTATGAAACCTAACATAACTGTTATAGGATTTTTCGATCTCGAAAACTACTACAAAAACAAAGGCAGACCAGAGGTCACAAGCATCAAAAAGAGACACGCAAAAACCCTTTCCGGTCTACCAGCCAGTCGTCAGAAAAACGGTAGTGTAGCAGTCGAAATTCCAGACGACCTTGGCCTGCTACCGACGGATGTTTGCAAAAACGAGAAAAAGATTAAGGCGCAACAGTGGGTACAAATAATCGAAGATCTCTCTCTAATGCACAGCAACATTGCAGTTGCGAGAATGTTTAAAGATCTCAATCTACCGAATAAGCACGATAAATGCGAAAAGAAAAAGTACATTGACCTTTATCCTATTCAAATGTCTGCCAAGGTAGAAGTTGAAGACGATTCGTCGGAAGGCGTCACTGCCACCAATTTTGACACCTATACTTTGATATTGCAGCTGGGGACTATCCTAGTCACAGTGCCATCATGGAAAAGAACGCACTGCCTCAGAGTTGTGGTATTCATTGAAAACGAATTCGAAAAGCACGATGAGAACAAAAGAATAAGCAACCTTCTCAATTTACTAAGAATTGAGGCTGAAATCGTTGTGGTTTCTCTTGATCAATTCCGGGTTTACAACACCATAATCAAAGGTGACCCAATAAAAATGGAACATGTTAATAAAGTATTGAAAGATGACCCTTGGTGGATAGAGCTCACGGAAGCAAGAGGCAGTCACAAAACGAAAAGAAGGTTCAGTACCATCGCGACTCCAAGCAACGATCAGAGAAGAGGTCTGGGGAAAAATGTTCCCCGATACGATGTTTCGCAACTGCAGCGACTAGGTGTCTCGATGTCTATGAAATCGAGCTTCCTGAAAGACGATTTTAGATTTCCAGACGGATCCGAGGATGACGAACCTGATCTGGATCCAGACTCTGATGCTACAGAGGAGCCATTCAGGACCATAAGAGGGAAAGAAATTGATAGAATGAGACAAACCCTTTCAGCTTTCTCAGCGGAAGTTCAGAAGAATACCTCGCGGTCAAAACCTCTTAAAGTTTCTGATGAGAGATCTGTTCGATCCTTGATGCCAGTGTTCTCCAGCGACGCACTTCCCAAAACTAAGGTTATTGAAGACGCGAGTGGCGATGAACCTTCTTTGATTCCTGTTGTCGAGAATAGTAGTGTTAACTCATCAGTTCTAGAGAGTGGCAGGAAAAAAATGCTCCCTCCTCTTTCCCCATGCCAGTCTACCGAAAGCGTACTAGCAGATCTCAGAAGCTTAACATTTAATGACGTCCCTAGTCGGGGCCAGCATCTGATTTTAAACGACGTTATGACTCAGGTTTCGAGAAAGTCAGATCTTATATTCTCGACACTGCCTCTGCCTCCTCTAAACACTCACAAAAGTGAGGAGGGAAGCCTCGAATACATTGAGAATCTCAATGTCTGGCTAGCGGGCTTGCCGCCTACGATGTTGATGAATTCCAAGTCTACAACCGTGACCACAGCTCTATAATAGACATCTAGAAAAGATTTGATCCATATTATTATTATCTGACTTTTTTGAAAGCGAATACTGTGTAGAAATATGATGCTGCCTCTTTCTCGTCGCCTTCAACACCTAATTTGCCATCACTACGTTGCAATCCTTCCAGCATTCTGGGCGAGAATTTATTCAACCAGTTAGGAATTTCTTGAACAAAGAAAGTGTTAAATGGCATCTGTAGCTCGAGTTCTAGCCCGTATTCATCAGCCAAACTTCTGAGGGATTCGAACGGGATGACATATTCGGGAACATTGTCGATAGCGTCCTCAAGCCAATAAGTGTACATCTGACCAAATGGGGGAGAAAATTCGTTATCATTTTTCTGGTAATCGTTGTTCTCGAACGTTACTTTGTAAATGGAGTTTCCCCATGATGGCTTTTCAACGTCCTTAGGGAATTTGTTCAATTTGAACCGAATGAACTCAGAGTCCGGGATAGTTCCAAAAAAGTACCCCCCAATCCTCAAAGACTTGGTGACATTCAGAAGCGTGCGTCTTGCCTTTTCCTCAGATTCAAAAGCGTAGTGTAGACAAAATTGCGCCGATACCACATCGCAAGGAAACCGACATTCGGAAAACGGTTCTACAGCTGTGCCCAGCGATTCGCCGAAGCAATCCCCAGTAATGAGCACGACTTGGTAGTCCAGGTTGCCCATAGACGAGAATCGTTTTTGGGCTTCTACAATCGACGCATTGGAAATGTCAATTCCGATGAATTGCGAAATCCCAGCCGCGCCATATTTTCTGAGATCACCTCCTTTCCCACAACCGAGTTCCAGCACTACGTTACCGGGAAAAGTAAACTTGTCGATCAACATGTACTTGATGGCGTTATTGAAGTTTCTGAGCTTGATGATGGGGGACAAATTTCTTCGTCTCCGTTTGGCCACAAAAGTTCGTTCGTTGTAGTGCTCCCGAATGATTTGGTCCACATTGACTACTTTATTGGCTGTCATGTCGATCTCATGTCTTTTGATCTGCTCTTCGCGCATTCTATTTAATTGGCTTTTCTTGCGTCTCTCGTCAACATCGTAACGCTGTCGTCTACGCTTTTGCAAACGAAAAGCGAGTTTCTCTGGCTCCTGATCTTGCGTCACTTCTTCTGGCGTTACCTGCTCTGCTTTCTGGTCTGATTCCTCATCAATTGCATTTGATTTCAACTGTTCTTCTTCAGGCTGTTTTGTAGCTGGTTTTTTGACCTTTTCTTCGGCAAAAGTTCCATATTGCCTGTCGTACTGTTCTTGGCTCATCCAAATGGGCTTTTCCGGTCTCAAACCCATCTTTGGCTGACCTTTATGATCGTTTTCTTCCCAGTTCGATTCTACAAGACTCATTATAAAGTTTACAAGTAATGTACAAAACTTCTCTAACCCAGATCAACAACACAAACCATCGTAAAGATCGTACAGATTTCTTGCTTGGCTACTGAGAATGAGTACTGTAAGTTCTGAAGAGAAGAAGAGACTGCTACTCGAAAGAAAGAGCAAATGGATCAAGAAGAAGGCAGAGTTCGCATTAAAAGATCAGCATGAAACTAACAAGAATAATAGCGATGGTCAAAACGAAGAGGCCCAAAGTGAGAAGCTAGCTAGCCGGAGAGCTAAGCTAGATACATGGCGTCAAAAAAGAGAGGCAAAATTGAAGAGCTCCGGTGCCGAAAAGGCTGGTACAGCTCAACAAGATGCTGCTCAAGTGAAAGGTAAAGGCAACAAGAAACGGGCATTTGACGACAGTGATGATGAAGAAGGACCCATAGAGACGAAATTGTTTCGACCCGTGGATTTCAAGGACACAGATGGTGAAAACGAGGCGAATTTCGAGCAAAGGCAAGATGATAACGGTGTCGATGACCCACTGGAATTATATTTACAGACTTTGAACCAGCCTCAAGAACAGCGTAGCTCCAGACTATGCGCATCGGAAGCGTTGGAAGATATCGGTGACGCCGAAGAATCTTTTGGAAATGACCAGGAGCACGACGAAGTGGAGGCTGAATATAGACGTCTGAGGAAAATGAAGTCCAAGAAAAGAGTGAAAAAACTCTCTGTAGAGGACAACGTCTTTGAGCCCTTCACCAAATCGTTTTACGTCGAACCAGAAGAGATCAAGGCTATGACAGAAGCAGAGGTCAGCGAGCTAAGGTTGGGTCTCGACAACGTGATTATAAAAGGACAAGACTGTCCACGTCCTATAATAAAATGGTCTCATTTAGGTCTGACTACAGACGTTATGAATCTTATCACTGACGAGTTCAAGTTTCTGTCCCCTACTCCCATCCAGGCCCAGGCAATCCCTGCGATCATGTCAGGACGCGACGTTATTGGCATATCAAAGACAGGATCTGGAAAGACAGTTTCCTTCTTTCTACCGCTACTGAGACAAATTAAGGCTCTGCAGCCGCTTTCAAGAGACGAAACTGGCCCGCTGGGTTTGATTTTGGCGCCAACGCGAGAGCTGGCCATTCAAATTCACGAAGAGGCCTGTAAATTTACGAAAGAAACGCCAACTATAAGGTCGATTTGCTGCACTGGAGGCTCCGAATTGAAGCAACAGATTAATGATCTCAAAAGAGGAGTCGAGATTGTTGTGGCAACACCTGGAAGATTCATAGACCTGCTGACGCTGAATGCTGGAAAGCTAGTTAATACGAAACGTGTCACATTTGTGGTGATGGATGAGGCTGATAGATTATTCGATCTCGGCTTTGAGCCCCAGATTACTGAGATTATGAAAACTGTTCGTCCTGACAAACAATGTGTTTTGTTTAGCGCTACTTTCCCAACAAAGCTCAAATCTTTTGCATCTAGAATATTGCACAAGCCCATTAGCATAACCATAAACTCAAAGAGTTTGATCAATGAAAATATCCAGCAGCAAGTCCAAATTTTCGACTCTGATCAAGGCAAATTCGAAGCCCTTATGCAATTGCTGGATTCTCAAATTAAGTATGATCATGAAATTGAGGAAGATCGTGACGAGAAAACAATTGTATTCGTTTCGAGTCAGCAAATTTGCGACTTGATTTACAACTGCTTGCTTGATCAAAATTACACAACATTTGCCATTCATGCTGGCAAACCATACAACGAACGGGCTTCTAACCTCGAAAAATTCAAATCCACTAGAAACGGTGTCCTTCTGTGCACAGAAGTATTATCGCGCGGGCTAAACGTACCCGAGGTGTCGCTTGTTATAATCTATAACGCGGTCAAAACGTTTGCACAATACGTTCATACCACTGGGAGAACTGCGAGGGGCGATAAGCACGGCGTGGCCGCCACTCTTTTATTGAATGACGAACTGGCAGCTGCCTATATTCTCAATAAGTCATTTAGGGACAAGGAGCTGGATTCTCTGTCTACCGAAAGTCGAAACCTGCTCAAAAAAATGGCAGAAAAGTTTGAATCTGGTATGAAGATCGGGAAGTACAGATTAACTAAGGGCTTCGGGGGCAAAGGCCTCGAGCATATGGAAAAGCTGAACGACGAGAAACAAGACATAGAGCTGAAGCAGTACGGCGTGGTAGATTACAAACCGGGCAATAAAGAAGCGGCGGATGAAGATAATGAAACATTAAATCAAGTCTCAATTCCAAAGCTTGAGTACGTCTTTTTACAAAACAAAAACTCAAATGGTCAAGTAACATACAGCGCAGAGGTTAACGTGAACGATCTCCCGCAAATGGTCAGATGGGAGGCCACCAAGAACACCACGCTTTCATTTGTGATTCACGAGACCGCTTGTAGCATCACCAATAGAGGGAAATATTATCCAGAGGGAACAGGTCCAAAAAGTGCACAGGACGAGCCTAAGCTCTATCTTCTAATTGAGGGTCAAGAGGAAAAAGACGTGAGGCTGGCTATTGAACTGCTGGAAGAGAAAGTGAGGGAAGGTGTTAAAAAGGTCAGTGCGCAAGAAAGTAGAAGTAATAAATTCTAGCTACACTAGTAAGGCCATTGGATTGGCAGTCCATTTGTTGGTTAGTACTTTTTCTGTTGTTACATATTAAACAACATGCTTATATAGCTCATCAATCATATACGAGAGCCGTTTCTTTCTCTGTTCGTCGGCTCTCTGCGTTGTCTTTTAGATGTGCATTCAATGTTTTGGCTCGCTCTTTGGCTAATTTCTTACCAAGCTCGCCGTTTTTTAGCTCTTTCTGTGACTTTTCAAACCTCTCCGCCGCGGCCAAGCCAGCTGCACGTCGAGCAGGGAAGTCCTTCTCAGTCGCACCTCCAAGCGTTTTGCCTGCAACAGCGTTCTTTTCCTTAGTCTTGGCTTCGTGATGCGATTCGTTTGATCGAAAAGCTTGTGAGTTTCGAGCTCTACGAGTAGTTTGGGTCGCAGAAGAATTGGCAGGACGAGAACCATCTTTGGAGCTCTTCTTGCTAAGACAAGAGCCCATTATCTGCAGAATTGGGCTAGGCGATGAAGTTGCAGTCCTGCAGTAATACCTTTTTAAGAAAATGTTTACCAACTAAGTCCTGTACAGAATTTAGTGCTCAGTTCGAGCGAGAGACGTCAATGGTTTCGAGTCAACTTGACGCGATGGCACTTGGAACTCTCTTCTCGAAAAACTATGTCTTCATGATAATCATGGCATGAATTAAGAACATATATCATACATCAAATATAAAAAGATCATAACGGGACAGAATCGACAAACTGGGCTGAAGATGAGAAAAATCATTAGATTAGTCTCAGTTCTGTGGTCTCAGATTGTGGAATTGAGGAATATAGACGTCACTGACATCCAAATTGTTAAATTTGGGCAGAGCTTGTTGCAACACTGGGTATTTGACAGCTGTGCCCGAGGTCAGGCGTGAAAGTTGTCTGGAGTCACGGCAATAGGGGCTGTAACGCTTGACAATCTTCATGTAGAGTTCTAACCGGTTTTCGGGCATCTGGTGGTGTTGCTGCTGATGTTGTGGGGTTTGTTGTGGAATATCGTCAAAAGCGCCGGAAGCAGTGGCAGCCTGCATGGCGGCGTTGAAACCATCGCTGCTGTAAATGTCTTCTGGTTGAGAGGAGCTGTTTTGGGTCCAGGTGACGGTGGCGTCTCTCAAAGCTGCCCAGTCGGCGTTAGCAATGAAGGATTGACCAATCTCGTCGGATTTGGAAACAAGGTTACACCAACGCTGGAAGATCTCTTGGTTGGTAGCTTGAACGGATCCCATGGATTTAAGCAAAATACGGTAGGCAACTATGGTTCTTGGAGTCTGGTATAAATCGTACGCTTTGTCGATGGACTCGATGATTTGGCGGTCCTTCCAGACAGTACATTTGGCGAGGATGATGTTGAAAAAAGGCTCATCGATAGGCTTGATTTTGTTGTAAGTGGAGATCATTTCTTGCAACTGCTGGAGTCCTGTTAGCTTGTCTTGGGAGTAGTATTCGAAGAAGATATCGAAGAACGTATCGTTCAGCGAAGAAGAGATACCGTGATTTACGTCGCGACCGTAATGCACCGAGGACTTGTACCAAATGTCGTACACCTTTTGGAAGTCGCGAGTTTGGGACCAAATGTTTCGTAGGAAAGACTTGACGTAGGAGACCTGCAGGTCGATTTTGTACGGCATCTCATTGTTCAATGCTTTGTCGAAGAAAGCCTGGGAAATGGAAAGATCTTTGCACTCTCCGATAAAAGAGAGATGAGTCTCTATCAAATAACCATACTTCATTTCACTTGACTCTTCGCATAGCTTTTGGAAAAGGTTGAGGGCCATTTCGTTCTCACCTGCGCTCAAAGAAGCGCGGATCATACCGACCGAGAGATTTGGATGGAAGTAGTTGATCATGGCAGAAGATTTCTCGTAAAGCTCTTGGATCTCTGCGTAAGTTACGCCATTGTCGTACAGAATGGGTAGCACGACACCCACAACTCTAGGGTTGAGGAAGATGTTGGCGGTGTAGTTGTTGCTGCCATTGATAGCAGAACGCCATATGCTGACTGCTTCTTCCAGAAGAAGTAGCTCTTTGAAAGCTGTGATCAAGTGCATCGCACCGTACTCGTTGAGCTCGACCTTACCGGATAGCGCGTCTTGCGAAATTTCACGTAGCGACTCGCACAAATAGTTGGTCATCTCCTTGTGGAAAGATTGTGAGTCATAGTCAGGTTTTTTGTTCATGCGCGTTAGCTGGTTCCGGTTGGCGCGAAGCCCGTTATGCAGAAGATGCACAAGTTTTGAGACGCGATCGCTGTTAAGCTCTGGAGTGCCGAGAAGCTCACGATACAGCCCCATGGCGCGGCCTATGGAGTCCCAAAAGAGCGGGTTGGTATTTCCTCCGGACATAGACTGTCCACGACGCGCGTTGTTGTTTCCGTTATTGTTGTTGTTATTGTTGTTACGTCTGCGTGGTGTTTGGGATAAGTACAGCGTTTGTGCGACACAATCTTCGAATGCACACACTTTGTGGAACCATGGCGAGTCTGGTGTGGCCGCCAGCTGTTTGTCAATTTTGATATTTCTGCGCATTGCCCGCACCTTATCCACAGCCTTGGCAGCATGTGGGGAGGCAGCGGCAGCGGCCGCTGCTGCCGACTCCTGTGAGGGCGTCCGTTCCATAGCTACGGCAGAATTAAGCCGCAGCGAATGGTGGAACGGCGACCTAGCGCTGGCCGACACGATCTGGTTAGAGACCCTGGTCTTGAGCACATGTGAGTGTTGCACAAATCTCAACATCTTGATGAATATGGGATTTTGATGTGGGTTTTTGATATCCTGGACGCTTTTACTTTGGTCCGTATCTTCGCTAGTAACTTTGAGTAATTAGCTCTCTTAAGATATACCCAGAAAGTGAAATGTTGAACTCTATGAGATGATGATAAGTCGTTCCACGCCTGCTCGATAACGTACCGAGCTTTAATAGTACCGGTTTAGATGAGCTCTTGACCACGATGAGTTAGGAACATGGTGTGAGAGCCAACGATGCGATGCCAGAGTGGTGTAGAAAAAAAAAAAATGGTTAATGCGAAGCTGACGGCGGACGAAAAAGGAAAACGCCTGGCTAGCTGGTCACATGAAGAGAATCGGTGACGTTGATGTGTCTTGGGAACGGCGGTAATCGAGGTAGTTTCTGGTGGAAACGTGGGAACGAGCAGGTTAAATCCGCGGTGTTCGGATCTGGAAAAAAGTTGAGTGAAAGAAACGGACGCAGGCAAACGGAGGAAGACGGGTGGGAAGAATGTCAGTACAAACCTTCAACGAGTCCAACGGATGGCTTTGTACCGGACTTTAGCACTGGCAAGGCCAGAGACGTGAGCGAGCTGGTGAGTCTTTTGGTATGGTTTGAAGATGTGCGTACAGGAAGAATATCTTGAAGGTGAGTGCTTAAGTAAGCTGCCAAACAGGCTATGTGCGCGAGTACATCGCGAGTACATCTCAAGTCCATCCATGATTGAGGGCGTTGAGGGCCCTGGCACTGAGAGGCACAGTGGGAAAAGAAGATTTGCACAGCATTACTCAAAATTGGAAGAGAGCTTTAAGCTTACGCTGCGCTGTGCGTTGTGTGCCGTTTTGCATATGGTCAAGTTAGCGTGGAACAATGTCATTCATTACACAACAGTCGCGCTCTTTGTCGGGACCTTCAGCGCATATGATACAGGCTTTTACATCCACTTCGTGCTAAGACCAGCGATTACAATGAACTTTTCTGGGTTGTCATGCAAAAGTGGCCCAAAAACCGCTCTTTGTGGCGCTGTTTCGCTCTCATTTCACTAATCCCTGAACAAGGGGCCCTATTAGTCAAGAGGATGGTAGTTGGAGCACTCATGTGGGAGGTATGCTCAACATTGTTGTGTTATTAGTGGTGGTTAGAAGGTCAAAAGATGATTTTGGGGGATCTGTTTTTGTGTATAGCCGCGGACATGCACGCTCGTGTAACGTGATTATGATTCTGAAAATTGAAAAATTTTAATCACGTGACTGGAATGGATTATTGTTGTTGTTGACTCTGACACGAGAAGAGGTTCAAGGTTGGGTGCCACGTCAATGAGCTCTTTCATTAATCAGACTCTTTGTTTCAGTCTGAGTACTTAAATTTTTATCTATCCGTGAGGTCTTCGTGATTTGAAAAGGCTTATTTGAAAGGTGGTTTGTTCTTCTGCACTACCGGGAACACAGGATCGGTTTTGGCACTTATAATATTCGAAGTTTCCCCTAGACAAAGCTCTGAATTTCCTTCTCGCTTGCAACTTTTATGCTCTAGTTTGTTGTTCTTTCTCTATCTCCATATTATAACGTCGCTTTCTATTTTTCTGTCATAGCGCACTATATATGATATATGAGCCTTCAACTGTGTAAAGACAAAGCGTCAAAATGCGCTAAGGCCAAACAACACAAGTAACACTTTCATACACGAAACACGTCGAGATCAGACAGATCTAACGCTTCTCGTGGTAAATTCATCCTTTTCTTGAACGGCCCGTCTGTCTTTGAGACCTACCTCAAAGCCTAAAACGTGCAATGGAGTCGTATACTTTTTACAGGGTGTTCAAACTGTTCCCAATGTGCCATAGAACTGAAGAGGCATTTTTTTGGCTCAAGATTAATCCCGGAAGCTACGTCCCATGATATCCATTCATCACTACAAAAGCCACGACGCCATCTAGTCGTTTCTCTACTCAGCTCTCCACCCACATGGACCTTTTCTCGTTCGTGGTGATATTTATTTTTCATCACTAACGACGAAACATTCAAATCAAAACACGTAGAAAACACTATATTCAACTATTTACCTTTAGCCAGACAGAACGACGACTGGATAGCCAACGGACCCACGATACCCTGTATTGTCCTACGTACTGTACCCGAATTTGCGTACCTTCTCGAGGACCTAAGCTTCACTGATACCCCACATCCATTTCTCGTTCAAATAGCGTTCCATTGCCATGTCAGAAAAGACTCAGAAAGACATCTTCACGCTCTTCGACAGACAAGCCAGAGGCAAAATCTCCAAACAGCAACTAGGAGACTACTTGCGCGCCATCGGATTCAACCCTACAAATGCTCTGGTCGAAGAAATCGGGGCTGACGCGCCCGACGCGTTGACGCTCGATGAAACAACGGCACTCGTCTCCAGTCATCGTGATGCCTTGGACAAAACCACTCAGGGCAAGGTCGAGGACTTCATCAAGGCTTTCCAAGTGTTTGACAAAGAAAACAAGGGCAAGGTCTCCGTAGGCGACATTCGCTACATGCTGACGGGTTTGGGGGAGCGCCTGTCTGACGCAGAAGTCGACGAATTGCTCAAAGGTGTTGAGGTGGACGCCGAGGGTGGCGTCGACTACCGTAAGTTCATTGAAGATATTCTAAGGCAATAAATAAGTACGGGCTACGGCGTCTTCGTGTTAAGTATGCTATATAGCTCGATGCAACATCGAAGTGACAAATGCTTTTTAGAAAGACCGGTATGAATATGTGGGTCGCTAGTCCTGCTAGTTGGCCAGTGGGTTGTACTATTATTAGGACTGAGTTCTTCCTAAGTTCAGCTTTGCGCTTCGTTTAATAGTGGCATGAAGTTACCAATAATCATCAAAGGTAACCCAAAAACGTCTCTTTTCAAGGTCCAAATACAACAGCATTCAATCACCCGATGTCTGATTGGTGTCAAAAGCCTGCATGTTCTCATTCGCTCGCTGCCCTTGAAATCTTGATATGCAACACGGTTGAACGTCTTGAAATACTCACGGACACTTTCGTCATCCATAAGCTCCACAATAAAAGTCATCTTGAACAATAAATCCAGTCTGGACCAGCCTGTTAAGAGAGAAAACTCGTCATTCACGTATGATACCTGGCCATTCCGTCGCCAAACACAGGTCGGAGTGCCGACCTGCGATATAAACTGATCGTACTCCAAAAGCGTTCTTTGATAGCATTGCTCCATGAAAATCATATCTTCTTCCGTCAGTGTAACGGCAATTGCAATGAACGTGGGTCGGAACTCAGCAAGCGATCGGCACATTTCTAAAATGTCGGCTTTGTTGAAACGCGACCTCAGATATTGAAGCAGAGAGTGGAACCCGGAAGTATGCGAAAAAGGACTCGATATGAGGGTGTATATTTCCAATGGAGTTTCATAACGCAGCGTATGTTGAATTTCAGGGAAGTTTTGCACAGCACGTTGTTCCTGAGACGTCACATCCAATGCTAGCGACACGAACTCGTCATCAGTTTTGATTCGGTCTATTATATCTGACAGCGAGAGTTGGTGGCTCAAATAATGCTGTCGTATGCTGCCGTTCACGACTGAAGGGTCGTTTAGAGCAGGTCTGGGCGGGTTTTCCAAGGGAACGAACGGGAAGTGTTTTGTAAGAATATCGACATCCTGTTGCAGTGCTTCCCGGCCCTTGTCGCCTAGTAACATTGCGTATTTGTCTCTTTGAACCAGCATTGCAGTGCTTGCGGTGGTAGCAGTCGAATAGTCCAGTGGGTCCCTTGCGGGTTGTATTACTGGTGGAACGCTAGATGCTGAATTGGAATTTGGCGTCGAGTACTGCATCTCGTTACCAGGTTGATCTATGCCTCGAGAGTATAATAATTCGATTGGGACTTTCCCAAGCAAAGCGTCCTGCTGGATGATATCTGACAAGATGGAATATTCGGAGTCTACCGCGTTGGACATAAATCGCGGCTTGTGTGCAATATTTCGGGCTTTTCCTATGTGTTGTGACTCGGCCACATTGTTGGAGCGTTTCAGAGAACTCGCTAACTGCTCACTAGGCACATCTGCAAGGTACTTTCTTCGTTTTCTCGGCGTGTCAACACACGACTTCTCTAAACCTTTTCTAATGCATCTTGAACACGGTCTGCGATCTTCACAAGTGACGTGCGATTTTGAACAGTTGATACACGCCACGCATGTTTTGTTTCTTCGCGGTGGCATTTTATCTTGTCATGTAGTTCTTGGGTGATGAGCTCATCGCTTTGATTTTCTCTTCAATTCTTGAGTTGACTATTTAACAAACATGCTGAAAACCCGAGTTGTGAAATCTGTTGTGAGTAGAAGAGACTAAAAAGTTTGATAAAGAGCTTCTCGTTGGCTAAGGGTGTCCATAGAAGGGTAAGAACTCTAAACTTTTGGAGAGCTTTCTCTGTTGTTGAGAAATCATAAAATAAAATGATTATTGTCGAAGTGCTGCAATGATTTTGGTGCGTCATGTCGGTGTTCTTTGTCGAGAGAATCACTTTGATACTTAAAGAGGGACTGTGAAATAGTCCATTTATTATTCCCGTCCATTGTTCCTCAAGGTTTAGTGGATTTGAGTGAGAAGTTCACTGTTAGTAGAAGGTGAGTCGCAGATAGCCAAAAAAAAGCTGAGATTTCTATCGCCACTCTAATTCCACACTTGTTGCAGAGATTTCAGGCTTAAAGTCAACTCGCTCTCGTGCCAGTTTGTCTCTGAAGAGTAGTGTGACACTCCAGCCTAGGCGTTTTCTTCCTCGTTGTATCATTTTGTACTATTCCGTCATGAATAAAACAACAATTCCAGTCTTTTTGGCCGACAGGCAAGAAGAAGTATTCTAGCTTCTTCTTTGAGTTTGCTGTAATATGGCGGATGTGCCAAACGTTATACGGTCGGTAGTCTAATAGCTCTACTATTGTAGCAAGATCAAACGAATCCTGAAAACTAATACCGAGAGCCATACTTGGGTAAACCATTTCGAAAAAATTCGAATTTTCTATCAGCACAACTCCAAGAGTAGAACTATAATCGTGAATAAACAGTATGATATCGTGATCGCAGGAGCTTTGTCAGTACAATTTTAAAAACAGCTCCGAGAACTAGCTCATATCGTATTCAATGATACTCATCAAGCATACGACAGACAATATATAAAAATTTTGGGTCAGAGAAACAGCATCTAAGATGAATTTAGTCCCATCTTTAATTTGGCGATTGAGTATTTAAACAGGTGTAATTGATTCATGTCTGCTTTGCTAGAAAATTTCAGAAGTCTTTCGCTTTCCAACGAGCTCAGCAAGGAGCAACTTGCCTTGGCTACCCAGTGGGAAACCGTGGTGAAATCCGGACAAATCCAAGGTCACATTGAGGAATTGAACTTGCGTTTGAGAGACCATTCTTTCATTTTGGGAACCGTCACTCCTACCGAAACCGACGCTATCGTTTTCGAGTCTGTTTTCACTGTTATCAAGGACCTTTTGGCCTCGTCTAAGGATGTCAAGGGCCACTACGCCCAATACAGACACATTATTAGATGGTGTGCGTACTTGCAAGAGATTCTAGAAGTTTCTGAAGACAACAAGCTCTCTCTAAACTACGACCTCGAGCTACCTCGCGAAGTGATTGAGAAGAAGAAGAAAGATGACGCCAAGAAGCAACCTGCTGCTAGCGAAAGTAAGCCAGCGGCCAAGGCAGACGTCAAGGACAACTCAAAACAGGGCCCAAGAGGCAAACCTGACGAGGAAACCTTGAAAAAACTCAGGGAAGAGGCCAAGGCCAAAAAAGCAGCCAAGAAGGCCCAGCAGGGTCAGCAGGGCCAGCCACAGGATCAACAGCCCCAAAAACCAAGACCATCGGCTATTGACTTCCGTGTTGGTTTCATTCAAAAGTGTATCAAGCACCCAGATGCTGACTCCCTATACGTTTCGACCATTGACGTGGGTGACGAAGAAGGTCCCAGAACCGTCTGCTCTGGTTTGGTCAAATACTTCCCATTGGAAGCCATGCAGGAGCGTTACGTGGTTGCTGTGTGCAATTTGAAACCAGTGAACATGAGAGGTATCAAGTCTACTGCTATGGTCTTGTGTGGCTCTGACGAAAACAATGTCGAGTTCGTTCAACCTCCAGAGGGCTGCAAGCCAGGTGAAAAGATCTTCTTTGAAGGTTTTGGCGACGAGGAGCCCGCCAAGCAGCTCAACCCCAAGAAGAAGATTTGGGAACAATTGCAGCCAAACTTCTCCACTAACGCCAACCTCGAGGTTTTCTTCAAAGATGAGGAAGACGGTGACAAGCCTAAGAAGTTGACAAATTCCCGTGGAGACTTATTCAAGGTTGCCTCTATCACGAACGCCAACGTCCGCTGATGATAATTTAATGTCTGTATGCTCCGTTCTCTAATAAATCATTTCATCCTTCGACTTTAAATCGTAAACTCGTTCATTTCAAACCAAACATATGTCTCTATAAAACTCTTCATTACATTGCAATTGCAATTCCCAGAATTTCAATTGCATTTCTGCGTGTGTCGTGTCCCTACACTCGCAGATCTGGTCCATCATTACGTTATTCCAGTGCTGCAATATCAGCCGGACCGTATTGATCTTCAACATGGACGTTAGATCGTACTGGAAAAGGTCCTGTAGGCCAGCCTCGGACAAAAGTTCGTGACAGTGAATGAGGAACGTGATGCTGGTGTTGTGGCTCAAGGCGTACGTCACTAACGGAAAGGACAAGTACGGGATGCTTGTCTGAGCTAAAATCCAGCGCGATATGTAGTCCACGTAGTTGTTGGAAATATCAGCCAAGACGATCAAGAGCAGATACATTGTCTGGCACTCCATAGAAAACTGTGGAACCACGGGAAGCCATTTAGAGGCGTTTAGCTTTTGGTGCATCAATTCTTCCAAAAGTTCAGGATTTATAGAATGGATCACATTTTCAACGCGCCCTGTTAACCAATCCACATATGCGGGTTGCTGTAAACAGAAGTTTGAGTGGTTGTTCTGTAACATCAGCGGCCAGTGATTTGCCAGAAACTTGCTGGTGCCTTCTGAAATTGACGTACGCGTAGACGAGCTTTGTGATAGAGGGGTATTGGGCAAACTTGACGAGATACTGCATCCCGAGTCGGACTTCTGACTGTGAAGCGGTGTGGATGCAAGTTTTGCGGGTTTCGGAAATTCGCGTGTAGGAGGAGCCGATGCTTTGAAAACGTGGAAGGGTCCACAGTCGCTGCACCCGCATTTTCGGCTTTTTTCTTCGAGCGTGGTGAGCAACTCCGACAGCTGTTTATTGACATGTTTCTGGCCGTATTCCTTGTAGGTCTTGCCATGCACACAGTCCAGAGCGTTCTCGTAGAGTTTGAGTCTTCGCACGCTGATGGTGAAAGAGGTTGGTTTTTCGTCAGTTTCACAGCTCTCATTGCTGCTGCTGCTACTTCTTGCCCTGTCCAGCTCCTGAAATTCCGTATCGTAGATTTTGCTGTTTATCTCGTCGTTTTCAGCAGATTCGTCCTCTGAGTTTGGTGGTGACAGCTCACGAAACTGGGTCATACGACAAAACTCCTGTTTCGATATGCGGTTTTTGCCAGGTTTTTTACACAGTTTTTTGAGTTTCTTCCACGATACCAGTTCGTTGGTCTGATTCACCGAAAAGATGTTCTCGTTCTGCCATATCAGCCGCACGTCGTAGCAGCATTTGTCGCCGTGCAGCAAACACAATGAACAGTGCGGCTTCCGTTCGTCGCAGCGTCTTTTTTTGAATCGACACGCCCAGCATCCGGTGAAAGTACGAGAATTCACTTTTTCAGTCGACATCACAGCTTCTATGCTTTATTTCGATTCTGATTCAATTCTCGAGACAAGATCAATTCGGTGTCTAATTAATCCCACTGACACGCGCCGTTGACAAGCTCGGATTTAGGAAAATAAGTCTCGTCGGCGACCTATAACCTCTACTTTCTTCCAGCTTGAATCTTTTTATATCAATCATGTTCTTAATTTTATAAAGCAGCGCTGTACTGCGTGTCGTCCGATATCAACATTTTTGTATGGACGGGCCATGAACTTAAGGCATTTATAGTTTGATGCATTTAGTTCCTTCTTGATAGTATGCATTTTCAAGGCCAAGAGATATATTCATAGAGATGAGAAGAAATTAGCTGGCGTCAGCGACATATTGGGAGAAAGTGATCGATCGAAAAACGACGTGGTGGTGGGTAGATCCAAGGTTTCGACGACGACGACGATACAGTGGGAGGTTGTGCAGTATTCAGCAGGCTATTCTCTCCATCTAAGATCTGCTCCATGTTTTCCTTTGGTTTCGGGGATTTTATACCACACGTACGTTGCAAACCCAGCAGCATAGACGGCAAAGACCAAAAAAACGTAGCCCTGCAGCCATTGATGGAGCGACGGGAACCCGTAGCCAACTATGAAGGTCGCAATCCAGTTGCAAGTGGTGCCGTAGCTTTGTGCAATGCCGCTTGCGTCGGGTGGAGAAAGCTCAGAAATCACCAGAAATGGGATTGGACCCAGCCCGAGTGCGAAAACGGCCACGTAGATGATGGTGAAGGTCACCAACACGCCAGCGTTGTCGGCAACGATACCTCCAGATACAAATGTAGTGGCCACAGACATCGCTGCTGCAGAGCAAATCAGCAGTGGTTTGCGGCCCCAGTGGTCTACCAGAAAAGAGGCCCCAAAGGTCGCAACAACGTTCACAATGGAGATGACGAAATTGACCGCGAGGGCATACTGTGGTAATTGCCCGCTAATCACCTTCACCCCGTAAAATATAATGGAATTGATCCCGCAAAATTGCTGGCTCACCAAAATCGCAGTAACTGCCCAACGAGACTTGCTGTAGCGTGGGTCTGTGAAATATTTCAGCAACGATAAATCTGCGTTGAACGCTTCTGAAGACCTGAGCGACGACTGTTGCGAGGCCGGTGCGTTTGCAGGACTTGCATCTCTCATAACCGCGTAGTAACTGCCGCCTCTGGAGGAGCCACGCGCAGTTAGCCACTCCTCCACCTCATCGCGAGACCGGTGTAAGTCTCCGCCTCGCAAACTCTGGAGGACGCTTTCCGCGCCGTCGATGTCGCCCTGGGACGCCAGCCATAGCGGAGATTCGTCCACTTTAAAAAGCAGGAACAAGTTCACCAGTGCGAGAAGGGCCCCTGCAAGCATGAGCCATCTCCAACGGAAAGAATCTGCAAAAATAAGCGCCAGAAATTGCGTGAGTAAGATTCCAACATTGATGCACACTTGATTCATGGATCCCAAAGAGCCACGTAGCTCCTTGGGTGAGATCTCATTGATAAACAGCGGGGTGACCACGATAGAACTTCCACAACACATGCCCACGATCAAGCGACCCCACACGAGCTGTGCATATGTGTTGGCACGGAACAAGATCAAAGAGCCCACGATCCCCACAATACAGTTGGTGAAGCTGTAACGTTTGCGACCGTACCGATCTGCCAGTCTTCCTGCATACAGAGAGCCCACCAGTCCACCGATCGAGAAAATAGACGTTGCCAGGCCTATTTGTTGCTCTGATATTTTGATGCACTGTTTGAAGCCGTGACTGCCGAGCCAGGTGTTGCGATACTGTGTTTCGGGCCAAGGATTAATAAATTCAGAGCACGAGAGAACTTGTCCAGGTGCGTTGAGTTCTGCCATATGGTATCCATATTGGATCGATCCGAAGCAAGCCACCAACGTTGCAAACGCAAGAGATGGAGTGACCTTCGGTTTTGTTGGCATGAGAGCTTGCCTTTCTGTCATTCGAGCCCAGCAGGAGATCGACGGGTCAGCTTTGGGCCTGTGTTCTTCAAACTCTTCTAAGGTTGACGTTTGAGTATAAGGGACAATTATTCTATATTTTGACACTTTTTGACTTTAAATAAGAGAAGTAGAGTTAAAGCAAAGAGAACAGTAGATCTGAATTGTGGCTATGAACGTGGAATGGATGTTCGTGATGGTAGTTTGAGAGCAGTGGAACAGAACAACGGGCGAGAATTAGAGACGATATTCGGGTTGCGACATATTGGTACAAAGTGATGTGGGTGAATCTGGAGGGAGTTTGACGGGATCTTTGAGTGCGTGGTTTGGTGTTTGCAGGGACGGAGTTTTTTGGAGTATTGTGTGTGGCGAGACTATTCATTGATGAATTTGGTGGACTTAATAGGATTTGGTGAATTTCATGAGCGAGGCGAATTTGATGTTTTGAGCGACAAAGCTAATTTTGGTTTTGGGATAAGTGCTTGAAATTACAAAGAATGTTATTATGCCATCGAGCCCTTGCTTGAGACATTGGTAACTTCTGAGCTGACCGATAAAGGAGCCAGGCTCACATGTGTTTTAAGATAAGCTTGTCAATGTCAGGATCGTTAATTCTAAAAGTGCAGTATGTGTCATACGCGACGCAAACATACAGAGTGACAGAACGTAAAATGAAAAGCGTTTTCCTGCTGTTTATGTGCTAGAATCACTAGTCAACAGCTTATAGTTGTTGTCGTTTCTTTGTCTCTAGTTTGGAAAGAGGTGCTCTATAATGAATTATATTTGGTTTACCGTGAATATCATTTCTTTCCGTGTCTCAAGAACACGGCTGCTTTTAGGAGTTCGAAAAACGACCAATTACAATGCCCAGGCCCCACAGAGGACCACCAAGTATACTCAACAGACCCACTCCCCTCGCAGAGAGGTGTAAAAAAAACGTTTACAAGAAATCTTCGACATTATTCTACGTCTACGAACACACATACACATATATATAGTATTCATAATATAGCTTACGTTACCATTTGTACGCTAAAGGTTTGAATTTGACCTCTTCCGACTCCTCGACATCAAAAGCTATTCACCAACTCTATGCATACGAACAACAATAATGCATCAATGCTATTTCTAAGATCGCCAAGCTTATAGGATAGTTCCCATAAGTTCCGCTACTCTAGACTCTATTTCACCTCTTCCCTCAGTACTCTTTTCAAGTCTCTCCTTCAGTTCGTCCGCGCCCTCCTTGTGACTGCTCTTTCGAATGTCAATTTTTTCGTTTTTCAAAAAAAATTATAATTTTGAAAATTACCCAAAACAGCAAACACGATGCACCCACGCAAAAAACTTGGATATTTTTCACCGACGCAAACTTTCCACGTCCCAGCAGGCATCAACTTTTGACAAACTTTGAACGTAGCGATCTTAACTCTTTATCCTAACTGTCTTGATAGCTTTATTTCAGAGCCCCAGACAATCAAGAATGCCATCCAGATTCACCAAGACCAGAAAACACAGAGGTCACGTCTCAGGTATGTAGTTCCATGGAAGAGGGAATGAAAGAACCAAGACGTTGATTTTTCTGGGTCGAGTGAGACCACGCGCGCGCGGCGTGGGAAAATGAGAGGGACAGACGCACCGAACTGAGCATTTCATGGTGCTTGTTTGGGCGTCAGTCTTTTTTGAAGTGTGTGGACCACCAAACGCAGTTGCTTTGTTTTTTAAGTGGTCCTGCTTCTCTTCCAGGAGTGCGTTTCGCCTCCAGAACCTCTCTCTTGCTCATCTCGCCCAAAAAAATTTACGCCTGTGTGACATGCACGTTCAAGCGCCCAGCACAGATTTACTAACTCACTACAGCCGGTAAGGGTCGTATCGGTAAGCACAGAAAGCACCCCGGTGGTAGAGGTATGGCCGGTGGCCAGCACCACCACAGAACCAACTTGGACAAGTACCACCCTGGTTACTTTGGTAAGGTTGGTATGAGATACTTCCACAGACAGAACGCCCACTTCTGGAAGCCAGTCTTGAACTTGGACAAGTTGTGGACTTTGGTCCCAGAGGACAAGAGAGACGAGTACTTGAAGTCCGCCTCCAAGTCCGCTGCCCCAGTCATTGACACCCTAGCTGCTGGCTACGGTAAGGTCTTGGGTAAGGGTAAGCTCCCAGAGGTTCCTGTCATTGTCAAGGCCAGATTTGTCTCCAAGTTGGCTGAGGAAAAGATTAGAGCTGCTGGTGGTGTTGTCGAGTTGATCGCTTAAGCGCTCTCTCATCACTTCACTTTTTTAATTCAATTAGTAAAGTAACAGATACTATCCTTTAAACCAATGCATTTTGTACATACGTTAGAAAGAGAATCTGTTGCGGGTCAAATGGTCGCGGTCCGTGTTTTCGCGGACTTTACGGCGCTCGCTGGCCGGGTTTATCGCTGCGACGTTTGCCGATGTTCGCGATGAGCTCAAATATTTCAACTGTTTGTTATTATTACATTAATTTTACGTATAGTAAACATCAAATATCTCTTGAAAATGCTTTCAAAAGCACGACGCCTTCCGTTCTACAAGCCAGCTGTTTCATACTTCGGCTGCGCACAATGACGACTTCAATTTGGAAACCGGAAGACTACGTACCGCAGGAAGTTAAGGAGCTGTTAAGTAGCCCAGATCAAAATCATGTTTTGGCATTTATGCATGTTGTAGAGTTGCTGAAAATCCAAAAGCGAACAGGATGGCTGGATCATAATATAACCCCCTGTGAGAGCATTGCGGACCACATGTACCGCATGGGGATCACAGCCATGCTGATCAAAGATCCCTCTGTCAACAGAGACAAATGCGTGCGTATCGCCATGGTCCACGACATTGCTGAATCACTGGTTGGCGATATAACCCCCAACGATCCGTTGGGAAAGGAGGAAAAGCATCTGAGAGAGCTTGCCGCCATCAACTACCTGTGTGACGAGTTGATCAAACCCTACAACCCTCTGGCCGCCCAAGAAATTTTGGACGACTGGCTTGCATACGAAAACATAAGCTCACTAGAAGCCCGCTACGTCAAGGATATCGACAAGTTCGAAATGCTGGTGCAGTGTTTCGAGTACGAAAAGAGGGTTGGTGGAAAGAGGGAAATGGATCAGTTCTGGGGCGCTATCAAAAGCATCAAAACCGAGGAGGTGCAAGGCTTGGCTCGCGATCTTGTCCAGAAGCGCGAGGCTTTCTACGCCAAACTAGAGAACTAAGAGCACTTCGGCCAAAAACGAACGTTTGAGTTCCCCAAGCCCGGGCTTCACGATTTTCGCTTTATATTATATTCAAATAAAGATCTATTGTATTATACAGGGTGTATATAGCGTGCATCAAGCTACAAAAACTGGATGTTGTCGTGCCCATAAATGAGGGATCCTAAAGTATGCCTAGCGGCTATCGCTAGAAGTCCGATCGCAAGCTGAATGGTTAGGATTCTGTTGCACAATTTATCTTCGCGCATTGGTCCAAACCACACCAAAACCAGATTTATAAGTGTCATATTGGTACAGCTCTTGATTTGTTTGGTTTTGGCATCGACTTCAATGTCTATCAACCTCAATGTGTTCAAAAGTCTAAGCACGGGAAGCATTACTTTCTTAGGTGGCTTTTCAGTGAGCTCTGCTCTTGACGGATACATCATTCCGTCGTTTTCGTTGAACCGAGGCATTCTGTGTCTGGGACACGGCACTAGGCCAAACAGCTGCGGACAAGAATACGCGAAATTGAAGGTTTGTGGAATAAATAGTAATAGGGTGGTCTTCGAGAAGTGGCCCAGAATACCGACAACCGAGAAAATCATGCCTGCAAAATAACAAAACGTGTCACCGACAAAAACCTTGGCAGGCCATTTGTTCCACTTCCACAACGCCAAAGCCACGCCTAGAAAAGGTATTATGAGAATGGCAGAAAACCTGTGTGCTTCTTTCGATGCTTCAGTCCCCAGTGTCAAATACAGCGAGTCGTTGACCAAAGAGATGAAGCCCAGCACAATGCTTTGTCCCACTTCTAGACCGTTAACACCTGCAAGAATGTTGATGGAGTTGGGGCAGAAAATGGCCATGGATGCCATATAGATGTAGTAGAACGCTCCCAGATTTAAGGCCGTCTTTGAGGTTGGAAACCAAGTTTTGACAACATCAGGGATCAAAACGTAGGTGACGCCAAAGTCCACGTAGTACACCACCAGAAGTGGAATTGCTGCTACGGCAGGCAGGAAAAACTTGTGTCTCCATCTCAGATCAAAGAGATCGTCAGCCATTCCAAGCAGGACAGTGCTTTGCAAGCAAAGCACAGCACTCAAATACTCTGACATTTTTCCGTGAGGGAAAAGGTATTCTTCTTGAGCCATTGATTCCATCACAGAAACGTCACGGTGTCCACCTCCGGACGTAATCACCACCAAGTACTTGTAGAACAGGAATGGGATATAGAAGAACATGATGAATAAGTAAACAAGGGCAGAAATTGCTCCAATCGACTCAGGAATCACTGGTTTGCCAGGTTTGCTCAGATCCTTGCCATAGAGCCCAATTTTCACAAAGGCAGGCGACACACATGGAATCAAAACGTCTGTAGCCTGATATCCGATTATAGAAAACGCAATTGCCGCCAAAAGAGGCGAGTAATGCCTCGAAACGTACAGCAGTATTGTCGCTGTTGCCAGCAGTACGTATTGACGCATCCTTGAGCTCTCAGCTGTCTTGATCTCTAGTTTGAAGTTAACGATGATGTTGACACCAGAAACTAATATATATATAAATTAAATCATAATTATAAGTATCTATGTTTAAAGCTTTCAAAACTAAGTCGTCGAACCAGTAAGATAGATCTGTTTGGCCTCGAATTATTAAGTTTGGGATAATGAAACCTTTCATTACGGGCCACGAAGATCTGGTCCATGATATAGCTTACGACTTCTACGGCAGACACGTTGCTACATGTTCCTCGGATCAACACATCAAGGTTTTCAGATTGGACAGAGAAAGCAATGAATGGCAACTCAGCGACTCATGGAAAGCACACGACAGCTCTGTGGTGAGTTTGGACTGGGCAAGCCCCGAATACGGAAGAATTATAGCGTCGGTCTCGTACGATAAACTGGTAAGACTGTGGGAAGAAGAACCGGACGCTCCAGAGTGCTCTGGTCGCAGATGGACGAAATTATGCACGTTGAACGACGCTACTGGTCCTCTTTTCAGCGTGAAATTTGCCCCAGGTCATTTGGGATTGAAATTGGGAGCCCTGGGCAACGATGGCACTTTGAGAATATACGAGGCACTGGAGCCATCGGACCTGAGATCTTGGACTTTAACAAGCGAAACTCCTGTTCTTCTTTCTCCGCCTGCATCGCATCTACAATCCGATTTCTGTTTGACGTGGTGCCCGTCGAGGTTTCTGCCCGAAACCTTGCTGGTGTGCGCTCTGGATCAAGCTTTGATCTACCAGAAAGACAAAAACGAGAAACTCTACGTGGCTGCCAAGCTTGAAGGACACGAAGGCCTCATAAGATGTGTTAGTTGGGCTTCCTCAATCGGAAGGTGGTATCAATTGATTGCCACAGGGTGCAAAGACGGAAAGGTTAGAATTTTCAAAGTGACAGAAATGCGCAAAGGTGGCGACCCGGATAGAGACGACGACGATTCGATGAGTATTGACCAGGAAAGCGGTGTATCAGAGAACAAGGACAAGGGCCTCGGATTGAACGTGGAGCTGATTAGCGAGAGCGCTGACCACAGAGGCGAGGTGTGGTCTGTATCTTGGAATTTGACAGGAACCATTCTCAGCTCTGCAGGCGATGATGGTAAAGTACGCCTCTGGAAAGCTTCCTACACCAATGACTTCAAATGTATGTCTGTAATAAGCGCTCAACAGCGCTCTTAGTAAGGGGAGAGCAGCCTGAGAATGACGGATAGCCATGGTCCATTGCCATTTGTGAAAAAGAGAACGTGCAACCAGCAACCGCCGTGAGGTTTCCTGGAAATCTGCTCTGTTGAAGAGTATAATATCCGCTTATTTAGAGTACAGACACTTTAACACTGTATAAATAGTAGAGGTATAATAAATTATCTAGAAAGTACGCAGCGCTTGATACAGATTAATCACAATGCAACGATCCCAAATGCATTGAATATTAGGCTGAAAAACAGTTCAAGTAGATCTAGAGTGCGTAGTTGGCAAGTACATTTCCATTATCGTGGAAATTTTCGCTGTCAAGGGTTGAATGCTATAAAAATCGTCTGATCGTGAGACACACAACTTCAAGTGATTACGTATTTGATCATATGGACAGTTGCTCGTGTTTCGTTTCAATCGAAAGCTATAGGCGGTTACTCGCAGTCTCGCATATGCATCAGCAAGTATTTGAGAAAAATGCAGCAGAAATTGATTAAGTTTCGAACGTTGATCTCCAGGAGGTTTGACAATCCCGATAGTCCTGGCAGCTTGAGTTTTCCAGTGAAACGCCTAAAAAATCTGGCATTAGGTGTTGCAATTAGGGAACCGTATAATGAAGTGAGATTTGTAACAGTGAATTTGATATTTAGCGGTTTTAAGCATTCTTGGGACAACTGGACGTCTTTGACTTCCGTGTACATTGTTCAAAATGCTGTGAACGAGTTTGACGCTGTCACAACCTTATGCTTGGCATTTAGTAACATGATAGAATCGGTAGGCCAAGGTGAATGTTGTCGAAATTGGGCTGCTATTTGGTGCGACTGATCTTCCTTTGAGCGCCTGGGCATCATATTTCTGCCCTGACAAATATGGTCTCCGTGAGCAAATTCATTAAATTGTCCATAGTGTTCTGATGGGTGGAAGCTACGATAAATTAATGTTCAACATACAACCCGCAAACTGTCGACAGGCCACTACGTTTCTCACTCAGAGGACAATCTCGGCTTAATTAAATGTGTCACTTTTCGTTACTTAAAGGCGAGGCGAAGATAATTTCATAGTCGATATAAATTGGTAAAGGTGCATAAGACGAAGTGAACGTTTATTCACAAAATATACAATTAGCGTTCTTATGATACCTCCTTCCATCACGTCATTGCCTTATGAATTGTTTTAACCGAAAGCCATATATTCCACACTCTTTTCTACTCTTGGTCAGTGTCGGCGTTTCTTTGATATTATTATAAAATGTATTGAAATTGAAAGTTCAAATAAAATTTGGAATTGCAGATGCTGTGTTCAGTAGCGCGAGTTTCTGAAACACGATTTGATTTCAGAAATGCACAGCTAGACAAATTAACGCTATCTCCACTTTAATAAGTAATCAAATTTACCTTAAAGCTCAAGAAAGATGAATTCTAAAATGTTAAATTCATGAGTCAGCCTTCGGAGTTGAAGTTTTACTCAATCATAATGTGAGTTACTGACAAACGGGTGCTGCGAGAGGAATATTTGGAGACTGACTCCATATGGATGGGGCTGCGAAAACTGAGTATCTAATAATTTTAATTATCGAGAGAATGAGGGACAGAAAGAAGTACGTAAAGCGGAGCGTTTTATGATTGTTGGGCTCAAAATTAACGACTCCGCAATTCCAGGACTGGAACGATTAGCCTTTGGCAATAAGTTTATGATCACAGACTAACAAACTCGTGTGATGGGACGACAAGCGATTGTGTGTCACATGATAAAGTCAAATAACGTGAAGTACGTAGAGCACGCATGTGTAATGTACTAAATTAACAGTGGGACTCGCTGGAGGAAGAGACTATTCTGTCCCGCCAATGTGCTCGAGTGGAGGCATTCGTCTACAGATTGAGTCGCCAGTAATGAAATTTTGGGCGGTATTTCAAGGACTATTACCGTGACACTATCACAACGTGAAGTGATTTGAGGTGAATGGATTAGTGTGTGAGGAATTCGAAGTGTGTGTGGGCTTCGACTATAGGGAAATGGATATTCTGGATCAGAGACGTCTTGAGAAGAGCTTTGCTTGTGATGTGACAGAGCTCCCAATCGCGTGACTCGGCGACTGACGACGGACCGGTTCAAAAGTGATGTTATTGGAAACACCGACATTTACTCTAATTCGAATACTACACAGCTCAGACGAGATGAGCTAGGAGCCTTCACAAATTGCTCTTGTTGTTGAACAACCCGTGTTGTGGCGATGGTTCGTCGATCGAGGAGGCAATTTGGCTTATTTCTGCAGTCTTATTGACCGATCAGTTGTTTTGCGTTTGAGAGGGTGCGGGCACGGCGATAGGGAAACGATTGGGTAAAGACGCGGGTACGATTATGAGTACACTCACGAGTACAGTTTGAGTGCGGATTTGAGCACATCGAGGAATGACAGCAATATTATAGTACGCTCACCTTGGGTGCTAAAAATTTGGCAAATCGAGAATGTCTCTAAAAGTAGGAAAGCTATGCATAACGATATTAGCTCTCGACGATATTCTATTTCTCTGCATATTCAGCGCCACTTGTAGCCAGAACTGTGTGCACTACGACGCCTCCTATAGTTTAGTAGCATTGGTAGCCATTACTGGTACTCACAATCGATTGCTGACGCTTCACTGTTGAACAGACTAACGATGTCCCGAGTTAGTGATACTACGAATTCTTGAGTTCTTCGCTGAGCTTTGAATTATTCAGTGACACTATGAGCTCTCTGAAGCTTTCAGTTGTTTGGTGTATTACGAGCCGTCTTTTTTTCAGAATTGAGCGCGTTGGCGGTAATAAGAAACCTCTTCTCATTCAAAATTGATTACTGACGCTAAATCGTGGAAATGAGTGACGATAAGAGTTTAGTAGTACTTTACAATTGATCGCTGATGTTCTCAATAGTTCAGTAGTGCTTCGAGTTTTCTGCTATCGCTCAATCGTCGAGCTGAGTACCACTTGCCAAGGAATTAATACTATGAGTTCTCTGAGGCTCTCAATTGGTCAACAGTGCTTTAAGTTCTCTTGTTTATTCACAGTTGATCGATGATCGTATTAATTTTTCAATACTAAAAACTCTGACACTCTCGACTGTTTAGTGGTGCCCATCTCTCGATTGTTCAGAAGTGCTTGTACCCCCATCTTTATTCACAACTGATCGCCGACGCTCTCGACTCTTCAAAAGTGCTTGAAGCATCGCTGAAGCTCTCAGTTGAATGGGGCTTGTAGCCCACTTTATTCACAATTGATCCCTGGCGCTCTCTATTGTTCACTAGTGCTTGTAGCCCTCTCGATTGTTCAACTGTGCTACGAGTTCTCCCACGCCCATGATGCTACCATCCACACGCCACACACTCGCCCTCCCACATCGCAAAACAACAAACATCCCGCACAGGTACACCTAAAACACCTAAAATACCTACCCACACCAACACACAGCAAAATTCTGGTGATGACGACACGAAACTGGCCAGAACCAGGAAGATAACGGTCGACCCAGTCGTGGCCGTAGTTCGTCCACAACGTCTCAACGGTCTCTCTAACGTGTATAAAATGCCATGATTATTCCCACATCTGTCTCTCCCACATCTGTCTCTCCCTCTTTCTATCTCTCCCACTTTCTGTAATAGACCCTCTTTTGTTAACTCAATACTACAAACTTGACACACCTCTCTCCTCACCTCAGGGAACTTGACGGAAAAAAATTATTTAAGCCTTTTTTCCCCTGGCTTGGCAACTCACAACATTCCGTTCCTATCTTTATCGCCACACGGTCATTTTTTTTGCTGCGCCAGCTTCGTACGACAAAAACTTAAATACCACAAGCAATCATCGTTGCTCCGTCTCTTTCCCATTCCAATTCGACACTCGCATCACCAAAAGCACATCATGTCCAGCTCTACCACCAGCACCAGCACATCGTCCAAGTTCTACGACTTCTCCCCTCTCGACAAGAAGGGCCAACCATACCCTTTCAAAGAACTCAAGGGCAAGGTGGTTCTCATCGTGAACGTGGCCTCTAAATGTGGGTTTACACCCCAGTACCAGGAACTACAGGAGCTGTACACACGCTACCATGACAAGGGTTTAGAGATCATCGGGTTCCCTTGCAACCAGTTTGGCAAGCAAGAGCCAGGGTCCGACGAGGAAATCGGCCAATTCTGCCAACTCAACTACGGTGTTACGTTCCCAATCATGAAAAAGATCAACGTCAACGGGTCCGACGCAGACCCTCTGTGGGAGTACCTCAAGCAAGAGAAACCAGGTCTGTTGGGCTTCAAGGGCATCAAGTGGAACTTTGAAAAGTTCTTGATCGAAAAGGACGGCAAGATCCACGACCGCTACTCGTCGCTCACCAAGCCTGCAAACCTCGACCACACAATTGGGAAACTGCTTAACAAATAGTGTGGGTATCGGCACCCGCACTCTAATGCACACAACACACACACACATATATATAACTACTCACTGCAGCGCCGGTGTCTTAATAATGCTTTGTATCAAGGAAAACAGAGTTCGATGTTGAAGACTGATGTTCATTTCGTGTATACTGAAATGTGCTTGGTGTGCGATATGCGCAATTGGCGTTCAAACAACCGTTTCTACAAACGCGAAACGTTCGTTGGCGAGAGGCTCACGCGTGTGTGGCATCAATGTGGGCGTCAGCATCGGTGTCAGCGTCGAGTTTCGTCTTCTTGGCAACGGACTCCGTTTCTGTGGGCTCCAATGTCCGCTTGGCATCAAGCTCCACATTGTGCGTCCCGTTCGTGCCCTTAGCGTTAGCTTTAGCGTCACCGTGTCCGTTACCGTTAACTTCCCTATCAGGTTCACCAGCTCTCTCTGCATCTGCATCTGCATCTGCATCTCTCGCCTTCTCCACCTCGGCCGCCTTTTGAGCAGATTCGTCTTCTTCAGATAAACGCTGCTTCATTCCCTCGTCCAATACCACCCCCGCGTTGAACTCCTTTTCCAAACACTGCAATAGCGTGATTGCTCGTCTGTTCAGCTCAATTGGCGTCCGGCTCTGGAAAAAAAAGTCTAATTCGAACAACGGACAATCGCGAATCTCGTCTCGAATCAGCTCGTAAACATTCTCGCGGTCGACCCCGTACTTGAACAACATCAGCAACAAAAACCTGTCCTCTTCCTCGGAGAAAACCCGCTTGTTGCTGTTCGAGGGTGGGTATTTCAGCGTGAGGTCAAATAACGGGTTGCCGCACTGCGCAATTTTACGGCGCAGCGACTCTTGCTGAAGCTTAGACCGTCTAATCCTTTCCTCTTCCGCTTCGATATTCTTGATGTACCGTTCGTAATCTTCAACACGCTGTATGTTTGCCCAAAATGCTCTGGCATAGTCCCGGACCTCTTGCTCCGACTTGTGAGGCGCAAAATCAAGCGCGATCGCCTTTATCGAGTTTCTACCATACTTGCCACAGGACGCAATGAACTTTCGGAAATCGTTTTTGTTCCAATTCGTAAAGCCCTCAGCCTCAAGCTCCGCCTTCTGTTTGAACTCCTCCTCGCTTAGTGGCTGGGCATTGCTTACAGACATTATAAGGAGGTTCAATTTCTTCAACTTCTCCTCTTCGTCTGCAATATCACCAAAAGTGGTTTTCACGTCGTCCATTGTGGGCACATAGTTGTTCTTCTTTGTGTTCCACATTCTTTCCTTCTCGTAAAGAACCTTCAGTTGGGGTGAAAGCAGTTGATGGCTATTGAACGGCTGTGGCCGTGGCATCCGCGGTTGCGCAGGGGTCGTAGATCTACCGGGATTTAACTTGTCCTTGTAATACCCATCAATGTTATAGTTTTCTTTACGCTCACGCTTAGTAGGGTTCATATAGCTGGGAGTAATAATGTCCTTGTGGACATTTTTCTTAAAGTCTTGCCCGTTCCACTCATATGCTGAGTCCTGATTGAACTTTTGCAAATCGTCCAGTCCTAGTGCTTCGTATTTTTGGTGCAACGTCTGTGTCTTGTCTTCAGACTTGGAAAGAAGCGCATCTAGATCTAAGTCCCCATCGACATCGCCGGTCGAATTGGGTTGAGGTGTACCTTTACTGCTGGAAGTTTCACTATTTGAGTTGAACACATCGGCAGCACCATGTTGAATCATAGTCAAAAGCGCATCTTTCGTGTCACTTTTCTTCGTTTCCTTGTTAGTGGCTGCACCTCTGCCTTGCTGGATAACCAACTGATCTAGTCTCAGTTTCTGAGTGGCTCTTTCGAGGATTTTTTCCTCAACAGAGTTGTCGGTCACTAATCTGAAGACTTTGACCTGTTTCTTTTGACCAATCCGATGCGCTCTGTCCATGGCCTGTAAGTCGGCTTGGGGGTTCCAATCTGAATCGAAAAGAACAACGACATCCGCAGTTGTTAAATTAATTCCCAAGCCACCAGCGCGAGTGGTCAACAAAAACACAAATTTCTTAGAATCAGGCGCATTGTACTCATCGATTGCTTCGATTCTATCCTCGTGAGCCGTGGAACCGTCAATTCTACAGTACTGATACTCTCTGAAAAAACAATAATCCTCTAAAATGTCTAAAACTCTGGACATTTGACTGAAAATCAATACACGAGAGCCTTCTTCTTTAGATTTTTTCAAAAGTTTATCCAAAACCTTCAGTTTAGCAGAATTGTAAACCAAATGTTCGTCAGTAGTATAAGGAGGGCCAGGCTCTGCACCATCGAAGAGGTAAGGGTGATTGCAACACTTTCTGAGCTGCATCATGATGTTCAAAAGCCGAGTCTTGGATTCTTTTGTACCATTTGTTCCGTTAACAGCGTCAATGTCCTTCTCTAAAATTTGCTTATACCACTTTTTTTGCATTGTGGACATACCGATGTAAAGATTCAGTTCTTTCTTTGGTAGAAGAGACGTCTCGACTTCGTTCTTCAATCTGCGCAACAAAAATGGCTGCAAAACAGTGTGCAATTGCTTGACAATTTTCTCCTTGTCTTCTTCACTTGACTCGGCGGAAAACCAATCATCGAAGGCTTGCGAATCGGAGAACACGTCTGGCAGCAGAAAGTTTAGCAGAGCCCAAAGTTCATGCAAATTATTTTGCAACGGCGTACCCGTTATGAGCAGTCTATTACGAGAGGTGAATTCTCTGAGCACTTGCGATAGTAAAGATTCTTCATTTTTGATTCTGTGCGCTTCGTCGATTACAATGTATTGCCAATCGATCTTCTTGAACGCGGACTTTTCTTTAATGATGATTTCGTAGGATGCCACCACGATTTCAAAGTCACAAGCCAAAAGTTTACCGGAAACCAGTTTTGCTCTTTCTTCCTTGTCACCTTGCAAAATGAAGGCCTTAATCTCTGGCGTCCACCTGTTTATCTCCCTGAGCCAATTGTTCAAAGTAGACTTTGGAGCAATGACCAAAAATGGCCCTGGGGTTTTTTCGACGTACCGCAAGTATCCGAGAAACGAGATGGTTTGTAATGTTTTCCCCAGACCCATTTCGTCCGCCAAAATTCCGGCCAGACAATTCTTGTGCAGTGAGACCAGCCAGTTCACACCCTGGATCTGGTAGGGTCTCAAAGACCCGTTCACAAACGGAGGTGACTCGTTGAAACGAAACTCGATTTCCCCGTCGTCTTCGTCCTCTTCTTCTCGCAGAAGCTCAGCATCTTCCTCCCTCTCGGTTTTCCGTCTTCTTTTATCCTGATGTGCCCCGTTTTTGGAAAGCTTACCTCCAGTTGGATTGTCCAATATGCTCAAAACTTTCTGAAACTTCGCGTCTTTGGCGGCTTTGCGCTCGATAAAGTGTCTGAAAAGTCCACTCAGATTCAATAGATGTTGAAATCTCTTAATCGTTCCCTCTAGATCAAAATCTGGCTTCTGATTTCTCGTGTCTTTCAACAAATATTTTTCCTTGTTGGCATTGGCATCCCACGCAGGAATCTCGTCTTGAAAGGGTTTGAGAGCTTCCACGTATTCTTGATTGTCCATTGGATCTTGAAAATGAGAGATGGAGGTCTTCAAAAAATTAGGATTTATTGCTCAATAAAGCGGCAGAGCTAAGAGTCCTCTAGATCACCTCTTGTAACGCCTGGTCTGACTAACTAGTCTACAAACACATAACGATTAAGTTCATGTTGATCTATGTTTGAGAGACTAATTATTTAGTTCTTAACGAATCATCGCTCTACACGAAGCCGAGTTCAAGATCATTAACATCATCATCATCATCATCAACATCATCATCAACATCATCGTAAATTGATGAAGATCAAATACTGATCAGAGAGTTTGATATCCCACTTTATACAGCCCAATGCCTGCCTCTGAGTCTCCCTCTAGAGCCCTTGCATATGCTGAGAAACCCCCATGCGCTTTACGTATTTTCCATGATAAATACATTATTCTGGGTACATACGATCTAGACAAGCCAAGTGGCTTGAGAACAGGGTCCGTTGAAGTTAGAGATTGCGAGACACGGCTATTGGAACAATACGAGGCCTATGGAGCTATCTTGGATATTAAACTGTCTCCGTTCGACGACACTTTAATCGCAAGTGCACACTCCACGGGAAATATTCAATTATGGAAAGTGTGCGTGGACGACAACGACGTTTTCTTGAGACTGGACGAGTTGGTCAATTTGCAAATATTCAACCCAAATGTCCTGATAACCTCCTTGCACTTTTCCCCTTCCAATCCTGGCTGTCTCGTGGTCACGGCAACCACGGGTGAGACTCGAGCAGTGGACATCGAAAACGATTCCACCACCTTCTCCGCTTCCCGAGTCGCAAATCACTACGAAAAAGTCGAATCCCACCAAATCGATGTACAGGGCCAAAGCGTATCAATAGTCAACAGCCCGTCCAGGCCTTTTGGTCATGAACATGGCTTGGAGTGTTGGACAGCTGAATTCGGAAATCTTTCGCCTTTCCAAGATGTCGTATTTACCGGGGGCGACGATGCGACAATTGCAGCTCACGATTTGCGCTCGGGCGATAACATATGGGCAAATTCGAGGACACATGAGGCCGGCGTGGTGGCCATCAAAACTAGTACACCGACTTTCCGCAACAACAAGCCGACCAGCATTGTCACAGGCTCTTACGATGACCACATACGAACATTGGATTTGAGAATGTGTGGGGACTCAATTTATCCAGGAAATAATATACCGCCAGCCAAGTCAACGAGCCTGAACCTTGGAGGTGGAGTGTGGCGTTTTGTTGAGTCACCAGAAAACTCAGACTCTAACATGCTTAATAAACTTATGGTATGCTGCATGTACGATGGCGCAAAGATAGTTACGGTTGGCGACGACGATGAATTTAGTTCGATTGGCTACATCAAGAAAAATCACGAATCTATGTGTTACGGCGGTGACTGGAGTCCGAGTATGATTGCGACGTGCTCATTCTATGATAAAGTGGTTCAAGTTTGGGATGAAACTTCTTAGTGAGGAATGGTATTTGTCCAGTGTTATAATCCCAAAACTTTCTCAAAATTTCATCTTTTGCGGTATATTTGTGGGCAAGAGAGCGATAATATCAAAAACATCAGGCCTCAAACTTCCCAAATACTAGACCCAAGACCAGAAGCTCGGGCAAACGTCTTCTGCGGTGTATGGCTCGCTCTTTTTCTCAGCCCGACCATCTCGTATGATCACGATCCACGAATAGCTCTTGAGCTTCGAAAATTTTAGTATTAGAAAGCTCATCGCCTCCATCACCTACACCGCCCAAGGGTTCAACGAAGACATCACCTCAACCATGCCTCCAAAAGAAGCACCTAAGAAATGGAAACCTCCTAAGGGTCCCAAGCCCGTCCACCGTAAAAACAAAAATACTATCGGACTGGGAAGAGCCATCCAAACTGCTCGTGCGAAAGAAAATGAAATTCAAATTTTGCCAGATGGTGAAATGCGGTTTACCACTGACAAGCATGAAGCTAACTGGGTGAAGTTAAGATCTGTGACACAGGAATCTGCGCTTGATGAGTTTTTGAACACTGCAGAACTTGCTGACAAAGATTTTGCTGCAGACAGACACTCTAATGTAAAAATCATCAGGATGGACGCTGGAAGCGACTCGAGATCCCAGGTTGTATCGCTGAGCAATAGTCAGAAACAGCAGCTAAGTGAAAAACAAAGAAGCCAAGCTGAAAATCTAATCGTTCCTAGAAGACCTGCGTGGACTGAGAGCATGACTCGATTGCAATTAGATAGACAAGAAAAAGAGGCCTTTTTGAATTGGAGGCGAAAATTGGCTACTCTTCAGGAAAACAACGAAGATCTGCTCCTCACACCTTTTGAAAGAAATATCGAGGTGTGGAGACAACTTTGGAGAGTCATTGAAAGATCGGACCTAGTAGTTCAGATTGTCGATGCCCGTGACCCGCTGCTCTTCAGGTCGAGAGATTTAGAGCTTTACGTCAAGGAACTACACGAGGGAAAACAAAACTTGCTTTTGGTCAACAAGGCTGATCTACTTACCAGAAGACAAAGAATAATGTGGGCCAAGTATTTCTTGTCTAGGGACATATCGTTCACTTTCTTTTCCGCTGCAAGAGCAAATGAAATCCTAGAGAAGCAGAACGAGCTTGGCGAAGATTACGTTCACAAAGAGGTACAAGAAGAAGAGATCCCAGAGCTTGATGGTGAGATAGTTGACGCTGAAGTGCTAGAAAAAATCAAGATTCTGAAGATTGATCAGCTAGAGAACTTATTTTTGGACAAAGCACCTAAAAGTCCTCTCATCACACCCCTACCTGGAAAAGATCCCATAATACAAATCGGTTTGGTCGGGTATCCCAATGTTGGTAAGTCCTCGACCATTAATGCCCTTGTGGGAGCTAAAAAGGTCTCGGTGTCTGCGACGCCAGGTAAAACTAAACACTTCCAAACCATCAAGCTATCGGACCGTGTCATGTTATGCGATTGTCCGGGTTTAGTCTTCCCTAATTTTGCGTACAATAAGGGTGAGCTTGTTTGCAACGGTGTATTGCCAATTGACCAACTTCGAGACTACGTGGGACCTTGTAGTCTAGTCGCAGAAAGAATCCCCAAGTACTTTATCGAGGCGACCTACGGTATACACATTCAGACTAGATCAGAGGAAGAAGGTGGAAACGGCATTCCTACTGCTCAAGAAATTCTTGTTTCTTACGCTAGAGCACGCGGTTACATGACCCAGGGGTTTGGTGCTGCCGATGAATCTCGTGCAAGCAGATACATTTTGAAAGATTACGTGAATAGTAAACTGCTTTACGTTAATCCTCCACCTCATCTGGAAGATGATGCGCCCTTCACCAAAGAGGAATGTGAAGAATTTAACAAGGAGCTCTACACTTTCGACAAGCTTCCTCAGTCTAGACAAGAACAGCTGGCCGAGGCCGCTAAGCATAAGAACATCGAGGACTTCGATCTGGCACGTGATCTGGGCAAACTGACGTTCTCCGCCCATATTGGACAAGGAGCCGAAGGCCAGGAGGCTAGATCAGTAAACCATGGTGGTAAGCAGGCTGCTCTTCACAATGCCGCTCACGATCTTGACAACGAGTTTTTCAAAATGAACAATGTGCAAGGACATCTAACAAGTCCTTTCCATAAATCTCAGAACAGCTCAGAAAACGGAAAGAGACACAACAAGAAAAACAAGAAGAGCAAAAAGAAGTCATCGGCCTTGGTCGACTAAAAGTTTAATAGGTAGCATTATAGAATAATTCCCCGCGGCACTTTTTCATTCCAATACCGCTTTTGAGCTTGGGATGAGGGCTTCTAGGTTAGGGCTGACTTACCACTCTTGCACAGGTTACCCGCAGCACCATCTTCAACTATAAAAGCTCGGAAATTTTCGCTGATCTCTTACCTCTCTCTTATTGTTTACAAACCAGTGGCTCTTAACACATTTCAAAATGTTCGGTACGGTGTTCTAGTTGTTCTGGCTCTGGCTGAGAGTATTTCTCAGCTAGGACCATGTCTTCGCAAGAAAACAAGATAACTGGGATGCTAAACACGCATAGAGAATAAGCTCAAGTAGCCCAAATTTGGATTATTCCTAACGCCCTTTTCGCTAACAACGACTGCAACCCACAGATCGTAGTTTGATAGTAGTGGGGCGGAAATTTTACTAGACCTATGAAGATCTTGATCGTAAAGTTAAATTTAATTAGTTAATAGAGGTGCTCGACCGATACAGACCACTTTAAAAGAAATCGTAAACTGAGCAGCAAGCTATATTGCCTGCTCACGTTATGACCACTAATTAGTGATACTGCGTAAAATGCGCAGAACTGCTATTTATATCGATTTCTCCTCAGAATAGAGTGCGTTGGCATCGTAGCTTGGCGTCATCTTGTTCGATTTCTCACAGCTCAGTGCTGTAAAAGTCAACATTTGGAATGAACTGATACATGAAAGCCACGCCCGAAACCAGAGCTACTCCGGAGGTCTTTTCATCGACAGTGTGTGCGTTTCCCTCGGGGAATAGCATAGCACCGTCGTAGCGGTATATGTTCCTTGTCAAGTTCCAAAAAGATTTGGTGTCGGTGTTGCCGGTGCTTAACGAGGGGGTTAAATATACGCTTGCGTTCTTACCACCGAATGCTTTCTCGCTGTAAAGACTAACGGTCGTGCCCGCCATGATTTCCCAAGCTTCCATGCCTTTTGTTGGTGAAAGAGGCGCTGGTTCTAGCGGATCGATCAATTTGATAATGAAGCGGCCATTTGCAGTGTCAGGTTTTATCGGTACGGCGTCCTCCTCTTTGGAATAGCCGTCGTTCAAAATCTTGATTCCGAGATCATATTTGTCTGCTGCGTTCTTGACATGATGTAGAATATGTTCTAAAGTTTCATTCACCGATGAGTTGATATCGATCCGGTTGTTTAACAAAACTCTTACCATTTCAGGCAATGCATTTGCCTTAATGCCTCCAGAGATGATATCAAGGGCTTGAGAAGTTTTGAAAAAGTATTTAAAGTCCCTTTCTTGATCTAAAACGGATTCGAGCTTTTCCTTTGAGTTTCCAACAAGATATTTCTCCATTTGTTTGTCGTTGATCGCTCCAAACTTCGTCAAGCATTTCAGAGCGTTGAGTGCAGGATTGTCTTGATCGACTTGCAATTGATAGGTGTCGTTCTCTATTTCTACCATCAATTCGCTTAAAATTCCAATGGATGTGTGATCGGGCGGCACAGACGAGTGACCGCCTGGGGCAAACAAGGTTATTTCGGCATCCAGATAGCCCTTTTCAGCCGTGACTGGCACCCCGTAATAACTACCATTTGATTCCCTTACGCCACCGCCCTCATCCAAGATAGCGTAAATACTATCACGGCCATACCTTTTTTCAATGTGAGTTGCAATTTCTTTAGCACATTTCCCTGAAGCTTCCTCATCGCATCCCAAAGAAATCAAGACTGTACGCTGAGGCACGAATCCGTCTTTGATCAATTTTTCGGCGCTTTCAAGATGCGAAATTACCATGCGCTTGACGTCTTCGGCTCCACGTCCGTATATCAAGTCTTCAGTTTCATTGTAGAATCCGCTAAAAGGTGGATGAGTCCATAGGGAAACGGTGTTGGGATCCACAGGAACAACATCTTGATGGGCCATCAACAGTAGGGGCTTGAGACTAGAATTCTGACCCTGCCAGGTGTATAGCAGCCCGTAGCCTCCAACTTTTTCTACCTGGGCCGTTTCATACAGGATAGGGAACTGGTCTTCGAGGTAGTAGTGCAGTTTTTGGAAATTTTGCCAAACAGCCAGGTCGGGTGAAGGCTTAGGGGTGTTATCATAAATTTCTGTGGGAATTTGGATCGCGCCTGTTAGCTTTTTGACGAGGCTTCCTTTGTATTCTCGGTCATACAAGATCTCGTCCAGGGAATTGGTAAAGGCTGCTTTCAAGGGCTTGTAGGTATCACAATCGGTGCATATACCGTTTTCTTCTGGATCTGAGCCGATTTCGTAAACAGTCAAGCCAACTAGCACTATGATCACAACCACTGCTATGGATAATACGGAAAACACTCGTCTCCTATTTCTAGGAAGGGAGATCCGACTTTCATTTACTGCTTGATAATCTGACATTCGCCGCATGTTTTCTCCTAGCAACTAGCTTATATAGTACCAGCAACTTATAAATTCAATTGTTGAATGCTGATTGATGCCGAGAAACACCAGATAGCTACGAGTTCTTACACGCAACAGTTCTTGATGATAGCTTTTATTTACTGACGCTGGTTACTCAATGATAACGTGCGGCATTGTAGCGTAATCTAAGTCCTATTAAAGATCACTTTGTACTTTCATGACAAGCCAATAATTCGTTTATATAGCTGTGACGACTGAAAAATGCCAGATGAGTTGAGAGTCAAACAAACGTAAAAAGTGTCCAGTCATATCACAATTCTCACCTGCAATTTGCATGGAAGTATTCCCAATGAGTTTACTTGTTTCTACTGACGCTGGGGATTCCTGCAAGCTGTGAAATATAGTCAATTCCTATTTATAAATTTATATTCTCGTTGACTAAGAGTCTACCAAAAGTTGCTGAGAGCTGCGTAAGGAGCGTTTTGTGTCGTTATGAGTCGGATGATATCATAATTAGGTGTTATCTAGCCCTTTCTTCCGTCCTGGAGACACATTTTTATAATCGACGATTTTATTGTCATGTTTAGTATCAAATGATTCATAATTGAGTCAACCTGCTCTCAAGCCAGCATACAACAAAAGAAGGCCAGATGACCGCCGATTCTGATAGTCTGGTGTATACGAAGCAAGCACTGGAACCGTGTGTGTTTCAGGAACTACCATTGGTCAAAGAACCTGTGCTTCAAAAAGTTCTCAGTGCCAAGTTGCTGGCCAACCTCGATATACTGAGGAAGTCTGCAGTTGAAAGCAGAATCAATGGTGACGATTCGCACGGCAAAGACATGTTATCTCAATTCCAGAACCAATTCAGTGGTATGTCGTGCACCGCTTCTATGGTCCAGCATGCTTCCACATTGGCATTGGATGCGCAATATACACAACATCAAGAAGCATTGAAATCTAGCCGACTTAGTGTGGATTTCGACAAAGATGCGACGCCAGAGGGCCCATTACCAGCAGCGCTGGATCAACTGGAATCGAAAATTGGTCCTAGTGGCCGAAACGATGAAAATCTGACGGAATTACGTAACCGCTTGCTGGGGAAGAACGGGGACAAGCCCGGACTTGTCTCCGAATCCAACAGCCCAATGGAAAAACAAATGCAAGTCCAAAATAATATTCAAGAAGAGCTAATCAGCGACATGTCACAGCTGGTGTCGGGCCTCAAACAGGGCGCAGAGGCGTTCCAGGCGGCGCTGAACGACGATTCCACGGTTTTAAAAGCCACCGAAATCGGTTTGCAAGCCACCTCCCGTAGTCTACACGATCTCGGGGGAAAGCTAAAGAGGTATCACAATTCGAAGGTGGGCCTTCTGTTTTACTTAACATGCATCCTGTTCATGTTTGTGAGTCTAATTATCACATATCTCATTATCAAGATATTTCCTAAAATGTGAAGAACCGGCTTCTCTCACCGAAGGCTTAAGACCATTGGTTGCAAGCTTGTATTGGGGGCTTCATCTCACTGGGTCAAAATTCGTCGTTTGAACTTTTGCCGGACCTCCTCGTTAGCTGGCGTTGTACTAGGCCCTTTTAACCTGTACTCTAGTATTCATTCTTCATGAAAACATCTGCAACACAGATGATGCCTATGATCCTGAGTACCGGGATTAAGTGTCTCGAGTATCTCTCTCAAAAGCTGGTCATGGTTGCCCTTGCAACTTGAAGAGATAACATACTATGTCTAGTTTGATGGATGAGTGAACTTTCTAAGAGAGTCAAGGTGGGTGGAAGCGGCAAAACACAAATGTATTTGAGCATCAATTGATATTGACATGCTGTTAGGGACATGGTGATCTCCTAGGGGCGCCGTTCAAGGGAAAAACTACATCTGCGAACACTGCGAGGCTTATGCCGCAATAATATCAAACAGCCTCACTGAAACAAAGCAAGTATATACTCAACCATGAGAATCACACGGTCGATCGTAAACTATAGACCACTTTGTTCTTGTACCGTTTGTGAGTTCACGGTGAACAATTGAACGACACCAGTTGAGCATAAAACATTCGTATGCGGCCTTGAGACTTCTAGTTAGCATGGCAAGCAACCCGATCTCAAGGAAACCCGCTATACTGCATAAGGTCTAATAGGTCGGTTGATGGGATCAGTCTCCGGTCAGACGTCTGTCTCTCAAGGATGATATCGTGTCCTGCCTCAAGAGACCCCAAAGTGGTCTTTAATGGCTTTGGGAATATACGGGAGGTTTGGGCCAACCTAATTTGGTGACTTTCGCTACAAGCCACCCACTGTGTGCTTAAGTAGAGTACTCCGTTTGTAATGCTTTTTGCGTGATGCAAGTCTAATATACATCTATAAATGCCGTCAGAGAACTGGCTACTGTACATCCAGCATCAAGTCATCCTTATTTTCCAGGTTGTTTTCGAACTCCCTGCTTTGTCCAGCCAGCAGTTCACGCCTGATCTCGGGGCCAATATCTTTATGACCCCTCTGGCGAACTGTCTCGAGCAAGAAGTCCCGCTGGTCTTGAGTGATATCGTTCTTGTATCTTTCAGCAAACGCAAGGAATGCTTTGTGCCAAACAACTGGGAGGGTCCTTTCGCCGTCATCACCATTGCTCATGTCTTCTAGGATTCTGAATCTCATAAAGTAGTAGACACAGTCATCCACAGTTTGGTAAGGAAGTGCGTACTTCTTCTCCAAAAGAATTTTTATAAAAACAGTAGTGGCGGGAGAAAACGGTAGTCTGAGAAGGTAGCTCAGAGCAGCTGACGAGTGCAAAGCGGGTACGGAAATTTTAGCCAACACACTACCAGCGATGGTTGCCTCGCGGATATTACAGCCAGTTTCGACAAGCGGGAATAGAAAACCTTTGAAAAACGCGCTTGGTTTGTAGAGAGACTTTTTCAATGCTCTGTAGATGTGATAGTTCAAAGAGTGATCCTCCGTCGTTTCGATGTTATCACGGAAACGATCCAACAGCACGATATTGATGAATTTTTGAGCTTCCTTTGCTGAAAGATTCGAGACAAATAACTTGGTAGCCTCATATACAAGTTGTGGAGACCATGCGGGAGGATTTGTCACATACAAGACATCCTGCCAGTTATTCAGAGATGGAATGACTTTGAAAAGCTTGGGCAGTTTGCCATGAGTCCATGTTTTGAGAATGGATCCTACGGTCGTGTATGCCTTTACAACTTTCATGGGCAACGCAACACCCTCGCCCTGTGGACTAGGACCGCTGGATTCAGGTCCGTCGTTCTTGTTATTGTCGACTTCCAGCTCCATTTCCTTTTCGCGAATGGAGGCCATGATTTTGTCTGCTAGGTTGTAACTTTGGAAATCCGACTTGTAGTCGCTGGACTTTTTGAAGTACTGCTCGAACATCGCGGCGTCTTCCTCGTCTATTTCCACCACTTCCTCCTCTTCACCCTCTGCATACTCGGCATCTTCATCGTAGGGTTCGAAATCGGAAATGTTATCTGCCAGTCCCTCTTCGTCCTCGTCCTCGTCCTCGTCGTGATCGTTCTGATTCAGCTGTCTTCCAATGCGAAACCTGGCGAACGGATCACTTTGCTCTTTCTTGGAATTTTCCTGTTCTTCTTCCAGCTCTTGCTGTTGTTCCTTGGCCAGTTGCAGAATCTTTCTTGAAGCTGCTGCATCGACGTACTCCTCAGAATTCTCTTCGTTACGCTCATTGTCCTCATCTCTCTTTTTTGACACTTTTCTCAGGTTTCCTTGGGCGGAATCCAGATCTTTCAACAGCGGATCGTGTCTCTGTTTTCTGGCCTTGCTACTAGCGACTCTTCCCATAATTTATGTCCTCTAATTCTGTTTCAGTAATTTGATAAGTCTTGATAAGTCTTGTTTTCGCGATGAGCCAAGATGAGATGAGATGAGATGAGATGAGATCCGCTAACAGTATTTTAAATATTATTGAAAATTTTCAGCGCTTAACAGTGAGCGACAGCGTCAGAATATAAAAGAGTGATATATAGTATTGGAATCAGAACAGTTGAAGCACTGGATGGAACGCTTAGACCGAACTTGTCAATTGCGGATTGTTGATCCAGCTCACCATCCCATAACTTTAAAGACTTTTTGCAAATGCTGGAATAGACGGCAAATAAAAATCACGGTGCCACCCCCGCAGAGTAGAATCGAGACACCACACATCGCGAAGGCGAGACCAGAAGTGCAGAGGGCGAGTCCAGTGACATAAGCAGTGACAAGCGTTCCAAGATCGCCAAAAATATTGGCAACTTCTGTGATCGCAGCGTGAAGGTCGCCCCCGACTACTAGACCTTCCACTTTCTTGGCGATGCCCTCGCCAATGATACGGCCAACAGTCAGCTCATCAAGAGAAAATGCTATGCCGATCAGATCTGGCTCATAATTGGGCTCCATCGGTGCGAATTTGTTCTCGACAAGCACCGATAATTCTCGTAACATTGTGGTGAGTTGTTTTAGTTTTCGCACGAGCTGATCGGACTTTTTCGTGGCATCAGAAAAGCTCATTCCCACGTCACTGTCGAAACTTCGTATTTGGATCTTGAGAATATGGCTATAATACTGTCTCACCGGCTCCCATTCGGTCCCGCCTAAACCATGCAGTATATCGTCACTTAGTATCTTGAGTGACTGACACTGTAAAAAGACCTCTTCGGCGATGCCAAGAGTTGAGTCCAACGCATATATTTTTAAAAGTTGCAGCTCAGTCTTATTAATGAAGACATCCATATCAGCATTCCAGAGAGAATAGATACCTTTCGAGGCAGTATTGACAGTGTGAGAACTGCCAAAATCGGTTTGCCAGTGCATATTAGATAACACTTCAGTGGGAAAGGACATTCCGCTATCGATTTCGACTTGTGAGCCCAATACAAGAGCAGAAAAGCTCAGAGTACAGAAAAATGAATTTATTGCAAGCATAAACAGTCCTTATTGTTAAATAGTGTCGTTACTTTGGAGTTAAAGTTGACTACGAATACTAAAATTTAATGAAGAAGACTGCACTTCTCGAGCTGCTTAAATATGATTTTGGATCAAGTGAAACTAGCATCGCTCCATAATAAGAAACTAGTGACTGGGGCGAAACACGATCCTGAAGTACAATTGAGGGCCATAGGGAGTATTGGCGAAACTATTTGAATATATCTCGAGTACTCGTGAGTCCATGAAGTCACCATAGACGAAATCTAAAATATTTGATCTATTCAATAAGCTTAAATGATCAATAGTTGATGCAAGCAACCTAGCTCATCGAAACATCTGCATCGATCTGTGATATTCAATTCTAATCAACCTGCTACCACGATATGAGTAAACGATCAGCTAGTCCAAGTGGGACGCCGACCAAAAGGGCCAAAAAGCATCTCGTTTCGACAATTCACAAGCACTACAAGACAATCAACAATCAAGATGACTACAAGCACATGTACATTGCAGTTGAACCCTTGGACGTTTTCTGTTGGGGAACTGGTTCTATGTGCGAGCTGGGTTTGGGACCCTCTGCCAAAAATAAAGAGGTGAAAAGACCTCGATTGAATCCTTATTTGGGAAAAAACCAATCCAAGATCGTGTCGTTTGCAGTCGGAGGTATGCACGTTTTGGCTTTGGGTCAAGATAATAGTGTGTGGTCGTGGGGAACCAACGACTCTGGTGCTTTGGGTCGTGACACTTCTGGTGCCAACGTTCAATTGAAGGACATGGACGCCAATAACAGCAGTGATGACGAAGACGGAGATTTGAACGACCAGGAAAGCACGCCCATGAAGCTCGACGAGAATTCCTTGCCATTGAAAGACCAAAAAGTAGTGCAATTAGCGGCTGCTGACAATTTCAGCGCCGTTTTGATGGATAGCGGAGACGTTTACGCTTGGGGTACTTTTAGGTGCAACGAGGGTATTTTAGGCTTCTATAAAGACACAATAAACTTGCAGAAAACACCCTGGAAAGTACCCAAATTCTCCAACTCCAAGATCGTTCAAATGGCTGCCGGAAAAGACCATGTCCTCTTTCTAGATGAGGCGGGGATTGTCTATGCATGGGGTAACGGCCAGCAGTATCAACTGGGTAGAAGGATTTTGGAACGTTCTCGTTTAAGAACTCTAGACCCTAGAGCATTCGGCCTCGACAATATCAAGTACATTGCGTCAGGTGAGAACCATTCATTTGCCCTCAACAATGACGGAAAGCTGTACAGTTGGGGATTGAACCAATTCGGTCAATGTGGTGTTACCGAACAGGTTGAAGACGGTGCGCTGGTAACAGTTCCTACCGAGGTTCTTCTACCAGAGGGCACTAAAGTGAAAATGGTTGCCGCTGGAGAGCACCACTCTCTTGTCTTGTCAGAAGAAGGTGAACTATTTACCTTTGGGAGATTCGATATGTTTGAGATTGGTATTGCCAAAGACAAGCTACCCGAACAGACGTACATTGATGTTCATAACAAACCTCGTGCCGTCCCTGTTCCAACAAAATTGTTGGATGTTCCACGCTTCAAAAACGTGGCCGCTGGTTCTCATCACTCGCTGGCTGTCTCTGAAGATGGCGTTGTATTCTCTTGGGGATTTGGAGAAACATACGCCGTGGGATTAGGTCCCTCTGGGGACGATATAGAAGTTCCAACAAGAATCAAGAACACGGCAACTCAGGATCATAATGTCATGTTTGTCGGAGGTGGCGGCCAGTTTTCAGTGTCAGGCGGTAAAAAGTTGAGCGAGGAAGAAGCCGAAAAACGGGCCGACAAATACGGCGACTGAAATCAAAAAGTTTAATTATATCCCAAAATTTACCGAAGGCCTCGCTACGGCTCCCGAAAAATGTACAATAATTCGAAGTTTTGTTTAAACAGGTATCTCGCCTGTTAAAGAGAATCGACCTGATACTTCAAAAGTTAACTAACTGAATGATGGTCTCATAAATTTTTATAAATTATTTAGCATTAAGAGACTATACAGCTTTTAAAGCGTCTATGATTCGACTTTTAGCAGGACTAGATGTTTAATCCATTCTCACCTTGTAGCCGGTGTTCAATAAGTGCTTTTTGACGTCAGCCACAGTGTATTCTCCTCTGTGGAACATGCCTGCTCCTAGACAAGCGTCAGCTCTAGTTTTTTCAAACGCCTCCTCAAAGTGCTTTGGAGATCCAGCGCCACTGGAAGCAATCACTGGAATGCTCACGGCGTCCTTCGCATGTTCTATCAGTTCCAAATCATACCCGGAGTTGGAACCGTCTTTGTCGATACAGTTCAGTAGCACCTCGCCGGCCCCTAGAGCTTCACAGGCACGTGTCACCTCCCATACACCGATATCTCTACTTTCTCTTCCACCTTTGATTGTACACTGGTACCAGCACCACTCTTGGCCCTTTCCGTTAGGGAACTTGGTCTTAAAGGTCTTATTTTTTGTTGATTCAGGTCCATCCACATATACTCTCTTGGGGTCCACGGAAATAACCACAGCCTGGGCACCATAGGACTTTGAAATGGTCTCAATTGGTGAAGTTCCATCGCCACGTTCGCCCAGCTCATAATATTTCTCTGCAGCATAAACAGCATCTGTTCCGATCGATACCTTATCAGCCCCAGACTGGAAATACAGAGTAGCTACCTGAAGAGCAGGCACCAGCTTTCCGTCAACATCTGTGATGTCCTTGATGCCTCCTCCGACTGTTAGTGGCACGAAAACCGATTTAGCAGCCATTTTCAAAACGTCCAACATTGGCGTATCGCTTAGCGGGCAATCCCTGAAACTAGTAATATTCAGAAACGTTACCTCGTCGGCGCCTTGCTCATAGTAATTTTTGGCCATTTCAACAGGTTTACCTAGGTTTCTTACGTTACCGCCTTCTTCTTTTTCACGGACATCGTACTGATCGCCCTTTGTGACAACTAGATCGCCTTGATCGTTGGCACGAACATCCAGACATGCGATGATTCTGCGACTTAGCCCATAGTTGGAGTAGTCGTTGAGCAACAGCGCATTTTCCTGGGCTGAGTGTTGGATAGTAGGGTGGTTTTGCTCGATAAAGCTTTTTAGGATAGCCAGTCCAGCGTGGCCAGACTTTTCTGGGTGGAATTGAGTCGCAAATATGTTGTCCTTGGCAATTGCAGCGACGTATTCTTCCGAACCATACTTGGCAACTGCCACGTTCCAACTAGCGCTGCTCAACGCCTTTTTTGAATCTTCATCCAGCAAGGCCGCGTAAGAGTGGACAAAATAGTATCTGTTGCAAGGGTCGATGCCAAACAACTTTTCCTGAGGGGTACAAGTGTTCCAACCGATCGCTGGCACCGGTTTGTTTGACGAGTCGAATTTAGTGAGGTTGAGATCCAAAAATCCCAAGCCCTGGCTTTTTGGCGATTCTTCTGAGCCCTTGAAAAATGTCTGCAAACCCACGCAAATTCCCATAATAGGTTTTCCCGAAGCAATGTAGTCTCTGATAGGTTTTTCGAGTTTTCTAGACGTCAAGTTGTCGACGAAATGGCCAAAATTTCCCACACCGGGCAGCATCAAAACTTCAGCAGCAGCCAGCTCTGGATCATCAGCACTTCTGATTAGTTTGGCTTTGTAGCCAAGAGACTCAATGGCGTTTACCAACGAACGCAGATTCCCACTTTCGACGTCGATGATATGAACTGTGGTCATTATGTGATATATTGAAGTTGTGTGAGTTCAAGCGAAGCGATTGACCTCTGGAAAAAGCCGAAAAATGTCAGGACAAACTGTTGATCTCTTCGACGATCAAGAATCCAGTCTAGACTTATACCAAATCAAATCACAACGATTACTTCCTACAAGATTTCAAGAGATGACTCAACATGCGCTCAAAGGCATTTTTTCGCTTGTAGATCGAAACTTTCGCTACAAGCATTCAGCACGTGATACGGGTCGATGAGTTAAAAAAGCTGTATGAACCATGATGAATACTACTACCACAACTAGAACTACTTTTACAAGGACAAACTCAAAGGTCATCGATTGATCAGAATTATCGAGTAACGACGCCATTTTATGATATTTAAAATCTTTCGGTATCAATGTTTGGTGTCTTGTCCATTTGTAGTGATTTAATATTGCACAAGAGATTGTTGGACTTCTTTGGAAAGAATTAAGTGTAAAAATGAAATCCCGAATAACTGCAGTTCCATTAGGTCTTTCCCTGTCGAATCGACGACCACTTTTCGCACAGTCGAGCTGTTCCTTTTTTAATTCATTATATAATTATATATTTCTCTGAACCTTCATGATTCTAGGACGAGCCCATTTCTCTTCTTCATTTCCCTCGGACTCTAATAAGGCAGCCTTCTTAGGCTGAAGACGACTTTCTTAGCTCCCTTCTCTGCTTGACGGCAGTGGACAGGTCACGCAAAACCTGTTCGGTGGTCTCCCAGCCTATGCAGCCATCGGTGATGGACACACCGTACTTGAGGCCGGCCTTGCCCTCTTCAGGAATGGATTGCTTGCCCTCGTTGATGTGGGATTCAAGCATAACACCGATGATTCTGTCCTCACCGTTGGCGATCTGTTCGCAAACGGCGGTGTTAACCTTCGGCTGGTTTCTGTAGTCCTTGTTGGAGTTACCGTGCGAACAGTCGATCATTACACCATTGCCAGCTGGAAGTTGCTTCTTGGCCTCGGCCACGGATTCGGCATCGTAGTTGGTGCCCTTGGTACCACCTCTCAAGATCACGAAGCAGTGTTCGTTACCCTTGGTGGTGGTAATAGCAGCGAATCCGTGTTTGGTGACACCCATGAAGTGGTGGGAGTGCGAAGCAGCCATCACAGCGTCCACGGCGACTCCCAAAGTACCGTCAGTGCCATTCTTGAAGCCCACGGGGAACGATAAACCGGAGGCAAGCTCTCTGTGCAATTGGGACTCGGTGGTTCTCGCACCGATGGCACCGAACGACAACAAATCGGCCAAGTACTGTGGGGAGATGGTGTCGAGCATTTCAGACCCGATAGGTAGGCCCTCGCTGGTCAGGTTAACGAAAAGCTGTCTTGCAGACTGCAGACCCTTGTTAATGTTGTAAGTGTTGTTGACATCTGGGTCGTTGATCAAACCTTTCCAGCCCACGGTGGTTCTGGGTTTTTCCAGGTACGCTCTCATGATCACGCAAATTTCGCCCTCGAGTTCCTCCGAGATTTTCTTGAGACGTCTAGCGTAGTCCTGAGCAGCGTCAAGGTCGTGAATCGAGCATGGTCCCACGATGACAAGCACTCTGTCGTCCTTGCCTGTGATGATTTCGCTGGCTTCTCTTCTTCCCTTCTGCACCGTTTGCAGACACTTGTTGGTGGCTGGGATCTGCGTTTGTAGCAAAGCAGGCGAGATAAGAGGATCCAGGTTCACAATTCTGAGGTCCTCAGCTTGTTCTAGGATATCTTTTCTTACTGGCGACACGCTCATTTTCCAACTGTCTGGTTCAAAAAGCTGTGAATATTTTGTCTTGGTCAATGACTTGAAGACGTTTGAGAATTACTCTAAGAGATTACGTTGATAGTCTCTTGTTGTAAGTTTCAGATAAATTTCAAAACACCTGTTAAAGCTTCAGCAAAGAAGGATTGAAATTGTCTCTTGAATAGGATTTCTCTCTTTTTAAAGGCTCTTTCTCACCTTCGAAATAAAATAAAATTTCAATGTGCGCCAGTGACTAATTTTTTTAATATTGAAAAATTTGAGTTTCCCGCATGGCTCGATTATACTACGGGTATATAGCCAACAAGACAGCGATGATAAAGTGAAATAGCGAAACGTTGTGCGATGGTAGGGCCTGGCCAAATACACGGGACGACAAAATTGGTGTGGGAAAATAAGCGTATCTTTAAGCCACCAAAAGTCGGGAGAAATAGAGAAATAGTAGTGTTCATTGGATAAAATTTCATAACATTTGGATGGCCACCATTTGTTCATTCGTTCATTCGTTCATTTGAAATGATAAGTTCAAGGGTTCCAAATCAGGTATACCCCAGCAGGGACTATCTACGACTGGTTGGTATCGCGGAGTTTTGTTGTTTTTTGTTCATTGAGCACGTGACTCAGCGCCAGGATGTCGTCGTCAGAAAATCTCTCTACTGTAGGAAGAACAGCCTACCTTCCCAAGGTCTCAGGGTGTCTTTAACATTTGGAAGTGCAGGATAGTTGCTGAAAAATTGGGTTAGCTGGGCGGCGTCTGCTTCAGGTGCGGAAAAATCGCAGGGCTCTGACGAAAAATTCAACGCTGCAAATAGTTGTCGAGGCTTCTCGTGTTCGTCAGTTTTCTTTGTGAACATGAACAGTTTGGGGTCGTCAAGATCGTGGAACTCGAAATCCTGCCCGTAAACCAAAGTGTCTTTGTACAGCTGTCTCACTTTGAGAGCCTCGCGCCAGAAATTCAATACAGAGTTTGGGTCTTCAAGCTCATCTTCGACGTTGATCCCGTCTCGGAACGTGTCGTTGACGGCCAACCACGGTTTGGCAGCTGCGTGGCCACCGTAAACCCCGAACCCAGCGTCTGGTTCTCTGGAAGACCAGGGCATCGGGGTTCTGGCATGGTCGCGCGAAAACAGTGCCACGCCCTCTTCGAATTTACGCATCTGCACAGAGTCGTCTCCATATTTCTCACGAATCAAGGCACGGTTGTTCTTGACGTCTACATCATCGTACTGGTCTAGATCCCATCCAAGGTTATTAATTTGCCCTAGTTCCTGACCTTGGTAGATGTAAAGCGTCCCCGTGAGCGAAATCTCCAAGAGAGCCAAAAGCTTTGCCGAAATTTTACGCCACTGGGGGGAATCGTTTCCGAATCTTGTCACACTTCGAGGCTGGTCGTGATTTTCCAGGTAAACAGTAGTCCAGCTGTCGGTGCGATTAGCAAACAGAAAACTGGCTGCAATACCCAATTTCCAGTCCTTTAACGTGTAAGGCACCACATTGTACCTAAAATGCCCGCTGGTTCCCACATTTGTGTGTGCGAAGTTGAAAAGCTGGCTCATTTCGCCCTGCTCCTCGCTAGTATACTGTAAAAGACCGCTGTTGTCGCAATTTCCGACTTCGCCCACTGTAAAGATCTCCTTCCCTGGGGGAAGTTGCTGCTCGAAGTATTTGCGCATCTCTTTGTGAAACTCGTGGATGCGAGGTCCATTGCGAGTCACAGCGCCAGGGTATTGTAGCTCGCTATCGGGATCAGTAATTTCCGCGTCTGGGAAACCTGCAACCTTGGAGTAGAGACCGGCTGTATCGATGCGAAATCCGTCCACGCCGTGACGGAGCCAAAACCCGGCAGAAGAGTCGTAGAGATGTTTTCTCAATTCGTCGTTTTCCCAGTTGAAGTCGGGTTGCCCCGAGGCAAAGAGATGCAGATAAAACTCCTGGCTCTTCTCGTCCCACTCCCATGCAGATCCGCCAAAAAAGGACCGCCAATTGTTAGGCGCAATTGGCTTCCCACTTGAGTCGAAACCCTTGGCAGCTTTCCAGATAAACCAGTCGCGCTTAGAGTTTGTTTTAGACGAGCGTGACTCCTGGAACCACTTGTGCTCTGAGGAACAGTGGTTGATGACCAAATCGACCACTACTTTGATGTCATTATTGTGGGCCTTTTGGATCAGTTCGAAGCAGTCCTCGTTGGTGCCGTATCGCGGCCACACCTTTTCGTAATCTGAGATGTCATAGCCCATGTCTTGCTGCGGGGAATCGTAGAAGGGACATATCCAAATGGTGTCGACGCCTAGATGTTTGAAGTACGGGATTTTCGACGTGATGCCCGGTAAGTCGCCCCAACCATCGTTGTCGCTGTCTTTGAAGCTGGCTGGATAAATCTGATATACAGTGGCTTCTTTCCACCATTTTCTCTGGGATCCCGTCATTTTTTGTGAGGGAAGACTTGATTCGACAATACAGTAGGAAATCGTTTCTGCGCCAAACACACACCGTTGGTGCCATTGAGTTTATAAAGCATCATGATACCGTATATTTCCCCTGGCTGACCAGTAGTTGAGGCACCACGTCATTTCCTTGTTAGCGGTGTATACCAAATTACCAAAGACGGTGGTTGCCGGATTGTGAGAGGAGATATTCCGTTGCAAGCAGCGGCTGGAGCAGTGCTCGATAAGCAACATTGGCGTAAGAAGAAAGGGACTGGATGTTTACATATTGCGGAGAGGGGTGCGTTTTGGGTGTTCTTGATTAATTTCATCAGCTTGGGTGGGTTAATAGCGCGGAGAAGTGCGCTGAATCAATGACATGATGGGACAGAGTGATTTTCCCAGTTAGGCTGACAAGTGTTCTTGCGTGACGTGAAGTGGCTTACTCATCTAAAGATTAGCCAATGTTAGTCTTACGAATTTGGTTGAAACGCTTGGGGAGAGAGAAAAGTTTAATTAGGTCGCGAGTGCCGGACGGTACGGTGTCATTGACCATCGTGTTCCTAGAGACTTGCCACTTGCCACTTAACTCAAAGGAAGAATGCCCGGTTTTCATGACTGAAAAATGGTCAAATCTCACTCTTGATGGAGCATCTCTCTACCAGTATGCTAGTCCCAGGCATAGACATTTACTGTGATGACATGTTCGTATGGGGTGATATTAGACAAACAATGGCCATTGTCGAGGTGACAATGGTGTTAGTGGTGTGTTTGAGAGACCTGAGTATTTCACTGCGAGGGGAGAAACTCAAACTTGCAGGACGAAATCATTCACTGGTTCTGCGTTGAGAGTTTCTTCATGGAGTTGAAATGACGGATATACTAATAACGGACATCATGTGACTAATTTAACGTTTTGGCACTGGATGAGGAATTCGGAAGAGATCGGGGAGAATGTCTGCACCAATGAACGGTTTTCTAGGGTTTTTCAAATATTCTTCGAACCGCTATTATCATTGATTATCCAAAGCACAACGCAGCGTTGAGTCCCCGATGAGAGTTTCGAGTGCTCTTCAAAACATCGTTTCGAACTAGTCTGTCGTCGATTTTTTGTCACTTAATTCGAGCTGATTACGTCATCATGGGCAAATTGGATTCATGCTCGAACAAGTAGCCGTCGTGTTTGTATGGTCGCGCAGAATTATCAGTGGTGATTAAAGGTGAGTTGCATGTTCCTTATTGAAAGCGCTGGCATAGTACTACGATTTCTCTACTTCTTTAAAATTGAGACCGTTAGCGTTATACTACGGGGTCTCTTCTCTAACGGCCTCGCTTGCTCAATAGTAATATGAGCATTCTAGATAATCATATTTGATTCTTACCGTTTTCAACAAATTAATTTTGATGTGAGTCTTCTCGTAATTCACAATTGATAGCACTAGCGTGATGCTGCGAATATCACTTGCTCGACAGTGTTAAGAGCCCTTTGCTTGTACGCAGTTGCTCTATGGGAGACCTCTACTGTTTCAGTGGTGCCATGCGACTCTAATCACTACAAAACCTCTAATTACTATGAGACCTCTCGCTATTCACAACTGTTCAGTTGTGCTGCGAACGCTCTACGAACTCACACTTGTTCGTTGACGCTCTCGACTGTACAGTTGACGCCATCCAATAGTACAACGAGCTCTCTACTATTCCACAATTGATAGCTGACGCTCTCACGCTCTCAATTGTTCAGTTGTGCTTGTAACACCTTTCGCTAGCGCTCCCAATTGTTGAATAGTACTACGAGTTCTCTACTTATTCACAATTAGTCGCTAACGCTCTTAACTGTTCAACTGTGCTTCCAGTCGCTAACGCTCTAAACTGTTCAATTGTGCTTCTAGTCGCTATCGTTCCCGATTGAAACCTCAAACTTCGCTTCCCTTCACTTTGCCATGGTGAGAGCCGGACTTGGTCCCCGACCTCAACAATCTTCCCCATATCACATATCACACATACCCTTGTAAGCGCATCAGCTCAACAACCTTTATGATCATACTGACGGCAAAGATGGGTGCGAACCTCAGGCGGCGGCGGGCGGGGTTCAAAGTGCGAACTCCGCGTTTTTGTACCCACCCGTTCACGTGAACGCGTCATGCTGCAAAAACGCGGGGTAAGGGATCATCAGTTTTGACGGAAACGCGGAGCTGCGGACTGCATGTGTGCCTTCGACGCGTCTATAAAAGCAGCGAGAAAAACCGCTGATCGGACCCACTGGAGTTTGATAGTCTCTACTACTTCTAACAAAGCAACAACAACAGAAGCTAGTGAGAATCGGCCAAGTCCGATACAGTGCTAACGACTACTAATAATATTCTCTTTCGCAGCTTTCCTTTAGCTCAGCTCCCGGCCCCCAAATTCACCCAGCATGTCTGACAAGCCCAAACTCACGCTTGTAGAGACCGCAGTGTCGTCTAATCTGCAGGACTCGTCCATAGACCTGCCATTCTCGTCGTCCAACAAGAAACAGGAAACTCAGCATTTGGAGTTCGGCGGCAGTAACGTGTCGGAAGCGGACTTCACCACGTCTGCCGCGGGAAGCGACACTATCGCCAAGTTTCTCGGACTCTCTGAAGATGCGCGTCAAGCCGACGGCGACGAAAAGCACATGCCCTTGCTGCAGGCGATCCGTCAGTACCCGAAAGCCGCGTTTTGGTCCGTTGTGCTCTCGTCTGCCCTGATCATGGAGGGCTACGACGTGGCCTTGCTATCGTCGCTATTTGCGCTCCCAGCGTTTGCAAAGAAATTCGGCAACTGGAACGCGGCCGCGCAGGTGTACGAGGTGCCCGCCAGATGGCAGACCGGCCTTTCCATGTGCACCAATGTCGGTGAAATCCTGGGGCTTCAGGTGGCCGGTATCGTCGCTGACCGTGTCGGCTATCGCTACACCCTCATCACCTCGCTCGCCATGGTGTTTTGTTTCATCTTCATTCTGTTCTTTGCGCCTTCGTGCGCGGTTTTGGCTGTTGGTGAAGTCCTCTGCGGTATTCCCTGGGGTGCCTTCCAAACCCTTACCGTCTCGTACGCCACTGAAGTGTGTCCTCTCGCGCTCAGATACTATCTTACCACCTACGTTAACATCTGCTGGATCTTGGGCCAAATTTTTGCCTCCGGTATCCTCAAAAACTCACAAGAAAATCTTCAGAACTCAGATCTTGGCTACAAACTACCCTTTGCCCTCCAGTGGATCTGGCCCATTCCCATTGCCATCGGTATATATTTCGCACCCGAATCTCCATGGTGGCTAGTGAAAAAGGGTAGAATGGACCAGGCTGCACACAGTCTAAACCGTCTCGTTACGGGCCTCTCTGCCGAGGAAAAGCCCACTGTTATTGACGCTATGCTCAGCAAAATCCAGTTGACTATTCAAAAGGAAGAGGCCGTCACCAAAGATACCACCTACTGGGACTGTTTCAAAGGCGTGGACGGCAGAAGAACCAGAATTGCTTGTCTCACCTGGGTCACTCAAAACGCCTGTGGTAGTGCCATGATGGGTTACTCCACTTACTTTTACATCAAGGCCGGTCTAAGCGACTCAATGGCTTTCACTTTTACCATCATTCAGTACTGCCTGGGTCTGATTGGAACTATTTTGTCATGGGCAATCTCTAAAAAGTACGGTCGTTTCACCATTTTTTCAAGTGGATTAGCCATCCAGATGGTGCTTTTAGTAATAATTGGTGCTCTGGGTTTCAAACACTCTACCGGTTCCAGTTGGGCCATTGGTTCGTTGTTACTACTTTTCGTTTTCACGTATGACGTTGGTGTGGGCCCTGTCACGTACTGTGTCGTGCCAGAAATCCCAAGTACTAAATTAAGAACCAAGACTGTTATCTTGGCTCGTAATTTCTACAATTTAATGGGTATCATCAACTTCATTTGGACTCCATACATGTTGAACACGGAGGAATGGAATTGGGGCGCTAAGACGGGTCTATTTTGGGCCGGAATTTGTCTCATCATGTTAACATGGGCCATCTGGGAACTACCAGAGACTAAAGGACGTACCTTTGGTGAAATTGACGAATTGTTCCAAATGAGCGTTCCTGCCCGTAAGTTCAAGTCTACCGAGGTCAATCCATTTGACAGCAGTAAATTGATGGCCGAATTGGACGATGCTCAAATCGAGAGAATTGTGAAAAACGATGAGCATACCAGAAACAGATTTATGGAAACAATCGCCGAAGACTCAGATTGAATCTGAGTCAAAGCATAATTGACCTTTTGTAATTGAAATTTGATGCTCATTACAATGGACAGACAGCCAGAGAATCGAATTGTAATCAGTAACCAAAGATAAACCTGGAAGATGATCAGGATGATCATCTTAGCATAAGCCCCCCCTCCCCGCCAAGACGGCGATTTTGAACCAAAAAACAGTCAATTTCCAAGTAATAAAAGAAAACAAATGGTTTTACTACTGTAACCAACGACTTAGATCTGGTCAGATTGTGTGAAATTGTTGATTAGTGTTATTTTGATTTTTTAAATAGAACGAAACGCTAAAGGACGACTGGTTCGTTTGCAACTTACTTTTGAATTAGAATTTCTTCATTCTTCGTCTTCAATTCTTTTGTATTCTGGTGGTGTCGGTATGTTTAAGTCGCTCTGATATCTTTCGATGCCTAGAGAAATAGAGTTTTGAGATTTAGGCTCATATTTCGGCAGTTGAGTAGACAAGCTTAACTTCTGATCAACTAAAACAAATGGGATCTTCAGCAGGATTTGAACACCTTCTGCATTGCTCCAGCCTTCTGAACCCTTAACATGCACGCCTATAGCGACCTTTACTTCGTGCGAAATTTTTAGCTTGGTAGTGGTTTCTGCTGATCCTAGCAAACATGATCCAGTTTCTACATACGAGGGGAACAGGGAATCATTGCATAGTAAGGACCTTGAACAAGACTTTATTTTCAAGTTGCTCAAGGTCAAACTGTAGGATGTTTCATCTTTGTCAAAATCTTCAAGCTCGTCCAAATGTGACGATATCGTTTCTTGATGGTTTTTGCATGATGTCATGCTGCTTTTTTGATCGAAACACGGAAGGGTCAATGTTTGTTCTAGACTGACGCGCACGAATTTGATTTTACAACGGTCTGGCTTCCGATGCAAACTCATTGACAATTGGAAAGGCTTGTCGAACTCCAGAATTCGCGAGTTTAACGACAGATCATAGTCGACCAATCCATTCCTCCAAACTCCAAAGGCAGTATTGCCCTGCAAGAGACCGTACTGGTCGTGCGGAAAGGTCTTTTTCAGCGAAACAGTTGAGGTCAAAAAAACAGTTTCGAACTTACTTTTGGGTTTGGGTATTGTGACAAAAGATTCTATCCGGTACATGGTGGAGCCTCTGTGAGTTTTTACAGACCCTGGAAAGTTTTCTGAGTCGATTAGAAATTTGAATTGGTATTCGTAAGAGCCTGGAGGTAGCAACTCTAAATCGCAATCCTTTTGCTGCTGTGTGTTGAACTTTACGACGTCCTGTATGAAGGGAACCTTGTATGACCTACACATATCGGAGCCCCTCGCATTGACAAGCTTGACGATATTAGTGGTGTTTTCGTACGCGTACTCGCAAGAGTACCCACTGAGACGCACTTGAACGTTTCTGAGCGGCAATGCATCGGGGCCTTTGACAGTAATTTTCAATGTACCAGAGAAAATGCCACTGTAGGGCTGGTTTTGTTCGAGAGTGCTATCGTCTTCAATTGTCTGACCCAGGAGAGACTCGGTGTCCAGCTTGTGAAGAAATATGGAGTCATTGTCGAGGACAAGCGAGACGTGCAATTGTTTGGATTCGTGTACAGTCACACACGGGCTTTCCTGGCGATTGAACGGGTTGTATCGAATGTTTGGAATTGCAGGCGAGGTGTGTTTGAGCACAGTAGCGCGGTTCTTGAGATCCTGGATCTTTATATCGAGCGGGGGCGAGCTTGCAGCAGCTGCCTGCTTGTGTTGGGTCATGTTCAGCAAAGTGCGGGTCAAGGTTGGTGGAGATCGATTTTTAAAGCTGGAAAGGATGTCAGTGAGTGGTGGTTCGTCTTCGTATGGAGGTGGGGATGGAGATGCTAAGCGAGGAAGCAGAGAGGCCATGGTCTCTGACGAGAGGATTATCTGATTACAGAATTATTGTTACTACAAAACTGGGAGAGATATATTGTGACAAAGGAATCCAAACCTACGTTTCGCTGCAATATTTATATGCAAACAATGTGGTACAGTATTAGATGAGATGACCCATTTCTCTTTTGTCAGGGTTCGAGTGTTAGTCACCAAGAACATTAAGGACGGACATTAGAATCCAGAAGAGCCTGAACGATTGATTGCGGTACCTTGCCTTACAAGCGGGAAAACAATAGTATTTTCACTGGCCACTACTCATTTAACACCCAGGCGACACAATAATCTTTTCGGCAGCATTTTTATCCAACTAACACAATTGTCACAATTGAAACTACGACGCAAGCGACGATTCGGAACCACCGCGATTTTCCAGCTTAGAAAATGCTACAGGACTGATCGATTCTACATTAATTACAGAGATTGTGGATGACTATTCACAACCTTGATTCCTTTGATATTTGCTCAGTAATGAGCTGCGGAAAGATGCCAACTTGCCGAGCTGAAATTACATGGTTTAAGCGCGGTCTTTGGCGTGGTGGGCAAATACGGTATATGTTTATCGTGGGTATCGTACTGTCCGTATCGTATGAGTCATAGTAGGAACTTTGAGAACAATAGAGAGCGAAATGGAAGAGGATAGAAGGACTGTCGAGCAAATAGGTAGAAGGGTTGAAGAATGATTGAATAATTGGTAGGGTGAGTGTGAGCGAGCGTAAGTGAATTACTGGGATAGAAACAAGCACTATTGGACAGTTGAAATTTCTGGCGAGTACGAGTACGAGTACGAGTAGTTCTGGAGCCTCTCTGGCAACGAGCGCGTCTGTGATTGAGTCAAGGATATTATTGTTGGAAAGTTGAGCGACAACGATCAGTTGTAAGAAGTTACGTTAGATATGGGTATGGTTGTTGAACCGAGAGTGTTTTAGGAGCTCGTATTTCGTCCACCAATAATATTAATGAGTAGAGAATGACGGTTCCAGGAATAATTGAATGACGGACGACGCTTTTGGTTGTATGAGTCGAAGTTTAACGATCCCAATAGGTGTACTTATAGCGCGGAGTGGAAGCTGGTAGATGGCGCTACTTTCGTATTCTTGATGGAAATCCTTGTTTTTAATTTTGCGATTTCTAAGTGTCATTGAAGAACCGAGAGCGATAGAAGTGGATGAGCATGATCTGCTGGTCTTGTTGCGCTATCCATGAAATCTCGATCTACAACATCAGAGAAATCGCGTCTACAAAAAGTAGTGGAGAAACTGATTCCACCCGCCACTTGTTTGACCACGAGGAACGCTCAGTTTACGTCTACAGACTCAAGCACACACCACCGCGGATCTGACGCCCTCGGTGGCGGAAAGCTGCCAATATCTCGGGTCGTCCATGTTCAGTTGCTCGCGCCCTTAAGTTGGACTCTGGTGAAGATCATACATCACGTGATGTCGCCCTCGACTACTCAGCCGTACTCAAAATTTCGATTGCGAGACCCTTTTACAGCAGAAGATGTGGCCATATTGGTAGTTCGCGATTGATAGTTAAAGCTATCATTGAATAATCTCATACTACAAGATTTAACGTTAGCCACAGGCGCTTTTTTCTTCTTATTCACAACTGGGGGCACCACAGTGAGAGTGATTTACAAATTCAACGTTGATTGCTGACTCTGCTTGTAGCTCTATGCTGCTCTCAATTTAGACCACCGTACTAAGCCTCTGTACGTATTCAAAGTTGCCCGGTGACGCTTTCAATCGCTCAGTAATCGATGCTTGAAGGTTTGGAGTTATGTACTCGCACGTATTGCCTGGATTCATGAGTCTCCATAAGTACGAGTACAAGTAACTTCACGAGCATGCTCGTGGTTAATGACGAAGATCACCGCAGTTAGCAATTACGAATCCGGTGGTTCGCGAGTTAGCCATTGGCGGTGGATATAGAGCAGACTTCAGAGCAGTGAACGTATAAAGTCGCCCTCGACTAGCGATTTTTCAAAAAGCTGCCAATTAATCGTTTATGCACGCGTTTCAACCCAATTTCTGAGCCCCATGTTATTAGTGAAATGTCAGCAAATTTATTGGAATTACAAGAGGTTTTGACAAACGATGAGCAGTCTCTCGACATATCTGGGAGGCACAGAAATTTCTTCCACTTTTGGGGGATGAGCAGAATATAAGACATGAAGGTAAACTTCAATTTTGATGCTTGGCGTCAGGGTGAATGGTGTTAGTGACAGCGATAATTGACGCATAGGATCTTGATTCGTATGCGTAAAATTTAACTCTGGCGCGGGGAATGGTCTTTTGAACATACAAAAAGCCGTCTGACCCGGTATCATGTGGGCTTTTAAGTTTACTGACGCTGACAAGCGCATTAAAGCTTCGTCACGTGATCCAGTATGCCGCTAGACTGACTGTTGGAGCTGTATGCGCCTGAAACCCTCGAGCAATTCGAGCAAGTCTACTCGTTCTCAGTCATTATACTACGAGATTCATGTGAGCTTGCGAGCTTCACGCTAGTATGAAACGTTTTCAGAATTACACGCTGAGCACTCAATTGGTGTGGTACTGGAGTTCTCTATTTCTTATCATCAGCGCTCAGTAGTATCAAGAGCCCTTTAACTCTGCACAATGGGCCACTGATGCTATTGATTGTTTGATATATCCAGAGCCCTCTACTTCATGGTGCTTGTAGCCATTCAACTTCGTCACAATTGGATCGTTAACGGCCTCAATTGTTCAGTAACACTGGGTGCCTCTACTCTTGCACACTTGATCGTTGATGGTCCCATCTGCTCACTTTTGGCTGTCAGTGGTGCTTTTACTGGTTTGCTCCGTCACAATCGGGAACACAAAAATCGTTCTATAGTGCTTCAACTTCTGTGCCTCTGATCGCTGACTCTAGTAAAAATCTTTCATTGATCGCTATCTCTCTCCACTGTTTCGTGCTTCATGCAGCCCTCCTAATTACTCACAATTGATCGTTGAAGCTTTCAATTCGAGTTACTACATTAATTCACAATCGATCGCTACCGCTCAGTTATGGGAAGTGCTTCTAGCCACCCGTTTTAAATTGTTTAAACATCGTTTAAGCCACTTATACGTGCTCCCAAGTGTTCAAATGTGTTTGTAGCCATTCTACTTGGATCGCCGATGCTCTCATTCGCTCAGTTGTGGGTGGGTTAGTAAGTGGTGTAGAAGGTGGCCACATTCTTGCTTAGTTGTAACTCTTTTCTGTTTGCCAAACGTTTTAGCATTGCCTTTTTACGTTGTGAGTTTTGAAATGCGAGCGCTATTAGCGGTCGCGCCTGTGCGATCTAGTAACAAAAATAGAACTGGACAATCAACGCTAGCTCTGAAAGAAACAGGTACTCTAGCTTCGTACCATCAGGCGAATGCGCCTTATCTTCTGATATCTTGTTGATCTTTCTCTCCGTGGTCATTCTGTCTTGAGCTAGCGTTATCGCTGATGTGATACCAGGAATTCTCGACTTGTTCAGTCGCTATCGTAATACTGAGACTTTTTTGGTTCATGAACGGTGACGTACTACTGAGAGTTGTCTGCTTTACAATTGCACAATGGCGCACTCAATTATTCAATGGCCATTAAAGCCATTTCCGATTGTTAACCATTGATCGCTGGCGCTATTGTTTTGGGTTCGGTCGCTTATGATGTCAATTGTTATAAAACTCATAAAGTAGCCGTACGTAATCTGCAACTGATCGCTTACGTTTTGAATTGTTCACAATGGAGAGCGACAGCGAACTCGAAGCACTATACAGTTATTTACTTCATCGCTGAAGCTCTCATTTGTTCAGTAGTTCTACGAGATTTGGTACTCGTACTCGATCGGCATGTCTCAGTCAATTCATTAGACGGCGCGGGAGCTTTTGCTTATTTACTATTAAGAGCGCCAATGCTTGTTTGCAGTCGTTCTACAACTGAGATCGCTAGTAATGCTACAAGTTCTCTACTTCTCTCACAAACTAACACTCTCGATTGTAGAATTGTGCTTCGAGTTTGATGGCTTAAGCTCTCAGTTGTTCAATTGTACTACGAGATCTCTGGTTTTCACCACTGATAGCTGAGGCTCCAGTAGTTCAATAGCGCTTGTAGCCCTCAATTGCACAGTTGTGTAGTCACCTTACTCATTTACTATTGATCGCTGAAGCTCTCAATTGCATAGTGCTTATAGCCCTTCTACTCATTCACAACTAATCGCTGATGCTCCCAAGTGTATAGTGCTTCGTGTTATCTACTTATTCACAATTAGGAGCGACAGCGATCGAGGAATCAAGTGCATAGTGCTTTGAGTAATCAATTTTACAGTGCGAGTTGTGCTTGGGGCTTTCATTTTCACATGGCCTGTTAAAAAACCCTCTACTCTTAACGCTCTCAATTATTTAATAATATTACAAGCCCTTTCTAACAATTCACAATTGATCGCTGACGCTGTAAAAGCTAGGAGCCATCTCTTCATTCACAATTGATTGCTGACGCTCTCGATTCTTTAGTTGTACTTCGAGTCCTCTCTTTCCATACCATTGAGAGCGTCAGCGAATAACGGCTCGATAATTCTTGATGCCATTCTGCGTAATACCGCGAGTCCTCTCTATTCACAATTGATTGCTCACGCTCCCAATTGATCAAAGGTGCCCTAAGCCCTCGATCGCTTACACTCTCGATCGTAGAGTGTTTGTAGTTCTTTCTTCATTCACAACTGAGAATGTTAGCGATCAATAAACTGGAAAACTCGTAGTACAGCTGCAGTGCTCAGAGCTCTCTATCGCTCTCAATTGTTCATTAACACCAAGGAATCTCTACGTATTTACAAATGATCACTGAAGTTCTCAGTTCAGCTGTACTACGAGCTGCGTAGCTTACTCACAACTGATAGCTGATGCTTTTATACCAAGTGTCCTCTACTTAACGCTCTCAGTTGTGAGCTCTCGATCGTAGAGTGTTTGTAGTTCTCTCTTTATTCACAACTGAGAGCGTTAACGATCAATAAACTGGAGAACTCGTAGTACAGTTGCAGTGTCCAGAGCTCTCTATCGCTCTCAGTTGTCCAGAAGTGCTTGTAGTTTTCCCTCAATTGTACTACGAGTTTTCTTGTTTGTTCAGAAGTGCTTGTAGTTTTCCCTCAATTGTACTACGAGTTTTCTTGTTTGTTCAGAAGTGCTTGTAGTTTTTTCCTCTATTCACAACTGATCGCTAACGCTCTCAGTTGCTCAATTGTCTTACGAGTTTTCTTGTTTCCTCACAATAGATCGCTGACGCTCTCGATCGAATAGTGCTTGTACTTTTCTATTCACAACTGATCGCTAACGCTCTCAGTTGCTCAATTGTACTACGAGTTTTCTTGTTTCTTCACAACTGCTCGCTAACGCTCTCAGTTGCTCAATTGTACTACGAGTTTTCTTGTTTCTTCACAACTGCCCGCTAACGCTCTCAGTTGTTCAATTGTTCTACGAGTTTTCCCTCTATTCACAGCTGATCGCTAACGCTCTCAGTTGTTCAATTGTGCTACGAGTTTTCTTGTTTCTTCACAATCGATCGCTGACGCTCTCGATTGTAGAGTGCTTGTAGTTTTCTCTCTATTCACAACTGATCGCTAACGCTCTCAGTTGCTCAATTGTACTACGAGTTTTCTTGTTTCTTCACAACTGCTCGCTAACGCTCTCAGTTGTTCAATTGTGCTACGAGTTTTCTTGTTTCATCACCTGAATGTAGTGAGAGCCTCCAAAATTGTCTTAAACCTTCACATGCAAACTAAAAAAGCGATCTCCAACGGGGAATGCACCTCAATCTCGGCTACCATTAATTAGTTTCCTACAAGACACAAAAAATTCCACTAAGAGCAACTACAACTACAACTACAACCTTATCTTCTGTCCCAGTAGTTTGCCATTCATCCCATTTCCCACGCTCTCTCTCTCTCTGTACCGTGTCTCCAATATCTTTCCTGTTCCACGAATCATCCGAGGCCCCGAGATCGAGCATGTTTTACACAAAAACCAAAAAGAAAAAGAAACAAAGTAACCAACTTCCTTTTCCAAAAAAGAAAATACAACACAAAACACAAAAAAAAAAAGATTAATACGCCAAAAAGAAAAAATTACGCCAGACCGTCTCCTTTCTCCCACCCTTCAACCCCCTTGCGCACGCACGCAGAACCCTCCGTAGCAACTCGCCCAATGCCAGCCAATCAGCGCAGACTATGTGGCAGCCAGTTTCCCGTAACAGGCGCGATTTGGCCTGAAATCTGGCCAGTGGGAATTTTGGCATATTTATGCTAACGGGTTTCCGGGTCCCAAGTGAGTATCGAGATCCAATTGTACTCTGCACAAACAACAATTCTACCCGCCAAGCACACCCACACACCCGCTCTGGCTTACGTGAGCACCGTCAGTCTCTGTTCCTGTTTCTGTCTCTAGGCTTTTGGGTTCAGTGCATACTCACAATAACCAGGAGAACCCAAACAGGAGCGAAACCAGTTATTGTTATACATAAAGGAATCGAAGAAAAGAGAAACCTTCCAGCATTGGCCTATTTTCTTTGGTGTGATTATCCATCGCTGTCGTGTTCTTCCGCTTATCTTTTTTGTCCAGAGTCTGCTGCTACGCACAAGACCGTGTGCTGTTATTTCAGCGATGTCCGCCAGGTGCGACGACCCGCGTGTTAAGTTGCCCTCTATCCAAAATCTGCTGGCGTCGTTGGACCGCTGCGATGAGAGGCCCGTGACGGGCCCGACCATTGTGACTCGGCCCGCGGTGTCGCCTTGGAACACCCACACACCACAGCCGCTGGCGCTCGCCGAGTCGCACTTGCACAGCCGCGCGTACAACCACACCCACACACCGCAGCGACTATGGGAGGCTACGCCAACGGCGGCGGCGGCGGCGGCGGCGGCTGCGGCTGTGTCCGGTATGTCCGCACCCGGCATGTCCGCTACACCCGCGCCCGTTATACCCGCGTCGTCGTCTTCTTCTTCGTCGTCTACGTCGTCTACGTCATCTTCGTCGTCCTTGTCGTCCCCGCCCGCGTCGTCGTCCTCGCCAGTGTCACCAATCTCCCCGGTCTCGTCCGCTGGCGCGTCTTTGCCGCCAAAGTCGTCGGCCGCGCTGGCGTCGCGCCGAACAAACCTGCCCAAGAAGACCGTCGAGATCCTCAACGAATGGCTCGTGTCGCATCTCAACTACCCGTACCCGTCGCCACAGGAAAAACGCGAACTGCTGGCCAAGACCGGACTCAGCAAGGTCCAGCTCAGCAACTGGTTCATCAACGTTCGGCGTAGAAAGGTTTTTAGCGACTATTACTTGATGTCGCGACCATTAGCCGCGGGCGGCGAGACGACGGCAGCGACGACCACCCCGACCGGAGCCGGAAATACTGCTACGGGGGCCACTTCTACTAGTAGTACAGCTATCGCCGTCGAACATGATAAGACGCTTCCTTCCACCACCGTGCCATTCACAAGACGCAAGAAACTCATCGATAGGCTCGAAGAGCTGAAAAGAGCGACGCAGTCGTGAGCAAGAGCAAGAGCAAGAGCAAGAGCAAGAGCAAGAGCAAGAGCAAGAGCAAGAGCAAGAGCAAGAGCAAGAGACTTCTTCCACCCCACGGACCCAGGCTTTCATGCCGCATTGTACTACTACTACTAGACGTTGATGTTATAACTTAGATTTTATTATCACTTTATCACTTTATCATTTTTCTCTGGGTTGAGACCAGGCAAACCTCGTCTTGGAAGTGTTCCTTTGGTATCAAAGGGTATGAAAGGGTATCAAAGGATGTCATCCTCTGGAAGTTTGGATGTAGATGTAGATGTAGATGTGGATGTAGATGTAGATCCAAATTCTGTGCGTAATGAGTATATGATTACTTAGAGTGCGAACTTTGAGTGACGTGCCACCACCACCACCACTACTGACCTGGAACGTAGTTGTCGGGCTCTTCTCCCTCCTCCTCCGCATCTTCCTCTTCAGCAGCTTCGTGTTCCTGGCCAGGAACATATGTGTCTCTCACACGACGCGCACCGAAATTGTGCGTGGCGTTCGTGCCAATCCGGTCCACAAGCGGCACCGTGAACCCTCCCCTGGACGCATCGTACTCAAACCGCAGCTCGTCGCTCACCTGACCCCCAGACTTGCCCCGGCCAAACTGCCGTCCGTCTTCGAACCCCGGGTCCAAGTCCAGCGTTATGTTACGGTCGTCCAGCTTCATGTCCGATAAATACTTGACTGCGTTCAGCGCCTCCTCCGGCGTGTTGTAAATCACAAAACAGAACCCACACGGCGTGAATTTGAAACGGTCCAGTCCCATGATAATGCGTTTGATTACGCCCGATTTGCTAAACAGCTCGTATATTTGTTCTTCGGAAGTGTAAAACGAAAGGTTCCCCACGTAGATCGTGGCAGATTTCACGGATTTGCGAAGTTCGTCCAATCCACTTGGATTCCGACGAGCTTTTTTCATCAGGTAGTTGGATGGAACATCCAACCGGCTGGTCGAGTGCTCGTAGTGTATTTCGTCGAATTCCGCCAAAGACATCGTGTGCACTGCTTGGAGAACTCTTGTCTTTCTTCGGCGCGAACACAAGTTAATAGCTGTAATTTTCAACTCAGTTAAATATTTTAATTAACATGGTAATGGTAAAAGTTCTAGTGAGAATCGCAGCATAAACAGCGTGCTAAAAGAGGTGGAAATCGTGGAATCAAGAGAAAGAAACTGACGTGGTATCGTCGTTGATGGATTACAAGCTTGCAGTAGAAGCACCATGGTTCAAATGATGGTAATAAGTAGTGCATGTGGTACATGCTGCCCTATATATTTTATCTATCTTCTACATTTTCATCTTCGAGTCCGATATAGTGTAACGGCTATCACATCACGCTTTCACCGTGGAGACCGGGGTTCGACTCCCCGTATCGGAGATATTTTTTACCAGATTCAGATTAAAACCTCTGCCATTTTTTGTTTAAATCATATTGATCCCCGACCCTTCTCAATGGATCCTCCAGAGCCAATGAATAATGATCATAATGATGGTAGATATATATATATATATATATATATATATAGAATAAGAAACAAAAATAAACAGGAAAACAAAAGATGTAGGCGCCAAGCCTCGCCAGTGTGCTAACTCTTGGGCTTATTCTTAATGCCATGTGGCTTCAGTAGTTCAAAACTGCACATGAGCCCCGTTGTTACGCTCATGACGGCACCCCAGTTCTGGAACTCACCACAATAATTGGGGGCAGAAAACACCGTTACAAACTTCTTCCGCGCAAAAAATTCGTAGCCGTCTTCCACTACCATATGGCCACGAATGACCAGGTCAAAGTTGAAGCGTGAACAAAACTCAAGCACATTACGCTTGCCAAATGTCACGGAAACTCCACGGTCGTTGACCGACCAATCCGAGACTTGTGGGTCCGGATCACTCCACAAAAGGTCTGTTATCAAACCTTCATCGGGTATGTCAGTTGGCCGAGCGACTCGTTCGATTTGGCTCAGATCTCGCAAGTGCGGAGAAATTCCGCCGTGAACACAAAAGATCTTCTCTTGAACGACAGCGGCAAGCGGCAACGAGTTGAAAACGTCAACAAAAACTTTCCAACTCTTGGACGACAAACGACGTTTGCATTCATCGTAGAATCCATACATCTTGGTAACATTGGCAGACTCGTGATTCCCTCTCAGCATGAAAAACCTATCTGGGAACTTGATCTTGTAGCAGAGCAGAAGCAACATAGTTTCCAAAGATTGCTTGCCTCGGTCAACGTAATCACCCAGGAATAAGTAGCTGGAGTCAGGAGGAACGCCAGAGAGTCTCAGAATACGCATCAAGTCCGTGAATTGACCATGCAAGTCGCCCACGATCTTAATGGGAGCTTGCAATCGCAACAAAGACGGCTGTTGCAGAAACAATTCTCGGGCTTTGCTGCAAATGACCTGCACTTTCCAAGCACTCAAAGGAAACTCTTTGGCTTGATAGTATCTGGTACTTCCAATGTCCAATAGTCTTTCGATGACTTCGTCGATGTCAACATGTTCTGTAGCCTGAGCGTCGTGGGAATATCTTTTGAGAATTACGGGCGGAGCAGCTTTCCTGTCATGGGGAACTTGAGAGGCAGAGGAGCGAGAACTGCGGTTTTTACGAGCCAAAGCGGTCGAGGATTGCATTTCCTCCTTTATCGGAGGCAATGGGTGCGTTGTAGACGTTGGGGCAGAGCTACTCTGCGGCGTCTGGGGCTCGTTATCCGTGAAGCTGTAGTTAGTGAACGAGGAATCTGTGGAGTAAGATGGTGGGGTAATGGTGCCATTGTTGCTGGACCCAGAGCTGGAACTGGACCCAGAGCCTGCGAGGGACGTGGACGCGGGATACGAGGTTCCCAGCGCTTTGGCAAACGACATGTCGATGTCGAGATCGAGATCGTAGGACGCGGTCGACCGTCTCTTGGCGTTTCTGGTGTTGTGGGAATGATGGTGCGGGTGATGCGGTCGGTGGTGATGGGAGCCGTGTTGCGGCGAAGAAGACGCGGGGCTGGACATTTTGGGTGCAGGCGAATGCGTGTAGTGCGCTTTTGCGAGCGACGCCAGGCTTGGAGGTGGATACGAGTTGAAGCTGGAACCAGCATTGGAGTTGGGTTTGGGTTTGGATTTGGGCTCTCCAGGAGCCGATCTCGGAACGAGATTGATATGTTGTGTGGGAGTGATAGTAGGTAGAGACCTACTATCATCGGGGTCATTAGGTTCGTTGCTATTCAGGTCATCGCTAGAGGTGAGAACACCACTTGAGTTTGCACTGGCTGTCTTCGTACTCGGTAGGGCATAGTTGGATTTAGACGGGCTGTTTCCCATAATTCGGTGCGTAACTTATCTGCGCAGTGAAATAGATCCTGTCCCACTAGTTTTAGTTTTCAGTCGAAATACAATTTTGAGGAGGTCCTAGATGCTTCTAAAAAGGCTTTGCAAGTCAACTCTGTTTAACGATCTTGATCTGTGTTGCTGTAGTAAAATGTGATGTGATGTGATGGGAGAAGATCCACCTCGATTCTCGTCTTCTTCTTCTTCTTCTTGATAAAATAACACTGTGGGTGCGTTTTGTCATGAATATCTGTGGAATTGACTTTTTTTGAACTTATCGAGAGTACCCCGGCGAGAAAGTAGGCTGATACGTCTCTTTAAACGGGACAGCTCGTAGGCGTGCGGGTAAGGCGAGAGCTGTGATTGACGACAGCGATGGCGACGACAGTGAGGAGGACAGACACAGTTCACAAGGAATTTCGATTATGCCAGGTCGAACTTTTGTGAATTCATTGCGGGAAACCAGTAGATACCAATGACTTTTTTCCGTTCTTTCTGAGATTCGTTCGGCTTTTGGATTTGGAAAATGTCATATGGTTGGTTACTGTAGGTCAGGACTTGGTGTGCGTAAATTTCACATTTTTTAACGATTCAGTATTACGAGCTTACCCGTGTAGGAACATTCGTGGTACCCTGGGAGACGGGTTCTTCGCTCGTAGGATTTTCCTGAGCGTTCAGAACGCTAGTGTCTAACATGATGAAAAATAAATTGGAAAAAGGAAAATACCAGCTGTTTAACGAGCAAGTTGAACGTTGTAGACAGGAGGCGAATTCTGGACGCATGCACGCATGAACGGAGCATTTTGTTTAGTTACTGGGTACAGGCCAGGACAGTAAGAAAAGTCATTTGCAAAATTCGGTGGGTTGTTGATTTTCGTGATAGCACGTTTTGGAGGGAGGAGCGCGAGGGGTCGAGGGAGAAATGGTAGGGACTCTGTAGGTGGTGACTGGCTGGCAATTCCCGTAGTTCCTTGAACTTGGGGTTTGGAAGCATGGGTAATTGCTTATCGGAGAAATTCGAGTCACGTGACGAAGGTTGGTGAGATGTGTCTTGGCGGTGGTCACTGTTCCACCCCGGTGTGCGCCATTGCTTGTTGGAGTGTGTGTGTGCGTGCGTCTCTCCAGACTCTTTTGCCAGACAGATTTACATTGCACATTGGGTTGGAGAAAGTTGACGTCGTGGATCTTGGCCTTCACAGCGGCAGCCATCTATCCGACTTTGCAGCTCGTCTGCTGCAAAGCAGATCTTCGTTGAAGTGATTTTTTACTGTGTGTCAGTAAGGAGAATTTGCCCACGCCTTTGATGTCAGTGGGCGGGTTTGTCGATTGCCCGAGGAACACCACGCCGTCTCACGTCTTGGTTTAGCATTCTAAAGCAAACAACAGCAATTGAACTACGTCACCTCCCACTTTACCGGAACCAGAGGCTATAACAATCGAGAGCGATAGCAATGAAATAACTGTACTTTTTTAAAGCTTACAACCAAGAGATGACGATTGTTTACTTGTACTTTTCTGTGAGCTCGTTGCACTTTTCTGTGAACTCGTTGTAATTTCCTTTAGCACCTTTACTCCCGATTGCCAACGCTCTTTGTTGCTCCGTATTGTTTGTGACGTTGTATGGTCTCTTTCACCCTACACATCCCCGTAATGCTTGTAGTGTAGGATGAACACGGTCGAGCTCGGTTGTCCGGTATTACTTGGTGCCGTGTGTGACCTCTTTCACCCTCAAATAATCCCGGTCCATGATCTCTGTCCGCCTCGATTTTCCAGTTTTGCTTGTTTCAAACCATGAGCACCAACAATCTCCGTTGTCCCGCAATACCTGTAGCTTGTACGAGCACGGGGAGTCTCGATTGTCCCATAGCATTTGCAGCAATCCATGAACTCTGTCACTCTCAGCTGTCCCATTAATTTTGTAGCCATGTATGATATCTTCCGCTCTCAATTTTCCAATAATGCGGCTAGCGCTGTATGGACACCGTGAGTCTTACCTGCGGCATAAGACTTGCAGCGATCTATGATCTCGTTCGCCCTCAATAATCTAGTGGTCCTGCTAGTCATTTTACTATTGGATAACCACCGTATCGCTCTCAATTGTTCAGCCAATCGCTAGCACCCTCGTCTGCAGCTGGAAAGCAGTGTCTACACCAGGTTGTTCTGTCAAGCGCAATTGCTCGTCAACGCCCCCAATTGCGAGCCCAGAACTCAAGCTCCCATTAGTCGCATTCATTCGTTTCTAGGTGTGCTGGCCACTACGTCGATACAAGTTGTTACAAGTTGGAAATCATTGTTTTAGCCGCCAAGCTTTCTATAAATCCAATTAATCCAAAGCACGTGACTAGACCTTTATGCGTACAGAGTGACATCTAATCGAATTAGGAACAATAGTTAATAAATCGTTAAACCAGTATGAACCACAGCGATATGGTAAGTTGACCTAGGTGAATCCGCAAAAGAGAGTCTTTTCCCACATTTTACGACATCATACCTCATCATAATGACAATGGGCGAAGAGACCGTAGCGGAAAGTGTCCCTGTCCCTTCTGGCGCCGCCGAAGATACAACAATAACAGACCAACAACTAACCGAAGAGGGAGGGCATCTGAGTGAGAAACCAGTGGAACCAGAGGAAACAGAGACCAAAGCATCGGCAGACAATACTGCGGAAGAAAAAGTACCGAATGGTCCAACTAGGACCTCTGACAGCTTGCTGGAGGCCGAAAATGCTGGTAGTAATGATAGCGTCTTGGAAAGCCAAGCAGAGGGCCAGGAACTGGCTAGGAAAGATCAAGACCAGGAGAAGGGAACAGAAGGACAAATGGAAGGACAGGGAGAAGGAGAAGGCGAACAAGAAGACGAAGAAGAAGGTGAGACAAGATGTATATGTGGGGAAGTGGATCCCCCGGACGAATCAGGCCTGTACATTCAATGCGAACAGTGCAGTGTTTGGCAACACGGTTTTTGCGTGGGTATTACCGAAGGCGAAGGTAGTGCGCCCGATAAGTACTGGTGTGAGCAGTGCCGTCCCGAACTGCATACACTCTACACCACAGACGCAGGACAGCGACGGTCGGTTTACAAACCCGTTCAACAGAGCAAGCGGCAGAATAGGCGATCGAAAAAGGACGAAGAAGCCTCCCACAGCAGCGATAAAGCCAGCAACGGTGCCAACAGTACTGGCCATGGCAATCGCGCAGGATCCCTCGCTGAAACTCAAAACCCAGATGTCAAAACCGAAAACCAGAGACCCATACCTCCAGATGAGCTGAAACCTCGCAAACGACAGCAACGGCGCAAAGAAGCAGTCCCGGAAAGATTTATTCACGGCCGTCGATACTCCGAAGAGGATCGTCGCTCTCTGGACAGACGTCGCGCCACGTCCTCCGCGCGCGAAGAAAAACAATACCAATTGATGCTAGAAAAAGCTCTCAAAGAGAGTCGGCGCACTTCTCAAGCTGACGACGAACTAGAGGCCAATGTCCTCACAGAGGCAAAGGAAGTAGAACAGTTAAGCACCCAGGCTTCCGTCAGCGAAGCTACAGTAGCCGATGAACCACCTAAGAAACGTACAAAACTTAACAGCAACACCAATAACTCGCCTCCAAACACATCAATGACCTCTTCAGAGGAGGACAGCCGGCGAAAAACAAAGCGCGGAGGACCTCGAAAGGTGAAGAGCCGAAACTTGTCTCGAGCTTCCTCGTCTAACGAGATTAGTTCGGGCACCTCAGATGTTAGTATCAACAAGCCCATAAAACCCAGACTCCCGACCCAAAAAACGAGCCTCAACGAAATGAGACGTCGTGTGGGTGCTATATTAGAGTTCATCTCGCGAACGCAACTCGAACTCTCAGACGATCAAATTGAAAAACAAAAGTTTACTGAGTTCGTTGAGAATCAAGAATTTGTCGAGAAGGTGGACGTCGTATACACCAACTTCGACGAAAGCTTGAAGACGATGGATGATCTGACCCGAAAACTGCTTATATGGGAAAAGAAATATGCCTCAGATCAATAGTCAATATTGAATAGATACATCCTATAAAAGATCAGATAGTTCTGTACTCTTTCTGCCAGAGGCTTTACAATAGTTCATAAATTCGCGCGTATTCACAATACTTGTACCGCCCAGTATAGCCCTTATTTTTCCGTCGTTTTCTTTGTTCATTGTCTTGTTGAATTGGTGGAGAATCCGCGCCTCCTCAAATGTAGCTCCACCAACGAAGAAGACAATGACATCCTGAGTAGGAGATTTGCTTCGAGGATTCTCAAGATATGGGAATTTCTCGTCTGGGATTTTATTCTTGGACAGGTCGTTGAGGAAAGCGAACAGCTCAGGAATATGCTGCATATAGACATTATCGGCTTTTGGCTGTCCTTTTTGATTGAATTTTTTAGCCAACTCGCTGATCAGATCTTCTCTTTCTCTACCCGATGTGGATGGATTTGCTTGATTCTTAAATAGGCTGCTGAAGTGATGAAAGAAGTTTACGTCCTCTGGGCTCATTTGAAGCGAAAGGGATTTCGAGATTTCAGATGCATGAGCACCTCCGGCATTCTTCAAAGAATAAATGCAGGCCAGTTTCAATTTGTAGTAATGGTCAACATTGGGATCAGCTAATAGTTTCATCAATTCTTCGTAGTTTCGCGAATCACCAGGGTGAGAAGAAATATTTTGTTCTAGCTCACTTACCTCCCAGATGTGTTTCTGTTGCAGCTGACGATCGAGTTCTCCTACAATAGCCATATGTTTTGAAACGTTGCCGGACAAGTTTCGGAATTCCGGATACTTTCCTATAAATTGCTTGATATCTTCAATTGTGTTTATCTGACTGGTGGTGTGTGTCTTCTCTTTATAACTGGAGACATACTGCTTCACCTTGTCGCCCAACTCACCGAAATTGAGGTACATAGTCTCGTGAAAGAAGCTGTCTTGTTTGGAAGAAAGAACAACTTGCTCCATAGTGGAATCAGCTTCTGGCACTGCAGACAGGTCGACGACGTTCCGCTTGATACCCAAGTACTCGTTTATCATCGATTGGTAGGTCCAAGGCTGCAACAGTGGGGTCAAAGGATCGCGATGCCGATCCATAATCAAGAGCAACGGCGGAGCATCTATCGGTGGGAAATCGAACAAGTTTCTCTCGTTTTGTCGCATGCTGTGCTGAACTTCTTGAGCTAGCTTGTGTGCTAATCTACTTCCAGCCTCATAACGTATTTGGGGCTTGAGTTTCAGCGAAAGCAATAGAGATATTAGGCCCTGAGTAGCTTTTTGAAGACCGGAGGGGTCCCAAACCAATTCATTGGAGAACAATTCGAACGCCGGTAAGTCGAGGGAAAACAGGTCGTCATTCAGAATCTGGTAGTCCTGAAAAATCTCTTCCACTTTGTTGACAACTTCAAGCTCGTCACACTCCGCAAGTCGCTCGAGCTGCGTCTTGGTGACCGTGTTGTTGAAAAAAATCTGGTATTCGCCATATTTCGGATTTGCAAGCTCTTTGGCCAGCAGTTCGATTGTTTCATCTGTAGGTTTCGCATACACCAAACATTTCAGATGGCGCATTGTATCTCTGGTTTCGTTTTCCAATGTGTCTATGAGATATATTTCATGTTCTAGCAAGGCTGTTTGCGTGGTGCACATCGATATGGTTCCCGTGGTGTGCTTATCCAACAGTAGGGTCTTAATACGGGTCTCTGGACCCGCATTTCGCGCACCTTTCGAGGGACAATTGGTGATCCGCCTAATGTAAAAGTCAGCGGCGCTGAAGAGGTTCATAGATGGCTATAATCGGCGTAGATGTCTTAGTGGGAACTCTCTCTTTCTTAAGCTAAAGTTAGGTAGACCTAATTCCACTACGTAAGGGATTCCGGTGAACACTCTAAACACGTGATATGTATTTTTAAGCTAAAGAGTTGGCTCTAATTTGATGGGCACCCTACGCATCTTGAACCGCTATAGTAGCTAATTGATACCTTCTTGCATTCTAGCATTGCCTTGTTTGTAAATTTCATATCAGGTTATCGGCTTTTTTCGTGTCACTGCTCTGATAGGTATGTTGGGTTCCTTCAAAAATGGCATGAGACTTCTCTATAGACTGCGGAACGTATTCAATTGAATTGAAACAGATGTTAGATATGAAGATCAATGAGGGACCTTACGGGACGATTACTGGTATTTTCTGAGATCCTTGGCACGTCACATTAGTACATAGTGATCTCCAAACGTCCAACGCGTGCCATTCGAACTCTGTTCAATGCAATTATCCATGCGATGAGCTGTAAAACTTACGATTATGTTGTCTTGAGATATAATGGAAAGAATAAGAGAACCGCAATCCCGTTGCACTGCTGTTGTCAAGGAATTCTTTTCGACGCGTGTCATTTCCATATCCCAAAATGATGACTTTCGTCCCATAAAAGCTGATTTCACCTACCCAATTAATTCACAAGTGCACATGTAGTTCCTTGCCAAAGTCTATACCATCACCAGCGCGACATATGCGATCGACCAGATAGTCATAAATCATCATTATTTATACCAACTTCGACATCATTTGCGTATATAGTGATAATATGCTCAATTAGCGAAATTTGTATGTGGGGACGTTTCTCACCGATATATCTTACAGAACAGGACGGCAAGTATTCTTCCTGAGGGAACGACAAGCATAGCAAGCGTTATCTTGGGATTTTAGGACGGGAGATTGTAGCAGCTTGCGAAATATCTATATAGCGAGTTTTGATCGCACCATGAACAATAAACATGCTACAAATACGAGCAAAAAACTAAAACAGTTCAGCACGAAGTCAAGAAGCAAAAGCGCCGCTAATTTTAAGGGATTGAACCAACTGAGAAGGGTCTTGAGTCATGATGGTAGTTATAGCTTGGAAGATCATATCAAGGAGAGGTCAGGGTCGATGAAAAAATCGAAAAGCAGTGACTCTTTACACCGGAAAAGGGCTATAAGCGGTCTCAACATGACTGCTCTTGGAAGAGTATCATCAAACTCAACAAGCTCACACCACGAATCGAGTGGATCTTTGGCATTGGCTGCCGGTCTAAAGCCGTTGCGTGGGAGTAGCACAAAGTCGGTTCTGGACCTCCGAGACGGTGATGAGATGTATCAGGACCACTCAACCACCGACGAAGAAGTGGAATATTTCACAGACGAAGAAGACCGAAAAGAGAGTACCCAGCAGTCCGCAGAAAATCGTGGAGAGCACTTGCTGCGAGGCAACAAGTCGGAGCTACAGCTTGATAGTCAGCCAGGAATTCAACATGCTGCAAGTAGACCTCATTCAGCCTACGAGTCACACTCACATGAAGCACAAAGTTTTGATGATGAAGACTCGCAGTCTGATAGATCAGGCGAAGATCACACTTTACTGGATAGCGATGGCGCGTCCACAGAACAAAATGCGCAAGAGGGCTCTCCCGGTCTTGAATCCAGGGCTGATAGCAGCAATACCTTAAGAAACCAACCTTGCTACGGTGTGCCATCCAATATGCGCCGTCCAAGTGAGGACCGAATAAGTAGCACCGACCACATACAAACTTTGGATCAAATATCCAACGATACGCGCCAAATGGGTGGAAATAATTTTGCCAATCAAGATCAAGGTCCGGAGGACGATCAAATCGATTCAAGCGATCGCATAGATCAGAATGGCGCCGAGGAGGATATCATTTACGCACCAAACAACATCGAAATAATGGCTAACAGCTTAAAACGGCATGGGCCAACCTCAAATAGGGCGAATGATTTAGCATACGCAGACAATGAGCAAGACATTCCCCCTGAGGATTATCTACGGGGAAGAGAGAAGAAAGCTGAGGGAAGATACAGTCCAACGATGATTCTTTCACAGTCCACGGGCGTTGAAAAGAGGTTTGATGGGTCTCCGTCTCTTTCTGATGAAACGGGCTCGCAGCTTCTGAAAAGTGAAAACAACCCAGATTCTACAAAGGATGGGATTCAGTCTGGCAACAACAATAACAGCAACAACAACAACACCAAGAGCAATAACAATTTCAGATACATCAACAACGATTTCGCGTCCTCGTTCAATTCAAATCAAGGTACGCAGCGGTTCAGCAGTAGCTCTGTCAAGCCTGATTTCTCGACATCCATCTCCAGTTTATCAAGTCATTTGTCTCGACCAATAAACTCAATGAATGACAATAAGTCATACAAAGTGTCGAATCAAAAAGTTGGACAGCCTCTCGCGACGACGCATAATAATAGTCGTCCGCATTTAGAGGCGAAAAAGTCAAATAGCAACCGCTCAGAAGGCTCGTCCAACTTAAATAACTTTTCCAATTTTTTGCAGGCAGAAAGCAACGGAACAGAATCACGTACGCAACAAAAACTTTGGTTACAGCGTGAAAACTCACTCATGGACCTATCCTCCCAAAATTCAAGCTTGGACTCCATATTTCTAGCTTCTAATATAGAAGTCAAAAGGGAATTTGAGAGAATTTCGAGAGAATATACGAATGTGAGACGATTCAGTAATCCAGTTACGGCATCCTTGAACAGAGTAGCTCCTCGAAGCAGGCTAGATACCAAAAAACATCGCATGGCGCTCTCTCAGAGTGATGAGCTGACGAAAGTGTTCAGGAACGACGGATCTCAAAATGGAAAAACCCTTCAAGACTTCTGCAAAGAAAACATGAAGCTCAATATCGACGTTCAACGTGTTTTGTCTAGTATATGGAATAAGGAAAGCGCGGCCTTTAATCATCGATCCGAAGTCCTTGCTCAAAATGACATCGATAATTCGTCTCTAGGATACGGAACGCCGGCTCGTTCGCAAACTCGTCACAGCCTGAGATCAAGCTATGGGTCATCGAACAATATCAACTACCAACGAGGATTAGGAACACTACAGCCAACAACAAGAGCGGTTCATCGACGGATGGAAAGTGCACTTAACCAGCAACAGCGGCCATAACTTTTCGTTACTTTGCACTTGCACTGATAGCACTTTTTCTATCACCCTTCAAGAAGGCAACCTCTTATCGAAATTGACATAGCTGATTATCATTAATTACTTACTAGTAGTGTTACAACTATTTCTCGAAAACAGCAACTCGCTGAAATTCACATCAAGGCTAACGCCCGATCCCCCGGTACTTTGAACCCGCATGATCTACCCTCTTCATAAATTTGGCTCAACGTTGCTTCAAACGTGTCATTCTCGACCAACTGCAAGTATTTCTTGTACAACACAAGAGCTGTGTGAGCATCCTCGATGGAATCATGATTGCCACTTTGCACGTCCGAGTCTAACAAGGCGTATGCCAGATACCGCAGCGCAAGATACCTCTTACCTTGCAAAAAGTATGATGCTGTATCCCTGATCTGCTCCGGAGGGACGTAAATGTTTATGTTTCTAAAATCATTGTAAAGTCCATGACCAACAAAAATACAACCCATCTGAAGTAGTAACCATATTTTGCGGTAAACAATCTGGCGTGGCACCAACATCTTCGTACTTGTGAGAGGATCAAGATCCCCAGGTTCAATGCCACTATAGCGTGTAAGATAATTTTCAATATGATTTGTGTTCACGACGTAGTCGTCGATGAAAGGTACACCAAATTGATCACCCGAATTACCTCTTAGTACTGATATTCTCGCGAGTGCAGTCTTTTTTGGATTGACTAGAGTTCGTTGACCCCGGGCACTTATCTCCACCTGTTCCCCAGCAAGTTCTACAAATTCTGCATCCATGGCCACTAGACACCCTGGTTGAGGCGCTTCAGAATTTGTCAATATTTGATACTCCTTCCTCAGCCCGGCTTTGATGCCTTTTCCGAAGTAATCCCGATACAAAACACTATGATCGACTCGGAAATGGGAGGACGGAACAAACGGCTTGCGCAATTCCTCGGCATCGGAGTAGACTAAAATCTCAGGGGTCTTCCACCAAGCAGAAATGTTCAGCGCTTCTTCCTCATCCACTTCTACAACTAGGAAGTCGTTCATCATGTACCACTTCCCTTGCTTGGTCATTTGATCACATACCTTCACATATGTAACCAAATGCGGTTCTGAAAGATCGTCTGTAATTCTTGCAACGTAAGCGGTTAGTTCGTATTTGAAAATAGCAGTAGTTGTTTTGAGGTCCATTGGATGAAGCTTCAAGATTGGCCTGTCTTTCGAAAGTGTGGCATAGAACTCTTTGACAAGCCAGTTTTTGACATTTCTGGCAATTGCCCATTCGTCATTTGATAAATCAACATTCAAGGAAAGGAGCGGAGGCAAATTCTTAACAGTATGCTCGGATTCTACATTCTCTTCTTTTTGACATTTGCCGCATGTGGCTCTTTGATGTCTCACACGATTCATAGACGACTCAATGTAAGGAAGGATTGTCTGGTTAGTGAGTTTCTTGCTTGAAAATTTGGCATTATTACTGGCGGGACTTGTAACTGTGAGTGTTGGTGTAGTAGATGATGTCTTCTCGTAGCTATCACACGCTGATATGGTGCGCGTGTCAATTTCCAATTGGATGCCAAAAAGCTCCTCCAAAACGATGCTGAAAGATGTATTTTTCTTCTTCTCAACTTCCTCCAAAATCAGTTTTTGCACTAAAAACTGATTGAACCTCTGTGAAATCTTCGACCTCGTAGAGTTAGTATTTGTTTTCAGGTTATTAGCATTTGTATGGTCCTCGACTTCCAGCCCCAAAAAGGACTCTCGAAGATCAGTAACGGAAGAGTTTTCGAAAAGCCCAAGCTCTTCGGCCTCTCTGAAGGATGTTAAAGTTTTCTGGAAGTTGGACGCGCGGCAAACAACTCCGTCTGCCTTATCCATCATATCATAGAGGTATCCCAATTCTGCCAGCAGGGAATTTTCCGACCACGGGTCATCTTTCAAACTACTCACGACAAAGTTGTAGAACTCCGGTACGAACCTGTACATTTGCAAGACAGCATTTGTGTAAGCGTTCTCAATGTCAGACTCTAATCCTGACAGGTGTGTGTTATTGAAAGCTTTGAAATCGAAATCCTCTACCCCATATTTGCCGTACACCATCTGGAGTTTTGTGTAAGCCGGAGGTACCTCAAAGTCGCTCAGGGATTTATATCGCATCATCTCTTTTTTGTCTGTACCGTCCTCATCCGATATCAGAAGTTTTTTCTTTCTCTCTCTCAATGACTTATACGGCCTTACCATGTTTCGGGGTCCATATTTCCCCACATTGTAAGGAATCATCTGAAATGACTGCAGGCGAGAATTTGACGGTTGCGAAGAGCGAAAAACTTGATCCGCGTCGTTAAAGACACCATTTTTTCGTCTCGCAATTGTACCGCTGCTCCTAAAAACGACATGAGGCCACGCTGAAAGAAGCTTCTCTGAGTAATATGGCATTCCCACAGAGCTGAGAGAAAAATCTGCGTCGTCAATATCGTGTCCAGAGTTCAGCGGCTCATCATCTGGAAAATCAGGATATTCTAAAACTGCTGAAGAGTTTGTAAAACCTGACATTCCTTTCGACCTGCTCCAAGTGTTGATGTTGTTATCATGTTCAAGAAGAGCAATGTAGTCGCCACTTGGGGAGAGCTGAAACTGGGAGATAGAATGGCATGGATGGCAATATTGTGTCCTCAACGTCGGATTGGCCAAATCTATAAAATCAAACGCACCAGAGACAGAGGCAACAGTGACAACAGTGGGCAATATAGGATGCAGCCGCACGAAGTCAGCGCCAGCGCTACCGGGAGTGTTCACGGACTGGTTGTATGAAAATGCGACTGGTGTTAATTGTCGCATCATTCGTAGGTCATAAACGTTGACAAAGGGATCTGAGCACAGCTGATTGAAACGGCGAGATTTGCCCACGGTCACCAATGTGTTGTCTCGGTAATCCATGTCGGAAATGGTGGCTGAGTGGCCTGCAAATGATTTGATAAGTTGATTGGAGTTTTGGTCGAGGAGGTCAATGGATCCAGACTGCTTGCCGATAAGCAGAGTCTTGTTATCGGAGCGCAGAAGCTTGACCTTAGAAGCATAGTCGATGTTGCGGGAAAGAGCGCCCTTTTGGAGATCGATGTCGATGAGGCCACTTCCAGGATTCGATCCGCCGCAGTAGACACGGTTGCCCACGTTCGAGGCAAAACACATTGCTCTCATCTCGCTCAGTTGAGCGATGTCGGCACTGGTCAAGTTCAATCGCGTTACACCTTGTCTGCTGGCGAAATTTAGCGAGTCTGTGCTGAGAGATATGATCCCACTGCGATGACTGAGCATGTCGAGAACCGGATCTGGGCCAATATGGCCTGCGTGTCGCGTGTACAGCGAGTACGCTGGGTCATACGAAGAAACGCGACCGTAGGTGTCTCCGGCCCACAAAAGGTTAGCATGTTCATCAAATACCACTTTGCTCACATCTTTATCACGCTCGTCATATAGTAGGTACGGCTTCCTCAAATGCTCAGTAAGGTCTACAGGGGCTCGAAACGTGAGCTGCCAATTGTTCATGACTGACTAGAGCCAAATTGGACATGCAAATACTCAAACTAAAACACACTAATGAAATGATAGAGACACTAGGGTAATTATCTCACACAAGAAGTTAAACTTCGCTTTTGAAAGGATTCTATACTTTATAAACCACTTTCAAACCTCACAGCTCAAATGATCGTACAAACACTCTCCAGCAATCAACGACGATCAATTGATGCTCAGTTTCGCTATATTCGAGGTGTAGTATTTCGAACTTTCTGAACTGTCAATTCGAGATAGCTGTTTAAGCTAATATAAATATATAAAATATTCAAAATGATAGTTTGGCATCATATAAAAAGGCTAAAATTTACATAAAAGTACGCTGTCTTATGGTGTTGAAAGCTAGGGAACTGTCACACTATGGGCCGTCCATATGTGTGAAGTTTCATGGCGACTATGTTGTAGCCGGATATGGCGTATTTGTGCAAGTCTACGAGGTCTTGAGCGGCAAACTAGTGAATCAGTCACGAGTGTTCCATAATAATAAAGTTCACGGATTATGCGTTGAAAACGGCTTGTTTTTAGCGTACGGAGCGCGTTCTGTGAGTGTGGTGCCATGGCAAGCTATTTTGAGCTCAAAAGACAATTCCAAGCTCGAAAAAATGTGCCCTGAGTGGGTAACAAGCGCAGAGTTTAGTTTCGACGGTTCAGCTGTTTATTTGTTGACCAGCTACAACAAGGTGCTGTGCTGCGATTTGGAACTTGAAGTGTTGGAAACGAGGGTCGTTTACGGCGAAAGAGCCATCCTTTACTCGGGAACAATCACGGTCCAAAGTGCAGAAAAAGTGCACATTAACGCAGGAACCGTGATGGATGGTGTGTTCATCTGGGATTTGTTCTCAGAGAAAAACCTGCATCATTTTACGGGCCACGAGGGCTCCATCTTCTACGTGACTGCGAGTAAAAATGGTCGCTTCGTGGCAAGCTGTTCCGATGACCGGTCGATCAAACTTTGGGACCTTGAGTCCGGCAGCTTGCTTTCCACGGGCTGGGGACATACGGCGCGTATCTGGAATTTACAGTTCTTCGATAACGATACAAAGCTCATCAGTGCCTCCGAAGATTGCACTTGTCGCGTGTGGGAAGTATCTCAGCTCACTGGTCAGCTAACACAGACAGACGTTCACGAGATCCACCTAAGTAAGAACGTGTGGGGCTTGGACGTGGACTCACGGCGAATGATCGCAGCCACCTCTGGAAATGACGGCCGGATAAAGTTGACAGACCTGCGGTTGCGCACTAGAGCTGGTGACGAAAGTCAAGCCTTTTCCATTGACGACATTTCGAGATGCAGAATTGATTTTGCAGCAAACGAAATCGTGAAAGGGTTTTTCTGGCTTCATTTTGGGCTGGTAGTATTGACATCTGAAGGTCAAGTCCTAAAATACAGCGACCAGAATTCCGTCTGGTCGTCGATTTTCCAGAACCAAAAATTTAAAAGCTTCTCTTCAACAACAGGAGTTCAAAAGCTTAACTTAGTCGTTTTCTCAAATGGCAGCGGTGATGTGCTTATAGTTAAGTTCTCTCAAGACGGTACTCAAGTGTTGAACACGCTAGAGATAGCCGTCACCGAGCTCTCTAAGGTCACAACTTGTCTTGTTGAAAGCTTCGATGGTGAACTGTTCATAGCCCTCCAGTCTCCTAACCCTAGAGATGCCTTAGTCTGCGTCAAGATTGACAGTGCCCCTTTAAAATTGACGGAAAAGTACCATCTCACGCGTCCTGCTAATTTCAACGCCAGTTCTATTCTATACCACGACAACTTCTTGCTCTTTGGCTCGAAATTCAGTACGCTGGCGATTTTCAACTTGCGCGAAAGCGAGACGTCTGCTCATGTATTGAATAGGTTACTTCCGGGCGATACAATTACCTCGGTCAGATTTGTTGAAAAATCAAGTAATGACAGGAGCTTATTTTCGGTCACAGACAGGGAAGGTTTCTACTGTTTTGTATCTATCGATCTCAATAATGGTGACTCGGATATTGTGCTGGAAAATAAGATTTCGAAAGGATTTTTGGAGGGTGCATTCTATGATCCAAGCGGAGATTATATCACTTATGGTTTCAAATCCAATTATTTTGTTATGTTCAATGAGACGCGACAATTTGAAATTATGAGTGAGCTTTGTGGTGGCTCTCACCGACAATGGCTTTTCTTACCCAACTACGATCCAAATGAGTTCGTTTTCGTTTATGTTAAAGCTTCGCGCATTAACATTCGAAAATTGCACAGTTCTTTCGTGCCACAGACGTTAAGAGATGGTTTGCATGGCAGAGAAATCAGAGATCTGACGCTACGCCCGGCGTCATATAACACTCGTACGCATGTGTTTTGTTCAGGCGCAGAAGATACAACTATCAAGCTCAACCGTATAAAAGAAAGTGGTGAGGCAAGAACAATTTGGACTTTCCGTAAACATACATCAGGTTTACAGCGTTGTAAATTTGTGAGCGATCAATATCTCATATCTTCTGCGGCCCGTGAAGAACTTTATTTGTGGAAGCTGTGTACAGACTTTAAGTCAAACCCCTACATGTCGATCATAGCTGTCCTGCCGACCTCGACAAAATTACCTGATCTCCGCATTATGGATTTCGATGTTAAATTTATTGAAAATTCGCAAGATTTCATTTTGGTTACGGTTTATTCTGATTCTGCCATCAAACTGTGGCACTTCGAGCATGCGAGTCAGAAGTTTGCGCTTATTGCTATAGGCAAGTATGAAACCTGCTGTCTTCTAAACGTTGCCTTGATTCCCTTGAAGGAAACGCTTTTACTGCTCATTTCACCAAGCGATGGCTATCTGGTAGCTTGGGACGTGACCAAATGCTTGAACATTAATTTGAGAAATGGAAAGCTCCAGGATTGGAAACCCAATTTTTCCCTAATGCCTATCCTTCCGGACTATGCCACGAGAGTTCTGGTTCATCGTGCTGGTGTGAAATCGCTGCAGGTAAAGAGCGCGAATGGCAGTTCTTGCCTAATTTATACAGGTGGAGACGACAATGCAGTTGCAATCTCCGAGTTCGCTGTTGAGGAGGATGAATTATCCATCAAAGGCCAGGTTTTGAGTTCTGACACAGCGGGCGCGGCTTCAACAATAACTGCTGTCAATCTTTTGAATGGCGGAAAGGGGCTCATAACGGCTTCTGTCGATCAGAGATTGAGATACTACGACGTTACCAAAAACCAGTTGACGCTTCAAGACGTATTCTACACGACAAACGCAGACACGGGCTGCTTGGACGTTGTTTCTACCGCCACAGGATCGCTGCTTCTTATCGGCGGTGTAGGCTTCTCTGCGTGGAGTTTGAGGGACGTAAAAAAATAGATATTTTCATGTACATAATATAATAAAGCATGGTGTTCACCGACCCATGATGCCTTTTCCCTCAAATTGCATCGAAGAGTAAAGATCTGTCGATATTCTCTGTCTTTTGACCTCTTGCCTCCTCTCTATTTACAAGTTTGTCATTTTTCTCTCGTCTGCTGAAATTCCTAGACTGAGGAGCTCAACCTTGGCGTTGCTTATGCTTTTTGTTAGATTTACAGTAAACGTAAACTCTCCCCTTACGTCTCACCATCTATAAAGCCATTCTGTTAGTATATTGTCCGCATATAATTTCAATTCAAAGAATAGCCCACTCGATCTCCTCATCCACATACGTAGCAATCGCTGCAAAATTTCTTGATAGCCGTTCGGACCTTAAAACCTCGAGTCAAGAATGGATGAGAAAGCCCCATGGTGGAGTTTAAAAGCCCACGTCCCTGCTGTGTTACTGATCTATTAATACCCGCCCGAAGAAGTTGTAGAAGCATATTTTGATGGTTAAAGTCACAATTGTGTGATCAGCTTGTACAGCGTATAAATGTGTTCAAATCGTCCAGTTTAGCTGATTTGTCGATTTTAAATTTTTCAAAATGGTGATAGCACTTCAGACGGCTCATCAGTTAAACAATCAAGTCATGAAATTGACAAAACCCATAGAATCAACACCTTCACCATACATCATCGATGGGCCATGAGCGAGAGACAAAGAGGGTCAGAGGACGATCCAAATGAGAATAGCAAACTCGATGAAAAACCTACATTTGTAGCTCCCGGAAGAAGTATTTTAAAGCACAAGTTTGTCCGGGAGGACGCGGAAGGGGAGAATTTGACAATATCTGATATCCCTGTTTCTGGCTACTCTCAGGAGCTTCAAAACTCATTAAATCAAAACAACACCACTTCTAGAATAAGTACCTCTAAGCTTCAGTCGAGATTGGATCGGAGAGTCTCATTTGCCCCAGATGTTACGCTTCACAGAGTCGATTTTGTGCCTCAGCAGTCATTGAATATTCGGGAACCCAGACGGAGGTCTGCCATACAAGAGCCATCTTATGATTCCTCGAACGAGCTCGCAGAAACTGCACCATCTGGAAACGCTGGGACGAGGGATGGAAGAATATCCAGTTCTGGGTCCGTCGATGACCAACATGCTGCTTATACCCCAGTTTTTGACAGAGAAGTGTCGATGGAGATCACCCAATTGTTTTCAAAACATAGCGCAAAACCAGTGGATAGTTCAGAGGCTACTGAAAATGTAGAAGATATGGACATGACCGAGTTTAGAGAAGCACATCAGCCATCGAAACGAAAGACTGTGGGTCACCAATCCGAAGACGGTCCAAATTCAAGCGTGCGTGAACTTGAGATGGATCATAATATTGACGAACACGATGATATGGACATCACTGAACCGAGAAAAGGCGAAACACTTGCCAGTAGACTCGTTAGTCGAGCTGGCAAAAGTGAGAAACCTGGTCCCTCATCATCTCAAGACCTTGAAAACGAACAATCCGATATGGAAACGACTCAGCCTTTCAGAGCTCCTCTCAAAGCAGCTATCAAGAAAAGCGCTGTATATGCAGCCCATCCTTCCACTCAAATAGATGTGCCAGCTACTCAATTAACAGCAGGTAGTTTGTTGAGTTCGGAAGAAATGGGAATCAGGCTCTCACAAGCTGTAACTTCGACGCAGGAAGGGGCTGAACCCTACTTCGAATCGCATCCACATCAGTTTCAAGATCTACCTGCTAAACGAAGGAAGATTGTTAACAGTCAAGACGAGACTTCTTTTTCTGCTACAAATCCGGACATGGACGATGACATGGAATTGACGATGATGGAAAGACTATCGCCTATTCAAATTTCGACAAATGTTGTAGATGATTCTTACGTGGGAGAAATGGATAAAGCTTTCATGCGGACTCCGCGGAGGGGGTCTTTCGAGGCGGAAATGGGCTCACCACGCGATGAAAAAGACTTTCCGTCATTATCAGTCTTTCTAGACGCCATTGGAATGAATGTTAGCCAAAAGAATGATGACTCTGAACAGGTCACAAAGCTGGTATTCGTCACCTTGCCTCGAGAATCTCATGGGCTGGCAACGGAAAATTATAAAGCATTATACGCAAATATGCCAATCTTAGAGATATACGCATTTTGCTGTAAGGAACTTCTGCGAAGAATACAGAAGTCCAAAAACCTATTCCAAGAACTAGAAGATCAAATTGCAACAAGCGCATCACCTGTCCTATTCAAAAGATACTTCGAGGCAAACGCCGCACAACGACAGAGCATGAACAAACAAATGGAGTTGCTTCGGAGCTTTTCTAGACTACAAGCTGCAAGAGTTTGGTTTGAGTGGAGACTGGGACATCTTAAAGGCATCAAAAATGTTTTACAAGAAAACTTGATGATCTTGAAAGATGAGCTAGATGTTTTGTCGATGAGAATAAAGAAAGTTACCGAAGTTAACAGGAAGGTTCTTGAGATAAAGCAGAGCATCATCAAGGAAGTTCATCTTTTGAAAGAAGGCTCGAAGTTTCAACATACCAGCCCTGCTATTCCAGATCGTATCAAAATCGAGACACTCAAATCTGAATTGAGAAAAGAGCTGAAGGAGCTGGAGGAAACGTCAGAGATCTCGAGAAAAGCAGAAGCATTAAGGAATGATATTAATAAAATTCGATTAATGATTGGTCAGACGCACAGAGAGATCTCAATGATGAGCGCAAAAGTGAAGCAAAGCACGAAGTTTGCCAATCGCGAGATGCCCAAGCTTCGAGCAGTGTTCGAAGTTTTTCAAGAGATATCTGGGGTTTCGCTAAAAGGGTTTGCAGGTTCGAATCTAAGCATTGAATTGCGAGGCTCTCAAATATCTCTGAAACTTGACGTCGAAAAGAAAAATGCAGTTGATGAAGTTGTGGTTTCCATACCGGAATTTTCAAAAAGCGATATTTCACGAGAACTATACAAGCAGGGCGTCCAATCAGCCCAGCGATCTTCAAACACTACTACTCAGCTTGTGGTTAAACTTCTCGTCGAGTCTGAAAAAGTACGCCAAATTGTTTCTGAGTACAATTACCTGAACTTGTTGTTTCCATGCCGGACCGTGACCACGCCCACTGGAGATCTTGACATTGAGATAAGGTTCTTTGATCCTGTACTAAAGTGCTGCTGCATTTTTTGTCTACCTCTGAGCCAATTCGTTACAGCCTTGCAAAGGCAATCGAACAAAGCTCCAAAGTTGCACTTGAAGTGTATACAAGAAGGATTAGATCAGAAGAGCTTATTATCGCGTTTCAGAGTCAATATATCACCCCTATTACCATGGTTAGACGGCGCCGAAATATCCTGAATATTTTGAAATATAGAGAACTAAAGTAACAGGCACAGATGGGAGCTATTGATACCACCTTTATGAAGTACGTTAGTCTTAACTGCCCATCGTCACCATAAATCTCTGTACTCGAGCTGGACTCATCAACTCCAGTATATATCCCGATGTACGAAATAAACATAAGACCAAAATTTGCATAATTAACTAAAATACAATCACGAAAGTAGTAAGCAATCTCAAGGTTGACCTCGCTCACTTGCTCAAGAAACGGTCTTAGTGGTACTCCAGGGCTGCTTCAATTATAAGGACTCTATATCGGATTCAAAAGACAGTGAATTTGAGGGAATTGGCGCCAAAAACCGTCAAAATTGAAGGAACTGGTACCTCGTGCAATACCTCTTAATGTTCGGCTCGAATAATGGAAGCTCGACACTTTTTGGTGGAGGTCTGAACACTTCTACGCCAACATCAAAGGTTGTTTCAACTGATAGTACTTTTCAACCGAGACAGAAGACAGCAACGGGTGGACTTTTTGGTGCTTCAAACATTGGTGCTTCAAATGGGACATCAACCCCAAGCCCTTCAGGGGGTCTCTTTGGCAACAACAGCAATAGTGGCAATACTCAGAGCTCAATAAGCACTTTCGGTGGTGCAAAAAATCCAAGTTCTTTATCAACTGGCTTATTCGGCAATAGCACGATGGGCAAAGACTCAAACCCTACATCTGGTGGACTCTTTGGCACGAGCGCGGCTCAAAAAGGTCCAGGGTTTAGCGGCGGTGGCCTTTTTTCTCAGCAGAAGAGTACTCCGACCAATTATAATAATGTCGGGAGCTCTCTCTTTGGCAATTCGGCCAACACGTCGAGCACATCTGGTGGTCTCTTTGGCGGTTCCACTGCTGACAACAACTTCGATCAGAGAAACCAAAATCCAGGCTCTAATCTGTCAAATGGTGGAGTATTAAATGGAAACTTTGGTGGCTTACTTAAAAACAGGCCCAACACTGGCGGTTTTGGTTCAGCCAGCGCAGGAACAAGCGCAGGATCACTTTTTTCTACAGCTTCTTCGCAACCGAGTCAGAATGTAGGCTCTGCATCCGCCAACCCTTATGGTCTGCAATTCAGTAATATTGCTGCAAGCAGCGGGGCACGTATGCCAGAATCTATTACTTCAAATGCCTCGAAATTGGAACCGTCCTCGCATGCAATAAGTGTTATTGACAAACCTCAAAGCTCTGGGGCATCTCCTCAAAACAGCGCGGCAGCATTTTCAAACCTCAAAAACAATACTAGTCTAATTGGTAAACTGAGCTCCAGATTGAAGACCGCTAGAAGGGCGCAACCAACGCAGGGTCTTTTTTCGCCAGCAAGAAAGTCCATTCTGCGCCAAGAATTTAGTCACGCGTCAGATGAAGAGATCAAGACGTCTCAGTCAATTCCATACCAAACGTCTGCCGATGTTAGCGCTCAAAATACCCCGAATACTTCCTCCAATTTGCGCAAACTTAAAATTGATACCAACAGAAGCGCCGCCAAGAAGGTCAAGCTTTTTAACGGCACAAGTGAAGCGACTCTCATGAAGGTTCTCGGGGAGAAAAGATCTTGCTCTGGAAAAGACGCGATTGTTCTTGAGACTAAGCATAAAGATGAACTAGATTCAAAAGTTGCATCTGAGATGAAGAGTGATGAAGAGACGAACGAAACCTCAAGAGATCACGGCTACTGGTGCTCGCCCCCCATTCAACAGCTAACAAAACTTCCGATCAAACAGCTTTGTAGCGTTCCAAATTTTGTCATTGGTCGCAAGGGTTATGGTTCGATATCTTTCGACAATGACGTCGATTTAAGCTCCCTTGTTGATGATTTGGAAAACAACCTCTTTGGAAAAGTTGTGATATTTCATAAGAACAGAACAGTCGAAGTGTATCCGGAACACACTTCAAAACCTTCGTTTGGGTACGGTCTGAATGTACCTGCTACAATTACGTTGGAGAAAGTTTCCGCCCTCGATAAGAGCACTAAAATGCCTATTAAAGACTACAACGCTACAGAAGTTCAAGTCTTAATAAAAAGGCTTAAAATGCAGAAAGGTATGGCTTTTATTTCCTACAACCCCACGGGGGGCCTGTGGACTTTCAAGGTGCAGCACTTCAGTATCTGGGGTCTTGTAGATGAATCTGAAATGGATCAAGTCGAGGACGAAAACCCTCGCTTAAGCGAACGAAAAGTCGCTTTCCCTAAACACATGCTGCCACCTAAAAAAACTCCTACTGAGCTTAGCTTGCAAAACACTGAGAAGCACTCTTTAGCATCTCTGACTGATCTTTCCGAATCCCGAGACATCTTACAGTCTCTGGAACCACATAACGCTACCATGTCTGACCTGATTGATGAAAAGCAATATGAACCCTCTGACGTTGGTGCCAAAGATCTCATTTACATGGAGGATCAGTCGGAACTCTCGGTATCAGATGATTGGGTCTCTCAACTCAAACTTGCTGGTGAGTCCCCAAACTCTGTTTTCGCATTTTCCAAAAAGCAAGAATCAAATGACAACGCATTGTTTCCATCGTTGGAAGCCAACCTTAAAATTCGAAAACGGGTACGTAAAGAAATGCGGGTATTTGAGCCTGTTCCCTTTGCGAAATTCTCATTCGGCTCAAGGCTATTGGTTCCTTCCCTAAAAGACACAAGCGGATGCGCTCTGCGGCTGGTAGCAAAAAGCCAAAGTAAGGTGGTCACGAAAATTAGTCGAACATTTGAAGAATGCTTCCCTTGCGCAAATATCGAGGCTCGCCTAGCAAATGGATATCCGCTTGTTCAAAGTTGGTCAGTGACTATTGAAAAACTTGGACAGTCGATGAATATTGAGGACGAAGTCACTCTTTGGAGCATGATTTCCATTCTTTTTGACGAGCCAGATTACGGTGTGAACGATGGTGATCACAACGAAACCAGACGTTACAAAAAACTGTGTGACTGGGTAGTCCATAGAATAAAAGCCTCTCATTCAACGGATCTCGAGGCCACCGAAGATCCATTTGTACTGCTTTTCTACAGCTTGATTGTGGGAGATGTGATAGGTGCCACGAAGCTCGCTATAAAAACAGGGAACTCACATTTGGCTAGTTTGATAAGCTTACTCACTGTGCATAATCCAAATGTGCAGTACCTGGCTCACGAACAATTGAGATTATGGAGGTCGCTCAATAGAAAAGTCGAGCCATTCATTATCAAAATATACCAACTGTTAGCCGGTGACATTTTTGAAAACGAAGCCTTGATCAACTTTTTTAAAGAGCATACCTGGATGGAGTGCCTCGCAATACATTTACTATACGGAAACATGGAAAGTCTACCGCTGAGAGACGCTATTTCGAAATTTTTCCAATACCCATCATACGACAAGAAATCGAAGTTCGAGAGTGTCGTTTTCCGGATTTTAAAGTTCTACAGCTCTAAAGTAAGAGACGAAAAACTCTTAGAGAGCACTCAAATCTCGAGGGATCCATTCCAGTCCCATAACACATGGTTTTTATTGCAAGCTCTCCGGTTCAAGAACGATTGTCACTTCTCCGATGAGAAGATGGACAAAGTGACCCTACATTTTTTCGAACAGCTGGTTTCGACCGGCCTCTACTTAGAAGCACTTTTCTGCTTATTCTTTTTGAATAGTGATGAATTGGCTAAGCGGCAAATTGACACATTGATCTGTGAGCATGTTAGCTTTTTCTCTCAGGGATCTGCAAGAAGAGTACTTGAGAATTTCAAAGTACCACCGTCTGTCATTTTTAATGCTTTGGCTCTTTACTCCAAGTATACAGGTGACTTTTTCGCAGAAGCTGAAAATTTGTTGGAAGGTGGACTTGCTGATGCAGCTGCAGAATGCGTAGTAACGAAGGTGGGGCCGGAGCTGGTTTTGAAGAGCAGTCGAGACAAAAGGAGATTAGACACTTTGAGAGGTATACTTGAGAAAATTCTCAAACAACATATCACGGCGCCACAAAGTTACCTTCTTTTACTGACGGACTATACACGATTTATTCTCGATCGCGATGCTGATTTGGCCATCATGGAGAGAATCATGAAGACTTTACCAGCATACTACTCAGAGTGTGGCAAATCAGAGATGGTTTCGATATGTTGTTCCATTATGTCAAGTAACGTAGCACTGTCATATTTGGACAATCATGTGAATAAAGCGAACATTACGGAGACTAGGGAGAGAATATTAACCCTTCCCATGGGCGAACCTGAGCTGCAATTTATGAAGAGAAAAATTGACTGCAAGTCAATCTGATAGAGCAAATAATATACTTTTTATTGTCTTTCAATTTCAAAAACTCCCCTTTGTATTCTTATTTCCGAATATTTATATATCACCTACAGAGTCGCGTAGGCGTTCCACAACATTGAGGATCGCCAGCGATGCTGGGCTGTCTGGATGCTCATCTAAAAAGCTTCTTCCCTCATCGCAAGATTTTCCTACTCTAGGGTCGAGCGGAACTGATCCGAAGAAGGGAATCTTAAGCTCTTCACAGAGCCTCTCGCCTCCGCCTGTAGTTGGCTTGAAAATTTGAGACTGGCCTTTGCAGTTTGGACATACAAATCCGCTCATATTTTCGACAAGTCCCAACACTTTGATACCTGCCTTTCGACAAAAGTCGATCTCTTTGCGCACATCAAGCAGGGCGACCTCTTGTGGAGTTGTGACCACTAAAGCCCCGTCAATACCGGACTCATTCATAAATTTATTAATTGAGATGTGTTCGTCAGAGGTACCTGGTGGAGTATCTACTATCAGATAATCCAGAGCATCCCAATCGACGTCCTTCAAGAATTTCTTGATCAATGCGTTTTTTTTGGAGCCTCGCCATATGATGGCCGAATCGTCTTCTGGAAGCATGTATTGGATGGACATTGTCGCCAGATTGTCTGCAACGTACACTGGTGACCAACCTGTATTGGACTCATGCACGCTTTCCTTGGTGCACCCTAGCATGCGAGGCAGTGACGGTCCGCAAATATCGAGATCCATGGCTCCTATTTGCAAGTCTTCGTCTGATGACAAAGCCCAACATAGCATAGATGTAAATGTTGATTTTCCCACGCCTCCCTTGCCGGACAAGACCAAAATTTTATGTTCGATTTGTGCCAAATTTTCCGTTATCAAAGGGATATCTGGGTCAGGACCCTTCGGCAAACTCTCGCAGATTTCTTTGTTGGCACATCCGTTGCACGCATCGCCTTGACCGGCTGCCTCGGACTCTGGGCCAGGACAGTGCTCAGGCTCTGCCTCTTTTAAATGGTAGTCCGGTGGGAGTATATGTGATACTTCTGCGGTCATTAGTAGCTGCTGAGTTCGAGGTAAAGGCTCAGTTTTGGGAGATTTCAAAGGATGTTCAAGACTGGGTGAACAAGTCGATATATGCGATCCATTAATTATAATATACATCTGAGAAATTACGTTGAAACCAGAGCACATGAAAGTCACATGCAAGACGAGATTGAACCAAATCCAATTTATTACGTAACCCAAAGATTACATAACCTCAGAAGTATTGTTGAGTGTATGGGTGTTTATATTTCCAGAGATTCTTCGTTCTTAAACGGCCCTTTGACTATCCTAGCCTTTCACCAGGCGCAATTCCAATATCTATTCGGGTCCTTGCAATCAAACACATTTAATCTCGATTGCCCTTTTGTTGTGTTTATAAATTGAAAGCTAGCTCTGAACGCAGCCCTCAACGGGGACCAAATAACCATTAAAAAGTGTTTCCTAATTTATGGCGTTTTTTCTCCAGTTGCATATGCATTGAAGTGGCATGGCGTTTTAATAAGATTTACGGTTGGCAGCTTGGCAGTCATATGTCAGAGGGTACACATTTGTGACACTTGATGTATCTTAAATTTGGCTTCGGTTTTCGCCCTTTAATTGCAAAAATCAGACGGCATTTTTGATTGTGGATATTATGAAAACAGGATTGGAGGCCGAGATATGTATACTTGGCAAGTTTGGGAATGTTTTTTCTGAAGCTCTACATCGCAGCGGTTTTTCTAGCACGTCATTTTTATAATATATATAATATGGCTAAAAAATATAATGACATGCTAGAGCCAGTGAAATTGAACCGTGAGAAATGTAGTCTCAGATAGCCATAAACTGAACGTGCCGTGTTGTAATAGTTTCTCGAATATCTCATTGTATAACTTGGACCGTAATTACCAAACCAGACCGCTCGAATAGGCTCTCAATCACAAAAGACATTTTTGAAATTCCGCGAGAGTCACAATTCGTTCTGACACAGCAAAATTTTCGAGAAGAAAATCTCAAAACCATTATTCTGAATCAAGGACTTAAATCCAAGAGTCGCCCCGTGTGAAACCAAACAAACACCATCTGAGTTTTTAGTGACGTTTGTTCTGTTCAGTCACGTGCCGGGATTGAAGTAACACATCACTCATTTCAAGTGGTATGGATGAAACTTCCTTCAATGTTCTTGACAAAGCCTGGATCACATCTCCCATATACCCTGTCAAGACTTGAATGTAACTGTGTTTGTGATTCAAACAGTGGGAATTTTAACGTGAAAGATACATTTTGGGCAAAAGCGCTAAATCGAGGGCCAATGAGAGTTAATCATGGACGTAAACGGACTTACATCGAATAAGTATCAAGCGCAAAATGAGTCTGCTTCTTACGTTAGCTGTACCCTAGCAAGCACTAGCAGTGAGACTGACGACCTCAGTGTTATGATGTGTCAAACTGAGTTTTCAAGCGAAAAGTGCGCAACATTGCAGGATTTTGAAAAGCTGCTAATACTGAAACTACTGGCTAGCGAAGGTAGCGATATCATAATCGCAGAAAAAGTTGACATAAGTCAACTGAAGTGTTTTGCAGGGGCACCACTCCTCGAATCGTGGTACGAGCTTGTAGTTTTACTTTCTGGTGAGCATTTTGAAAGCGTCGAAGTCGACAGAAAATGGGCGCAGGGAAAACGGTGGAGATTCTACTTTGTAGCGCCTGCAAGCTGGAATCTCGTCTTTGAGACACAGTTTGAGAGCTTTACCCAGCGTCACTGCGAATTGGCGCTCACTCCAGCCCCGGCAGATCAAGAGCTGGACCTATTCCATTTAAGTTTGAAGCTCTTCGAAGCGCAGTGTCACGCTAACACGCAAATTCATGCACTTGAAAGTAAGTGTAGGTTACTTGAAACGGAGATACAGCAAAACCTGACCGAAAAGAAGGAGTGGGAAGACCAACTTCGAGCTAGAGACGAAAAAACGCGAAGTGTTATTATAGCACTCTTGAACGAGAAAAAGAGCATGATTCACAATCTCCAGGAACGCTTGGAACTGAATAAAGGACCACTGGACCTACCAGACCATGCTCTTATGAACCAATTTATTAATCAGCCAGTGTCCAGAATGACCTCACCGCGCAAGAGGTCGCAAGCTCTTGGTTCGGCCGCTTCTTCCCCCAAGAAGAAAGTGAAAAGACAACCTGTCAAGCGGGAGGTATCCTGGGACGACTTTTCAGACAAGGGATTTGAAATCAGAGGCATAAACCGTGAAAGAACTCCAAACAGCACTTCCAGCACCGAGAGCTCAGATGTCAAGTCCAAAGCTCGTGACAGCGCCGAGAAGAGTGACTCCAAGACTCAAAACTTAGTAGAACTCTCCACGAATAAAGAATCAGGTGTGTTCTATGCCAAAAACTCCGTCTCTGGTCGCATACGAAAAGAGACCGACAAGTTGCTACACACACTTATATTCCCCGCGCACGCAGAAGAAACCCTTGAGATGACGGAAGGTAAACTTCCAAATCTAAACAATTCTCCAGCTCACGTTGAGTCAGCTGGTTACGAGGCTCATTCTCCCGTAGAAAGTCCCAATAAAAGCAGAACTGACTTCTACTCCGGTTCTGAGAGTGAAGAAGAAACTGACGTCGAAACCGAAGTGGAATAAAAAAGCTACCTCTAAGTGAGTTTCAAAATAGCTTGCAGTTGATCTTGGGCAAGCTACCTTACCGCTGACGACTTGCCATGACCTTCACGTCGATGACCATACTGCCCAAACCTGCGGCTATCGAGAATCGAACATGCGACAGCCCACCACACTACGTCTAGGGTGATCAATCTCAAATTTTCCAAGATGCTCTCAACTATTGAAATCTTGACCAGCTCGTGCACAGTTCTTACCGAGATGATCATCACCAAAGATAATAGCTTGGACGTCGGTATACGGTTTACTGTGCCATTAAACCTTCAATTGGGCCCTACTTGATTCAGTAGACCTTCACTGTTTCGACCGATCAAAGAAAAAGAACTTGAGCTGCGCTCATCACTTGTTTTGTTGTCTTCTGTTTTGTGTTCTCTGCGCTTCTTCAATTCTAACGTGAATCAAAAAGTCAATACAGTTTATTCCATTGATAATTAAAGCTTTTTGGACACTCATTGATCCTTCATATTTGTCATATTTCATTTGTTCCGTTTTCTTTCTTCATTCCCTTTACACTTTGGCAATGTCATCATTTTACCACCAGCAATACGTTAATTCTCCCGTTTATGCATTTGATGCTTCATCTACTCGTGCACTGGCCACAGACGGAATGGTGTATCGCTCTCTGTCTCCTAATATACATCTGGCTTACCAAAACGAGCAATGCCCTGTGTGGCCCAGTCAACCGTATCACACCAATAATAGCATGCGATTCATAGACCAAGGGCAGTTGGGCAACGGCCGTCAAGGTGGATCGATGGAACCTCCCACCTTTGGTGTTGCGTCGCATGAGATCGAACATAGCTCAAGTCATCTTTCTACCGAAAGCTCCGGTTACTCGAGTGCGCCCAGAAACTCGCAGTACGCAGCAGCAGCTGCCGCCGCTGCTGCTGCCGCCGCTAACGCACCTCTTTCGCATAATCCTCTTCAACCAAACAACCCGAGAGACTTCACCACGGCCCCTAGCAGAACGGTTTATTTGGGAAACGTTTCCCCAACTATCGAAACTAGGCAACTGTTGGACCATGTTCGCAGTGGAGTCGTTGAAAACATCAGGATTTTGCGAGAAAAGATGTGTGCTTTCATTTCCTTTTTGGATGAAAGCTCTGCTCTTTTATTTCACTCCGATGCCATTCTCAAAAGATTGAATATTGACGGAAGAGACATCAAAATTGGGTGGGGTAAGCCTACGCCCATCGATCCACTTGTCACTGCTGCAGTGGCTAATGATGGTGCTACCAGAAATGTTTATATTGGCCGTCTGAACACAGATCCGCAACTTGCGGTTGAACTTGATGTGGCTTCAAGAGAATCTATTGTTACCGAGGACAAACTGAGAAAAGACTTGGGATGTTTCGGTGAGATAGAATCAATCAAAATTATTGCAGACAAGGGCATAGCGTTCGTTCATTTTACTTCCATCTACTGCGCTATCAAAGCTGTCTCCAGTTTAGCATCCGTGAATCCTTACTACGCCAACAAAAAAATATTTTATGGGAAAGACCGGTGTGCCTTTATCACAAAAACTCAACAGCATAATGCAGCTCAATTTTTGGGACTGCAACCGGGCATGGAACATTTAGTTCAGTACACTGATAGAGAATTTATTTCGAACACTCTACTACAGCAATCGGCAGCCGCAGCCGCTATCGCCACGGCAGCTGGAGGTGCAAACAATCTAGGAAATCGGACCGTTTATCTCGGCAACTTGCCTAAAGATGTGAGAATTGAGGAAATCTGTAATGCGGTGCGAGGTGGTCTTTTACAAAACATCAAACTTCTATCAGATCGCCACGTCTGTTTTGTTACATTTATTGATCCAACAGCGGCTGCGCAGTTGTACGCCATGACCTCGTTACACGGCTTAACTATCCACAATAAAAGGTGTAAAATAGGGTGGGGAAAACATTCCGGTGCTCTGTCCAATGCTTTGGCACTTGCCGTTAGCCACGGGGCGTCGAGGAATATCTACATTGGTAACATTGATTTCGAAAAGGACAGTCAGCGTAAGGACCCCGTTTTCACGGAAGACAATCTTCGCAAGATTTTTATGGATTTTGGCGAGGTAGAACAAATCAACTTTTTGCCAGAACGTAATTGTTGTTTTGTCAATTTCACCAACATCAGCAATGCAATTCTTGCCATTGATAAAATAAAGGTTCATCCTCATTTTGAAGATTTAAAGATTAATTTCGGTAAGGATAGATGCGGAAACGTACCTCGTCAATATCGCTGAGCAAAAGGTGCCATGAAGCTCTTAGTGCAGCACAGTTCAAATGTCTTTATCAATTCAGTTCGACCCTCTTCTTTTTAATGACTTTTCATGTACAATTATAATTATTAAAGGCATTAAATAACAGAAATCTTCTGGCATACACATTTTAACGCGAACTAGGCCTCTTTCGAAATGTTGCGATGTTGGGAATAGACCCGCTCTATTGAGGCAGCTAAACTAAAGCTTCCTGTAACATCAAATTGGTTCTAATGCTGTGAGTTGTGGTGATAATTGAACTGCTCGAAGCAGTGGATCCAAAGTTATATTGTAATTTGTGATTTTTTATGGTGTTTGACAAAGCAAGTTCAAAGAAGATATGAAGCAGTTTTTTGCGAATTAAGTGAGTCGTATCGCACCTGTGTTCATTGCCACAACACTGTCCTTCCGGTATAGCATCTGTCTAGCCGAAGGCGTAGTCAAGAGTCATGTGGCCAAACGACTGATGACGGACTGTGCTAAAATGATTTTGGCGCAACACAGGTATTGTAGTCGTCAGACTTACTATAAGCCCAAACAAATGCAATGTAACTTGGTAGCTCCAGACTCTTTTTTGTAAACCGTTTCTTGGCGTGCTTTCCGTTCATTATACCGACCTGGCTTATTTCGAAAATTTTAATGAATACTCCTGTTTCATTTACTGAGTGAGAAAACACCCTTTATCGCCAAGTGTTGATTTCTTAGATCAAACTGCAGTTAACAATAAGAGCTCAGCGAGGAAAATTCAGTCTCACTTCAAGCTATATGGCTCAAAACTTATTCTGTTTCATCTTCTCCAGCGTAACCAAAACAAGATAATTGAAATTTCCACATCATTGAATCTAGCTAAAATAAGGATTTCTCAGATTCCTCAACTTAAAGGTGAAAGTATTCCAACCTCTTATTACGCGACTCGACGCCTGTCAAATAACGCTGGTGTCAGATCTCAATTTGCTTACGTAAATGGAAATATACAATCAGATCACCTGATCGTGGGTAATCGGACTTTTTTCAAATTTTATAATTTTCGTGTTACATGACTCGAAGATTATAGATCCCGATCCCTTTGTCATGAAACTATATAAAGGGCCATCATTTGAGCAATGTCGCATAACGTTCACCTTTATCATCAATGTCGTTGGTATTGTTCTTGTTAGGAACACTTTAAATCTTTTCAATTGTAGCTTCAAAATCCTGTGGTATTCATACATATACTAGTCGCTTTTTTAGTTGAATCCAGGAAAGTTCCGTGTAGCGAATTTCTCAACAGTAATCGACCCTGTCTTCAACGATAACGATTACCATGAACAAGATAGTGTTCAAACATTTTTCATCGGGGCCAGCGTCTATAAAAATTGCTGGCAACTTCACAAAATGGGAGATTAAAGAAATGGATTTCAACGACCAGGAAGAACAATGGGAATTTGATATTGACCAGGAAGCACTGAGGGGCTGTCCCGATCACAACGGGAAGGCAGTAGCATATTTCAAATTTGTCGATGGCAACGGCGTATGGTTCACAGACAACAATTTCGCGAAGGAAATTGACGGGCAGGGCAACGAAAACAACGCCATGTATCTGTCCTTCAGGCCCGAAAACGACTCTTCTTTGAAAGCACAGCAAAAACAACAGCAGCAGCAGGAAGAACGAGACCGAAAATTCGAAGAGAAGGAAAGAGAAGAGGAAGCAAAACTTCCCGAAAGTCCCAATTCGACGCCTAAGGTGCCATTGGCGACAAAAGCTCCCCGCATTGAAACTCCTTCTCTCACGGCCCAACGCGAAGAGTCACCTGTTTTGATTAACGAGTCAGATTTTGATGAGCAGTATCACGAAACCGAGGATCAGGATCACAAAGCTGTGGTCAGGAGCGAGCTAAACACTCCTGAACTAGAGGCCTCTTCAAACAACGATCCCAAACAGTACAAGAATTTCCTGCAAAGTATGATTTTCTTTTTTCGCAGCCTATTTTACAGATGGTTTAGCATGGACAGAAAACCACAGTGAAATAGACACCCTTTTATAAGGCTACCTGTAATTCACTTTCTCATAAAAATCTTTGAGATCCCAGAATTGAGGAAAGGGTCCAAGGCGAAGGTGGTGTTTATTGCAAATACTCAAGATGGCAGTTTTTCCTTATTACAGAGCATAAGAACGAGAATACCACTAATTTTTTGACTTGCTGGTCAAGTTAAATGATCAACTCTGAATCAATTGAAGCTTCTTTTTTAATTATATTGCCTAAAATAATAGTACTTGATGAATTGATGGACCACAACCGTTGAGAACAAAAGGATGAAGGAGAGCTTGCTGTGCTAAGCTAGAATGTGCGAATAAAAAACTACAGATTGTAAAGTTCGGTGAGTTTCGGTCTTTTCTCGATACCGATGTTACCAGGGTGACAGGTTGCTAGTACATTGGTTGTCCCCTGTCAAGTCTCAACCAATGCCAAGGCTCAGCTTCGGCCTCGGCATTTGCGTCTCTCTTGTACATTGGTTGGCCTCTGTCGAGTCTTAACCAGTGCCAAGGTTCGGCCTCGGCCTCAGCGTTCGCATCCCTCTTGTACATTGGCTGTCCTCTGTCCAATCTCAACCAGTGCCAAGGTTCAGCTTCGGCCTCGGCATTGGCTTCTCTCTTGTACATTGGTTGGCCTCTGTCGAGTTTCAACCAATGCCAAGGCTCAGCTTCAGCCTCTCTTTTGGTATATGTGCTTTCAGAAGCCATGGCAGCAGCTAAAATGGTGGTATTGACGACCAGAAGACCCGTGTGTGTGTCATTGGAGACTGGCAAAAGAGCCAAGTCGTCTGCTCGCGTCAAATCCAAGTATCCGCTAATGCTTTCCAGCGGAAGAGCTGGACTGGACTCATTGGTGCTTATTGGTGCAGCAGTGACACCTTTGGCAGCCAAGGCTAGCGCCACGTAAATTGATAAAGTCTTGAACATTTGATGTTGTGAAAGGAAAGATTATTATTTGAATATCAGTGAAGTGATAATTGCTGATAAAAGGGAACATAAATTGAATACCAAATTCAAACGCTTTGACAATACAATCGGCTTCTTTTATACTGCAACTAATGGTTATTTGTGGAATTTTGACACTCACATATTCTTACAGGCTATTATTGAGGACCCCGCAAATCCACAACCTGGTTCAAAACATAACTAAAACCGCAATTCACATTCAGTTAGCCATATCCACAATCCAACGATGCGGTTTCTTGAAGTTACAATTTGACGCTTTTCGATGCTGTCCTGTCAAGTTCATTATATTCATTAAACGCCAAATCAGGAAACCTAAGTATGTCGTCTTAGAAAAATTAGCAAGAAAGGTGACAATGAGAGTTTCCAGAACAGGACTATAAAGAGCATCCCCATAATATTTCACAACGTATTAAGCTCTTCTAATACATTGCTGAAGTGGTTGGGAGGGGTTGGTAGGCCACATTTTGTGGAGTCCTAGTCCTGCATAATTCTTAGTGTTCGTATGGACCAGGGCGGTGCATATGTTGTCCGCGGAGACCACATCGGGGTTAGATTGATGGTATCGACATTTTATCCGATTGATTACCGTCAAATCGGCAGATCGAAAACCCCGAACTGACGACCTTTCACTGCATGCGGTTTGCAGCGTGTTTCTGAAATCAAAGTCCTCGGTAATCACGTATCACTGGGAGTTGATAAAGACAGCTTTGTTCTGGAATGATTTTTGATAAAGTTAACTAACGAACAGTTGCGAGACAAACGGCAGACACGAAAAACATGCACTTTGTCAGGTTCAATACCGCGTGATGTCGAGTGAATGAGAACGACGACAATTGTTGTTAGATGACTCAAGAGTCAGGTAGGGCTCCTTTATCTTATTTCATACCCACCACTTGCGTAAGATCTCGAAAACTCTCTGATATAGCCAACTTTCGCCTATAGCCTCAATTTCTAAGCGACGACAGCGGGGGGAAAAGCTGACCTATGCATTACCACCACCCCGACCATTCAAACCTTCTTCTATTCTCTGAGAAGGCTTCTGCAATGACTAAATATCTTCGAAGCCTTCTTCAATACCTCATTTTCACCAAGATGTGATATCGAACATGAAGCTAACTATACACTAAAGAAAACACGCAGAGTTACAACAAAAAAAGACAAAAAATGTGTGTAGAAGCTCTATTTGTTACTAATATATCCACGTACACTGTTTGTCAATTTTTGGAGCTATCTAAGCTTCGAATACCGTTACGTTTTAGCCGCCGATAGTTTACTTTTCGTCCTTTGTTTTGATAGATATCAATTAATATTCTAACGGTCGAAAAACACTACAGAATATAATTATATATATTTATACAATGCATTTGCGACTTAGAAAAACACAGAAACTGATCGAGGTAAGCGATGCTTGATAGAATTCAGAGTCTGTTTCTGTTTGTGCTGAGTTTATTTGTGAGAGTTCCATTATGGTTCTACGGGAAATATATCTTACCGCTGATCTACGTTTTGCCCATCTTCCAATCGTACAAAACCGATAACTACGTCTACTCCAGTAAACTGGTGGAAGAGGTGGTAAATGCTAACGACATTATAGGAATATGTCGAGCACATGGCTTTGAGGCCCACGAGCATGTGGTGAAAACCCAGGACGGATATTTGCTGACTGTTCATCGCATAGTCAGCAGACACACCACGTTGCGAGACCTGAGACTGAAAAGACCCGTAGTTTACTTCCATCACGGGCTTTTGACAAACAGTGAACTGTTTCTTCTCGGCCAGTCCACCGAAAAGTGTCTGCCGTTTTTGCTTGTGGAACGCGGGTACGACGTATGGCTCGGTAACAACCGTGGAAATAAGTACAGCAGAAAACACATCACTTTGTCGTCAAAATCGACCCAGTTCTGGGACTTTTCGCTCGACGAATATGCTATCTTTGACATCCCAGACACGCTGACATACATCTTGGGCGTCACCCACCAGCAGAAACTGACATATATCGGGTTTAGCCAAGGATCCTCGCAGGCGTTCGCTGCGTTTTCGATCAACCCACAACTGCGTGATAAAATCAAGCTGTTCATCGGACTGTCGCCAGCAATGATCCCACGATCGCTAAGTCACCCGCTTGCCAAGTTTTTGGTAACTTGTCCGCCTGAGCTTCTGTATACCATTTTTGGCACTCGTGCCATTCTGCCCTCGACTGTTTTTTGGCAGCAGCTCTTGGGACCTATTAACTACATGAAAGTGGTCGACTGGTCGCTGGTGTACCTGTTCAACTGGAAAAGCCAGCATATCAGTATTACCCAAAAGCAAGTGGGCTACACGCATATGTTCTCGCCTTCTAGTGTCAAGAGTGTGGCGCACTGGTTCCAGATCATCAACAACAAACGGTTCCAAATGTTCCAAGAAGATGTTTCCAAGCTATATTCGTCCGTGCCCTCGCTGCACAGCAAACTACACCGATGCGCTCCGTTCCCCGTGCAGGTCATCGAAAACATGCCCATGATGCTGATCTACGGTGATCAAGATATTTTGATAGACATGGACACAACCAAGCAGAATTTAATGCGCAATTTGAACGATCTCACTCTGGTCGAACTGCCAGGATACGAACACATGGACACTCTATGGTCCGACGATGTGGTGGAATTGGTATTTCTCCCATTAATACAAAAATTGGATGAGGTTCACACCGCCTCAAGCCCTACTGATACAGACACGGATACTGCCAGTGACTGAGTACAAATAGAGCCAGCAGAATCTACCATCTACATACCAGCACGATTGCATTTGCTTTTTACAAAGTGTTATTGAAACCTCGACTTACAGAAATTACTGATACAAGCAGCGATTTCCTGACAATTCGTAAAAAGTCAAAAAATGATTACAGCCTGTCCTAAGATATCGCCAAGTCTGATGTCAAGGTCTTTCTTCTAGCCAACTCACTGTCGCTGTCTTCACATCTCGACGACTCTTTGCCCTGGTGCGCATGTTAGCCTTAACAGCGATTTAGGTTTAGGCAGGGTAAATATTTTAAAATTTCAGTATATAAGGAGCGAAAGAATAGAAATTCTCTCTTTTGATCTTCATGATGTTCTTCTTAAAAGAGTAACGCAAATTCACAGCCATTCGCAGCGCACAACAGCATCTCCTCGAGGTCGAACTCCCCCGGGACGTTCTTGGCCCATGAAAAGTGTGGATAGTGTGTTGCTCTTTCTCTGAAAGGATGTTTAGCTTGGACTGGAGAAAAAACCCAGAGATCTTGGGTGCGACGACCCATCAGTTGTCTGCTTTCTAGCAGGTCTAAGGGATTGCCTTCGTGCGCCCGTATGGGGGTTGTTGCAATGATCACTGGAACATATAATGCGCATTTTTTGTAGCGGAAATAATGTGCCCGTTGGTGCCCCTGGGAGGCAGCACGTAGTTGACTTTTTCTTGAGTTTTGGCTGGCAGTTTTTCACCCAGTAGAAAGTCTCCTTTTGGTCTCTTGTACTATTAATTTCTGCTAAATTATCATTAGTTATCTTTCCGATTTGTAAAGCGGAAGCTAGAATTGAATCCCAAAAGCTCGTTGAGTCCGCGTGTCCAGTCGTTCTCGGTCTTGGCAATGCAGTAAATACCGGAGTTTTTGATGCTTTGGCCTGGCCGCTTGACGGCCTGTGAACTTTTCGTACTGGGCAACTGTGTGCCGTTCACGTATATGGTACCGATCTCGTTGACGACGTGAATCTCGTCCCCGACATTGAGGTCCTCCAAAGGAACTCCGTCAATAGACAACTTGACCAATTTGTTGTCGGGGCCTTGTAGGGGCTTTGACCCAATCTTGATCTTTATGTGTGATGAGTGCGGTAATATCAAAGGCCGGAATGAAAGAGACCTGGGACATATCGGAGTCAGCAAAATCGAGGGCACCAAGGGAGATACAATACTTCCGCCTGCAGATAGAGAGTATGCGGTGGAGCCTGTAGGGGTCGCCAAAGTAACGCCGTCCGCAGTAGTTCTGGTTAAGTATTCTCCGTCGATGTAAATGTCCAAGTTTGTCAAGTGTGGTGAGTTGCCTCTGTGTAAAAATATGTCATTCATGGCATGGTGTGCAACGGTGCGTCCGTCTTCGGCTTTGCACCCACGGCGAATGATGTGACATTCCAGACGAGTGCGGTGCAAACACTTGGCTCTGGAGCTCATAACTTGTTCGAAGACAGCTTTATGGTCCTTGAAGTTGAATGGCAAAAGGAAACCCAACGTGCCCAGCGAAAAGGCTAGAACTGGTGGAACCTGAACATTGGCAAACAGCGATACAGCCCTCAAGATAGTACCATCACCTCCCAAAGTGACCAAAAGGTCGACTTTGTCAACTATGTCCTCGTTCTCGCCCGTATACAGAACGTGTGGTTCTCCCGGGTTGGAGTCTGGATTTTTGACGAAATCCTGAGCTATTTCCTCGGCCACGTCCGGTTGCACCACCACGTTTATCTCCGGATAGGAGTCGTGCAGATGAGTGATGAAATCCACCATTGCTTGGCGAGTGTTGTCCGCCCAGGGCTTCTTGGTGATGAGAACATTTTGGAGGGGACGGTGCCAAATCACAGATTGCAGCTTTGAGTTTGGAGAAGATATGAAGTCCGGAGACGACACGGATTTGAGCTTGCTGACGGGCTTCAAAGTCACAAATTCAGACGAATCTCGTAGTCTCGAGTACAAGCTGCGTTTGAAAACTCCCAAAGATTGTTGAAATCGGATGGTTTTAGCACCATTCACAATGTTCAACATTGGTAAAAAAGCGCTAGTAGTATACCCAAATTGAACAAGAAACGGTTCACAATCCTAACGTTGACGATGGTCTTTACTTTCTGGCGAGCATCAAAATGAACTTTTCCATCAATATGCATCGATTTTTTTCACTTCGGTTCTTGTTAGATAAAATATGTGTCAATAGAGCTGGAAAGAAAGCCGTCGTAGAGGAATAAAAGGTAGAAGGCCAAGCTTTAGCTAAGTCTGAGTCTTATATGATATAAATAGCTAGATTGTAAAGGCTGGACACCGGCGTATATATGAAGACAGTTTCCAATTTTATAATATCGAGTTCTTGTTCACGATTTCGCGCGCCTTTTTTGACCTCTTTTGTACGTGAATCATGGCTGGCTTGGTGCCAAATCAAAAAGTGCTGCCCTCTGGAGGCTGTGGCAGCTTTTTGTTTGCAGGAAAAGCCATCTCCTTGCGTAAGTCCAAAAGTACCGTTTCCATGGTATAAGAGCGTTTCCAGTTCTTGAGGGTCTCGAAACGATCGCTTTCCACCTCCCCAGTGGTCTGGTTGACGCAAGGAAGGTTGATTTTGGATAAGAACTTGATTTTTGGGGGTTGGTCTGGATACCCCTCGTCGCACTCTAGGGCGACCGAGTAAATGCGATTTTCGTGATTGCTGTGGGGAGGGCCGAGAATCGTGCCGTTCCAGTGTACCATGGCGATATCGTCGCTGTCGGCCAGGCCGTAGCTGCAAGACTCGGGTCCTAAGCCCTTCTCGCCCTTTTCCAGTTCTTCGAGAAGCCTGAAACTTCTGGGACTAGACCAGAAAAAGTGAATTAAAGTCAGTATCAAGCCAAACTCGGTTGTTTTCGTAGCCTTCCATCAACATACACTTTAGACATGGCTTATAGTGTTTATATATGTATGCCGTTCGTTGGCAATGGTAGAGTTAGTTATGCTTGATCGACAAAGCTTAATTATAGAATATATTGAAATTTAATATATGTATTCTATCTATCATTTAGTATCGTAACTGAATCATCGAAGAAAGGACCTTAAGGTCTCAGAATTGGTATAAAGAGCCATCAAAGTTGGCGTTCGAGCGACAAGTCCTGTCGATGAGTGAAGAACTGGGCTCTTCACCCTTTGTAGAGCGACCAATGTCGCCAGAAAGTGCCAAAACGCAAACGATCGCGCTAAAATTCAAGATGAACTCGATGCAGAATCAGTTCGAAATCGATAGACTTTCTCTGGAGAGACAAGTCTCGGTCCTAGATAAGAAGTACAGAGCCACGCTGGACGACCTCGAAAAGGCCGTGGAAGACACAAAGTATTTGTACTCGACAAATGGCGAATTGGAGACTCGACTGCGAGCCCTGGAACAAGAACTAGCGACGGTGAAAAACGAGAGCTCCACGGAGAACGACCATTTGATGAGACAATTGGATGAACGGGAATCCGAACTTGAAGAGCTGGATTCGTCGTCGCGGTCGAAAATCTCTTTTTTGGAAAATAAGTTCACCAATCTTCAAATCGAAGCCGATGGATCCAAGACTCTGTTAAAGAGGTACGAAGAGGAAGTTGAATTACAGAATCAGCAAATCAGAGAGCTGCAGCTCGAAGCTGCGCAGCGAGACGATTTGATAGCAAACCTAAAGGCGTCACGGGTCGTTATGGCTCACCACAACTTCTCCACAGAAGAGCTAACAGAACTGACAACCCTTAGCAACTTATTAAAGGAACAAATGTCGTTTTCGAAAAACTTGGAACGGGCGAATTTAGAGCAAGCCAACGAACTGAAAAAGCTGCGCTTTTCTCAAGAATCACGTAAATTTCTACAGGCTGAGAACGAAGACCTTAGGAGGAAAACAGAAAGATTGGCGACTCTGGAAAGTCGAGTTCAGGACCTGGAGCTCGAAAATGTCGAACTACAATCGCAACTCTGCTTTTGGGAAGACGTCGAAATACCCGATGGGAATCGTAAAAAAACGCCGGATGAAGTGGTACGAGAATGGGCCCTTTTCAAAACTGAAAATTTGAAACTCATAAGCGAAAACTCCAAATTTCAGCTTGACTTGACCAATCTTCATTTGCTGAATGATGAAATGGCCTTAGAACGCAACCAGATCCTGGATTTGAATAAAAATTATGAGACTAGTATCCTGAATCTGAAGAGGCTTAATTACGAAATCGAGCAACAGAAACTTCTCTCTTTCGAAGAGTGCAAGATCTTGCGCAAGCAGCTGGATGAAATCATGCCTTTAGCCAAGGTAGATGGAGCCGAGGAACCGGCGAGTCAGCAAACACTGGACAATCTGGTGCAGCAATACAAAGAAAAGACTGAAGATCTAACCAACGAGCTAAAGAAACTGAACAAAGAGCTTATAGACAAAAGCTATCCTCTTTCTACTAATAAAAAACGCAAAACTAGTGATGATGTGGCCCTAAATTACTCACAGCGATTGAATGAACTGCAACTTCAAAACCTAGAATTGAATCGCAAGCTTTCAAGCTCAACTGAGACGATCGCAATGTTAGAGACCAAAATTGAGAAATTGAATAACCTAGACCAAAAAAAGGTGCGTATCTTACAGCTGCGAGACAACCCTTTTTTCCGCGACCAACTTGTCAAGCGTGAAAGGCTTGATTTACTCCTCAAAGAAAACGAGGATCTTATAACGACAAAGAACCTTTCAAATGAGAGTTCTGTTCCAAAGTCAATTTACGAGAGACTCAAATTTGATATGTCTCAATTAGAGGACGAGGTCTTCAAGCTCAACAAGAAAATCACTAGGCTTCGCGAGGTGTTCAACAAAAAGTCTATGGAATTCATAGAGACAGTAAATTCGCTGTTGGGTTTCAAACTGGAGTTCAAATCCGACGGGAAGGTGAAAATGATACCATGTTACAAACCCGACAAATTTCTGCTTGCGGACTTAGTCAATGATTCAATGAAATCAAATTTGCAACAGGATATAACAGGCTGGGATGAGCTGTTGCAAGACATGGTTTTTGAAAAGGGTCAAATGCCGGTTTTTCTTGCAACTTTGACTATCAGATTATGGGAACAGAGCAAAGAAAAGGTCACATCTGCATGAAGAGTACTTAAGTCTGACAAACTGCTTGAACAAGCATCAAACATCTCGAGTGACTATTTGATCCGCGATCTTTTCTATAAGTAACACCTTCTGAGGAAAGTGAAAATGAGAAGAACTAAAGGAAGTAAACCACTCAGAGAAGCGGCAACCTTGAGTATCTATTTGCAATAGTACATTTTGCATCCTCCGTCCAGTGCAGCTCTACTTACACGAGCGTCAAGATATCGGAAATAAAAATTCCCGAAACTCCCACCAACTTAGTCACGAATCCTCAGATAGCGATCATAGTATTCTAAGTGGTCATAGTCGAACTTACAAAAGGCTAGCGCCCGCTGGTGGCTTCCACAGGAGTATTTCACCATTCTACGCATCACTTTATACAATAATGACACTAGGCGGACTAAAACATATTATATCTTATACTTCATAAACTTGACAACTGGGTTTAGACCAAGCTATCAAGATAAAAATTCATGGACCGGAGCCGTTCACCCTCTGCCAAAGATGTATCAAGTTCGAGTGGTAGCAGGCTACCTAGCTCCCTGTCCAGATTTTCAAATTCGAGCAAACAGTATCATCAATTAAGCGGTAGCGACTTCCTTCAGGGAATGTCTCCCAAGACGAGTTTCCAACCCAGGTATCCAGTTGGTGGCTTCCCGCCATCTGCTGAGAGTGTGAAAGAAACTCCAAGTTCGTCGAGTGGTATCACAAATCGGAGAGCCTATGTGAATCCGGGCCAAATACGATCGTCAGGTCTAAAATACTCACTTCAAGTCCCGAAAGAGCTGTCCAGCATTGATAAAATCAATGATCCCCAGAAAAAGTCGGTGGTGATTGCAGGTAAAAATCACCTCGGACTCTATGACTTCAATAGTAATACCGAAGAAATACGATGTGTTCATGACTATCTTCAAAATAACAGTGACACGTCTTCGAACAGCATGCGGGCGTTCAAGAAGATTAGCACCATCTCTGACGTAAAAGCAGGATTTCACAACCATAAAAACTACGTTGCAATCTGTGGTACGTCGAACTCGGTATCCATATATGACGTCAACAAAGCGAGCTCAAGTAGCGGACCCTTAGCGACTGTTCTGTCGAAACACACGAGATCCATCAATAGCGTTGACTTCAACATGTCACAAAGCAACCTGATCATTAGTGGTGGACAGGACGGGTGTGTGAAAGTCTGGGACCTTCGATCCAGTCGGGGTCATAAAAATATGAGCGACATTACGATTAACAGTGGATCAGATTCGGTTAGAGACGTTAAATGGATGCCAACTTTTGATACCATCAGCTACGACTCTCCATCGGGCATCGCCAACAGAGGCCATAAATTTGCGTCAATACATGACTCAGGTTTGTTGTTGACTTACGACATACGCCAGCCTTCACAGGCTGAAAAGAGAATCAATGCACATTCCGGGCCGGGGTTGTGTCTGAGCTGGCATCCATTTCATGAGTATATTATGACAGGAGGTCGAGATGGAAAATGCTGCTTATGGAATGTGGGTTTAAGAAATCACAACTTCATAGGCAACGGCAACGTGCACCACAATAATTCCTTCAGCTCTGCAAGCACGCTGCTTGCTCCCACGCATCCCGGTAATACAACCCTTATCGCACCTGAGGTGATTATCAATACTGCTCATCCCCTGACAAAACTTAAGTTTCAGCCTTCGACTGTTGAAAATGTCTTCAACTCAGTCGTTGCTTTATCTTCTCTAGGGGAGAATTCTGACGTATCGCTCTACTCGCTCTCGAGGCAGTACATTCCTAAAAATGTTCTGACTACAACGACACCGTCTTGCGGCTTTGTATGGTGGGATGAGAACTTCATTTTCAACATCGACAAGCAGAACATGCTTACAGGGTGGGATTTGAAACGAGAACCCACTGTTTTAGAGAATCTTTCCAAAAGCGTTATAGACTGGAGGGATATAGAAGGAGATGGTATGCTCTTCATCTCTCAGGATAAAGGGGGATACGAGCTCAATCAAAAAATCGCCAACGAATCGCAAGCTGACCACCGCAGCATATCACAGAGCAAAACCAGTACCACTTCTGTGCATAACCTCTTCTCCGGTAACAGCCTGAGGCATAATGCAAGTAGTTCTTCATTCCCAGCACTCGCTTCCCATCATGGATCTGGCGTTACATTCGCTGAACGTCCGTCACACCCACGCTCCGGCACGTCAAACACTTTCAAAAGCCTCCATGGCCAGCCAATAGGGTCGTACAACAGTCAAAGTAACCAGCACCACAACTCCATTGCATCTATGAGTACTTCCTCAACGGCAATGGATACTGACCCCGACTACATTTCCCCTAAGCTCATAAGTTTAGATTTGCCACGCCTTCTGAATAGGATTATTAGCTCCAGAACCCAAAGCTCTGTCAATAGGTCAAACGTGGCCGACATTTCAGCTTTAAAGGAATCTCCTGTCGAGGTCTTTAAGTTTTTGGCGAGAGAGCTTAAGTTCTCGTATGTGCAGGAGACACAAAACGCAAGAGACGACAAATTGAATGCCACTGCATCAAATGAGAACTTTGCTCAAAGCGAGGATGACATTGACATAAAAATACACCTGATTAACCAGTTCGGTTTGACTGAGGATAACACCTGGACAAAGTTCATCAAAGATCCACAGCGTCAGGATACCACAGATATTGAGAACTCTTTCAGATCGAATGCTAAAGATGTTTCGATATCTTCCTTGAGAAGTAATGAAAGCTCACAATCGGGCCTCGACAAAGCAGATCCTTCGACACAACAGAAGGAGCAGTCCTTAGTTGAGGACGGGAGGGCTGCTCAGGCAAAGCGAAAAATTGAACACTTCATCGAGCTCATATCCATGTGCGATCATAACGCCGAAACCTATCTTTTCGTTGAAGACCTGAGTAATTTCAAAATCTGGATGATGATGAGAGATGCATTACTTTGGGATCTGAAACAGGTCGCGGACAAATTCAAGCTGGAGGCTTTAGGCTCTCTCCCAGAGGCTGTTAAGCAAAGCTTTGTTCCAGGAACATACGCTGTGCGCAGACCATCAGAAGCATCTGAATACAGTAGTTTTAGCGCTAGTGAGATCGCTTCAACACCGCTGCCCAACAGCTTTCCTAAACACCGCGATTCACTTGCTCAAGACACCTTCTCGAGACCTACTTCGAGCTCAAACCTTAGAGCACAGTCGGCTTGCAATGTTGGTGGTGACCGCATGCTGAGCTCGAGTTCACGGCGTGCAACGCCTGAGCGCAGCTCTCTGAAAACTGGATTGGAAGAATTGAGAAGACGACAATCCACTCACCCTGAAAATAACGACAGCGCAATCGAGGAAGAAGACGAACTTCAGCCCGAGGGTGAACATCAAAGTCATGCAAGCGAAGTGTTTCAGGAACACGGAATACCGATCGCTAACAAGGCAGGCAGAAAAATATCATTCATTGACAGCTTCATCACAAACTTGCGTTCTCCCAAAGGCAGCCACCACGATCGCGACCGTGACCGTGATTCGGAATTCAACAGAGGCACGCATTCATTGGGTTCAAAAAAGTCCGGACAACCCAGCTATAGCTCTTCCTTTGTGAGTCCAGGTCCTGGCAAACATGTTGATAGGCCATTGCGTTATCATCCAAGCAGTACTGCTAGCCTGGATGAAATGCCTCGCTTGCCTCATCGGGGGTCGCTTGAGTTAGATGATCTTCTCGGCATTGACTTGGATAAAAGTCCAAACGTAAATACCGGTGCTCAAGAGTCAAAAATAAGTCAGATGTTGAAGTGCTATAAGAAATATGAAACCGTGCCGCCATGGGATTCTGCGAAATTGATCAAGATGTTTTTTAAAGAATCGGTAGAGAGTGGTAACGTTCTACTCACGATAACCATTATTTTATTATTTCAAACAACTTTTAATGTCACCAGCACATTAGTGGTCAAAGATGCTCTAGCAGAGTTTTTGAACCTGTTGCAAAAGTATGAGTTATTCGAGACAGCTGCTGATCTATTGAAGTATTGCCCTTGGGATGACATTCTGGGCTCGGGAACTGGGCAATGTACTATTAGGATATATTGCGAGAGGTGCAAAAAGTTGCTGGTAAATGAGCGGTCTAAGGAAAACTTTATGGAAGAACGCAAACGGACTGGAAACCCAGATGTTATGAAAAAATTTGGCTATTGGTACTGTGATGCATGTTCGCGGCGCAACACGCTTTGTGTTATTTGCGAACGTCCCTTGAAGAAGCTAGCTTTGGGAGTTCTCAATTGTGGGCATATGGGACACTTTGAGTGTTTACAAAATTGGTTTATGCAAGAAGAAATGGATACTTGCCCCTGCGGATGCCCTGGGAAACTTATATAGCATAATAATTGAGATTTATACGTAGTCTGATAGAAATTTTTCAATTTGTTCCCAGTAGCCCTCCTGTATGATAGTATCGTTGTGATGACCTTGCGGAAAGAGAGAAATGCGTTTCCGTTCACTGGGACAGGATCTGTATAGCTCTTGCATGTGCTGTGGTGGGACGATCTCATCTTTCTCACCTGAAAGGAATAGCCACGGCAGAGTTGGGTCGGTGTATTTTATATCGCTTTCAGAACGCCATTTTTCGTGACACAGGAAGGAGAAAGATGCAAGCCAAGGAAAGACATGAGGAATTACCTTGGGTATGCTCAAGAAAGTATTTTCCAAAATAACACCATCACAGACGTGGGAGTACTTTCTTGCAATATAAACTGCGTTAGCACCACCCAGAGAACGACCATAGAGAATCAACTTTTGCGTCTTGTAGAAAGAATCTTCCTGCAAAAACTTCATGATAGCATCTGCATCGATTTTCAGACCAACCTCCGAGGGAGAACCTTCAGAAAAGCCGTATCCACGGTACGAATAGATGAAAACGCTCGCGTTGAAACGTCGATAAATGTATTCTGCAGCGGACAAAAAATACCCAATGTTGCCAGCATTGGGACATAAAACGAGCCAGGTCATGGTCGAGTTCTCTTGTCGTATATCAAAGGCCCTTATTTCCACACCATCTGCAGTTTTAATGCGATGTTCCTTGTAAGGAAGTCCGTATTTGTCCGGAGTATCAACAAAGTCTCGCGCACCTTGAGCCCAAGAAGGGTATATCAGTCTGTTTTGGTAGAGATAGAGAGCAACCAGAGCTGCTCCTCCGGTGGTAATTGTACCTCCTAGTAGTAATTTAAACGCGCGAAATAGCATGGTATGTGAGTGTCCGTCTTGAAGTGTACGTGGCGATGCTTTCACAGCGACGAACTTGGTTTAAGTTTAACGATTGGACGTGCGATGAGATCAACATCGTATTAGATGGAAGACGCTACTAATAACTGAAAAATACAGAATTGTTAAAAAAAAACAACGCTAGTCACTGTATCGGGGATGATTCGATTGAAACGTAGATATTTTGATTCGGTAGAACTGACTTTCTCTAGACGTTGTCCAGCCATTGTTGGCTGATGTGCCGTGGGTGTGGTCCTGACGTATGCGATGTCATTATATTAAGAAGTGATGTGCCAGTTTGAAATGAAAATGCGCGAAGTGGGAAACCGTTCTCAGACCAGTGTGATCTTTATCCAGTTAATTTCGTTTTGGTATGATAACCAGGAGATTGGGTGGAATACGTGTGTGCTTGGTCGATGTCTTGTGGTGATTTTTACGATTTACGAGGATATGAAATAAAGAGGAAAATGACCACGTTATGAGGGGCCTGAAAGATCGCTCACAAATATCGGGTGTTGAATAACGGACGTGGCATCAGGAAGGCCACTACATTGGTCACTAGTCTCAGCTTGTTTACGGAGCGTATTCGTGATAGTTGGTATTATCAATATATACACATTCTGACACCAGTCATGTGACCTAACCTTATCAGAAACTTCTTTGAATAACGCCAGCGACAAGTTCAGAAAGCAAATTTGGAGCCTTTGTAAGGGCTGGGGTGCGCATGGTAATTGATTTTAGTGTTTTGGATACCTTTTCTTCACGATACATACATGTCTATTTGTTTGGTCCTTTTTTGTCGAAATAAATACCTTAGCAGTTGATGCTGTTACAGTACTGGTAATCAATGTGTTGGAAAGACACCGGGAAACATTGCGACACACACATGCACACAGGTTTAGACGATTTAGAACATGGAAGTGTTTTTGGCGTATTCCGTGTATAGTGATATACTCATCAATCACAAGTTTCAGCTTGTTTCAAACGCCAAGAGCTGCTAGCTATGTATAAACAAGCATTTCCCGAAGCATTCACAAGAACGAATGTTTCTGGTCTCTATTATCCATATCACTCAACTGTGAACGATCATTTTACTATGTATTTTGTCTGTATTGAATTTCATCACTATTTACGAACTATATCTTAGAGTTGGTCTAATTATTTAAAAATTTTCAAATTTGACGATGTCGAAATCTACATACTTACCTAGCACCAGAGATCAAGATTGAAAGTATGTGCCCATGGCAGAATGTATTCGACTCTGGAATTACCCTATAAATGGACTTTAAAGCGCTAACTGCCGGTCAAAATTTGTCCTGGGTCAAGAGACCGCTTTTTGGTCGGGAAAGCAAGCCCTCCAGCGTTTACTGTTTCTCTTTGAACATTCATATACTAACGAGACATTGACCAATTGTGATAAGATGTCTGTGGAAGAAGTTACGCAACAAACCCAGGATTTGAACATCGAAAAGCCATCCACCGTTCTGTCGGATGAAAAAGAGTTCCAATTGAAGCACCCTTTGAACTCGAAGTGGACCCTATGGTACACCAAACCTCCTGTGGACAAATCTGAATCCTGGTCCGACCTACTACGTCCTGTCACCTCCTTCGAGACCGTGGAGGAATTCTGGGCTATTCACAACGCTATTCCAAAACCTCGTTATTTGCCATTCAAGTCGGACTACCATTTGTTCCGTAACGACATTAGACCTGAGTGGGAAGACCCAACTAACGCCAAGGGTGGGAAATGGACCCACCAGTTCTGGGGCAAGACTCCAGACATTGACGATCTATGGATGCGCGCGCTGCTCGCAGTCATTGGTGAGACTATCGATGAAGACGACTCCGAGATCAACGGTGTAGTCATCAACATTAGAAAAAGCGCTTACAAGATCGCTATCTGGACAAAATCTGCCGATAAGAAAGAAGCTTTGACCAGAATTGGTTCTAAATTCAAGACTGTCTTGAAGCTAGGCGACGATGCTCAACTGGAGTTCTTGCCTCACTCCACTGCCTCTGAAAAACACCCCCAACCATCCCTAGTTTTGTAAATTAAACGGTATTCTGCGTATATATCATGCTAGTTGACTTAAATTAGCTGGTTATTTTAATGAATTGCAAGTCCATTTCAATTCCTTTGGGCTGAGCTAGTTGTCCCAGTTGTTTTGGTCGATAGCGCCCTGGAAATAAAACCCAAGCACAATAACACTGTATAACAGTATCAATATCGAGCCTTTGAAATAGTTCGATTTGCCTTCAGCGTATAAGTAGGTGAACAAGAAAACACTCACCATACAAGCCAACAAATCCCAGCGTGGGAACACCAACGAGAACATCTGATCTCTGATAACAATGCTATCCGTGGGGGTGCGGATGGTGTACATTATTGAGAAAACCACTAGAGCTGGAATTTGCAGTAGACAAACTTGCAAAGCATAAGCACTGCCAATTTCCATCGACAATGCAACGTTCCCATGTATCGCAAATGAAATAGCATTCAAGAACTCTGTCGTATTTGGAACCAAAGCGAACACCGTAAGACCTAGAAATTTGGGATCCAGAGATGGGAACTGTTTCAAGACGTTATCCACACAGTCGACTAAAATCTCAGCAATGATGGCATACAATAAAGTGGCCCCCAAAAGAATACAAGTTGACTTTTGGCGCGACCAATTGGGGCCATCATGCCCGCCATCTTCGTCTTCTTCCTCTGGGATGTATCCCAACTGGCTACTATTGTTGGGTTGTTGTAACTTCTCTGGTACCTGCCAAATAGTTGCAGCGTGGGTACGTAGTGTGAACCATAAGCCCAAGGTATAAGCCAGAAACAGCACAAAGGCACAAAACAAGGACATGGGCTTTATAATGTGCAAATAGAGTGCATTGAATTTCAAAGGAGGCTGACGAAAGTAACATCTGGATGGCTGATCACTGGACTCAACAGAGCAATCCACCAGATACCCGCCATAAATTTGGTATATTATCGTGGGGACAAACATGACGATCATGGAAAATATTAACATAGCCGACGAAACGCCTGCGCTCGCGGGATTGTACCTCTGCGTTTTTCTTTTGAAGGCTCCACCGCACATACTCATTCCAGGAAGGAGAAGTACGGCACCAAGAATGGATCCAATCATAGATCCTTCAACCAGCAGTCCTTTTTCTTGTTGAAGTGCGACGCAATAAAGGAAGATTTCCACAATTGTAGAGAAAAATGCATTGATAGCAGCACCGACCCCCATTGATGTTTGGGCAGAAATGGAAGCGACTGCCTGCCCAATGTAAAAGGCCAAAGGAATAATGGACAGCAAACACAGACAGAAAATGACAGACTCACTAATTGCAAAGACGTGCTCTTGAAGAATGTAGAATTGGATAATTGTGAAAGCCACTAGAGCCCCCAAATTCATGACAATCACATTCGTTCCGTCCACTGTATATTTGTAATAGTGAGAACCCGCGCTTCTGAAAGTGCATAACAACACATTTTTGTCTTTGATTTCATTAACGCCATGTGTCAAGGTCTTGAATTCCAGCGCCAAAGGATGTCTTCTACAGTGATACATCAAATCCCACATAATACCGCTCATTGGGATGGTGAACACAGCCAACCAAGTGAGAAATGAAAAAAAGAGCACCACAGGCTGAACAAAAAGGTACAGAACAACGTAAAAGGTGAAGCGGCCATATGACCATTGGCCTCGACCAAACAGTCGTCTTTGTCTATCAGCAGCGGTCATATTTCCACTTTCCGTTGCCCCGTAGTCCATGCCTCCCTGTGAAGGTCTATGGAAGTACAATCTGTTACGATGATTGGTCACCCACCCGTAAAACTGCTGGGCAGATATTCCTTCATCTTGGTCTTCATGTAGATACTGCTTGTCGCTGACCATGAGAACAATTTTGCCAAAAGGCCAAAACAGGTAGCGGCCAAGCCTGAATAGCACGGAGGCGTACTCTAAGCAGGTTGGTGTGAAAAGTCCGAAAAAGCACACGAGAAGACTGCAAACACTCAAAAAAAGCATGAAAAATAGCCCTAGTGTCATTGCCCAGAGATTATTGGCCAGATGCACTTTCCATGATATTCGCTTGTAAGTAGTTTCGTGAATATCTTCTTTGGCAGCTTTCTGCACAGATCTTTTTTTTTTGTACAGGGCTGGCTTCCAAATTCTGATACCAAAGGGATGCGTTTCATTGATGGCATCTTGACGACGCCTCAATGTATAGGACTCATTCGAGGCAATTGAGTTTTGGTCTTCCTCGTCGCCGTGAACAGCTCCGGAATTGTTGAAACTGTTACCCATATCTTGGTCAGTGTTATCGATATGATCTGGTCCTCCAGCCACAGACGCCGAGGAATTTTTGTGTCTCACCGAAGTGGGCCTCCCAGCAGCGGGTGGTGGTGTGTTTACATTGCTGGGACTTCTTTTGCTGGGGGCGACATATTTCGAACCTTCCGGTAAACCTTCGAATTGCCTATGATCGTTCTCTATCTCATGGATGTCGTCGTCCACGCTAAAGACCCGCTTCAAAGGTTCCGGGTTGCTGTTAACAGTATAAAGAGATCGATCTTTGGGCATCCTAGGGCTCGACTCGGGTGTCGTAGGTGCCTTGCCTAAGTATCATTAGCTTTCCTTATATTTCTAGATTTGGAATTTTTATACTTATAAACAGTTTAAGTTCGATCGTTAAGAAATGAAAAAGTCGTAGAATTGAGACACTGGCGCCGAAACATTAGCAGGGCGAGCGGGCATGTACAGGCGGCTTTAAATGTGCTTGAGAAGTTGAGGTTTATACTGCAGGTCTTTTCAGCTCCGAAATCGAGTCAGTGGTCATTGTGAAATTGAATGACAACGTTGGCAGACACCAAAAGAATGTAAATAGGGCTCGGTCGAGATGCCAGAGAACAATTCTCGGGGCTCGAATTATCCCACAATATTATTAGACAGATACTTTACGAGTTGGATTCTATCTGTGTCTGGTTTTGAACTCGCGGTTTGGAAAATATCTGAGATCTCCGTGGCTAGGCGAAAAGGAGTTGGAAGCCCTTGTCTAACGAAATCTCACTCAATATGGGTGTGATTATTGAAATCAGCACTGTCAAGTACATTTTTGAAGTAAAATTTCTGACTATCTTGTTTCGCGATTTCGAAATACATTCATCAGCGCCTTCTTTGAATACACTGTAAAGCAGTCGAAGTACCTTTTGGTCTGTCTTATTAGTACTATACCTAATTGCGTTGCCTTATGCCAGCAACAATGCATTTATTCTATCATGGCGAAAGCTTTTTATGAGATCACCTTGATCGAGGTCAATATTTTGATTGGGAAAGTAGCTTACTGTAGCGTCTCAGGAATTCTAGAGCACTCCTGTGATATATTTTGATCACAAGGCTCCCTTCCACGAGGGTGGTGGATCATTGCGCAGTCGCTGTCCACCAGAGTGATTTTTATCAACTCGTGGTCGAAGTTCTTTCATCGGACTTGGTAACAAAATCTCAAACTAAAATACGAGCACGCTGCTGTGCATCGGCACGATCAGAAACCCATGCTTTTACACATAACTTACTGGAGAGAGCTCTGATGGTGTTGAGCTCTCCTGCATATCACTTTAAACTAATCTGTCATTCGACCAATGGTTCTAAAATTGGCTTCTTTTCACTGAATAAAACCAAGTCAAATGACAGTCCCCATCACTTTTCCACGCCCAAATAGCTCTGCTCATACCGGCATCAGCCCTCTCAATCCATATGGGCCAAGATCCGAAAAGATTCACTTTCAAGTGAATTTCCACTTCCCAGCCCAACCCACCTCGAGCCTCGATTCCAAAAATTGCAAACTGCGTTTTCCTACAAAACAACAGCAATAGCTAGCTAGAATGGAGGCCCTAATCACCACCTTCTTCACCACGACTACTCAATTCAAAACCCAACCTAAATATAAAAAAAACCCCCTGTTTGAACCCACAACCAGACTCAAAAAATGATTTCCAATAACTCTGAACCAGTCTTAAGTACGCGCGATTAAATAGTGGACCACTTTAAATGCCATTACTGTTGTTCACCAAAGATCGAAAACGCTTCAAGTCTTTGCTCGTACAACACGATATACTCATAGGCGAAACTGTACTAATTATATGATAAACTACAACAAGCTATATAATACTTCAAGAATGCACAACTTCGACTTATTTGTACAAAGCATTTCAGCTAAACACAACGAAAGGAAAGTCACACTGGGAATAGCGTTTTTATTCTTTTAGCTCGCTTGTCAAAAATGTTCTACTTTCGTTTTTTTTACGCCTTGTGTGTGTTTTTGTCGTTTGTTCCTGCGTCGCGAGCAGCAGTAACGATTAGTACCATTACCACGATTCAGAATGGCGTTACCAACTATATTGAGACTACTTTGGATGGTACTGCAAAAGCTACTGCAGTGGGTAAGACTGTCACCAGAACGAATGCCAACGGTGCTGTCGTCACAACGGTTGTGACGAGCTCAGCCACTGGTACTGGTACTGGTACTACTGGTACTGGTGCTACTGGTACTGTTACTACTGGTACTACTGGTACTGGTACAACTGGTACTGGTACTACAGGTACTGGTACTACAGGTACTGGTACTACAGGTACTGGTACTACAACCACTGGCACTGGTACGGCTACCACCACTGGCACAACCGCTGGAACAGCCACCACTTCTGCGGTCGCAACAACCTCCTCTGCTACCACCACAGTTTCTCAAGAGGCAGGCACGAGGCCAGACCCAAGCACAGACAGAACTCCTCTACCGGCCTCAGCCGTAACTACTCTGTCAATCGAATCTTTCATCACTCTAACGGAAGGATCAACCACTTACACCACTACCAGGGCTCCTACCTGGGTGTGGGTCACTTATACAACAGCTGGCCGCACTATCACATCCTCTACCACGTTTGTGCAACGGTACACTTCCACATACTCGGTGATTGCTGAGCCTTCGTCGGGATCAATCGGCATGGGCTCTCTGACAGGCGATGTAGGTCAGGTGAAGTCCGCAGGAGTGGTGACTGTCTCAAACGGTGCTGCCGATATGGCGGCCACCGTTCCTTTAGTTGGCGGTGTGTTGGCCTTGATTTCATGGCTGCTATGAGCAAGCTCGTAGTAACAACAATTATAAAGTGTTTTGGGAAATATATAGTAGGCCGATAGTGACTACGGAAAGTAAGGAATACTTATCGAAATCGAAATCTAGCCGTAGACTTCTTTTACAGCTCTCTCGAAAATGGAGAGACCTTCTTCGATCTCTGCATCGGTGATCGTGAGTGGTGGAACAAATCTCACCGTCGATTTACCGGCAGTTATGATGAGAAGACCCAAGTCTCTGCATTTGCTGATGACCTCCTTGGGAGCCTCGGTAAATTCAAGACCGATCATGAGCCCTTGGCCCCTCAAGTTCGTGATGTGATCTGGGTACGCGTTGTGTAGCTTTTTCAAACTGTTCTTAAAGATCTCTCCCTTGCGAATAACTTCTTGCAAAAATTTCTCGTCGCCGATAGTGTCCACGACGTAGCAACCCAATGCTGCACCCAATGGGTTCCCACCGTAGGTCGTACCATGGTCACCTACTTGCAAAGCGTTGTTGATCTTCTCATTTACCATTGTGGCGGCAATTGGGAATCCGTTGCCCAGAGCCTTGGCAGATGTGAAAATATCAGGGTGTGCTTCTTTGGGCAAATAGGCATGAGCCCATAGTTTTCCTGTTCTGCCCATACCACATTGGATTTCATCGTGGATGACAATGACATCGTTTTCGGAGCAGATTTGTTTCAAACCGACGAGTTTTTCGGCAGAGATGGGTAATACACCGCCTTCACCTTGCACTGGCTCTACTATGAGGCCTGCAATCTTGTCTTTTTTGGACGAGATTAAGTCCGACAACACTGAGAGCTCATCTTGGATATTCAAAAACGAAGTTCCGGGGACCAAATCACCAAATGGGGTTCTGTACTTGGGGTTGCTTGTCACTGACAAAGCACCCATTGTACGGCCGTGGAAGGAGTTTTCGAACGCTACAATTCCATGTTTTTTAGGCCCCAATAGAGAGCCATGTTTCTTGGCAAATTTCAATGCTGCCTCGTTGGCTTCCGTACCAGTGCTGCATAGGAAAACTTTGCTGCAATCGTGTTGGCCACCCAGACTTTTGGTTTTGTCCACAATTTTCTTGCTCAAGTTTAGGCATTCGGCATTGTAATACAAGTTGCTTGAGTGAATAAGTTTCTTGGACTGTTCGCAAAGGATCTTGGACACATTCTCGTTAGCATGGCCCAGGGAAGTGACAGCAATACCTGCTGTGAAATCCACGTATTTTTTGTTATGTAGGTCATCGTACAGCACCGAACCTTTTCCTCTTGTGATCAGAAGATCGGTAGGTCTGGCATATGTTGTAACTTGAAATTCTTTGTTTGCAAGCGGTCCTTTGAGCTGCTTTGAAGCTAGCACTGAAGAAGTTCTCAATCTAAGCATTGTTCCACTCCTAATGATGATGTATTTACAGTTGATGAACGTCTTGTAGACTTTTTCGATTTTTGTATATATATCAAAATTAAAGATTTTGACGGTCTTATTTCTTCACAGATAAGACTCAACTTTAGCTGTGAATGACTGAACCTAAAAAAATAGTACGCATCAGTAAAAAGGCCAAATTATGAACTATGAACCTGCTATGAAATTTATTTCAAACTTGTCAATCTTGTTAGATTTTCGCGATCATGGTTAATCTTCGAAATCGCCTTCTCGATCAACGTTCTTCCTCTGTCTGCTTGTTCCATGACAGATATCTTAGATCACCTACACTTCTGCCTGTAATCAAGCTTGTTATTAGTATAAGAGCACCAAGGCCAGAGCATATACAACCGCCAGCAAGGTAAACTACCCCGAGGAAATTGTTTTTTCCGCCAATGCTGGAGCCGTGGGTGAGAAATATGCCCTTCTTGCCGTTGAATTCTGTTACGGGCCAATTTAGCCCAATACTGATTTCATACTCGCCTGCGAGGAGTGTGTCATTGTTGTTTCTGCGAATAAGTCTTTGGAACTGGTGGAACGCGGGTGCTTTCATCCAATTCTGGAACTCCTCCCAAGTGTGAATATTTGGAACGTTTGTCGAATTGTAGCCGTTAGGATATTGTTTGACCCAATTTGGAGGAGGAGCAATCTTGGTATGGTTCAACATTGTTTTCTTAAAGCGGTCTTTGTCGGTGGACCACGCAATGCCCTTGTTCGTCAAGGAATAGTTACTTGTGGAGCCCACGCCAACCAATTCCATGGGAAACGTGTCGTTGAACATGGCGTTGGCAATCAGACCGCATGGGTAGTACTGTTTGCCCTCGCTGTTAGACACCAGAGGCTTGCAATTGATACCTGGGTTGCTTCTGACTGTGGTCATGGAGGTTTCTTCACCGTTGAGCTGCATCTCGCTGAAGGACAGCACGAACCGTCTGTGATTGCCGGCAAATTTCTCGATCCAGTAGCTCAAAAACACGTTTTTGGGCAAGTCGTGTGGGGTCGTGAACCTGATATGGCAGGTTCCGTTGCTCAAATCCGAACTGGTAGGAGGTGTGTAGCTCCACTGTGGGGCCTTGTCGTAAGTAGTGTTCTTGTGGAACTGCCAGCGGTACTGGTCTGGTGTCATGTCTTCCCAGGACCCTTGTGGAGCGGACATCGAGCAGTCGTGGTAGTAGATAAGCATCTGGTCTACCCGCATCGATATTTTTAAGAGGACAGCACCGAAGATGACGAATACCACGGCTAAGGAGCAGTATAGAAATATCACGCCGCGCGGCGTCACCACTGGATTGATTGCTGCAATTTTTTGTTGTGTGAAAGGGGTGTCTTTGGGCCTTCTGTTCTTGCGTGGCGCGGGTTTCTTCTCATCATCATCTTCGAATTCCGATGCGTCTAAGTCCTCATCTTCGGCTTTGACGTCCAAATCTTTATGATTTTTTTTGAACACATTGCCCATGGTCTTAAGTGAGAGCTGTGGCATGGCGTGCTAAGCTGTTATAAAGGTCCTGAAAGGGGCTTGATAGCTGTTGATTTAGGACCTATCCGATAACTTATGGTTAGGCGATGAAGCTGAGAGAACGTTTTATGTAATTTATGACAGAGGTCTAGATCACGTGACTCAGTGTCCTATTTTAATCAAGAATTATTACCGTTTCGACAGCGCGTCGGGGGAAGGTTACGCATGGGGCTAGTAATGTGTAGTGATGATCAGGACGGACTTGGTCTTGGGGCTTTGCCAATTCCGTGGAGATAAATCGAATATATGTAAGAGATTATCACGTGATACAGCATCCCACGGCTCTTCTTTGCAAAACTTTTGTGCCTCGATCACCAGTTGTATTTGTCTCTAGTAGCTCTGTTTTCTTCTCTTCTCTCTTTCCCTCAGAAAAGTGGTTTCATTCCGTTAAGCAAGTACACAAGTAACAACTCGGGGCACCGAGCTAATACTTATAAAAATGTACGTGGTGCACGGGTGTGTGTCAGGTTAATTCCCGCCAAACTGAGTCTCTTTTGGTCAAAAAGCTTACCTTAACTTGCCATCTCAGTACGTGCATACTTATACTGTATTCCCCACTTCATAAAGACATCTGGCATATTTCGTTATACTGAACCTCTATATGGTGTCTCATCATCACCGTTCACGTGCTCTCTGGTCACATGATTATCATGTGCTGATTCCGGCTTCTCCGTGGATCTTTGGGTAAGGACAATCCCACCTCTCTCACCAGATATATAAACAGAACGATATGTCTGAAAGTCAACTAACTGTCTTGCAAACTGTCAAAGCTATGAAAGTCTAAACGTTGTTCCCGTATTGTATTGTATTGTGATGTCGCAAATGACCTCGCTGCTCCGTGTAGGAGATGCTAAACTTTCTTCTCCCATTCGGTACGTTGTTCCCCAGCTTTAACGCACATCGCCAACCGGACTCTATTACCCCGTGTGAATGATCTTTTTGATAAGTAGGAGACATCTCAATTGTCCAAGAACACCTGTCAAATGCACTCATCAACGTTATTCAACGCGCACATGGCTCCCTCTGGCAACGGGAAACGTCGTTGCATCACCAATCACGAGTGTCTGCGATTCCAGCTAAACATGGGAAACAAATACACTGATCGATCACTCTTGGGATCAGTTTGAGCCCATACTTCTGTTGTGGAGCCAGCATCTCAGGCTTTCGCGCGGCAAAAGTCCCGGTTGTTGTTGTTGTTGTCGAAGAAGTACTGTTCTTGAATCACGTGACTTAGGTCTATCGCCGAGACATGTTTATCGTGTTCTACGGAACACTTTAAAGATGACTAAGACAATGAAGGAACAAACCAATAATCCTTTGGCCATAAAGGAACACCAAACATCCACGTTTGTCAACATTTTGTGAAGTCCTCTCCAGTCTAGTCTCATTGTTCGCTGCTCACAACAATGAGCACCCAAAATCCCATGAACGACGAGTCCGGGTCTTCCTATGGTGAACACCATGAGTTCATGGCAGCAATGGGAGTAGACCGTGTGCCAGAAAGCGGCAGTTCCAACTCGGAAAAAGCAGGTTCTGTGAGCGGTTTTAACGGGCAGTATAAGCAGGAGTCTCCCGAGAATGGCTTGCAACGAAAAGAATCACGTCTGGAAAGAGTCATGACCGGGTTCTTTTCAGAGCGCGTGCGCGACGTACGCAAAAAGCTCATAACACAATTTCTTTTCAACCATCTAGCACTTGCGCTCCTTATTCTGTCGGTTTTCTCGCTTTACTGGGGTGCCATGTACGACAAGCCGCGCTACTTCCACAAGATCAAAATTCTGGCCGTGATCCAAGACGATGGCGCCGTCTCACAACCTTTACCCAGTTTGATCGACACTGTGCCGGGTCATTGGCACGTTTACAGCTCTTCAAGCTTCCAAGAGAATTACCACGTGTCAGAGTCACAGATCGATACCCAAATCACCAAGCTCATACACGAGCAAAAGTTCTGGATGTCTCTAAACGTCAAACCCAATGCCACCAATGTCTTGATTGACTCGCTGCAAAATTCCTCCGCACAACCCTTTAATTCCTCAGCATTTTTCGAGATGTTTTTCGAGAGCGGCCGCGACCCTACTAATTTCAAGTCTAGCATTTTGCCATTGATGACCGAACTGGAAGCGAAGTACCAGGCTACTTACAGCTCAAAAATACTGCCCCAAATTATGACAAATCTCTCGGATTCGCTCGCCAACGTCCCCAGTGTCAATGTGGCACAAGCAGGCTCCATGCTGTTCAGTCAAGTCGACTACAGACCATTCGATAACTTTGTGCTACTGGGCCCTCTGCAAGTTGGTCTCATCTACTGTATCTTGCTCACGTTCTTCCAATTGCTGCTGTTTGCTCCGATGCACGCAGAATTTGCTCAAAAGCTTAAGGTCCCGCATATGATTCTCTACCGGTACTTGATTGCTACTATCAACTACTTTTTCCTGTCGTTGTTTTTTTGTTTGGTATCTCTGGCTTTTCAAGTTGATTACGGTAGAACGTATGGACGTTCTGGCTTCTTAGTAGCATGGATGGCATCTTGGTTGTTGATGATGGCTGTTGGTGGTGCTAATGAAAATATGCTGACTCTCTTAGCGGCTTTAGCTCCTCGATTTTCCGGGTTTTGGATGATTTTTTGGGTCGTCCTTAATATCTCACCTTCCTTTTACCCTATGGACCTCGTCAACAACGTATATCGCTACGGTTACATTTTACCTATATTCAACGGGGTCGGGATATTCAGAGTCATTTTCTTGAACATATATCCTGGTCATTTGGGTAGAAATTTCGGAGTGCTATGTGCGTGGATAGTACTGAATATGCTACTGTTCCCGCTGTGCGCTAAAGTGTTCGCTACCCAGAAAAAAAGGAGGCCATGAAAGCTGCTGCTGAGAGGAAAGTCTAGCAACAGTAATTTTGCTTCACTAATTCTAATAAATTAAAGACTTGGAATGCGTCTTATCTCAGGGAATATCTAAACGCAACCACCTATTCCATACAGAGCCAAACCCATAGCACACTGCTCCGCCACCAAAAATGTCGAGGGTAGAGTTGGAAAACTTGTGTAGCTCAAACCCCACCATCAAAGGAAAGGCGTTGTGCCAAGCATCTTCAGGAATGCGTATCAGCGTTACTTGTCCAGAGCTCAAACTCACCTCAATTATTGTGGTATCTTGATCAAATAGACAGGCAGGACTGGTCCCTCCCGCGATCAATACCTTATCTTCACCCGTAAACAGCGCTTTTCCTCCATAACGCTTGAAAAGAGGATCGGAATATTCGTTTTCGAGCTCAATTTTGTTCGAATTATGGTCGAACCTGAATATCTTGAGTGTATCATGTATATTCTGACTTTTATCAGCTCCGCCAATAATAACGCCCTTGTTCAAGTTTTTGTCAAAGGTCATCGCTGAAGATGTCAACGCCGGTATGCTACCTAAAACCTCAGGGACGATGAGCTCGTTTCTGCTGCTATCATAAACAAGGAAAACGTCACCATTTGTGTGCCCTCCGTAGATTAAAACCCTCTTTTCGTCTAAAGCACAAGAAGCGTGCCTGTACCGACACTCGGGAAGACTAATAGCTTTTTCGTAACTCCATTGACTTTCTTCAGTCTGTTGCAGTCTCCAAACGTCACCAAACGCTTTGTTAGGAGCAGCTCTGCCACCGACTAGGACACACAATTCGTTATTCAAACTTGTTATCGTATGGCACATTCGTGCGACTGGTTTCTCGTGCTCTGAAATGATGTCAACGAGTCCGACTTTGCTCATTGCCGGGTCAATCAACAATGCATTATCTAACCGGCCATTGAGGTAACCGTGTGTATACATGATTTGACCTGATGGCAGCAGTGTTGACGCACCGAACTTGCGCTGCGTTAAATGATCATTATCCAATTTCATTTCTGCTGCTTTTGCATCGCGACGAAGCAATGACTTTCTTGTGTTCTGTCCGCTACGTGGAGAGGAGGGTACGGTTTCGAACGGAACTTCGAGATCGTTGCAAGAATGTCCAACAACGTAATGATGGCAGAAAAGCATAAATTCTTCCAACTCATCAAAGGGTTCGATAGCCTCAATCTGTTTCTTTATATGAATGTCAACAAAACCCCAGATTTGGTGCAAGTCCCTCATATTTGTGAGAGGAAATCCAAGGTTCTTAAACCTTTCGTGCTGAGAGGATTTTGTCTTATTGAAAAGTACCGATTGTAGTGGAGAGTCGTTGTTTTTGAAGTGTCGGAGCATTTGTTTGGAAAAGGGTTCGGACGGTCCTGCGGGTAGAAGAGGCTCAAGGTTTACAAAGTGAGACCTCGGCAGCTTTGAGCATGCCTTTATTATTGCGTCTGCTTTAGAGGAGTCCATATATGCCAGGGACACTTCCGCCAAAAATATTTTGACGATAGCTGAGTCTTTTAGCTGGCACATTGTGAGCAGCCGATCGAAATCAGCCGAGACGTTCAGATCGCATGGTGCCAATATGTATTTTCTGGCCACGAAAGCGGCTTCGAGGTGAGAGTCCGAACTCCAGTCACCGATGATAGCTTTGAGGTCGGGCGTATCATCTATGATCTTTTTCTTTCGGCTAATAAGGTCAGGGTAGTCGAGGTCCAAAAACGACAGGCGGTTGTCGTACTTCCAATTATGTCTATTCTGGGGATCTAAAAGCTGAAATGGTAGCGGGTCAAATCCACACCCCAAATTTATAACTACAATCCTCTTTTCCGGGGAGGCAGCTATAATTGAGTCAAGTATGGATTTCACTGCATGCATCCTAAGCCAGTAGCCACGATTTATGCACGGCGAGCATCTAAGTGTCTTCTGCACGAAATACTTGAAATACTCGTTGAAGCCTTTAGATTCATCAACATAAGAATTGGCCCCCAATTTCCTCATATACAGTTTCTCGACTGATCTTTTACATACAATCGATGAGTTATTAGTGCTTTGAATGGCCAAATCAGCGTAATTTCTCCTTCTTTCCTGCTTTTCCAACTGCCTACGCTGCTTCTCACCAAGACCGAATCTGCCAGAGTCTTCAATCGACGCGAGGCCCATTTCGTGACATGAATAGTGAGCTCTTTGAATGGTGCAATGGATCTCGAACTACGCTAGCGTTTCCTAGTCTTTTACTGAAGCTCATCGGCCAATTTAATGCAGGATATACTATATTCGTAAATGAGCATATTGAAATCTCAAAACTCTAGCGTGAAGCAAGATCGCGGAATTGGCAGGTCCAATAACGCTACACCGCTGAGATGCGCATATTTTGTTCTGGTTGAAGACCAGTAGAGCTGGCATATAAGCTTCGTGCAACAATCGTTTGCGAGCTTTCGATTGATGTGCAGATCAAATATGACAAAATTTTAAAATCTTTAATTTGCTACTGATTCTAGATTCACTCACTCTCATTTTGGTGTCTTCGGTAGAGCTTTGCACTGAGACGAATCTATTCCGGGTGCTTTGAGAGCTATCGCTGTTTGTCGACAAATATCCAATTGCATAACGATGACACCATCTGTGAAATCATGTGGTGAAATGAATGGTGACAGCTTGGCTCAAAATGACACGATCAAGTGGAGGACCATGGCCACGACATCTGGTATATCCAATAGCGTTACTAAAAGCGTTGTCAAAACATGGGCTCCAATTTACCTTTTTTCAAGCGTCTGCAAGTGAACTAAGTGGTATCTGGAATTTGTCTCGAAAGGTCTAAAACATCATCACGAATCGCCATTCCACATTGATAAGTCGCTCGGTCACAAAGTCCTGACCAAATATGGTTGTACCTCTGAGAATCACAGTCCTCTAGGTATAGTTGTAATGGCTACAATTTACTCAATTAAAAATCATGTGACCAAACGACAGATGACGGACTTTTACAAAGTGATAATATCACAACACACTGACGGTAATGATCTTCCGATGTTCATGCAGTCCTACTCTGTGTTTGTAAAAGCTATTTAATCGCTACTTGGCTACTTGTTCTATTAAATGCCGTCATATAATCATTCGCCCGGCTTGCATTTCTTGGCTACCTCGAAAACAAAATCGAGAGATCATCGACAGGTGTGATTGAACGAATTCGATCACGGTAGATAAAGAATCAATACCAACTAATTTAAAAGCTGTGATCAGCAGCTCTGGTAAGACCGGTAGCCTTTATATAGGCTCAACGTCTTATGGTTCGTTGTCATATATTTTAATTTCGTAAAACGTGACTCACAAACATATATTAGATGAGCCAAGTCCTTGTCTATCTTGGCATACCAACTAGGGTTTGGTTGTCTCAAGCAAGGACAGCCTTTACGACTGGTTAGAGAGCTCATCAAGTATTTGAATCCCCTCTTTACTTCATTGTTGAATATTATATGAGCTGAAATGGAACGGCCGCCAGTCGAAACCGCCAATAACGAAGGCAATGTTGCATCGACCCTACAGTTGCCGCCCAAACAGCGGAAAACTAGAAGTTTTACACTCTCGAAATATACCATTTATGAAACTAAGGACAGAATGTATGTGGTTGGCAGTAACAAGCGGGAAACTATGTTTAGAATTTTGGAAATCGATCTTTCGGTGCCTAACAGCGATCTCTCTGTGCTCGAAGACAATGTATTCTTTACGAGATCGGAAATCATGAACGTCTTGGCTGTCTTGGAGGACGCTAACGATGAGGGACTCAACAAACGGCTAACTGGCTATGGTTTGCTGGGATTTATTAGATTCACAGACTGCTATTACCTAATTGTTATAACAAAGACGAGCCCCGTAGCAGTGCTTGGGGGTCACTCAATATACCATATCGACGAGACTGAGCTGGTACCGCTGTCAAACTCTTACAAAAACCCTGACAAGTACTCGATAGAAGCACGTTTCATCAGCACATTTTTGAACTTGGATCTCAGTAAGACATTCTATTTCAGCTACACCTATGATATTACCAACACCCTACAAACGAACATACTCCGAGAAAAGCTGAAAGCAGTGGCACGTTCTGACGTGCAGATACCGAGCGGCATACCAGACTACAACGAAATGTACATGTGGAATAGCAACCTTTTGAAGCCGGTGTTCCCCTGCATCGACACCGTTTACGATTGGTTTCAAGCCATGATACACGGTTTCATAGATCAAGTCAATGTTTTGATATGGGGGAGAAGCGTCTATGTCACACTGATCGCTCGACGTTCGCATCACTTTGCCGGGGCGCGTTTTTTAAAAAGAGGAGTCAACAAACAGGGCTACGTTGCGAACGAGGTGGAAACAGAGCAGATTGTTTCTGATATGATACTAACGCCCTTCCACCGGCCCGGTAATGGTTACTTTGATAGCGACCGGTACACCGCATTTGTTCAGCACCGAGGGTCGATTCCATTGTGCTGGTCACAGGAAGCCTCCAATTTGACTGCCAAGCCTCCCATTCAAATTAATGTTACAGATCCCTTCTTCAGCTCCGCTGCCTTGCATTTCGACCGTTTGTTTCAAAGTTACGGTGGTGGTCCCATCCAAGTATTGAATCTAATCAAGACCAAAGAGAAAACGCCTCGTGAGGTGAAGTTACTAAACGAATTTGAACAATGCATCAACTATCTAAACAAATTTCTTCCGGAGAACAACAAGATTCAGTACACTTCATGGGACATGAGCAGGGCCTCAAAATCCCACGGCCAAGTCGTCATCGAATTTCTAGAAAAATACGCAATCAACACACTAGAAACCACGGGAATCTTCCATAATGGGCGTGATTTCAGCACAACTCAAATTCAAGAAGGTGTCTGTAGAACCAATTGCATTGACTGCCTCGACCGAACAAACGCTGCGCAGTTCGTAATTGGAAAGCGTGCGCTGGGCGTACAACTCAACGTTCTAGGAATTAGCGACAATTCGTTTTTGGAGTACGACTCTGACATCGTTCATATCCTAACGGAGCTGTTCCATGATCATGGGGACACAATCGCTTTGCAGTATGGTGGATCTCATCTCGTCAACACAATGGAAACTTATCGAAAAATCAATCAATGGAGCTCGCATTCCAGAGACATGATTGAAAGTATTAAGAGATTTTACAGCAACTCCTTTGTAGATGCACAGAGACAGGATGCGATCAATCTTTTTTTGGGCCATTACGTGTGGCAGCCAGGGACACCTGCTCTGTGGGAGCTCAATACCGATTTTTATCTTCATATGGGTACCGATACTGACAATGGCCTGAGAAGTTACACTAAGTGGTGGAACATTTACTACACAAAAAGCTTACGAAACACGATAAAGGAGGAGATTCTTGATAAAAACAATGACGTAACAACAGAAAAAGCATACCACAATGTGCGTGGTTACCCAGGCGCCTTTGATAATTATTGGAACGAGTACTATGCACCTCGTCTCCTTTCATCGCTGCAAGAATTGTTTGCCTACAAAATGAACTCAACCAGACGTTATAATACAAATGAAAAAAGAGGTAGTCGTGTTTCTCCATTTCATTCCAGAAAGCAGAGTTATTTAAACAACAAGCTAAAAAACCTGGTGTCCACAGAGCCAGAGGACACTGAGGTATCAGTGACCGACAAAGAAGAATTGTCATTCAAGGATGAGAATGAGCTCCATCATGTATTTTTGAAACGCCAAGCAACCGAATTAGGCACGCTGAAGGCTCAGCTTAACGACTTTGAAATGCTGCAGAATGGTGTCCGTGAAAGCGTTGCGGATAGGGATTATGCGTTGGAATCCGGCACGGTTTTCTCCTCCGATAACATGCCATCCCTTTTCTCCGATGCCACGGCGAGATCCTTGCGTAATGAAAGGGAGACATACGAGAAGTACCAAAATGTGTCGGAGTATGCTGTTGTGGGTGATTACAAGGAGCTTGAGTTAGACGATATCGAAATTCCAGCTGCGGACCTTAAGTTATACGAGTCGCATTACGACATAATTTGATGCCGTGTGTTATCTCGTTCAGACCTGAGAACCTAGTTTATAATTGCCATCAATCCGTTGAATTCAATAACTTTTTGAAGTTTTTTGTTATTATACTTTTGTGTTCCGAAGGTGTGTAGTGTTGACAATCCACAATAGATTTTTTGCATGCGAGAGCATGTCTTACATCGTCGCATTTGATCCAAATCTTGCCGTTTATACCAATGGCCACCTCAAATTGTGCGGTTTTCGCTAGCAGCGGAAGTAGGGCATAGTCGGGATTGAATGCCAGTTCCCTACAATACGCCAGCGAGACGTCGACCACAGTTCCGCCTTCTAAAAGTCCAAATCCTGCGTCTTTGCCCGTCGTTGAGTCCACACACTCAATCTCTGCTTCCAGCTCTTTGTCAGCTTTGCTGACTCTGGCATATACTAGATCCCCAACTTTTAGCGTGGGACGGTTTTTTTTCGAAGCATTGGGGAACGCCATATACGACAGTGTCACTGGTGTTGAGAAACTCTCTAGAGAAACTCTATAACTGTCGGAATACGAGCCTGTGATCAATCCCACGACCAGGTCACCGACCGCTGGAACATAGCGTTTGGAATTGTATTCGACATGAACGGAGACATTTTTTTTTGATTCTTTCACTACCTCGAAACCCGCATTTACAGGCTGAAATTGTTGGCTTTTGGGATCACAATAAGCACCAGGTCCTAAGATTACGTTTTCCCTGCCTTCGACATGGAAGTTATCACCTGGAATAATAAGTGAGTCCATCTCGAATAGCTGTAAATATAACGAATCGGAAGGTAATCGATTTCGGAAACCAGCAACGTTGATTAGAGATCAAGTTCGAGCCGAAATGTGTTGTATGATTTGAGCTATATCGAAGATCTTAATTGTGGCTAGAGAGAAGAGCTCATCTCATCGAGTAGATTTTTCAACATAATAACTGTAATAAAACTATTATCATGTGTCACGTTAAGTGCGAAGCTTAAAAATGCGAACATGGCAATGTAAGTGGAGGATTAACCGACCGCGTTACAGGTGCAAACCACGGATGTACAGCAGAGCATACTTGAACGGATATTGGCGTTGAAAAACGGTAGCCTTTGCAGTGTTCAATGATGTAGTTTCAATCACTTTTGAGTCACGTGACTGAATGACTGAAATTAAATCCTCCATTTCTGTTGAGAACTTTGGCTTTCGTTTCAACGGCACCGAGCTTAAATGTGCTGTATTCCGCTGCTTGCAATTTCTCTCTTCCTTTGAGATACACTTTATAAAATAAGTTGACACTGGCAGTGTCTGGGTTTGGCAGCTAAACACCGGATGTTTGCACATTCCGAGCTTCGCTCTTATGTAAATATCACAATGCTGAGAAACCGTTAGTGTCTTCGAATGACAAATAGGCTAATATCTTCCATTGCCATAATGCAGGCTGGATTTTAACCTTAAAGACAATTAATAAATCTTTGTATGGAAATAAACTAGCATTCGTTGATGCACACTACGGCAATATTACATAAACATGAGTGGCTGGTTTGATTTCATTGCCTCGATCAGAATTTTTGTTCGTCAGCCCTACATTCATTCTGTGATTTTCCGAATGTCGTGTCAGAAGTCTTAAACATGTTTTATCTCAAATATATCCAAAACTCGTGTTTTAACAAAAGGAACCAATTGTTCGTGCTCACATCGATGCTTTAATATGTCAAGAACCGAGCCTATGATGAGCTGGCCAGTTGAAGAGGTTTAAAGGCTCATTTCATATCTTGTCACTTTGTACTATTATGTCATTTCCATCCATGGCATAAATTGAAGATTTAAAAGTAGAAAAGCTGACCTTTAAAGATCATGACATGTCATCGTCCCATACCAACAAGCCAGCTCGGCTTTCTAACCCAGAGGCGATGGTCGACTGCTCACAAATTAGTAGTCTTTTTCCGAAATGTCTGACTGTTTTTCTATTCTCATTCACAGCCGTCAATACTGTTTCAAATGTAAGTGTTTTCAGAGGACCAGGATCACTCTTACTGGGTATAACGTTAAGCTTAAGCTTCTACACATATTTCAAAGTATGTAAAGTGGGCGCAGGAAGCCCTCTTGATTTTCCTGCATTGCGAATTTCGAACCTTAAAGCTGCTGAGCAAGGTCTAGAGCTTCCACCTAAATTTCTTACGGAGAAGTCCGTTACGTTAAAGAGAAATGGAAGGTATAGATTTTGCCGAGAATGCATGGTCTGGAAACCTGATAGATGCCACCACTGCTCTGGATGCAATATATGCATTTTGAGAATGGACCACCATTGTCCGTGGTTTGCTGCATGCGTTGGTTTTCGCAATCAACGCTATTTCATTCATTTTCTACTGTACGCTCTAACGTACTCCATAATCATATTCTTTTGGGTGGGAACTGATTTGCTTCTTTGGTTTCGGCAAGAAAAGTATCAGGAAAGAACTATAAACCTATCTCTGCTACTAGTGTGGATTTTATCAGTTGTTGTGACGATCTCGATGGCTTTCTTCACTGGCTACAGCGTATACATGGTCACTGCCAATCAAACAACCATTGAGATGTATGAATCTTCCGAGCAAAGATCACAAGTAAGCCTTCTAGATGAAATGAGAGGCACGCAAACACAGCTTCACACCAACGTCTTCGATTTAGGTTCTGCGTTACGCAATTGGAAAGCTATCATGGGTCAAGCTTGGTACGAGTGGGTATTACCAATTCAAACGTTCGTTCAGGTGAGAAACATGCATTCTCTCGATGAAAGTGGGCTGTATTTCGAGGTCAACTCAGATCTGGAACGTCAGGTGTCGGAAAGCATGAATTTACAAGAACAGCTGATGAGACGACTGACACCTCGTTCTTCTTACGGTAACGGCGAATTACGGCCCATTGACTTTGCAGTGTGAAATACATCACCTACACTCATAATTTCAAAATGCATTAACATAATAAACATAAAATACAAAAGTTCTCTATTCCTTTTTTTACAATAACTCCAAAGCGCCCAAAGACTGCATTAAAATGCCATCACCTACTTTTCATACCAAACACGCAAAAAGTCCGAAAGCAGCACCAACAATTCCGCCCCGCACTTTATTACCTGCGCCGTCGAAAGTCGAAATGTCAGGTCTGGAGGAAGTGACCGAAGTCAGACTCTGATACTGTATTGTGAACGAGCTCGATAAGGTAGAGCGACCAATGGTTGCCGTCTTAGCTGTTTCCGACTGTTTCTGTCCGGTCTGGGCGCCGCCAGATAAAGTAATGGGTGTTGACACTTGTGTGCTGCCTGATGCGACGCTGGTGAATGCACTTTGTGTGGATGCTCCAATAGGGTGTTCATAAGTAGTGAGAAGCTCGTGTTGCGTTGAATTTGCGATGTTCGTAGACACACCAGTCTTGGTAACAGCAGATTCGACAGTGGGGCTGCCAGAAACGTTGCTGTCCGTTGAAATTGTTGAACGTCCAGATTTGGCGGAGCCCACACCGAGGTAAGAGCCACCAATAAGCGACTCGGAAGTAAAGACAATTTCTGACCTCGTTAACTCCCTCATTCCTGATGAGACACCATACTTGGTGGTAAGAGATTGGGCAGTATGTCCCGAGGAGTCTAGAATAGTGGTGTTTGAAAGTGCAGTAGCGGTTTTCCCGGGAGAGTCCAAAACAGTTACGCTTGAAGGTGTTGATTTGGTACCTGTAGCTGTCTTTTTGATGCTAGCAGGCTGAGAGTCAGACACCTGTGTACTTTGAGATGTCTGCGTCTGCACCGGTACCATACTAGTAAAAACAGAAACTTGGCCTGCTTTTGTCTGGGTGAAGACGGAAGCAGTCAAGCTCTTCTTCTTTGACGCGACGGTTGTGGTCGCGCTCTCAGATAAGGAAGTTTGGCTCAGTGTGATGGTTGAAACTTCGGGAGAGAGTGTCGTGACAGGAAACCAACTGGTATACTCGAAAACCTTGCCCTCACTCGTCGTAGTGATAACTGAATAAGTGAGGTAAGCCTTTGTCTGAAACTTTGTAGTTTTCGTCACTTCAAAGCCTGTGTTTACAGATTCGGATCCTTGACTAGACTTAGCAGTGGATTTAGGGTCGTGTGCCGAGCTTGCACTACTTGTGGACAAAGACTTGTTTCCATGGGACTGAGAGACACTGCTACCAGCAGATGATATTTTGGTCAAGCTGCTGGTCTCACTACCGCTTAAAGTTGCAACGGGAACCAGTGACGTGTACACTGAATACTCGCCACTGAACGTCCTGTTGAAGACTGTTCGAGTAGGGTAGGCATTTGTCGAAGAAACAGCCGAATTAAAGACGTAGTTAGTTCTTGAGGTAGCGACACTAGAATTCGCGGGAAGTTGGGGGGTCAATGTCGCAACTGGGAAGAAACTTGTGTAGACTTCGTACTCTCCGTCACTTGTGCGGGTCACAACAGTATACGTCAGGAGAACTCCCTTACTGTTCGAAGTGAATGATCCACCACTAGTGTCATTTAGAGAAGAATGCTGTACTTGGGTCGGCGTAATCGTAGCAGTGCTTGAATTCGAAGCGGAAATTGTAGCTGATACGACAGGCGCAGTAGCAGAGCCGCCTGTTGCGGCACTCCCATTGGCAATCGGAATGACTGTGTATTCGACGGATGTCCCATTTGTCGAGGTCGACAAGCTTGAAGAAGTAGTCTCATTGGCAGACGATTGAGTCGCTGTTTCGAAACTTGACGACATTGTTGAAGAAATGGTAGAATTGACGCCAGAGACCGTGGGGAAAGCACCAGATCCGGTCATAACGTGAATGACCTCTCCAAAACTGTCAACGTTTGTGGTAGTTTTCAGCACAACGCGATCCTCGAAAGTAATGGATATATCTCTTTTGTATGTTGATAAAGTCGGATAGTTCAAAATCGCCAGTGTGTCAACGGCTACCGCATTGTTGATTGCCGTAGTTGTGTAGCTGATACGAATAAACTTACCACCGCTAATCTGAGAAGTTAGGCTCAAATTGATGGAAGACTCATCTGAATTGTCTTCGACAGCTGTTAATGTGATTCCTTTAGTCGGTTGGTTAAAAGCATCGACGGCAGTAACGACCTGGACGGAAGTCAACGAGGTGTCAAAACTAAACGACTCCGAGTAGGAGAAAGAGGCGGCAAAGTTGAGCGCCCCAGGATATTCGCTGAATGGGATATCAAGTGTGTAAGTGACACGGTTCTGTTCGTCAACCTGAGCATTTGTTTGAGATTTTGACAGGTCTTGCGCAATGAAGTCGATCGTCTTCACAAGTTTAGAGCCCGGGGAAAGGTCAAACTCAAAATCAACGGTTTGAGGGCCGGTAATTGAAGACTTCAAGTCGGAAGAAAGGCTAGCGAGAACATTGAAAGTGGACGACTTATCAGTGTTCGATGTGTCGGGCCTTATCGTAAAGATATTTGAAGAGTTTCTGGAGACTGTCCCAACGGACGTCATGTCTTGAACCAGATCAAACGACTCTTCAGGGAACCCTTGCAGACTTTCAGGCGCAGCCAGATACAGCTCGCCGGTGAACCCTGCAGAAACGTAAATTTCGGCTTGCAAGAGAAACCAATGTTCTTTATCAGTTGACGAGCTGGTACCCGTGTAAGAGTCAACGAGACTCACTGTGGAAAAAAATGCAGTTGGTGTGGTTTTTGGCACCGAAGAGACACTTGTGGTGCTAGCATTTGAATACCTGGCGAAAGCCGTGCTAGTTAGACACAGCGTGGCCAAAAACACTTTAACAAACAAAGCCATTGCGTAATGCAAAGTTCTTGATCTTGGGCGGTTGCTGCAAGTGTTGTGTGGTTACAACCGATCCTGGCACATCCCGTTGAGGTCCATCTTTCTCCTCATCTCGCTTTATATAAGACCTCAAACGCACAATGTCTGCATGCCGCGATTGCTCGAAGATCAGCCAATTTGCCGTTTGGAAGCTAAAACTAATTAGATCACACTGCTAGTACAGCCCTCAAAATTATGTTAATTATACCAACCAGCTCGTCCTTTGTCAGTGTGTCGTGCACCAGCCTACATAGGTCCGAGATCAAATTACTGGAAGAAATCCATCCCTAAAACTACTGTCACCGAATAGGATAGGAAATGACGTACAAATTACTGACAATTGGATCCAAACCAAGCTGGTTGTGAGGTATTGGACCGTGAGTTCATCAGGTTTGACTGACCAGCCATGTATATTCTGATGCCATGCTGGTTATAATTTAATTACATTGTGCACTATTGACGAACGACTAGTATTATATACTCGAATTTATTCGAATACAGTGTCAGTGTCACAGTTAAGATTTCCTGATGACTCAGAATATTGGATATGGATAGTTCAACCAGCCGCTGTAATTATTAAATTGTTATTTTGGGGATCATTCTGTCTCGTTTGATCTTTGATCATCTGCAGAGTACTTTTCTTGAAGGCCACCTAATTGAAACGTTGCTTTGAGTTTGAGACGTAGTTCTTAATTATCTTGATGGTAGGTTGATGTGAATGAGACAATCAATGACATAGTTGTGGCAACGCCATATTGTCTCATATCTCAAACGGTTTCCCAATCTTTTGTTGAAGCTTTTGAAATAAGAACATCATGTTGCACGAAAGTTGAGCAGCAGTGCATAGGAACCTATATAATACAATACACGCACTGAATGCTGTAATTCGGCTTTTTTTTGGTACCCTTCGTGACTCAGAACTCGTCATCTCTCTCGATAACCACATCTCTGGCATACTGGGAGCCTCCCCTAGTGTCTTTGGCGGCAGCGGTGTCTTCTTCGACATCACCCAGATCTTCTCGATCGCGCGGAACGTCGTTGACCTGGACGCTTGGGGCAAACTTGGTATTCTCTAGGTTGGCAAAAATACCAGAAAGCACTTTGTCGAGATATTCAGGAGTGTTGACGTTGAACATGTTGGAGGGTCTAACGTCAAGCTGGTAGTCCGGCCCGTAGTACTCGTAATAATCGTTGTAAGGCAAATTCTCGTCCAGAATCACGTTGTTGAGTAGACCAGTCTCGAAAGCCCACGTTCTGGACACATTACGCATTGTGTAGCCACCCCCACCGACGACAAGCATGGGTACCCCAAAAGATTTCATGTAGTTGACGCAATTGGCATGTCCACGCATCGAGAGATTGAAGCACCCTAAGCGGTCGCCCGACAACGAGTCACCGCCACACTGCAAGACCACTGCAGAGGGCTGGTACCATTCCATGATTTTCCCAATGACGGGCTCGAAAACAGACTTGTATGTGGCATCGTCTATACCATCTCGCAGCGGCACGTTGACCGAGTAATATCTACCCTTGGAAACACCAGTGTCTCGTAGCTCTCCTGTACCGGGGAAAAACTCTCCATATTTGTGAAAGGAACAGGTCATGACCCTGTCAGTTGTGTAAAAGGCTTCCTCGACTCCATCACCGTGGTGGACGTCGATATCGATGTAGAGAACCCTTGGGTGGTACCTCAGAAGCTCGATGATTCCCAAAACGATGTCGTTAAGATAACAGAACCCAGAAGCTTCTGATTTCTTCGCATGATGCAACCCGCCGGCGTAGTTGATCGCAACGTCACATTTCCCACGATTCAGTCTCGCAGCGCCCTCCATAGAGCCTCCTCCTGATATACTACAGTACTCGTAAAGCCCGTCGAACACGGGACAGTCGTCACCCACGTTGAATTTAACACTTTCCTTTTGGAACATTTCCAGATTATCGGGTGTTACTCTGGAGAGAAAGTCGATGTACTCGTCAGAATGGAACTGACACATTTCCTGCTTTGTTGCCGGCTTGGCTCTGTAGATCTCCATCTTTTTGTAAAGTCCGTAGTTCATAATCAGGGAGTGCGTCATTCTGATTCTGTGCGGTTTCATGGGATGAGACGACCCGTAGCTGAAGGATCCCACATCGGCATCGTAAAAATAGGCCACTCGGTCTTTCCTCGTGGCTTTTACCGTTAAAGGGTCGAAAGGTTTAGCTTGATACACCATAATCCTTCGTTGGGATGCTAGATATAGTCGATATAGGCGAGAGTGTCTGTAATTGAATCTGCAAGACGATGATCTATTGTATCACTTCTTGAATCGTTTCTTAACCAATTTTCGAGCTGTTTCACTCAAAAAAAAAAGACCAATCGTGATGCTTCTCAACAAGCTTATAGGAATCAAAATAGAAATGCCTGAGAGTGCTTGTCGCCGAAGCTTGGATCCTTTAGGTTTTATAGGACAAGTAATGGTTATGATGAGATACTAAGTTGTGCAATCTATACCTTTAGCCAGGATTTATGAAAACTGAGTTGTGCCGTATTAAACGCTAAAAGAGACTGTCAGTGAGAAAGAACGAATGAGAACGGTAAAGGAAGCTCAGATTTTGAGCGTGGGAGATCACTTTTGATCAGGTCGCAGTAGTAGCTCGTTGATTTGTGCTTTCGTGAAAATCACGGCTATCTTTGGCAGTTTGAAGTCCAACGAACAGTCTGATATTGGAATTGTCGATTTTTGACACTAGGCTACGCCAAAAGAGCGTTTGAGGCCACTTGTATAAAGCCTTTTTGTTCTGTTTTGTTAATAAAAAGGCCATGAAATTTAGGATTTCACTTCTGAGCTTTCGAAATTTGATTTCACTCTCAAATAATGGGCAAGCTCTTCGCGCGACACACTCGGTGTGAGATTCTCCTGCGCTTTCGTGTAGTCATCCATGGTCACAATAACGTTCGAGTCCTCCTCAGTAGCTACGTTGTCGAACCAGTTTCGCACTGATATGGTCTTACCAGTTTCTTTGCAGTATAACTTCACTTTTTCGTCCACTTCCCGTGACGTCCTTGTCATCGCGTTTAGCATCGCGTCCGAGCACAGAGCGTAGAAATCGGCACCAGTGTAGTTGAAAGGACATATTTCGGCCAGCTGTACCAAATCCACGTCTTCGTCCAAAACAAATTTCCTGCTAAGGGCCCGAAGAACATTCTCTTGCTTCTCGTTAGTATCCGGAATACCCAGGTATAGTAGCTTATCGAATCTGCCCGGTCTCAGCAAGGCTTCGTCTAGCAAATCAGGTCTATTTGTTGCGCCAATGACAAAAACACCGTCTCCGCCCGTGCTCATGCCATCGAGCTCGGCGAGAAGTTGAGATACAATCCGATCCATAACACCACCAGAGTCACCCTGGTTACCTCTTTTGGGGGCTACAGAGTCCAGCTCATCGAAGAAGATGACACAGGGTTTGGCATCTCTTGCTTTTTGGAATACCCGACGAACGTTTGCCTCCGATTCTCCGATGTACATGTTCAGTAGTTCTGGTCCTTTGACACTGAAGAAGTTCAATGAGAAGTTAGTGGCGATTGCTTTGGCTAGTAACGTTTTACCTGTGCCAGGAGGTCCGTAGAATAATATCCCACTTCTTTTCTTTAAACCAGAAGAAAACATTTCAGGATGCCTTAGCGGGAGATCTATAGTGTCCATAATATCTCTTTTCACCAACTCCATACCTCCGATATCCGCCCAAGAAACGTTGGGTATTTTTGGAGCGCCAATGGAGTCAGAAAACTCGTCTCGTGCGGATTCGATTGCAGAAAGAAGGTCGACCTCTGGTACCTCTATCAAATGACCTTGCAGAAGGTATTTGTGATCGAAATCCTCGTGCTGTATTATTGCGTTCGACGCTGACAATTTTGCGGCTTGAACGATGGACCTTATGTCACTTGGAGACAAACCAGCCGATCGCTGCGCCAGTTTCGATAAAGAAACATTACTTCCAAGCTTGAATCTTGTGAGTGCTCCAGAATAATAATTGAGCTGATAGTCATCCAAGTACCACCGGAAGATGTCTCGTCTTTGAGATTCAGTCGGCACAGGAACCTCAATGGAAAACTGCATTTTTGAAAGCACTGCGTCTGGAAGGCCACTAGCTTCATGAACTGAGACTACAAAGGTTGCTCCCTGTGACGTACAGTATTCAATCAAGGCCGCCAATTCTAGCGCTAATGATCTGTTCAGCCTTGAGCTACCAGGATCTTGTTGCTCATCCTCTTTGTGAGCTAGAGAATCTAGGTGAGATAGAAAGACTATCGAGGGCGCGACAAATGGCAATAGAGGTTCTAGCTTAGCTTTCATATAGCCAATTGTCTTGTTCATGGCTTCCAAAGACCCCTGTGCGGAGTTGATGGAAAGACAATCAAGCTCAATGAGATGCACACCTAGTCTTTGTGCAGCAGACCTCACTAGAGTGCTCTTTCCGACACCTGCGGTTGCCGACTGGAGGACAACCGAAATAGGAATTGAGCGCTCCTGCTCCCGGAGTTTTACTCCAACTTTTACGATATCAACGAACCGCTTGAAATAATCAAAGACCGCGGAGTTGTACTCGAAAACAGGGGGAAGTCCATAGTACGTCAAATAATTGCACTGAAAAAGCGAGAGCGGTGCATCCGAAACTAAACTTTGCGTGAGGAGGGTGGTTTTTTTACTATCAATTTTAAATTCCTCACCATAAACTGAGTTCTCTTCCAGCTCGACCATTTCAACTCTAAAATATACAATGGAGTCATCTTGACCAGTCAAATCCAGATCGGTATTTGCATCCGAGTAAAATAACGATAACTTGGAATCAAAAGTTATGGGGAGCAGGTCACCCTCTTTCACGATGCGTTGTCGCTGCGTGAGAAAGGTTGTTAGATTTTTTGATACTAGATTCTCAAAAAGCTTTTGGCAGTTATTCCACGAACCGACTCTTGTTAAAGAGACCGAGGATGCCACTGGAAGCTTCTTAGTTGAAAACACGCATTTTTGGATGTTGATATATTCAGCACCCCTGAAGAGAGCCATAAGACGTGGCCCAGCGTAGATCGTGTCTGGCTGAAAGTCGTGAGGCGCCAGGAACACCATAACTTTCGCTTTTTTTGTTCGGTTTTCGTGGGCCAAAGTGACGAAAGAACCACTGCTTAACCCAAGACCCAACAATGTAGATGCGTCCCCAAACACAAAAAGAGACTCGTCTTCGCTTTTCGAACAGAGCGGACGCAGGAGGTCGGGATGCACGGGAGTCGAAAGAGGCCTCAAGCGAAGGTTTTGTATTTCGCCGTTGCCCAATGTCAAATCTGCGGTTTTGGCAGAGAGGGAATCTGCAGGTGCATTTAAAAGCCCTTCGTCTTTGATGAAAACGACGCTCGTAGACTCGGTGTCGATTAGACCCTGGCAGTAAGGACCACAACCCAATACACTGCACCAACCTTCTAACAGCATATCATCGAGATGGACTACAGACGTCGAATCAAGACCAGTTTTTAACATCACGAACTGCAGCCTGTCTCGAGGATTTTCCAGCTCCATGAGCCGGTCGTAAAGGGTTGGGTGAGTGGAAATGGTGAGATCACCAAGTACTGGAATTGTGCCTTTGTAGGGCCAGATTTCGCAAATGTCCACTGTTGGCTGCCCTTTTGAAACTCCGAAAAGCCTGGACGGCAGTTCGATGCACTCAGATTTTAGATTACGATCTAGTTTGCACTTGACTAGCTTGGATCGCTGGTAGCGTTTGTACCCTGTGATCAGAACACTGATCCAAACGGTTTCCGATGCAACATCGTTTCCATTCATTAAATGAGCATCAGGGCCCTTCACCTGCTGGAAAAGGTCGCTTGAAATACAGCAATCTTTCCGTATATCAAACGTAAAGCTAACGTGGGCTTTAATCGTCTCATTATCCACATTGCCTAGCATACAGACGAGCCTTTTGAAGTGACTGTGGCGTATACATATTAGGTTCAAATTAATATACATCTAAATGATGTAATGTATGTACTGTTAGCTCCACTATGAACAACATTATAGCAGCGATCTTGGGATTCCAGTCGTACGAAACTACAAAATTATTATGACACCTTGTAAGTGAAAGCTTTCAATACTTCTCGTCGATTGTTTGGTTCGGGTTGATGAGAGTACGTGTAGTGTACTTCAAATCGTTCAGCGTTGCTTCAACCTGGTGATGTGAGTGATCTTGTAAGGTTTGAATGATAAATGCCACATGTTGTCATCTCACACGACTGTATACAAACTACAAGTGACAGCATTCCACCAGCACACCCGTATGTGCCATGTTGTCTGCTCGAGGTTCTGAATATGATAAGCTAGTTGTTGTCGAGCTTGGGGGAAATGCTTTTAGCGGAAAATGTTTGTCTTTACAGTCACACTAGTTACACTTTGCTACAAATCCCGTAGCGTTCACAGGACACCGGGCGTGCTATTAAGAGATGCCGGGTTTTGAAGAGTAATTGACTGTGGCTATGTATTTCTCTCTATTTTTCTGTTTTTGTTCTATTATTATTAGGCAGCTAGCACCAATGTCACTTATTACTTTGAGATGCTCAAATCTGTGACGCGCTGAGAAACGGCCTCCGATGACTGATGTTGTTTATAGAATATGAATTGAACGATATTTTCTAATGGTCTCAGCACATAAGCTTGTTTTCGATCCCGAAAATACGATTTTATACTGTCTATGCTGGCATCGATAAACGATCAACATGGACTCACGATGGATTTCTTGTGCAAGAGAGGAAACCCAATGTAAGCTCGATTTGCCAAACTACCAGGCAATGTTTTTTCAAAAAAATGGCGCATTGACATCTTAGCGCAAACCTTTGAAGTCTAATTTAGGTGATGCTGTTTTTGATCTGCCGTGGGTGCAGGATGATTACCTCGCTGCCAGCTGGTGACGATAGAACACAATGACTTGTATTCGCCTGCGTGTGTAAGCTTTTAGCTTTCTCGATTATGTCTTCATTTTCGCAACATGATGCTCTGACTCAGCACATCGCGAGCTTCATTCACTTTCATGGCTAGGAAGGGACTGCCCCCTCGGTCTGGATGATTGTGCAACATAGCTTTGCGATGCTTGCGCTTGATCAATTCGATGTCGAGTCTTTGTATTTCGTTTCCGTCAATGCCAAGAATCAATAGCGCCTCTGACTCTTTCATTTTGAGATTAAAACCTCCACTGTATTGGCTTAGTCGTGATTTGAGCTGTGGGCTCAAATTGCCATACCGCAGAGAGCTTTGTCGTTGGAACCGGGCCTCTGAAACAGATATTCGCAGTCCGTTCAGTTGTGCTATCATCAGGGGCGTGAGTCTTTTATAAATGTCCCAGGCACGTAATCCAGATCGTACTGTTAAGGCTGCTGCAGTCACTCCGAGACCAACGATAATCGGAAGAACCATGGTTCTGGCACTTCTGAGTTGCTGAACAAGAAAGGTTCCGTTTTAATGGCAAAGTTGAGACTAGCTACCGCCTAAATCTTTGGATTTCTTGTTGACGTCTGTGGCCAGTAATTTATATTTCCTAGAGTTCATGATGGCCATAACTTCACTATAATTAAAACTTGAAAACAAAGAACATAAGTCGATAAAACTTACGCTGATACCAAGCTTTTGTTAGATAGATTTGCTGGACGAGGCTTCTATTGATTTACGATGAGAATCCTGTTGTACAACGAATGAATACCGTTGAAATGATTTCGAGTTAGAGAAGAAATCCGGTTTTGAGCGAACGACCTAGAAAAACAAATGCAAGTGATGCTACAGAAGACGGAAGAGGAAGCTTTACTACAAATATGCGAAGTGCTCAGTTCCGGGTTCGGTATATGACGCCGATCCCACTTACTATGGGAATTGTTATATGGATAAAATGATCGCGCGGCACGAAAACGCTTCCTTTCACTCATGTTTGCCAAGCGGTGAAATATATGTAACTTACTAAGGCGTAACTCTTTGGCAGTGAACGCTACACAGTGCTTAAAAGCTCTAGAGATCAATTTTCTTCCAAATTTGTCACTTTTAGCTGTCTTTAATTCTCGTTCTTGAATTCAGCTATTGCCTGCGAACGAAAGCGTTACCAGAGGCTATGGTAAAGCCAATACCAGAGCCACCACTCAACATAATTGATTCCAGAAGTGGCCAAAATCGAAGGTACGGCGGAACTTTCTACTATATAGTTGATATACTTCACTTCGTATAAGGTTACATAAATGCTGCGTAAGTTACTTGAACTATATCGAATAGATCGAAATCTAGCACCATTTCATCACCAAGTTCGTATCCTATAGCCAGTCATAGAGCGAGGTTTTCTGACTATCAATTCTATATCAATACCGCATTCAAAAATATGGCCGTTAAAGGTTTGGGTCAACCTGACAAAAAGTATGATGGTACTGGCATCAAGGTTTGTATTGTACACGCCAGATGGAACAGACAGGTCATCGATGCGCTTGTCAAAGGTGCTATTGACAAAATGCTAAGTCTGGGTGTTAAAGAAGAAGACATTTTTGTCGAGACTGTTCCTGGATCGTTCGAACTTCCTTTTGCTACGAAAAAGCTGTGTGAAAACGGTAAGTTTAACGTGGTCATTCCTATTGGCGTGTTAATCAAAGGCAGTACCATGCATTTCGAGTATATCTCTGACGCCACGACTCAGGCTTTGATGCGTCTTCAGGAATCAATTAACATTCCTGTAATTTTCGGCTTGCTAACCTGTTTGACCGAAGAACAAGCCCTGGCCAGAGCGGGATTGGACGAGGCCAAATCAATGCACAACCATGGCGAAGACTGGGGTGCCGCAGCCGTCGAGATGGCTGTGAAGTTTTAGTCACGCCAGAAAGCCTGAATCTGGTATCTCGAAATGAAAGTTCCAGAGAAAAATGACGACTCTATCTACATTAGTGACCACACTACATATAAAGCAACCTACACCAGAAGTCCATTCCCATTAGACTTCGAGTTTTTCTTACGGTACTGCCTTACGGCGTCTCTCTTTCTACGTTTCATCTCTTTAGTCCAAGTGGCGCGGTTTTCCCAGAACTCATTATCCCAATCTGCAAACAGTTTATCAAGCTCATTCGAGGTCTTGAGTTTAGCCAGTTGAGACTGAGAATGCAAGAAGGGCGATGCAAAGTGGGGGAAGAAAAGACCTTTCGTCGTGTTTTGGGACTCGATATTCTGTGACTCGACAGCTATGTCTTCGAAAACAGACCGAGCCGGTGCTTCGGGCTCGTGAACTGCTTTATTAACATCGATATCTTCGTTCGGTTCCCGCATTAATTTAAAATTCGCTGTTTCCGCATCTTCAGGATTGAACAATGACCGTAGATTCTCAGTGTTGTTAGTTTCAGGATTTGAAGGCTCAATGCCAAATGTCGGAACGAGTTCATTGTTCATGCCCTTTTTTCCTTCGAAATTGAAAGTGAACTCCTCCTTTGCCTGGCTCTCTGGTTCTGCGGGCGTTTCCTCAGTTTTCGGTATATCTTTTTGCTGATCTGTCGGTTGTAGGACCTTCTCGCGTGCCGCATCGCGATAGAGTGCGCTGAATTCATAATCAGACGAATCGCTTATATCTTCGTCCTCGTTTTCTTGGAGCACCATAGGTTTATCGAAGTCGAAGCCGCCCAGGATGTCGTCTAAAACGTCGCGTGTCTTGTCAAGCGGAACCTCCTGATCTTCACGATCTGTAGAGCCGCTGTCACGGCTTCGAAGTAGTTCTTCTGGCCGTTGGTGCTTGCTCCACGAAGACGCACGAGAGTAGTCGAGCTTATCGACGATATGATCGTTGCCATCTCTCCAATGGCGACGATCTGTGAACCGGGCAACAAGATCACGCGGCTGTTTGTTACGTTCGTAACCCCACAGCTTATTTTTGAAGCACTTGTAAACTTTCAAGCGGCCATCCTGCAAAATTCGAAAAGTGGCATTTCGCAGTTGCGATTTTGGTCTCACGCTTTCACGCATTCTGCCCTGGATAGTTTGCTGTCGGTCGATCCAGTTCATTTGGATGTTTTCGATTTTCTTGTGGTACTCCCATTGCTGCTTCAACAGTTGTTTTTGTTTCTCAGCATTGATTCGATTTTCGTCTTCTTGCTCGGATTCCCGTTGTTCTCGCCAGCTAGGTTTTGCCAGATCTATCCGAAGCACATTACGCTTGAACCTCACCCCGTTGAGACTGTTCTTAAGTTTCAGAAATGCGCTCTCATCGGTAAATTCCATGGTAATATAAGCGAAATGACCATGGCTCTCGAAAGTCTCAGACAGACAGCGTCCAAAACGGTCGAAACGCGGTTTCAACTCGACCAAAGTGTCGACGTGATCCTCAACGACATTCCCAACATAAACCCTTTGGACTATAGTCATGTCGTTTGGACGTATGGTTGCGGATTGAACTGGGAGTGAACTATGTTTGTAGCTCATCGCGGCGATGATGATGATGATGATGATGACTGACGCTGCCGAATTTTTCAGTAGTAAGAGTCACCATATACGAGGACAGTCAAAACAAACCATTATAAGGCCAACGGTGATCGAAATGACAGACTTAGTGGTATTAGCAATTGTTCTAGGAGTTGCGCTCCACCTGTACTTGGGGGTCCCTTAGTGGTGTTTAATCAACATCTATGAAAGCGGTTTTCGTTCGAGCTCAGATGATGGCCGCGATTGAGGGTTGAAAATTAGCTAAAAAAGTTAAACATTGTAATAATTTTTTTGGCGTGTTGACGACCCACCTGGCTCAAAACTAGTACGATATATAGCGACACTCAGATACACAGTCCAGCTTGCTTTCGTGGTTTCCTTCCTCTTTGGTTTTGACGTCTCTCATAATGTTCCTACATTCATATCATGTGACACATAACATTTTATACCAATGAGTCGCATTGCTCAATGACACATTTCAACCGAGCTTTAAAGCGAGCTCCAAAACGTTTGCCCATGGGGATGGAGCCTCATAAAATTCTAAAAATCCAATATCCAAGGTCTGCGTTAAGCTTTTAACATCTATTCTTGAAGTTTCAAATATATTTATTTTTTGGTAAATCTCATCTCGTCTTTATACTCTACTTATATTGAGATATATTATTTGTGAGCATTAGCTCGATAAAAGCCGTGAAATTCGGCAACAATAAGAGATCTACAATCGAAAATTTGATTCAATTGAAGCACTCAATTCAACCATGACAAATGGTCTCCTTTATATAAGTCCTCGTATCCTCATATTTCTCATTTCAATGTGAGATGATGGTAATAAAACAAGCCATTAACGTAATAACAGATGTACAAAAATCACAGATCACAGGCGGGCGTGAATTAAGCAATAAGAAACTACAGACCGGACCTCAATGCCATCAGAAAAACACCCAACAATGCTTCAAAATCGATCCAAAATCGGGTTTTCTACTCAATAATATAGACGGTTACCCGGCTAAATATTTTTTCAATGATTAAATGTGATTTTAAGAGTTACTACACTGTTGTGCATTTAAAGCTTCAATCAAGTAACCAGCTACTTAAACAGTTACCCAAGGTTTTTAGACCGGTGGGAACGAGTTATCGTGACTTTTGTTAAGCCCAGGATGGATTCCGAAGTCTTGAATGGTGAGTATCCAAACGTAAAATGGAATACGTCGTTAGATATTCCACTGAAAGATTCCGAAGAAGTGGTCAGCATTGACCTGGTTAACGATCTGCCGGAGGATCCTAGTGACTTGAAAACGCTGCTAGTGGAGGAGAACTCGGACAAAGAGCATTGGCTAACAATTGCTATCGCTTACAGCCAGCGTGGACTGCTAAAGGAGTGTATAAGCCTCGTGCAAATGGCATTGGAGGTTTTCCAGGGACCACAATCGGCTGCACTGCATACATGCTTAACATGGGCCTTTTTGAAGCAAGCCAAAAAGCAATTAATGGACTACAGCGATCGGGATAGCAGTTTGGTACAAGCAGAACACCATCTCAAAGAGGCAATTGGTTACGATCCTTCTGGTGTTGGGAACATGCTGGCTACGATCGACCTGTACTACCAGAGGCGTCAGTATGACAAAGCGCTAGAGACTTCCGAGCTCTTTTTACGCGGAATCCACGCAGAAGATCAGCGTCTCGGCCGTCTGTCAAAGCCCAACGTTCTCTTTCTCTTGGTAAGAGCCAAACTTTTCTATCAGAAAAAAAACTATACCGTGAGTTTAAGGCTTTTCCAAGAATTGCTGGTTTTGAACCCTGTTTTGAAGCCTGACTCCAGAATTGGGATCGGGATGTGCTTCTGGCAGCTAAAAGACTATGAAATGGCTCTTCGTGCTTGGAAACGTAGTTTAAAACTGGCACCTGAAAACCCCAACGTCAAAATTTTACTTCTACTGGGCGAGTTCCATATGGCCTTGTCTAATTCAGAGGATGACGAGTCTTTCAAAAAACAATTTACTGCTGCATTGGAGCAACTGGGTAAGCTCATGTCGTCAAATAAGCAAAATCCCGTCCTTTTAGTGCTTTGTCAGACCTACTGTTATTTGAAATTCGATTTTGAAAAGGTTATAGAGATCCACGAAAAACAAATTGCTCCATTTGCGTCTGGTTACTCTAATACTGTGGTGTCGGAATCTGCTTTCTGGTGTGGAAGAGCTTATTATGCCCTTAATGAACCTCGTAAAGCATTTCTCTTATTCCAGGAGAGTCTCAAGTCTGACGAGGACAATTTTCTGGCACGTTTCGGGCTCGGCCAAACGCAAATAAAGAACAATCTCATCGAAGAAAGTATTCTAACCTTCGAGAACCTTTACGCAACACACGAGAACATCCAGGAAATCAATTACACTTTGGGTCTTCTACATGGAGCCAAATGCTTAGACTCAAAAACTTGGAATTCAACGGCACCAGCTGAAAGAAACAAGTTGCTACAGAAATCAATCGATTACCTCGAAAAGTACATCAAACTAACCAAAGCTAAAAGGAATCAAATCGTTGTTGTGAGGGCTTACCTTATGTTGTCAGAACTATATCAGCTGCAAAATGAATACAAGACATCTCTGGAAGTACTCTCCCGTGCTATCGATCAGCTGCAGGCTGGCAGCGAAAACGTCGTTCCAATCGAAATTTACAATAATCTTGGATGTTTACATTTCATTAACGGGGATCGGGACGAGGCTCACAAGTATTTTGAGCAAGCTTCCAAATTGGCTCACAGTGCTAAGGAAGAACCGGCATCCATTACTATCCAGTTCAATAGCTCGAGAGTTTTCGAATATGCAGACCCTGAAAAAGCACTTCACAGCTATGAAAATCTCTTGGCAGCACACCCCAGCTACATCCACGCCAAGATAAGGTATTTGTATCTTATGGTCATGAAATCCAAGAGTGAAAAACTTGACAGCCAGGCCGACGAATTGTTAGAGCAACATCCCTCAGACCTCGACGCTCGTTCATTCTACACTTGGTTTCTGAAAAACGGATCGACGCAAAAGAAAAGTGAAAAGACTGAGGGCTTGGAAACCAATCACAATCGTGATACCCTTACGAAGTATGACTCGCACGACTCTTACGCTCTGCTTTCTCTTGCTAATCTATATGTTATTATTGCAAGAGAATCCAAAAAGCTACCATCAGCCAAAGAACAAGATAAGTCTAGGCAATCTTTTATGAAAGCGATTCAACTTCTACAGAAGGTTTTGCAAGTGGATCCGTTCAACATTTTCGCAGCCCAGGGCTTGGCTATCATATACGCCGAAAACAAGAGGTTCGGGCCCTGCCTTGAAATTCTAAGAAAAGTTAGAGATTCTCTGAATAATGAATCTGTTCACATAAACTTAGGTCACTGCTTGTTGGAAATGCAGGAACATTCTAAGGCAATCGAGAATTATGAGATCGCGCTGAAGCAGTTCACGAATGAAACTTCAAGGCCTTTGTTACTAAACTTGCTTGGCCGCGCTTGGTATTCTCGTGGTGTGAAGGAAAAGTCTCTAGAGTGCTACGAAAAGTCTCTGGAATATGCCCAAGAAGCTTTGGCAGCTGAACAGCAAAAGGAAAATTCCACAATGCTTCAAAGCATTATGTTCAACGTGGCGCTGCTCCACTTTCAGGTGGCCGAAACGCTTCGTAGAACTTTGTCCAACGCGAGAACGCTGGACCAACTCGAGAATGCTACAAAAGGCTTGAAAACTGCCTCCAATCTGTTGAAACAACTGATAGATCAAGGTACTACCATTATGCCTATTGATGAACTAGATCAACGTTTGCAGCTAAGTGATACTACGATGAAGACTGCTCTTGAGAGGTGTATTACTGAACAAAAAGACCACGAAGCTGAAGTTGCCGAAAAATTGGCAAATGCAAGAAAAGCTTTTGAGGAAGGAGAAGTCAAGGAACGGGAGCAACGTATGCGTCTAGAGCAGCAGGAGCGTGAACGTATCGCCAAACAAACTGAAGAGTATAACAAGCTCCAAGAAGAGGCGCGCAAGCTGATGGATGAACGCTCAGAAATGGATTCTTTGGAGCATGTCAAAGAGTCTAATCCTCCGCTGAGCGGGGATGAGGAGTTCCAAGAAAATGGTGACGGGAAGAAGAAAAAGAGAGCGAAGCGTACGAAAAAAGCTGAAGACGGGAAAGCCGCTTCCAAAAAAAGAGGAAGACTAAGAGAATGGTTGTCGATGACGAAGATGAAAACGACAACGAGGACAAATTGTCTGGTGGGGCAGAAGAAGCGAAGCCCGGCAGAAAAGGCAAATCGAGATACCTCTCGAAAGAATTCATTGATGACAGTGATGAAGAGGATGAGGGGCTTGTTGACGACGAAAAATCCGCCCAGCCTACTCCCACTAACAGCGATGTCGACGATGGAGATGATGAAGAGGAAGGTCTTTTCTAAGCTTCAAAGAAGCCTGATCTACCGCCTGTATATAAACGAAACGTTAAATATTAGTTTTGTATTATAAATGACATGCACTGAAGATTGAAGGCACTCAGACCTGGCCTCATCTTTGAACCAACCACTTTTTCATATCCTTGCAACTCTCGTGGCTATCTCTATAGATTCTTTTCTCGAATTCGTCAAGCGTCAGCATGAACGTGCTTACGTCCCGGCCCTGAGCCAGCTCTTCCAAATCGATGCTCGCAGCGTGATTGCGAATCTCCTGACTCCTCTCGAGCAACATATAATTCAGAACTTCGACCAAGTCACGGTCATTGAAAAGAGTGGCCCACTTGATGGCGAGGGCGTAGAAATGCGAGTTGATGGAATGGACATCTAGTGTTGCGGGACCTGACTTGATCGCGTTGATAACTCTTGGTGCTAGCAGCTCAGGGGCCATTAGCTCGACGAAGGGAAAAGCCTCATCGTCGTCAACACTTGAAAGCCCGGGATCGCCTCCTACAATGGCTAGAATTCGAGCTAACCACAGTGGGAGCTCAACTTTTGCATTTTTTTTAATGTCTTTGCCGATGTTACCTTCTAGATACCCAAGACCTGGGATGTCGTAGTTGAAGCGGCACGGGAACTTCGTAGCATCTGCCAGAATGTCGTCGATATCATAGTAGCTCATTTTAGCATGGCCAAGAAGCGCTCGATCGATAAGTTGCTGGTGTTTATGAGGAAGGTCTAAATCTTTAACTTTCAAACACGAAACGTGTTTTAATCTTCGTGTTTTTGAACTTTTGAGAAAACGGTGGTCGGGTACCGAAGAGAGCTGATTTTAAGCTGTGGTAACCTCTAAGACCACGTTCTTGAGTGTGTTGGTGATTGAGTAGTCTCATTAGAGTAGTAGCCTGACGGGTCTGCCTTCTTTCACGACCATCACCGAACGCGTGAGAGAAACTACGAGACAAGCAGATTGATGAATGGGTAGGAAGATGGGTGGCAATTGGTGCTGAGTAGACGATATATAAAGAGCTTACAGCATTGGCTAAAAGCTCAAAATGCTAGTTTTTCTGCGACGCGGTATTGCTGTCTCTGACCACTTGAGAAATTAAAATGAGGTGAGCATTTGAAGAATGATGCTACGTAACATTTTCCCGTAATTTCAATTCCGTAGTGGTGGACTGAAAATTACGAATCCTGTCTTTTTACTTTGAGATCAGCAACGGACTCGCTTCTGTCATCGCCAATACTCTAGCTCATAACCGGAATAAAGCTGTAAAGTTGTGATTAGAAAATCTCAAAATGCTACATCATATGCAAATTACAGCGAAAGAGCTGTGCTGGCAGCGTTCTAACTCATTACACTATTGTATACAATGTTGCAACCGACTTTCAACTTTCGGGTAAACTTATTTATGGACGTTGCGATGGGTCTAAATTTCTAGATTTCCAGTTCAAAATAGAGACCGAAGAGCCAAAAGAGAAGATACCCCCCACCTTGAACCAGTCTCAGCAGTCTCATCGTCCTGTCTTCAGCTTGTTTCCTTATAAACCCTTCCATATCACTTTGTTTCTTCATGACATTTTGTTATATATCCTGATTAGCTTGTTCTCAGCATTAATATATAAAGGTGGGGGATAATGCCATATTCAGAATTTCGTGATGCTCTTTTCAAGAAACGATTCAAACGCGACAAAGTAAGTCAAAAACAGTTTCAGCACCGCTCTAAGCCATTGATACTGACATTATCAGCTTTGAATACAAGAAAAGCATCTATTGCCCTTTTTTAGAGTTCGAATCGCTTGATTTTAGCACTTTTTAGTAAGAACAAAAACTCCGAATCATGGTGTGCGACACCTTGGTCTATCATCCCTCTATCACCAGGCTTGTGAGCCTTTTGGACACCAGTGCTGGCAGAGAGAAGGTGCTGCGTTTGTTGCAGTATCTGTGCCGATTTTTGGGATACCAATACTCGTCAATCCTGGCCAAAAAGCTTCAGATGGAGTTCACGACAGTGCGAAAGATACTACGGTTCCTAAAACCCCTGAACCATCTCCAATTGGCGTCCAAATTCTACGACAACAAGATCTCCAACGACAACGTGGTACGCTGGTGCAACGTGCTCAAGAACCTGGCGTACGCAGGATATCTGGGCCTGGACCAGATCAACTTGCTGCGCATCCTGAAACTGTTGCCCGTGACTAAAGTCACCGGGGTCCAGGTACCACGCTGGGCCAATTGGTGCTGGTTTGCCGGACTGGTCAGCGGCCTTGTTTTGGACTTGCGAAAGCTACAAGTATCGCAGGACCGCATCAAACTTCTGATCACTGACCACGAAGAGAAGGAATCCGCCGCTGTGCAGCTCGCCAAGCTTTATGAGGAGCGCGCCGCGGCGCTCAAGAGACTACTCTGGGATAGTCTCGATACCTTTATCGTGTTGAACAATTTGCAGTTCTTGAAGTCGCCTGACGGGTCGATCGGCTTGGCCGGAGTTGCGACCTCTCTGTTCGGACTACAAGGTCTATGGGAGGCCGCCTGAATCGCATGGCACTAGAGGTGCTGGTATAAATTTGAACACATGGGGAAATGACTGGGCTTGATGGTCCACAGCTTTGATGATAACAATATTTGCCGACTTGTTGCTGGAACTTTATAGTTTGCGTATCGAGTGATAATCTTAGCTAGATCGTCTAATTGAAAGATAGGTAGAGAGATGAGCTCCAAGACGAAGGACATTCATTGTTAGACCGACAATTCTTGGCGCCCAAGCAGCTATTGTATTAAGCTCTGGTCGATTGCATTGTACTCCTAATTGTCTAGCAATATACAATGAACGAAGTCGGGCTGGGTGTTTCCGTCAATAGCGCTGGAGCTACGACTAGTGACGTTTCCACCAACAGTTATGGGCAAGGGAATTTTGGGTCAGGAATGAGAAGTGGTAGCGGTAATCCAGTAATGGGAACTCACGGAGGGATGGCCAGTCAACAGCAGATGTTACAATTCCAGCAGCAACAACAACAACAACAGCAGCAGCAACAACAACAACAGCAGCAACAACAGCGTCTATTAATGCAGCAAAAACTGCGACAGCAACAGCAACAGCAAGCACAGCAAAACTACGAGAACCAGTTTTATCAGTTTCTCATGACTGTCAACAAGAAGCCCAAACGGCTGTACAATTTTGCCGAAGACACAGATGCCATTCTGAAAAAATACGAACAGTTTCGTCCCAGCTTTGAGTTCCACATTTACGAAAACAATTACAAAATCTGCGCACCCGCTAATACCCGGCTCCAGCAGCAGCAGAGAATGCCTCAGGCGACCAGCGATGGTCTCATTTTGAACAAGAACAACGAAACTTTGAAAGAATTCCTCGAATATGTGGCTCGTGGCAGTATTCCAGAAGCGATAATGGAGGTTTTGAAAGACTGTAACATTCAGTTCTACGAAGGAAATCTAATTTTACAGGTTTACGACCATACCAACACAGTAGACGTCAAACAAACGCAGAAAACGGTATCTAATCAATCTCAAGCGAACAGCACTGCCAATTCGGACCAAGCAGAAACCTCAGATGCCAAAGAACCTGCAAAAGGTGCGTCAGCTCAAACGCCTGGACAAGAGTCGCAGGGAGGGCCACCTAGTCAACATAGTTTGAATTCTGACTCTCCTGCTACGCCTGGTCTGCTAAATACCAGACCTAACAACGGACAGGGGGCCAAAGACGGTTCTGAAGACAAGACCAACAAGGATGTTGTTGCCACTTTCAAGCGACCAAGAGTGTATCGTACTTTGCTGCGACCCAGTAGTTTGACCCACTATTACGACATGATGTCCTATGCCGATCACACGCGATTTTCCGACAACATATATCAGCAACTTGAGTCCGAGATTCTAACCTTGACGAAGCGTAATCTTAAGCTCGATGTCCCGCTGAACCCTTTCGACCACAGAGATAGATTGGACGATGCCGAGTTCTTGCCAAGCGAAGTGCACACGCACCGTGAAATGACCACGAGAAAAGGAACGAAAGGCCAGGTTGGACGCGTTGAACTTCACGAGGAGTCACCTCAGCACAGTTCCAGTTATGAGCAAATGATGTTAATAATGAGCGAAAGAACGAGCACGACAACAATGTCCACAATTGCCGCATCTTTGGCAAAGAATGCTGCTGATCTAACGAGCACATCGCTCAAGAGCGGCGGAGGGAAAGGTACCTCCGCCGTATCGAGTACACCGGGGAGAGGAAGCGGAAGCAATTCGGTGGCTGCAGCGGCTGTTGCAGCAGCAGCAGCTGTGGGATCCAGTAGTAATGACAACAACCAATTCGGTAGATTGAAGTTTGTTGAGCAGTGGCGAGCCAACAAGGAAAAGAGAAAGCAGCAAGCGATGAACGCTAATATCGCACCGACCACCTACAACCAAAGGATATCCATGTCTGCGCCTTTAACCGCGCAACAAATCAAACAGCAGCAACAACAGCAACAACAAAAACAAACAGTGGAGCAAAAGGCCAATAATAAAAGGGTGGGTGATGATGACAAGAACAAACCCAAGAAACAGCGGAAGACAACTAAAAAGTCCACGCCGGCGGCCAGTGCCGACACATCCAAAAAGAAGAAGACAACAAAGGCCAAAAGGTAATAGAGGTCGTCTGGTATTACTGATATCTGGTGTTTGTTTATGTAAATCTCCGCATAGCAGCTTTTCATTACGTGAAGGACGTTTTCGGCTCATTTTCGAGTAAATACTTGATCAGCTCGTACACACTTTTGCGGTCTGGAACCGTGTGTATCCAAATGCCAAAAACTTCGTGTCGTAGGTTTTTTATAATCACCAAGTCGTCCTTGACTTCGACTTTCATACATTCTAGCGGTTGTTGCTCGTCCTCCTCAGGAGCGAAGAGCCTGCGTTTATTGATAACACTGTTGGGAGCGATCCCTATGGAAAAGTTTTCAGGGTTCATCCGGTTGAGCAATATCAGCCCGTAGTTGTATATATCGCGACCTTTCAGCACCTCCACATTATGTTCTGGACCATTAGGGCGACCGGGAAGTGCGAGGATAGATCTTTCTTCCTCTGTTTCTTCTTGTAAGATGTCGTCAGCCTGTTTAATATCTCTCAAGTAAATGGCTAGCACCCCTTGGTACTCCAAGCGCACCCATTCGTCTTTGTTGAAGTCCCACTTATATACGGAAGCATGAGGTGTGTGAAATAAAAGCTGTTTGATCTTGGGATCGTATCTTCCTATGACGTTGAAGTTGAGCGCCTTACGGTAAAACTCTAATGTCATATCGGGGGAGACTCCTTCTACAACTGAAACCATGTTTGATGTGAGATTTCGGGGGTGTTTGTACGGTGTTTAAGCGTTCGATTATGATTAAAGAGCTGATATTTAATTTTCTGATGATAGCTTCTTGAATTTTCGAAGTTCCACTATACTGGCTTCAACGACAACAGAAGGGATAAAACTGTCGATTGAATCTTTATGACAACTATCGATGCATTTTCAAATACAAAATCTTGTGATCGAGTAAGGCGGACGACAACTTGACTTTTCAATAATATAACGATTAACTAAAAAGTCGAGCGGGTGCTTGACACAATTGCTTGATGAAAGCAGTCATACTTGTAGAAAAATATGCACCGAAAGTGATAGATACTTTTTGCCTTCGAGTTGAGTCTTTATATTATTTTAAAGGCTTCTGTCGTCTGGAAGATCCGATCAAAAGGCGCTGTTCAATCCCTGCAAAAATCGTTTTATGATTTTCTGCTTTCATAAGAAGGCCCCAAAACACTATCGGTTGAAACAGTGTACTTGAATTAGTTCTTACAATAGTTGATGGTCGAGAAACCACGTTATGTGTCCCAAATCTTTTGCTTGTTCCGCAACGCTGACTCAATTTCGAGATTAATGTAATTAACTTCGCCCAAATAGATTAATTTTCCAAGGATGAAACCGATCTGTCATCACCACCTGGCGCTCCGTACCTACTGAGAACTGTCTTCTCTAAGCAAAGTGTGATTAGTTTATTATTTGTGGAAAATTTCTGAACGACTGAAACACTGAAAAAGCCATATCACGATCCATGCACGCACCACTATCCACTGTCACTCAAACAAATCACACCACGCTGCTACTCGTATTGCAAGACGGCACTAGTCTTCGTTCTTTTAAAGGCAGTTTACGACTAACATTGGGCTAAACCAGCTGATGATATTTTATCACTTTATACTACTCTGTCGCCGAATAGTACTGACAGAGAGATTTTTGGTCCTTGAAAACTGGCAAATACAGATCGCTTGAAGAATGTATGAATACTTAAGCCCTCCTCACCCAAAACGCCATCGTCCACCACCACGTAAAAGGTTCAATCACTGCTACAAGACATGCAATACACTCATAATCGTGAGTGTCTTTGGATGTATATCATCAAATACGAGTGCGACACTTTGATATAGTGTTATTCACAGTAAGCATTAAAATAAATGCCACGACGACCCACCCACCTAGTTTTGAACCTGGCGCAGCCAAATGAAAAATTGTACCCCCTCCCATTATTATCAGCCCACAGTATGAATCAGAAGTCATAAAACTCGTTTAGTCGATTTAATGGCCTGGTTTTATGGATCGAAAAGTATTATTTTTTTTTTTCTCTCAGTTCGGCTTAGATAAGCCAGGGTCTCGAGCAGGACATGCAAATAGCGATGAGATGTACATATACCAGTCGCCAGCACCACAATGATTACCTTTATGATTGTCAATATCAATCCTGGCTATAGTTAATTCGAGACAATCAAGAGCACTAAATCTGGGGAAACTTTTGGGTGCGTGTAATTAAAAATGGTCGAGCCTATTTTATCCCAAGGCTATGGTTACGGTTTCGCACTGGGCGTAGGATCTGGGTTTGCCATTTTGATGGTCACTATTTCAAAGCTGCTGTCGAAATTCATGGGTCAGGTCCAAAATTCCGAAAGGTTTTCGACGGCTTCCAGAAATGTTAGTTCTGGGCTAATTGCTTCATCTACAGTTTCCGCATGGACATGGCCTGCAACTCTGCTGCTGTCGGGGACTTGGTCCTACGTCTATGGTGTAAGCGGAGCGTGGCTTTACGCAGTAGGAGGCACTGTTCAAATCACACTGTTTGCATTTTTGGCGCTGCAGATCAAACGTCAGGCACCAACAGCTCACACCGTTTCCGAGACCATTTACATTAGGTTTGGGAAAGCCGGTCATCTGGTATATTTGTGCTACTGCGCGGCAACGAACGTGATGGTTTCTTCGCTGCTTCTGCTGGGTGGCTCACAAGCATTTGCTGCAGCCACTGGTATGCATACCGTAGCGGCCAGTTTTCTTATCCCAGTCACTGTAGTCGTTTACACGGCTCTTGGAGGTTTGAAAGCAACATTCATTTCAGATTGGGTACACACGGTTATCATCTACGTGATTCTGATCGTGACTGCTTACACAGTTTACTGCAGTTCCAATTTGATCGGTTCTCCTGGTAAAATGTGGGATCTTTTGAAGGCAGCGCAAGAGGTGTTCCCCAGTGCATCAGGGACCAGCTACCTCTCTTTCAAGGACAAAGACATGATTTTGTTGACCTGGTCCGTGATGTTGGGCGGCCTATCATCAGTTTTTGGTGATCCAGGTTACTCGCAAAGAGCTATAGCTTCCAGCTCCAAAAGTGTTTTCTGGGGATATATGATGGGTGCTATTTGCTGGATGATTATTCCCTTTGCTTTGGGATCCTCTGCAGGGCTAGCTTGTCGTGCTTTAATAACCAATCCAGCCTCTGTAACCTATCCTAACCCATTGTCGGCTGAAGAGGTGGGTGCAAGTCTACCATTCATCTACGGTCTTGCCGCTATTTTCGGGAAAAGTGGAGCTGCAGCTGGGCTTGTTATGCTGGAGATGTCAGTGACCTCTGCCACTTCTGCAGAGCTCATAGCCTTCTCCTCGATTACAACTTACGACATGTACAGAACTTACGTGAATCCAAAGGCAACAGGGAAACAGCTAATACGCAGTTCACATATCAGTGTGATCTTTTTCGGACTGTTCATGGCAGTATTAGCCGTTGTATTCAATTACTGTCACGTCACCGTTGGATGGCTACTAAGTTTCGTTGGTATTGTTTTGAATCCCGAAGTGCCAGCTGTTACATTGTCGCTTTTCTGGCCCAAAATGACTAGGCTGTCGCTTGTCATCGGAGTGCCAATGGGTACTGTCACCGGTATAGTTTGTTGGATAGGCGCCACTTACCACTATGCTGGGGGAATTGTCGACAGAAATACTCTGATGACTACAGAGGCCACCTTTATCGGTAACATTGTGAGTCTGTTTTCTTCGTTGATCTACATTGTGGCCATATCGTTGATCAGGCCTGGCAATAAATTCGACTTGAACACATTCAAGTGGGAACTAAACGCAGCCGACGACATCGATTCTGAGGAGCAAGAGGCCCTGGAGCTAACGGCAAAGGATGATAAGCTGTTGCACGCTCAAACGTGGCTCAGTCTTTTCATCAATGTGTTTTTATTCTTGGGCGTGTATGTTGTACTAACATGTGCTCTCTACGGCTGGGGAGGAGACCTAAGCAAAGGGTCGTTTACGGCGTTCATGGTTGTAATGCTGATTTGGCTATTGCTGGCAGCACTATACATCATTCTGACGCCGCTGTGGCAAGGAAGACATGCAATCAAAACGGTCGTGCTTGGAATGCTTGACCGGGTGCCGTCACGAATTGATGACAGCAGTGTTCAACAATTAAATAGCTCCGATGAACACAACTCAAAAAAATCGGCGCGTTTGAGTGAGAAAGTGACAACGGTGAGCGGTGAGACGGACAGATCGTAGTTCAACCATTGCTAGATACCAGCGCTACACGATTAGACAGGAAAATGCTATGTATTATTGAAGAATTATCAAGGTGTGGGTGTTAGAGCACCAACATCGCAGAAATAGGGTTCTGCAGGTGCGGTGTACATTGGGAATGGAAACACTTTATTCTAACGGCCTGGCAGCGCTGGAGGCGACCGTGTGGATAGAAATTTGAGAATGCTCGTTTTTCAAGTTCAAGGTAAGAATGTTGCAAGGGCGTTTCGAAGGGCATTAGCCGGGCCTTAGTGCGTTGTGGAAGGAGCTACAAGAAGTCCTAATCACCGGGCTACAGAGGACGTTATGGTGGTGGAAGAGAGAGCGTACTATTTCGACGCCCATCACGTGACGCGACCCGAGAGAAGAAAAAGAAAGACATTATGTAAGATTACATCAGCATCTTACGTAAGGAGAGAATTTCTCTTTCGTCCACAGTGATCATCTTGGTCGGCAGTTTTTTTGTTTTTTTCTTCTTTTCTTTTCCTGCGTTTTCCCGAATCTGCTTACATCAGCTGTCGTTTTCCCGAATTTGGCTCTCTTTCATTTCCATTTCCTATGCTGGTTCTTCATCTGCTGTCCCGTCGCGCTGTCAACTCACACTCTCTGCAATGATCCTGCCAGCCACGCGTAAGCTGCATCCAATTACGGGCACCAAGTTGCCGTTTTAGCTAATTTCTGCGCAATCGGGTTCGAAATCGCAGCACAGGAAGCACGGTAGGAAAAAAAAATAATTCCAGTGTGCATCGCATCCATCAACTCCCGTCAGGCGAACGTCAATGTCACGCTAGAAAAACGACCGGTTCCCGTCCTGGAACCGTACGCAACAGCAGCTTTGGAAGAAATAAAAGCTTGCCCTGCTCCTGACAACAGGCGAAACGGCATAAAATCTTCGCACGGAAACTGTCGGTTGCGACTGAAACCTCGCGCAGCTGAGCCGCGACCAACACACCACGTCCACGTCCAACCGTCAAAACAGCTTCTTCCGTCGCTATTTTAGCTTCCATCATCATGACAATGCAGAGAGCTCTACCAAGCTTTCTTAGCATTTTCGGCTCGAGGATGTTTCCGTGCATATATCGAATGTAGCGAAAGCGTGGTGGGCACAGCTCGTGGAGAGCGATAACGACCGTTCGTTCGTTTGTTTTACTGTTCTTATGTGGGCCAGGCCAACCCCAGCCCGAACCCAGGTTCGCCAACCCTTTATAAAGACCACGATTCAAGGGCAGCTCGGTGTTTTTCTGCGAAAGCCAGGAGTTCAGCAATCCACAAGATGATGACGATGATGATGGCGAAATCTAGAGACCAAGGGTTCACACCCAACGGCCGCCCCAGCTCGTATGCATTGCATAGAACTCCACACCCAGCACTCGAAATGGGCAGTCGCAGCAGCCAGCCTCGCTCCCATCCAGGCGCTGACGAGACCCTGTTGAATAGCATTACCACTGGCACAATTTCAGAAGAGACAGTTTCGTCCATGGTGTTCTCGGAGTACTCGCCCGGATCGGACGAGTCCGATGAGGACTCGTACTCGTACTCGCCCAGCCAGTCTGCTGGCACCGGCGGCAGCGACGCTGGAGAGCCTCTATCTCGAGTGTCCAGTAATTCGTCAATCGAGTCCAGTATCGAGCACGGTGTCCGCTACAAACTGACCATGAAACTCTCGGCCCGCGACATCATGCTCATTCGCGAGTCCTGGTCCATTTTGCTGGACGACGAGTGTGCACCAGAAAAGCTCAAAACCTTCATCACAAAGCTACAAGCCGGCAGAACGCTGGCGACCACCGATGCCGCGAACAACAAGCCCAGAAGACCCCTCCATCAAAGCATGAGTCTGATCAACAGAAAGCAGCAGCCCTCGCTGGCAGAGCAGACCAGCAAATTGCAAGGTCCTAGCTCCCAGAACGGTCCAGATCGCACAGGAGCGGCCACCAACATCAAAAGATCCAACTCGCTGTTTGGCGACCAGTTTTTGGAAAATATTATAGCCCTGGCGCCCGACCTAGAGACGCTGTTCCCCATGATCAAGCATATCGCCGTGGGCGTCACAGGAATGCTCACCATCGCCGTTAACAACCTAGAGGATCTGTCCGTCTTGGATAGCTTTCTGGGGTCTCTGGGAAAACGTCACGCCCGTGTCATCGGTGTGCAGGCTGAGCAATTCGAATTCGCCGGTATCGCTTTCATAAAAACCATTCGCGAGCGTTTTGGCGTCTACTGCACACACGAATTGGAGGAGACTTGGCGCCGTGTATACTCTTTCTTGGCCAACAGTCTGCTGCAGGCCGGTATCGACCCGGTCATCGAGACCAAGACCCCAGCATCTCTTGCCCCACGTCGCGAAGAGCAAGTTGTGGTCATGCATCCACCTGAGCTCATCCATTCAGGTGTTGAAACTAGGACCTACGCTCCAAAGTCGGAGCTACCTCCTGCTCCATCCAAACCAGTCCAAAGATCGCTTCTGGATCCGCTATCTCTATCGAGGGAGCACAAGGTTTCCCCACCAGTAAACATTCACAGCGCTGTCAAAATTCCTCCCAGAAGGGCACAACATACATCAAAGTTCGGCTCGCGGAAGGAAAACGACAAGGACTGTGTGATTATGTAGCGGACCAAAAGGTATAGACATCATAATATAGGGCATTACAGCATTTCAATAATATACAATACGGAGAGAATGCAACTAGGACGAGAACCTTTTCAGGACGGAGTTTAATCCTGCAATCTGTTACCAATATGAAGGGTGATTCATGCAATTGAAAGTAGGTTCTATTGTGCGAGCTGTCTTGGCTTTGCCAAGCTTTTAAGTGGCCACGAGAAAACATATTTTATGACAATTTATGTTCAAAAGCTTTCTAGTCCTTGAAGAGAGACAAGTGCGAGCACTTGAAAACTTGTTTTTGGACCATTTATTTCAAGTCGCTTAACTTCCCATTGGCGTTCTTTGATATTTTAGTTGCTGAAGACTTTCCATAGCAGTTTCACATTCCGGTAACTTTCATATCTCTCATCTTGAAAGATACCTAATAACAGACCGATTATAAATACGTAAATGCTACAAGCAGAGCGCTTGATCTATGTGAATGTTCACATCTACTTTGACACATATTGCGGAGTCAGAATGAAATTCGTTATTCCAACAACGATCGAAAGCCAACACGACAATTTTTGTGAGGCTAAAAGTTGAACGGTTTCATTATCCAAAGCGATACTAAGTCTTGACTAAACACTCGATTTTTGAACACCTCATCGCTTCTTCTCATTTTCTATAACTTGACTTTATACAAAGATTCGAAATTCCCCGGATTTTCAAAGCTTAAGGGTCCATGTTTACGAGAAAAACCAAATATCAACAGTCAAGCTTTTGACAATAGGGGAGTCACCGTAACTAGCTGACTACGTAGTTGAAGGCACAACTTTCCAATTTTACTTTGCTGTAGTTGATTTCAGAACTAAAATCGCAGCATTCTACGTGGAATTAAGGATACCTTACTGCTGACTTGCGTAATTCTAGCCCATTTAGGGATGCCATGACGTGGCAAAGTAAATAATTACTTGCAACAACACAGAATTTCAGCAAGCATGCCTGTAACTGTACTGAGTTAGCGGTTCTAAAAAGGACATCAACAATTACACCTATCTATTGGCTTTCCTCGTGTATGGCGGATTAAACACATTGGTCAGCATTATGGATTGTTCAGTTATTATGTATGTTGGTCTTAAGCAGTGAAATCGACCTTTTAACAGGTTATAAAGGCACATCTGTAGCTCTATTTTGTGCCTTTGGGTGTTATACAGCTTTTAGTGACACATTTTCATTGTAAGAACGGCACACTAAAGAAAGTATATCTTAGAAAATCAGAATGGGCTACAAAGAAAAGTTCAAAGAGACATTTCTTCTAGACGTCTTGGAACGCTTAGATCTAGTCAAAATCGAGCCGCTTTGCTTGACGCAAAACGCTGCGTCGGGCACGGTATCCGAGGGGGAAAGCAAGAATTCTCAGGATCTGGAAGGTTTGGCAGAATCTAGCTACGAAAAGCACAGTCCAATTAAAGAAAAAGACCCCTTTCTAATCGATTGGAATGGCGAAAATGACCCAGAAAACCCTCTGAACTGGAAACGTGGTAAGAAGACTCTAGTTGTATTTGAGATGATGCTCCTCACCTGCACGACCTACATGGGCGCTTCCATCTATACCCCGGGCCAACAGTCGATACAACGAGAGTTCCACGTTGGCCATGTAGTTGGAACTCTCAACCTGTCGCTTTATGTGCTTGGGTATGGGCTGGGCCCCATTATTTTTTCGCCATTGTCAGAAGTTGCCAGTATCGGACGTCAGCAGATTTACATCGTCACTTTGTTTCTATTCATGATATTTCAGATTGGTGCTGCCACTGTGCATAATATTGGGGGACTGATCGTTATCAGATTCATTTCGGGTGTCCTTTGCTCGCCTTCGCTGGCGACTGGTGGCGGTACAATGGGCGATATCATCAAACCGGAATTTGTATCCGTATTCATCGGTTTGTGGGCTATCGGGGCAGTTGCCGCGCCAGTGGTGGCGCCTCTATTGGGTGCAACAATGGTCGTGGCCAAGGATTGGCGTTACGTGTTCTGGCTGTTGATGTGGATAAGTGCTTTTACATTGATACTGTTAATAGTCTCGTTCCCCGAGACGCAGCATCAGAACATCTTGCACAGAAAGGCAACGCGTATGAGAAAACAAACTGACGACAGTCGTTATTATACCAAACAGGAACGACTGGATGCTGAGATTGAAGTTTCTGCCTTTCTGAAAGAGGTTTTCGTGCGTCCTTTTTTGATCATGGCTTTGGAACCTGCTGTGTTGGCATTCGACATTTACATCGCTTTATGTTACGGTGCGTTTTACCTCTTCTTCGAAGCATTCCCTATCGTTTTTATTGGCATCTACCACTTTACACTGATCGAGATGGGATTGGCTTATATGGGCTTCTGCGTGGGATGCTTGATCGCGTACGTGGCTTTGCTAATCTATCTGGCGAAGTACATAGGTCCTAAATTCCAAAACGGAACGTTCAAGCCGGAGGATTTTCTCCCACTTTCCATGGCCGTGTGCTGGGCACTTCCACTGTCGCTTTTCCTGTTCGGCTGGACTGCGCGTGTTCACTGGATATTACCCATCATTGCAGAGCTTTTCTTTGTTCTGAACGTCTTCAATCTATTTCAGTCAACGTTTGCTTACCTCGCGTTCTGCTACCCACGCTATATTGCGTCAGTGTTCGCAAGTAATGGGTTCTGTCGTTCGGTCTTTGCCTGTGCCTTCCCGTTGTTCGGTAAAGCAATGTACGATAACCTTGGGAGCGAAAAGTATCCAGTTGCGTGGGGTTCCTCTTTGATAGGTTTCTGCTCTATCGGTCTGGCAATTATACCATTCGCTTTTTATAAATATGGACCCCAGATGAGAGGAAGATCGCGGTATGCCAATTAAGTGACGCATTGACAAACGCAATCGAACGACGTGAAGCACAAATCATTAATAGCTTTCGACACTCAGTTTGAAAGGCTCTAGGATATTGTCTTATGATAATGATGTTGGTAATAATATAATAGTCGTCACTAGTTAGGATGTCAAATGTGTCCATATTATAATACCGTTTCGATACCATGATCTTGCATAGTATAAACGGCATAATGGTGAAGTTGCTCGAAAGCCTGAAGTAGGTTACAGCTTGCGAAATACCAATGCCAGAAATTAATTTACGCAGTGCCTGCGTAAATTATTCGTATGCTTCCATTCTTTTAACAAACTGCTCAATCAAAAATGGTAAAACGGCAATCATAATTGTTCATTCTTCTGTCTACACCTTGAAGTTCAAAGTAAAACTAGGTGCAAGTCGACAAATGCTCAATTCCCGGAATTTGAGTGTCGAAATGAATGAGATTCAGGAACCGTGCAGGCTCGAATTTTGAGCTGTGCAAATATAGTTGTAAGAATTATGTTATATTCTCTGAGCAATAATTCAAGCTCATGTAGAGTTGAGCTGAAAGTAGAAAAAATACGATATTGACTGTAATCCCAGATTAAGTCGGAGATGAGCTTCAAGTTGAAAATAAAACTAGCCACTTTATTTGCCTTGATCTGAGCGTGCTCAAATCAAACGCCTCAGCAGAAAGGATGGTCTGTCTAATTCACCCACATTCCTGATATGCGTCGCTTGCCGATTTTACTTTCCCAACGCGATACTTGGCATTCTTGGCATTCTTGGCTGTTGACCTGGGACAAACCGAGCCTTCTTAAGAGTCATCGTGCAGATCTTTTGTCCATTTACATCTATTTCCACCTCTTTCTGTCTGAAGCCGCCAATTCCCGTCTTAAACCGCGTCTACCTTACTTTGGGTCATTTGATCGGAGACTTTAGTAGGATACCTACAGAAAGGCAGCAAGTACTGGCACAATGAGAATCTCATTCCCCATCAACATCTTCGTATAATATCTAACTCATAACATTAAAACCGATTCGCATTCCATAGTCAAAATTGATGGTTGAATTTCATCATAAATTCTCGACTTCTGCAGGGGGTTCGCGTTCACTATGTCATGGCAGGACTGCGACGCAATTTTGCTGTACATCCATTCATTCTCCTCGCGGGATTCCCAGAAAGTTGGTACGCGTGGCGCCGAGTTATGTCGGACCTCTCTAGCACTTTTTTCGTAAAAGCCATCAACCTGCCAGGACGAGGCGATTCTGATAAGCCCAGCGATGGTAATGATACCGCGTCTGTCGCCAACATAGTCCATGAAGTACTCAAAGGGTTCGGGTAGGACAAGTATTACCTCGCAGCCCATGATGTGGGCGCGTAGGTCGCCTTCACGTACGCACTATTGTTTAGAGAAGAGGTTGACCGCATGGCCTTGCTCGACGCTGGAATTCCGGGCTTCAAACTTCCAGATATGGTACCGACAGACCCAGAGCGCGCATGGCGCAAATGGCCCTTCCCGTTTCGTTGCGTCCTCGACCTTCCTGAACTTATGATTAGCAACAAAGAGCGGATTTATCTGGAATGGTTTCTTCGGCGCAAGGCAGCGGACCCGACCGTTTTCACCGAAGCTGACTCAAACGAGTAAGAGCGCACCTCGAGGCAGCCTGGGGCGCTGCGTGCAGGATTGGCTTATTACAGGGCATTCAAAAAGTCGGCTCAACAAAATGAGGATCTTTCAAAGGAAGAAAGGGTCTTACCAGCCACGCTTGCGGTATCATCAGACGAGGGGTCGATTCCTAACATGTATGAGCCTTAAAAAGCGTTTTCGTCTGATTTAACAGATTTTACGATTAAAGAGTGCGGTCATTTCATTCCAGAGGAACGTCCTGTGGAGTTGTCTACGTAGTTCAGAGACTTCTTCGCAACTCTTTGTGGCCCAATATCACTGCAAAGCTTAAAGCAGATGTGCGTCAACACTTCGACATAATTTCCGACCTGTATTAATCTGTGGTCTAATTTTTGTTGCGGTAGAAGCTAATACTGACACCGCACGAAACGGAGGTCAGATTTCAAATGAGTCTCAAGCTGTTCTGTTTCCAAGTATGCTACGACAAATAGTCCCTGTATTGGATGTTTAGTGACTTCCAAGCCTATTTTTTCATGAAATGAACTTGCCTTCTCGCAAACATTGATGGTAAGAACAGTGTAAAGAAAATCATGTATCAAGTATTAAAGTCAATTTCGCCGAAAGCTTTCTTCTCCTCGTTTCCTGCTCATTAGAAAAGCCTTTCATATTGACGTGTGTGACTCTAGTCATCCTCATACCGCTAAATCTCTTCGAAGCCTTCTCTGATATAGCTCAATCTTTATGCTTTCTGTAAGTTCTAATAGCTTTGATTTAAAGCCATAACGAGCTTTCATTTTTCGAAGATCTCCGGAAAAACACTCTGACCGTTTTAAAATCTATCAGGCCTCAATTCTCTGTGGGAGTTTGGCCATGAGATCAGAAGACGAGCTCGCTTTTGGCTTTGATAAAATTGAGCCAGAGTTTAGAAAACATATTGAACAACAGCCCAGTTAGTAGCTCATTGACTGTGATTTTTGCGTTTCATTCTTATATCTCTCTCGAGGGTATTATTGGTGTATATGCCCAGGCAGCTTGATAGAGTATCTGTACTTTTTAAAATACCCACATTATAGCTGTCTTGCATGTAAATCTGCAGTTTTTCATGAGATTGGACATATATGAGAAATCGATTGATTACAGGATGCTCACGTTGTATGATCTATCGTCACCAAAAAGAGATAACCAATACTGTGACCAAAATTATGGACTCGAGACAGTAAAGAAGGCAGGCTGTAAGCTACTATGTTCTCCAGTTGAGTTTTTTGGGTTGAACGCTATTTTGATTTGTGAAGTAAATTTTAAGCCTACTGGCAACTAAAAACATGCAACTATGTTCCCATTTTGAATCTGACCGTTTTCATTATAGTGAGGCCTTTGTGAATGATGGCAGCCGATCAATACAAATAAATCTTCGCATCTCAAAAACTAAGCTGTCTTTATAGAAGGACAATAAGTTTTCCCGCAATAGCTGCCTTGCTTTTTTTTAGAACTCTACTACGAGATTGAAGTTTCAAAGTAGACAAGCTACGCCGCGTCAACAACTTTTTCTCACTTATTAGACCGAATTTGCGTGCTGTAAGTGACATCGGTTTTTCCCTAGATTGTCTTGGCATACAAGCGGTGCCTTCGGAAGAATTGCATTTCTCCTAAGCATGCCGAGCGTTTGAGTGGGCAATATTGAAATATCGACTTCATCGATTATGTCCAGTTTTCCTGCTAGATAAATGTTGCCATCGCCATCATTGCATGACGCCAGAGCTTGTATCTTGGGAAAAGCTTCAGGTGTGTGACGTCGTAGCAATGGTCATGTGACAGAATGACAGTTGACAAGCTAATTCGAAGTGACAATTCATCCCACTGACATTAATGATGATCAGATATCAACAAAGCGCTTACCTAAAGCGTGTGATGTCTTTAACCACTACGTAAAATGGTACTTTGGTATTTTATGCCCACTACTACAAGGACGTGAGCGGCAACTATCCTGATGGTGGTGCACTGATGGTTGCAGGTAAGCTGCTTTTTCTGCATGCACCTTCATCTTCTCTTTCTAGCAGCAGCCGCCATTATCCAAAGACAGCTTATATTTATGGCCTTATTTTCAATCAAGTTTGAAGAACAATGCAGGATCGGAACGCATTCAGACTGTTTCACGAAATACAAGACAATTTAAAAAACATCAAAAAGCATTGGTTTGATTACTCAAAGCTTTTTTGTTCTCATTTAGAGTCCATTAAACTTATCAATACGGTGACAGCTCCTGACTCCTGTGTCTCATGCAGCAATAATTCTTGCCCTGCTAAGTTTCGCAAGCTCATCCAGCGTGAATAAATGTGTAAAATGTCAATCTTATATCTTCATTCTATCAAAGCTTATTTTGGAGCGTCTGCAAAGTACACAATTCACGGAGCTATGTTTCTTTGAAAACCTGGCACTGGCTCTTGTCGATACAATGAACGTTTTCTTGAGTCAAAACGCCTAGAGACTTGACTGGATTAAACGTGACCTATGGATTAATATATCTGAATTCTACAAGCCGTACACAATTACCACTAAGTCAAATATGCGGGGAGACTACTTATTATAAAATCAGCAGCTAGCACCAATGCTTTCATCTTCTAACAACTTCTCCAGTTTGTGAGGTGCGAGGCATTATTGAAACGTATAAGACATAGCAGCCAGTTTTGGTGGTGTTCTTTCTGGCGTCAATCCTTTTCACTACAATGCAAGCTCCCCCATAACACTGTTCGTGATCCAGACGTGCATTATTCTGTTGCTTTCCAATGGACTCCACCTATTCTTGGCAAGACTCAGACAGCCCAAAGCTATCTCTGAGGTAGTAGCAGGGGTTATTTTGGGTCCAACAGCTCTGGGCCAGATTCCTCATTAGTCTAACACTATTTTCCCCAAGGCTTCCGTTTCAGGGCTCAATTTGGTGGCTAACCTCGGGATCATTCTGTTCATGTTTTTTCCTAGGTTGGAGGTGGATGTGCAGTTCATCAAGAGCCACGCGAAAACCGCGTTTTCCGTGGGACTGGCAACTCTGGTCGTCCCTTTCGGTTTAGGATGTTTGTATGCCTTGCCTCTGTACAACACGTATATGCAAGGCACAGCAAGTGAACTGACCGTCAAATTCACGGTTTTATGGTTTTTATAGCCGTTTCTCTAACCGTGACGGCCTTTCCCGTGCTTTGTCGCATTCTGACGGAGCTGAAATTGCTTAGAGAGCGCGTCGGTGTTGTGGTTCTCGCAGCAGACACTATCAATGACGTAATTGGATGGATTTTACTGGCACTGTGCATTATTCTCTCTAATTCGCAAGCACACGCAGTAAACGTGGTGTACATCTGACTGTGCACCCTTGGCTGGTTCTTGCTGTAAGCTTTTCCAGTACGGTATGAGTACGGTATGCATTGAGATGGCTGCTACTTCGAATGCACAAATTTGAACGCAGCAAACCTTCCACTAGAAGCACTTCGTTGATACTGGTCTTGGCGATCTTTAGCGCTTACTTCACAGACACCATAGGTGTGCATCCGATATTTGTTGCTTTCATGGCGGGTCTCATTGTTTCTCGGGACCAGAACTACGTCATCAAACTAGCAGATCGCATGGAGGACATTCCAAATATTGTGATGTCTCCCATTTACTTTATCATTGCAGGCCTTAACGTCGATCTTACGAAACTGAATTCGGGGAAAGATTGGGGATTTACTTTTGCAAGCATAGGGATCGCCGTTTCCACCAAGTTTTTATCCGGCTTTCTTATGTCAAAATTGAATGAACTTTTTTGGCGCGAGTCTTTAGCCGTTGGCGTGTTAATGTCTTGCAAGGGAATTGTGGAGATAGTCGTATTAACAACAGGGCTTAATGCCGGGATCATTTCTACAAAGATTTACTCGATGTTCATCTTTATGGCTCTAATCTCGACTTTTGTTACCACGCCATTAACAATGTGGCTGTTTTCAAAGTCGTATCGAGAAGAGCTAAAGGTGTCTTTGGAGAAATCTGCGAACGAATCGCAGGAAAACGACCTCAAAACTGACGGGATGCTAGTTGCCTCGCGAAACAATTTGCAAAACATTCACATAATGCGAGTAATTATTGTGCTGAATAAGCCGGAACTGGTTTTCCCCACTGTGTCGCTGCTGAATAATTTGGTTCATAAGGAACCTCTTGCAAAAAGTCGCATCAATGAAGCGACACCACAGCCTAAATCGTCCGGCACCACTACACATGTTGAGAATCCAGTATTTCTAGGAAGTGCCAAAAATGCTCATCTCGAACAGCAAATGACCCTCACGAACTCAGCCGAGGGGCGAACTGAACTTAAAACGGTATGTTTACGACTTCTGACTGAAAGAACAACAGACCTGCTACAAAACTTACCGAATTTCAGTAGTGACCACTTGAATCCTAGCTTTCCGAGCCATTTTTGTTTGGAAACGATCCAAATGTTTTCTCAGCTGATCAACGCTGCGCATTGCGGGGAGGTTATTTTCACTCTGTTGAATGGTTAAGTGTCTCACTTCAATGAAATTCCCCTTACGGGGTCCGACCTCGTCTTACTTCCCTCAAATGGAGTAAGTGACATGATTGCAAATTAAAGGCCAAAAGATCTATTGACGCGTATGCTTGCTACAAATGAGCTACCCAGTAATTTCTTACAGTCTATCGCGTCAAAATGTGCTTCCAATTTAGCACTTTTTATCACCAACATGGAAACAGACAAGAAGTACAGAACAACAGGGGGGGAAGACTTTTACCTAGTTATGCCCGGCGAAAAATTGACGGAGTCTGATTATCTGTGCATGCATCTGTTGATATTGATCATTTCTAGGGTCTTGAGCAAAGACTATAGTGGTGGCCCCACACTGAATATTTGCATCAACGGCAAGAACGCGGTCTTTTTCAAGGACTTCTGGTCTGATTATGGCATCGGTGAAAACGCAGTTCGGATAATGCCTTTGAACTACACGATGAAGAAATCAAGCTCAGTTGATTCCTCGCTCGATTTTGGGTTTATAGATGCAGTATTGGAGCAGATCGCTTCGTCAGAAGAAACTGGCCTAGCAACCAGTACATTTATTATTGGGGACTCATTTTTGTCACAGGATCAGCTATTCAGTCTTGAAGTTGAGTCAGTTATCACGCGAAGCTTCAAAGAACATTTTGACTTAATTATCTGTCACAGAAATCTTGGCTCAGACAATAATCGATGAGTTCAGTGAGAAGACTATGATTTTCTATACTTGACATTTCGGAGTTTGTTTTATTTTGGCTCTTCACTAGTAGCTATATATCATAAGATTAGCATTAGAGCACTGTTAGGAAACTGATATTTAACGCTGAATTAAGTGAGAATCGTGGTCGCATTGGTTATTTGATAGCGCCAGGGTCAGAAAGTAGCCACCAACGAGATAATTGAGTTCAGCATGCGAGCTGGATGGCTACGTTCTGGCCGAGCTATGGTTTTATAGAAAATCAAGTGACTAGAACACATTAGATGTTGTTTTGCACTTATCTTTTGGAGGCCAGTCTCATAGCATGTAAACCTTTTTTCATGACACGCTAATTCGAAGCTTAAGTCGCGGCTCAAGCTTATTCCCGAAATTTTCTCAGCTTAAGTGCTATGGCCGTTTAAACATTGATATAATCTCTGATGGTAGTTTTCTAAGTTGGCACTGCTAATAAATTCTTTTCAATTTTAGTGAGGGCTGAATGATTGCGCGGTCTTTCTTTATGTAACTCTTGGAAGAATTAACGCTTGTTTGCGGGAATCGATAGCGCAAATCTCATCGAACTCAACTGGAGATGCAATGGCATACAGGCCATGCTTTTCAAAGCTCTGAATGAGCAGCCCATATTGAAGAGATTGAAACCACTGTTCAGTGCTTTTTAAACATTCTGAGTCTTGCAATGATCTCGTTCTTCCAATAGTGCAAAGCTGGTACTAGTTAAAATGGAAATGATCAGTCATGTCGTGGGATGTCATATGCTAAGCTAGCAAATTTCTGATCTTTGGAGACACTGTAACGCAGCTCACACTTTCATCAATTTCACTCTCATAAGTTCCGATCGAAATTCCTCAAGCTCTATAAGACCCAAACGAAGCGCACGCTGAAATCATTCACAGTGTCATCCCGGGCATTGAAAGGCCACGGATCGTCCTCTCTGGTGTGAGTACCACGAAATTTATTATTACCCGAGTGGCTGGGTGATTCAGTTCAAAGAACTGAACCGAACCCTTCGCACAACGACACAAATATAACCCCCGCCGTATTTTCGAAAAGTTGAGTGAAATACTCAGAAATGTGTGACTGCAGCAATGTGAGATTCACAAAGAGACTAGACTTGACAACACATAATTATCAGGAAACCAACAATGTTAAAAACCTATCTCACAAAGAGAATAAGTGGTATATCTGAAAATAAATTGTTAAGCTAGCTGCAGCTGGCTGCAGCAAACATGCGTCTTGCATCCAAAGTGGTGCCTATATCATCTTCATATTATTTGATTAAAATATGAAAACGTATGCACCTAGAGGTGCAACGCAAGTTTGGGATTGATTCCATGACCGAACTGGGCAATCAAGCTGTCACAATGGCACACATGTTATACTCGCCAGATTTGCATTCTTACGGCAGATTCAAACTTTCAACGTTACCTTCATGTGGTCACTTCATACTAGTGCGTCATTAAACCACTTATCATCGACACCTCTTTAGATATATAAGCTTGAAGTATCGAAACCTTAACTAAAAGAACCTTAAGTCCAAAGAAAGCGAGGTTATAGTTACTCAACTAAACATGCCCGGCATTTTCACTGTTGCACCAAAATCGCTGGATCTACTTACTAGCTTACTCTCGCTCAAGGAATATTTAGCCTAAGCCTTTTGGCAGTTAAGCTACAACAATACAAATTTGTTTATGCAAAATCCGTTCCCCTCCATCGATATCCTGTGTTATGATTTACCTCTATGCAGATTGGAAAAGTTAACCAATGACTTGGCCTAATTGAGAAATTGTTCGAAAACTAGCAGCCATATCTTCGAGCCTTATCAGCTCTCATACAAGTACTAATTTTCAGCGTCTCTGTCTATCTAAGATCGGTGTTTCCGAGATCCGCTGACAAAAGAGCACCCAAGAGATAGAATTTTCCACAAAGACCTTTGTCACTGAGCATCTTTTTAAGATGATCAGGATTTTATCAGACTTGCCTATATAAAAGACTGAAACAGAGCTTCCTCATTCTCATTCTACTAATCTCGAGGCAAGTTGGGCAAAATTAACAAAAAAATAATATGAAGCTGGAAAGTGCTATTGCATTCTCTTTATGCTTAGTCCAAGTGAATAGCTCTCCTATTCATGGTCTTTTCAAAAGGTTCGCCAGCAACAGCGCCGCTGATGCCCAAATGGTGAACACAACGACATTTTATTACCCACAGACACAAGCAGGTGAACTTTTTCCCATGGACAAATGTAAAGGTTACACATTGGAAGACGCTACCATTGATCAATTGCAGGACTACTTTTCATCGGGAGGCCTGACCTCTGAGGACGTTGTTCGCTGTTATCTGGACAGGTACCTCCAGATCAATTCCTATGTTAACGCTATCATGCAGGTAAATCCTGACGCCATCTCAATTGCACGTCAAATGGACGAAGAGCGAGCTAATGGAATCACGAGAGGACCTTTGCATGGCATCCCATTTGTTGTAAAGGATAACTACGCAACGAAAGACAAAATGGACACAACCGCTGGCTCTTGGATGTTACTCGGTTCTGTGGTTCCTCGTGACGCCATGGTTGTTTCTAAGCTAAGAGACGCGGGAGCAGTCCTCTTTGGTCACACAACCCTGAGCGAATGGGCCGACATGAGATCTTCAGACTATTCCGAAGGCTACTCCGCTCGCGGCGGTCAGGCTCGCTGCCCTTTCAATTTGACTGTCAACCCTGGCGGAAGCTCTTCAGGCAGTGCAGGCTCGGTTGCAGCCAATATGATTCCTTTCAGCTTGGGAACCGAGACCGATGGGAGTATTATTGACCCTGCCATGCGCAATGGAGTTGTCGGGTTCAAACCAACCGTGGGATTGACATCAAGGGCAGGCGTTATTCCTGAATCTGAACACCAAGATTCCACTGGCCCTATAGCCAGAACAGTGAGAGACGCTACCTATGCCTTTCAATACATGTGGGGCGTTGATGACAGAGACATCTACACCCACAACCAAACAGGGAACGTTCCTGAGGATGGTGACTATCTTAAATTTTTGACGGACAAAACTGCTTTGAAAGGCGCCAAGTTCGGTCTCCCATGGAAAAAGCTCTGGTCCAAAGCCAAGTCTGACGAGATTCCAAGGCTTCTGGAAGTCATCAAAATTATCGAAGATGCAGGTGCAACTGTCTACAACAACACTGATTTCGAAAATCAGGATGTCATTTCAGGTGACGGCTGGAATTGGGATTTTGGTCCCGCGAATGAAAGTGAATTTACCATTGTCAAGGTCGACTTCTATAACAACATCAAAGCCTATTTGAGTGAGCTTGGAAATACAAAGATCAAAGACTTGACCGACATCGTGAACTACAATTACCAGTTCAGCGGATCAGAGGGTGGCTATGAAAATCAGAATCCTGCCTTTGCTTCAGGTCAAGACTCGTTTTTAGACTCCTTAGCTTGGGGCGGGGACAAAAACGAAACTTACTGGCAAGCGGTTGAGTTTGTTCAGAAAACCTCCAGGCAAGAGGGAATCGACTCTGCCTTGAATTACACAGACAGTGCGACTGGCGAGAACTTCAAACTCGACGGTCTGTTGGTTCCTAGTGGTAACAGTATAACCTATCAGCAGGCTGCTAAAGCTGGCTACCCCATGATAACGTTGCCTGTGGGTGTCAAATCTACGAATGGAAGACCTTTTGGGCTGGGAATAATGCAGTCTGCATGGCAGGAGCCTCTGCTGATTAAATATGGTTCAGCAATTGAAGATTTACTGCAGTATAAATCCAAGCCACAATTTTACGAATATCTGGCGAAAAACGTTCCCGTTGTATGATTCGAGGGTACTTTCTCGCAACCCTTTTAGTGGCCCTGTCATGCCTGAGATCTCTGAGAATAATCTGCCGAAGTGTATAATGTTTTATAGAGTGTATAGTATGGTGATAATAGTGGCGACTAGAAGGCATAAAATTTGATATCACGTCCACCGCATTAAGGTGTTGGAGCTTGGCATTCATTGTTATAAACCTAATCGGTTATTCAAAGAGACTTATTCCGAGCTGTCACAAAAGGTGAAAGTCCAGCGTCCGCAGTCGCTCTTTGATGAGTTGAAGTACATTTCGTCATTTGACAAACCACAATATGAGGCAAAGAGTGCGACAGATAGATTGTTGTGATCTTGGCGTATTATACTTGAGGCCCTCTGACACTAAGGGAACAAAGGGTTTACGCGAGTGTGACACAATTAAGAAATCGTTCATGCACCAAGTACTGATTGAAATACATGTTCCCGCTCTCATAGATAAGAAATGTCATCTGCGTAACAAAGACCTAGTAAGAGGCTCGTATGCAGGGCATTAGAGCATTCATCTCTTTGATGCGAGTAATTATCCGACCTCAAGAGCTATCGTAACACAATTCGCGTCACAGGGCCGGACATTTTGACATATCTTTCAGTTCAATTCCAAGATCTGATGAACATAAAATTTGCAATACTAATTGCAGGTACATTACTTGTTGGCTTTATATAATTCTATCAACTTGCTAGCCGCTGTGTCCGTTCCAGTGAGATTTGTTCAGGTCCCAACTTCCCTCTGTAAAAATACAATGCATTAAATATGGATATGGTGACCAAAATTGGTGCATTCACCGCATCATAGACGCGACCCTAGGGGTGCCGTCAAACGTTCGAAAGCAAGGTTTAAATCGCGTTTCAAATCGTTAATATCCTCCATTCCGACTTGTAGTCTAATGGCAAATCCCTTGTGCTCCCAGTTTGTGGCCGTTCTGTAAGATGCAGGGTTGACTGGCGTCATGAGAGATTCGTAACCACCCCACGAAAATCCCATTCTGAACACATTGGTCTTTTCAAGCATATTTTTGAAGTTGGTCTTGTGGAAACCCTCACGTAAAACTATGGTGAACACACCAGTGGACCCCTCGTAGTCACGAACAAAAAATTCGTGGCCAGGACAGTCTTCCAATGCAGGGTGGCGGACTTGGAGCACTTCTGGTCTGTTTTTTAGCCATTTGGCCAGCAGCAAACCTTTTCTTTCCGCCTCTTTTAGTCTGAGATGCAAATAACGCAAACCTTTCAATGCTGCCAAGCAGTCTTCAGCACCAGGCATCATGGATAAATCGTCGTAAGTCTCACGGAGCGCAGGGAAGCATTCTGCGTTGGCAGATGTCAACCCAATGAGCAGGTCGGAATGGCCTCCAAGGTATTTGGTACCTGCTTCGATAGAGATATCGATCCCGTGTGCGTGGGCCTTGTAAAACAATGGGGTCGCCCAAGTGTTGTCCAAAACGGTCTTGACACCGTGTTTGCGAGCCACTTTGGTGATAGCTGGGATATCCTGCATTTCCATGGTTTGAGAACCGGGACTTTCCAAAAAAATCATAGATGTGTTGGGTCTGATGAGCTTTTCGATGTCGTCTCCAAGCAATGGGTCGTAGTACTCGGTGCTGACATTGTATTTGGCCAGAAGGCCGTTGCAGAGATTTCTGGTGGGCTGGTACACACTGTCCGAAATCAAAATGTGGTCGCCTGACTTAACAACACTCAAAAGCACAAGTGCGATGGATCCAAGTCCCGTGGGCGACAACACGGTTCCGGCAGCTCCAGTAAGCTGCGTCCAAGCATTTTCTAGGTTTTCAATGGTAGGAGTGCCTGCAGTTCCGTACCAAAATCTCCCGCCCTTGTTGGTGACGGCGTCCAGAGTGTTGTGGATAACAGTGGACCCTTTGTACAGTGGTGGATTCACAAATCCACACTGCTGGTCGGGATCGCGACCCAGTAGCGTTAGTTGAGTCGTTAGACCCAGAGATGAGATGTCTTTTCCGTGAACCATGATGTCCTACTTCTTGAAATGAGTGTGTATGCTTGATATATACAATCTTGACAGTGATAACTGTCGTGACAAAGAGAGGACCATTAGAAAGAGAAGAAAAGCGTCTACAGCTGGAGTTATAAACTTTCCATCGCTGCGATAAACGCTGTAATACCTTGTAGGAGTCGTGCTAAAATATAAGACCGACTGGTATTGTAGAAGGTCTTATACGCTGAAAGTTGTTATAGAAACTCTGTCCTTAGTTCTATCTCATCGTTCCATTTAAAGGCCGCTTAACATTTTACGGTCGGACTTAAACTTAGTCGCTATTCACGGTTTTGTGGTTTTTTGAAGTTTTTGAGCTCTCTATTGTCACGTGACCTGATTAGAAAACGGCGTTAGAATTCTATATCTCACGTCATCATGATGGCATCCACCGATCACCTTCCCAATCGCTCGTTCAAAAACCTTCATGATAGATTATGCGATTGCCAGTGATTTTTGAAGATCGAGCTAACGGAACACTGATGTATTCGATGGAAGATAACATTCTTCTTTGCGAGAGATTGTTTGCTGAATTTCGAGTCGCGCGGTGATATGAATATGGTTATCAAAATCAAGGGGAGGAAACTAAAAGTTCATGTGACGTGTTCTTTGATCAAGCACTCGAGATTTGAGAAATCTGAGAGGTTCGCCAGCTTCGCAGCGTTTGAGTTTACGAGCGATTACGGTCTTTTGGGCCCTGATTGTTCGTAACTATGGCAACTGTGGATGATCATTGTGTTTTTGTACGAAATGAACTTTTTGGCGCCACGTGACTTGAGAAGTAAACAAATGGGGCCCGTGGCGTCAGGCCTAAGCAAGGCGTAGCCCAAGGAAAGCGAAGCAGTCTGGTCATTGAAGTGTGTCTCTGGTGTGCTACGCTTTTCAACTTATGTACAGGAAGTTACGGACATTTTTCATTGTTGCACAGCAATCGTTTAATCAAAACTATCAAGACCAAGAATAGCATATATTATACACGCTTGATGTTGAAGTTGTAACGCCCCCAAAATTTAATGAAAAAAGTAGTCTTCTCAAAACCAGTCACAGTTCGTAACTGGGGCTTCGGCATCGATTTTCGAGGAGCGAGCAGTTAGAAATCGTTTTAAAACATTTACTCCGCAACAGCTTTTACTTTTGGACTTTCTTGCAGCTATAGTCCCAGGTCACAATTTCGAGAGGCACCCACCGCTTTTCTGGACATATCTCTAGTGGAGTAAGAATAGGGCTTTGCCAACTGAAACCTTCCACTGTAAGCTTTATGTTCTCTCATATGGCCTACGACAGAGGCAAGTGGCTAAATGCGAAAAACAAATCCTATTACAAGAATTCAGCGGACACAATTCTACCTTTCAAATCCTAATCACCTCGTATCCACTATATTGCCTGCACAAATTCTAGAATTTCAAAAGAAAGTATTTGAGGCCTCTGAGGTCTGCTGGTCTTTTCATCGAGACTAAGGTAAAGATCGAACGACAAATGAGCATTCACTTGTAAAGCCCCAAATGACCTACAAAGCCCTTTTTTCACTCATCGTAGCACTTCTTGTACATCGTCTATTTATCGATTACATGCGGCCCTAAGCTTTCCCCGCATATGACACCCTCTGTTCAAAATCTCATTGCACAAACCTAGTCTCAAGAAAAAGCTTCGATTGCACAAAATCAATGACTTTGAGTGATGCCCTGAAAATCACGAAGCCTCTGCTTTTGCTGTCCGTCTTGAAAGTTTTCGGGACTCAACCACTTTTCGAACGCTTGGCGAACACCCGGCCACTCGTCTTCTACAATAGAAAACCATTCAGTGTCCCTGTTACGCCCTTTGTAAATCGCAGACCTACGGAATAGTCCTTCATACTTAAAACCCAGTCGCAAAGCACAGTTTCTTGAAGGGGCATTCAAAATGTCACATTTCCATTCACACCTTCTATAAGCCAACTGATCGAATACATGTTTTAGAAGCAAATATTGGACCTCGGTAGCAGCAATTGTGCGCTGTAGCTCTGGAGAGAATATTACAAAACCTATCTCCGCGATTCCATTTTGAACATCAATTCTCTGTAAACAGATAGTTCCACAAGGACGTAGATTTTCTACATTGATGATTGCGTAGTGGACGCTGTTCTCCATGTTTAGAAACTCTAGTATTAGATTTTCATATTCTTGGAGAGTGCTGAAGGGCTTCACAATGAGGTAAGTCAAAAGTCGATCGACATCTGTTGTTTGGAATGCTTTGTATAACTCCACACTATGCTTTTTAACATCCAGAGGCTCCAGTCTGCAGTATTGGCCATTGAGAGTAACTTGCTTCGGAAACTCTCTCACCTCGCAGTTGGCCACATCATCTCCCACTGTTTGGCCATGGGCATTTGTTTGAACCATTTTTCATGTGATCTCTAACGTGGAATAGTTCATGACAAAGGCTTGGCGTTTCTTGCGAATTCTTGACAATCATTTAAATAAAAAATACTGATCAAGATCTCTTATCATCCCTAATAAAAAGCTGTAAATCTCATCGAGTCGCACGTAGTCGAAAGAGTCTGAATTGCGAGACCCGGTCCGTTTCTATAGCGATAGTGAGGTTGAAGACGGTGATTCTCAATGAGTCAGGGTTCGTAAGGCAGGTTGTGACACGGAACCTCGTTATGGACCAACCTAGCATTAGTTTATTGAGTAGCATGCCCAGCTGGGTATTTTCCGATCGAAATACGTCAAGAGGTTGAAATTTCTACCCGACAAAGCTACAATTACGAGGTGCCCGACCAAAAAACAAGTGAGGTGATATTGGGAAAAAGAAGCTCGCGCATTTCAATTTCAATTCTAAAAAACCCAAACCCCATCCGCCCCATTCTGCTTGTTGATTCGGCTACAAAAGTGGTCTTTGTTTAAAACGGGATTTGCCTTAAACTTTTACTTTGACTCTTCGAAGGTTAAGGAAATATAGGGCTCGGTTATCTTTTATTGTTCTACTACGAGGTCACAGGACCAATATTATCAAGGTGGCTGAGAGCCAAAGACAAGGCGCCATATGCCATGCAAAAATAGTGGACCTACCATACCATTATAAATGCGTACCAAATCGACAATGCAGGTGGGAAGGCAGCCTTCAATGGTTTTAAACGCTCTAGCAAAACAACTTGAAGGCAGAGTTGGCAAGTAGAACGCCGAGAATACAGTTAAGCTGCACTCGGCTATAAACTGCCTAAGTGCATCCAGTTGAGAAGTCTATACTTTTTTTTTCACTATTGATGTTCGGAGTTGGTAAATTTCTCGAGTACGGTGTTAGGCACAGAAAAAAAACTTCCAAGATAGAAAAAACAGATGGAGGCACGATAGTTCAGAGCTTTCTCCTTATTCACACCGTTAATACAACGAAATATCAACAAATCGCACTGAAAATGTCCAACGCAACATCGAATCCGCCAGTGAGTCTCCCTTGCGGGAAGTTGTACAACCTCACCATTAGTGCAGACACTAGCGCGATGGAAGGATGGTGCTGTGGCCAAACTGCTTTGAGTGGCTGGGATACGAGAAACGATACCCTTTCGCACAATTTCACAGCAATTTCGTGCAATTATGATCAAATGTTGTATATTGACAACAGTACAAGTGCTGTAGATGGGTACCTCTGCGGGCTTGGATACCTTTCCTCAAATTTCACCCAAGTGACTTCTCAGACAAGCAGTAGTGCAAAAATTCAGATGAAATGGAGTCATTTGGTGTTCTTCGGTTCTCTTTTGACAGCTTTGGTAATTTGAGATAAAAGGACAGCAGCGGACAATGGTCCTTCATTGACAGATTTGATTTCTCAAAAGGTCGGCTAGGGAAAACCCCTGTCGGACTTGATTTGTAGACAATTTTATAGACTTTGTTTACTATTACCCTTCATCGGAAACCAAAAACCTTGCCAAAGTGCAAAACGAACCATTGTGGATTTGGTCTCTACAGCATTAAAGTTCTGCGATCACTCAATTATGGACACCAATGCGTCTTTTTAGATTTTGACTATTTTCCTCGAATAAGACCTTTTACCTGGCATAGACGGTATCTGCCACTTGTTGCAAAATTTTTCAACGATCTATTTCATCGTATCAGGACATGCTTCTGTTTTCACTGGGAGACATCTATCGCTGTACTGTAGCTTATTTCACTCGAGGGCATAACGCTAGGCCATTGCCTTTTAATTACTAAACGGTTTCCTCAATAGGGTTTTTTCCTGGAGGAACTGAATAGAATTGAAACGTAGTAGCATCAGATTCATGAAATAGTAATTGAAAATACGGTACAATGAGCATATAGTGCCCTCTTTTCGTCAACCTCGATCTACTCTGCAGCATCTGTCGGAACCAGTTTCCTTCAGGCACGGCTTCGAACGTTGCATGGCGCGTAGGTCATGTGGTTGTGCGACAGATGAATAGTTACGTCAAAAAGATAATAACGTTATACTGACATTGATGATGTCTCCCGATCTTCACGAAGGCAGGGCTTGTTTCCTGTGGCAATCCAAAAGAAGGTGACCAGTTGGGTCTTGAAAACTGTGTACAAACTAGATCATGCTATGTCGTGTTATTAATTTAGCATTATATCAAATTCTAGGAAATTCAGCGTACTGTTCTCTGGACGAGCACAACTTTTATGCTGAAAAGTTCCAACGAGACGCATGTAATGACTCGATACACTCAAATAAATCGAACATTGAAGCTTTTTTCACGCAAAGTAAGAATTTGAAAGACAAAGACGCAGTCTCGCTTCTAATGATTCCTCCTTCAAGTGTCTTACAATTCAAACAATGAATTTCGATTTTGAATCGATTGTAAAATCAAACGCTGATGCGGTGAGAAGTAATTGCATTCTAATTGATCTGCGACAAAAAAATCGAGGGTTTTAAAGGCATACTTCATATAACCCTAAATTACCAGGAGATGTACATTGCCTTCGAAGAAGACCACATTTGTTATAATTAACTGTACATCGAAGATTTGCTCTATCGATTTTCATATATGAAAGCATCATTTATAAAACATTCTCATAAGATTCCGTGAATACAGCACATGAAGAAACCAGTTCATCTGAATATAGTGATAAGGAACGTACGACAGGAGGTCACAAACACAAACTTATGAAGTTAGCGCAGGAGTCGACTTCTGCAAATCTAATTGTCCTCAATAACAATTTTCTGATACTCTGTTCTTTATGGGTACTCGTTTATATCTACTGGTCCAGTCTCTGCGACATAAATGGACCAGTATCCAACGAGGTCGCCTAGCTTATCAGGAAAGTCGGCACTGATGTCAGTCGTCTCTCCCAAGTCCTTAGACAAATCAAATAGTTGCCATTTACCTTTTCTCAAGTGTTCCGGAACATAAACGGCTTTCAAAAGCCCCTTTCTTACAGCGCGCTGTCCGAAAAGTTCCCATCCCATCACTGTATCTTCGTCATGAACATGGTCAGTAGAATCTTCGAGATATGGTATCCAGGTCTTTCCCTGGGTGTATGGACCATTCTTCTGTGAAAAAAGTTCCCAGGGTGTGGAACCTTCGCCAAGTCCAAAACGGTCAGCAGAATGTCCATTACGGTGGTGAGTTCGGAGACTACATTTCCTTTCTTTTGTGATGTCGTGAGGTTAGGACAGTGTAAATCAAGGGACAATTGATCCCGCCCTCAGTTGCCCACAATTTATACATGTGCCTGGGTGCAGTAGCTGCCTGAGCCCACAAGTCACCTTAGTAGACAAAACTATCTTTGTTTCCAATGTTCTCAAAGCTGTTATTGTAATTCGTCCCTATGAAGTCCGTAAACTTTCTGCCGCCAAACGGAAAAGCTCCTAACAGCATGCCCTTAGCTTCATTGTCAGACATGAACATAATCACGGCATTTTCTAGTTCATTTTTCTCTTCTAATTTCTTGAGGACGCGACCAACATTTTTAGCAAGCTCGTCCACCATTGCAGCATATGTTTCCATAATGCAGGAGGCATAATACTTAGTCTCTTGGTCAAGCTCGTCCCATACTTTTTCTTTGAAGGTTTCCACCAAATGCGGCACAACTCCTTTCTCAATAATGTCTTGCTCTTCTGCATGTTTCAGCCGCTTGTTTCTGAGAGCCAAGGGCCCATCGCGATAAACGCCTTTGTACTTTTCAATTGTCTCCCGGGGCGCTTGTAAGGGCCAGTGAGGTGCAGTATAAGTCAGAAAGCCCTAAAATGGCCTGTCTTTCCGCTCTGTCTCATTGTCCGAGTACTCAAGAAACTTATCGGTGAAGTAATCTAAGCTGTAGAAATCATCTGGGAGCTCTTTGTCGACATTAAGCCGGCGTCCATTTTTCTGATAAAGGAAGGGCACGAAAAACTCCTCGGATGTGTCGAATTTGTAGCAGTTTCCGTCTCCCGGTAGTAAAGTGAAGATCTTCTCAAATCCTTTTTTATCCGGCCAATACGGCTCATCAAGCCCCAAGTGTCATTTGCCTGAAATCAAAGTGTAATACTAGGGAGTGAGAATTTTGGACAATACTGCTACTCTGAAGTTAAATATCCTTCATAGTCTGGTTGTCCAGCAAACTTCTCCGGATATCCCCTTGCATATTCTACCATCTGACCTTGTCCTGCTATATGATTGTCGGTTCCCGAGAGCAACATTGACCGTGTAGGAGAACAGGCTGAAGCGGTATGAAAGCCTGAACCACAAGCCATCACGCCCTAGCCTGTCCAGGTTCGGCGTGTGGATTTCTCCTCCAAAACAACCAAGATCGGTGAAGCCTATATCGTCGGCTACAATGACGACAAAATTGGGCTTTTTCGAGGACATGCTTACTGATGATCCTTTTTCAAACAGTCATAAAAGCTAAAGATGATCTTGGTAACTTCATGCGTACGTTTTTATGAGAATTCGTGAGTAGCACTAATTCATGATATTATTGGCAGAATGTGGCTCTTGTAATGCGGCAAGACATCATGTCTTTCACGCGCGCGACTGCGAGCTATACATATACATACCGGGCGATTGGCATGTTTTATTCGAACACATGGTTATCAGGACAGATTCCATTCGACAAACAGCAGGAAGTAATACCACGCAGTACAGTTGGTACACAGCATTGATACGCCCGTATTCTGAAGAATGTGTTTGCCTTAGACGACTGTCTTCTGCCTTTACATTAGTTCGAATAAAAAGACAAGGGGGTCAAGAATAATTTACACACTCGAAAAACGGTTTCATGTGACTTTTGTGCGCCATTGTTCTCAAACGGATCAGCAGGCTGTCGGTGAGGCTCGCAATCCATCATTGGAAAGAAGCGGTCTGACATTTAAGTTATGATTTCGGATGTGTTCACCTCGGTCAAAATATTGGGAGACAACCAAACAATGCGTAATTAAAGAAGTGGGGGATCTTCCCACTTACACTTTTGACTCCATATTTGTTAGTCTTTAATGCAATTTGAACCGAAGGAATCGGGAATTAATGACACTGGTGTAGTCTTTAAGTTCCAGCTATTGGCAATGATATTCATTTTTTCGACCAAAGAGGTTTCGCGAACTTCTTCTGAATTTGTTAGCCTGAGAAAGTATCTGCCAAATTACCTCACACTCGTAAAATTATGAGAATATCGAGAAGACGTTAAACCATAATTCGGTAACTTGTAAGCTTTTCCAGACACCAAATTACAGATTGACGTATATACTTGTGTCAATTAACCTCAGTCCTCTAGCAAACCTTTACAAATTCGATGCGTGGGAGAACCACAGGTCAACCGATTTAGAGCAATGCGAATACAATCGCAGTGTATGACTTTCCGTTAACCGTTTTGTGTTAGAGAAGGTTAACAGAAGTGTCCTGGGCTTGAGAATCATAACATTACATCCTGTTTCGAAATTCATCGAAGCGACTTGAAACATTAAAATTCGCTTGATTGTAATTAAAAACCCGTACCTCACACTATGGGTCGTGTCACTGAAATGTCAATGATGTCGATCCAAAAGGAGGTAAGTCGAAAACATGTTGGTGATTCCAGAGTAAGTGCGGTTAATATAAGTCATTGTTTCAAAGCCTGAGCGCTACTACATTTAATGTAAATTTCTCGCTTCACTGAATCGTTTCCAGTGTCCGCGCTGGTCAAAAGCACTTGTGCTTTCTTGCTTAATGACGTAGAATTCAGGTCTGATATTCTGCGACTGTCATACATAGTTCTCGTAGTCTCCAACACAATGAGAATGAATAAGATATCTATATTTCTACCAGATCCACAGTCTCAAATTGCTAGGAAAGTTCATCTAGCGCATAAAAAATGTCTATTCCCGTGGTCACTTATGTCAAATATGGTCTAAGAAATTACAAATTTGATTGAACTTCGGGATATCCAGGTTAGCAGCAAATGTGGACTATGCTGTTTTGAATTCAAATCAACGACTTCATAAATCACGCTTTGACAAAACTTACTGCCATGAAGGCTCCTCTCGATTGTGCTTCTCATCATGACGTGTATGCCGCTCATGATTTTGAAACTTTGCATCAAAGTATCGCGGCCTTCTCGCCATTTGCTCCCAGTTTTGAGATCGCGTACTTAAATTGGTATTCATATCATTATTGAAACGCAGAGCTAGTAATAAGCCTTTTAATTACAACGTTGCGCGTAAAATCTGGCATTTCGGCAGTGTACCTCGCGACCACTGTGCTGCTTCCCTAAATTCACAGTCAAATAAAGCCATCCGAGCGTGTAAAGGAAAAAAAAGCAGACACCACCATTTGTGTACGTGCAAGGGACACACCGCTTCATCTTCAGTCATTACGGTGAGATACAAATGGTAGCAGACACGATCAGCGAAGAAAGTGATATCGAACACGAGTAATAGCCGAAGGGAATCAGATAATTGCAAACAATGAATTCAAATATATCTATTAAATACGTGAAAGAGATTTCGAATGATACCAATCTCCGCCATCGACAGTTCCCGTTGTAATCTAGCCCGTAGATACAAGCCACACATACCCGAAAAATGTTGAATTCTCATTGAATCGAGGACCCATACTCGTATTCGACGCCGTGATTTGCGAATTCTTGACGTGACCGAGAAAGGCGGGTTCGCCGGATTCGTCCTCAATCCTGGCGCTGTCCAACAAGAAATCATTATGTACTAATGTGGCGGTGTGCAATGTGACACCATTAAAAACGGCAATTCGAGTAACATATACGTCAAAAACGTCAAAGGTGAAAATATTTAGAGGTCGTGTTGATACAGAAACTGACGCTAACATCGGAACATGACTTATTGAAATCCCCATGTAATCATTGATCGAATATCTTCTTATGATCAGTCACACTGACACAAGTTGTTGTAGTTTTGAGCGCACCATTGACCATCGTCAAAGTCCTGTTGGCTGTCATATCCAGTCTCAGCTCTGTGAAATGCTGCCCAGCATCCAGTTGCCTGGGTGGGTGCTGGATTATGTGCACAAACGCAGCCTTTACCAACCCCCATCCACACGCTCCAGTTATGGTCCTCAAGCATGGTATCCCACTCATGCCAGACCTCAGCATCATTGTTCCAATGTTCCCAGTTTTCAACATCGTCCCAGTTTGCGATTGTCCCTTCGCTATATGATTGAAGGAACAACTCCCCATTAGGTTCATCATATCCGTTATAACCATCTCGTTTGTTTGTTGTAGCGTTCGACTGGATTAAGGGATATATGACGGCATGCGTGATGTTTGTCTTTACGTGTATTAACGCCTGCAGGTCTTTGTGGGAACTAACATGCGTAAAGTGTAGAGGCCATTCGTCAAACTCACGTTTTCTCAGGCCCAAGGAAGGGCGGATTGGGTACTCAGTGTTACGATAGCTGGTGATCTCATGTGTTTCGTTGAAGACGCCCAAGGCGGCAAAAAATTGGCTGTCAACATATAAGTCGGTCGTATTAACATTTGCGTGTAGTTGTGCGATCGAATTGTACATTTCTGCAGCTACCGCCGGTGGCAACTCGCTACCTCTCTTCCACCATGCCCCGGTAAAATACCTGTAGGCCAATGTGAATCCTACAGCGAAAGTTGAGGAAATTACGGATTCAGCGCAATCCCAGGATGATATTGGCTCACCGTTAGCAGTTGAACAAGAACCAACCATATCCCATATATGGCCAAATGCACCGGTGCCAGCAGTATAAGCAGCCAGTGCTTTCTCCCCATTCTTCATGGAGAGCCGGGCAATTGACTGCCAAACTGCTGCTGCCACAAAGCGAATCAAAGCACCCGCAGGCTTGAATAGTGAAAAAACTAGAACGATACTCGCAGCAAAATAAAGCTGAGTTATTCTAGGCAACATTAAGGAATACAGTTAAGTAGTGAATGAAAGTAGTTTGAGAGGTAAAGTGTAATTAATCGTCTTCCTTGACCCGATTTCACATTTATTCGGCATTCTTTTATAAGCCGGAGTACTCAAAATACGCGAGGTCTATGGTGTTAAGGCGGAGAGTTTTTTATGCATATATGTACCGCCCAGGAATAGATCCACATGTTCGAAGCTAGAAACTAATAGACTATAACTTCATAGCTGCCGGTAAGTGCAAAAACAACTTACCAATCAGATGCCATAAAAAATTAACCTTCAACAGGTGTTCTCAGCTGGTCAGCAAAGAAATGGCACTAAAAACAAAAATCACCTATATTATTAAGATTTATTTCAAGTACTGCATTCAGGAACTAAGATTTTACGCTGGCTGTGAAGCAAAAGAGGTTAAAGCGGTAGCTTCAAGCTTTTGGCTGAAATGCTGTTGCTGGGTGCACGCTCCGTTGGCTTCAAGTTTGTATATCCAAGCAGGTATTTAATAAGTCGTGCTGACCACATTTTCATGTTTCATGTCTTTACTCCGGCGGGATTTTAATAAAAATGTTAGCAGAGGTTTATCATGCATAACGATGGGGTCAATAACGATGGAGTCGAGGATAAAATAAGATGCACATTTGAGGATGATTCCCAAGTGCCAAGAAAACTTCAAATGTCAACTCTTGCAATGAAATCAGACATCGGAGAAGAGCATTCCATTCGAGCATTGCATGTGGGTGACCAAGCCCCAAGAATTCCCCGTGACATTTTTCCCAGCAGATTTCAATACAATTTGACGCGACACAGAACATCCCTAACGGTAATAGGCTTGGAACTGGCAGTGTGTACTTTCGCTATTATGCTCGCTTGTAAGACTAAGGATAGAAACAAAATCGTCCTAGCCACACTTTCCACGGTGGGTCTTGGAGGGTTTGCTGTTATTATAACCGCATTACTCATTTCTGATAAGATGCGCAAGCTGACCGTGACCAGGACAAATACAATACAGTTTATGAAAGAGGTAGCAACCATAAGACCAGGAATCGAAACACAGGAGTGGGATGTTATAGCCGCTCGAATGAATCTAGTTTTTTACAGCGGCAACTCATCGGTAACCCCTTATTTTTTTTATGATGGAGAGTCTTGTTATTCTTTCTTTAAGACTGCCTATCTCCTTCCATATCTGAGAAGAAAAACCCCCAATTGGTTTGTTATAGATACCATTGATGAACTTCAACCTTTGATTGACCAAGTTTTGAAAGATTACGAAGAAAGAGTGAACAACGACTGGCAGCGTATCCTAAATGAGGGGACATCAGTCGAAAACCAAGCCATGGACGTTTAAAGCAGACTCTAACTACTGTGCATTGTTTTTGTCACTTACACTTGCAAGAAAATCGCGTTTTGCAATGTTGAAAGTGCATTAGAGCATCTCTCACTAAAGTTTTCCGGTTTGAACCGTGTAACGCTGAAAACGAGTGCCTTTAAAAAGTGCGTAATCATGGAGAGCCGCCTGTATAAATTACTTTCTACTTGCCAGCTGAAAAAGCTCTCGTGGATGACAGACTGAATTCGATTCGCAATTCATCAAACCATTGACAAGAGCTTGGGTAGGTCAGGGATCCTAAGTGTTATTCAATTGGTGTAATTCCTGGTGTAATTCCTGGTGCAGCCACTACAGATGAGCCAATAGTATTTCAAAGAATGAATAATAGTTCTTTTCGGAGGGCGTCTCAACTCCCACTACGCAATAGCCTGGAAATGATATTCTTCTTGGACCACTTCTCCATGCAACTAGATACCTGTTCAAACGTTGCTCTCCGCATGATTCCAAAACGTGAGACATCTCTCATCTCTTTGTCATTCAGTGTAATACACGAAGCACGCTTCAAAGATAAAAATTCTCTATACAAGCCTATAAGACGTTACTTTCTCGTTTTGGCCGTTTGCTGAGGGCTTTACCTGCATATCTCATCATGAATTAAAGACTATGGTTTTCTCTCTAAAGTCGGCGGAGTCTATCCTGCCCTTTAACGCTGGGTGTTCAATAACTTTAAGGAGCCACTGTTGTAGTTTGGTAAAACCACCAAACTTGTCCTTACAAAATGCGAAGCCGAAGATCGTGCCGCAACCAGCTGCAGCGAACAATTCGGCGATTGTGATATGATTGTTCACTAGGTATACATGCTTAAACAGGCATTTCTCGAAGAGCCCGAAATAGCTTGATTGTTCCCAAAATGAAAAATACTTTTAAACTTTCGAGGTAACAACAACCTCGTTTTCTAGGGTACGACTGAATATTGACATGGATAGTAAGGTCGATACAATTTCAATCGTGTGAGGGAAAGCCTTATGATACTCATTGTTAAATATGTCTCTCAATCGTAGTCTTACTAACCGAGATCAACATCGAACGTACGAAGAAGTGATGAGTTTTCAAAAAAAGTGAATAATGCCAAGCAATCTAGCAATTGCAAGTATCTGTTTCATTGCCTCGATGACTTTGCCATCCATCAGCGCCCAACAAATTTTTCTTAACGGTCGAGGTCTGTACCAATTATCGCGCAACACTAGTAACACTTGCCCTAATATACCTGCTTACACCACCTGGTGACTTTTATATTCTCATCCAGCACAGTCCTTCTTATTGAAGCAAATGTTTACGATGTTGGACTCAAATTGCGAATTTAAACAGATATGGATCTGACAATTTGACCCACAGGTACCTGGAAACATTCGCCTTTTGACGTGTAGAACAGCGAACAAGTATTCGAACAGCTCTAATACGTTTAGTGAGACACCAACTGGGATCTGTGTATTCAAAGCTCTACACCCTTACCTGATATTCACTGAAAAGGGATTCGACGCCCATTTCGAGTGAAAGACAGGAAAATTTGGATACGATGTGCAGTTTCTTACTCCCGACTTCTTAGTAGCGAAGATTCGAAGCTCCAAGAAGACAAATCGTATGATTTCAAAAAGGCGATTCAAGAGGTCAAGAAACCCAGCGAAGTAAAAGCTTAAAAAATTATATTCCCTTCGCCTCGGCTGGTCGCGGAACATTGTTTTGCGGCGCTGGGGCTAGGTTCCTCCAAAAATATGCATTTACAAGGTATCAAAACGGAGGAATTGTTGAAACGGTTGGTTTGTCATGGTACTGAATTCTTTGAAAATTTGAAAGACTTGAGTACAAACAAAAACATCATTGAGAAAGAGTCTATCGCAGGATTCACTGATGCAGGTGAGAAGCTACTGAACGTGGGCGCTATCATTAGAAAACTATATGTCAAAAGAGTCGAAGATGTTGCCAAGATCTGCGTTGACAGATATCTCGCACCTGTTATTGGACCTTGGGACGACATCATCATGACAGATGTTCGCATTGTTACCATGGTGAATGTAGCGTCCGCAAATTCGACTACTTTACGAGCCGTACTTACCTTAAAGAGTAAATAGAAGTAGTAACGCATTACATTTACTTCATCGACTGACGTTCAGGAATTCGTCTTCTGACTCCTTAATTGTTGTTTTCCCGGCATCGTTACTTTCACATGGACAGTGGCAGATCGTACAAGGGGATGAGATCTGACGTAGATGATACGCTCGCACTTGTCGAAAGGACAGCAAATTGAACTTCAGAGAGGAACGGCGCGGATTCAACCGTTGCGATTGACGTAACGACATGTGTTCAAGGTGACAATAAAAGGTAGCTTTTTTTCAATTACAGCGTTCTCTTGTTTGTACTAAAGAATAATAAGCATTCTGCTGATATCGAGATAACCGTAACTCTCAGCTAGAAGTTTCGTTTCTGAGAACAGGTGAGACACCTTGAGGAGATTTGGAGACGGTGTTAGTTGCTAGACTCAACACAAAGGATAGAACAACTTATCAAGCGGATCAATGACCGCGTGTCCTCAGTGTTGACGTACGTCCCACTTCAAGGTATATTTTGATTTAAGTGAAAAGTTGAAATCCTCAAGTGCCCTGATGCACAGTCACCGTGGCACAAACTCTTGATGGTGAAAAAGATAATATTTAGCATCAACAAGGTTGGGCTAATAGCCCAGTGTTTGATCGACACTCACGATGTGTAAACGGTAAGTTACCCGTTGATTGTGTTGAGTTACGTAAGGCTGCTAAGGTAGCAGCATATTTCAACATAATTTATAAAACAGAAATATACAAAAGTGTGGGAGACACTTTTGGCATAACTCACGCTAATCCATTGTTTGTATCAGCTTTTAGAGTCATCGGCACACATAGATCCGCCAAAATGGACGAAAGGTAAGCGTATACAGGGTTTAAATGTTTGTTACGAACAACGTTAATAGACAGAATTTAGGCTTGCTAACAGAGGCAGGACAATCCATTATTACGACGGAGCAAGTAGAGCAGCTTTACAAGAATGGAATGTATTATCGCGAATTAGTTACTGGTAAGTCTTCTGAGTTACTTGTTAGTGACCTAGATTTTTCCCTCGATGGGAGATCATTGTTTTCGGACCTCGACTTTGCAGCATCTTATGGAGACAAGGTGAGCATAGTCGGAGAAAATGGGAGTGGAAAGACCACATTTCTTAGGATCCTATCCGGCATAAGTGATAACCCATATTCTGGGTCGATGGAAGTCGAAGGTAGAATCGGCTTTCTGCCTCAACACTTCGAAGAAGTCGATGGCGACCTACTGGCTATTTTGGTGCTGCTCAAGTCGTTGTACGATGATGAAATCAACAAGCTCTTAGAATTACCCCTGAATCCCTTCTCACATGAGTGGATATATGAGCTCAACTCTTTGGGTGGGCATGAGATTTTTAGGCAATTAGCTCATATTGGACTGGAGGAAAAAACACTGAAACGTCCTTTCAAGTCTCTCAGTGGTGGTGAAAAGACGAAAACACTACTCTGCGCTCTCAGCATTTTAGATCCAGACCTTATTTTGCTGAACGAGTCAACAAATCACCTGGACGATAAAGAGATTGAATGGTTAAAGTTATTCTTGAAAAGGTTCACAGGTGCGGTTGTCATGGTTACTCACGACCGTGCTTTGATCAATGCAGTTTCAAACTCGGAGTTATCCCCTCACACCAAGAAGTTTACCCATTTTAGAGGTGGCTATAAGCACTACTTGGAACAATAGAAAAAAAGGAGACAAATAATGATTGAAGAGAGACGATTCCAGGACAAGGAGCTCAAAAAACTGAAGTCTAAGCCTCCTCAAGTACAATCTAAAGTTAAGGCGCGAGTTTTTAGATCCGGATCAGACCGAGATAAACTAAGCTATAATGACAAGGAGCAAAGAGCCCAAAAGGGAATAACGGGCCTGATTAATCAGCTGTCTGATAAAGTTGAGCATCTCAATGATAATTTAGTGGACGTTATTCCTGATCGACCTCAAATAATTCTCGATTTCGACGGTCTTCCTGACTTAAGCTCTCTTTAAGGTATAACGGTAACTGAAGCTTCAAAATAATACGGAAAGCAAATTTTCACCAATGTATCTTTTACGCTGGCAAAAGGTGAGAAACTGATTTTCAGGGTCCAAATGGATCTGGCAAAACAACTTTAAATCGAATTCTCATGGGTTATACTGAACCAGATCATGGAACGGTCTCCATTAGTGGAAATGAAGTCGTTGGGTACCTGGACCAGGAACAAGGAAACTCCCGATAGAAAATTCTGCGATGGACTTGTTGGAAGAAGATATCAAAATCAAAGCAAAATAGCAGGAAGCAATTCGTGATTTGCGCAGTTTCGGAATTTATAGTTGGCACGACCTAAAGAGTCCTTTAAAGAACTTGAGTGTCGGGTGCCGTCGTAAATCATAACTTTGTCAGCTTGTCATGAGGAAATGTTCCATCCTCATTCTAGATGAACCTACCAACCACATTGATTCCCGAGGTTGGAAAATATTGAAGATGCTCTAGTGAGCTTTCCCGGCATTATTATTGCTACTACACATGACAGATCCTTCACGAAAAAGGTTGTCACGAGAGTCATGACCTTATCAAATACTAGTTTAGAATAAAATTGATTGCTTGTCTAAGACTTTGGTTGGTTTGCTGATGTGTAATAGTATCAAGTTACATTTAGAATTCTTAATAACAATTTTGCTGGACTGCACCGAGATTTGAGCGGTCTCCTGATCAACGGCTAAAGAGTTTTAATTCCAGAGGTCTCGTAATTGTATAAGCGATCACGGCAAATGCAAACCCGAGCTCAAGACCAATATCCCCGCCACGAGTGCCAATAAGGCTTCCAATTTGACCAGTCCAATAGGTCTGGCTCATACCTACAGCCACACCAACAGCCCCCAAAATTAGTGAAAGACAGCCAGCAAAACCAACAGGCAAATCTCTCCAGCTGCTCCAATGTGCCACGCTGTAGTTCTGAAACTTACCCTTTCTGAAGAGAAAGTGCTCAGTCAGAGCGATTCCAATGTAAATAGCAATGTAGTAAGCGATTGCATCCATGAAACTTGACATAAAGGCAGCGAATTTGTAGTAAGCTGGAATGGCAATAGCCAGAGTCACAAGGTTGCCAACAACAGTCCATAGTGCTCTAGGAACTTTAGCAAGTGGCTCCCATAAGGATTGGGTGCCCAAACCAATAGAGTACATGTTTGGAACGCAATTGGCCACTGTTGACATTGCTAAAACAACGCAGCAGAACTGACCAAAGCCGTTTAGTGATTTAGGAACCAAAATAGCGTACAGTAGTCCCCCTGAGCTCTCTTTTTCATAGAAATCCATGTAAAGCGGGTTGTTGAGTGCAGCACAAGCCGCTGCAGAACCTAGAAGCATAGTGAAGGAAAGTGGAATCATTAGACCAGCTGCCACGAATAGAAAAACTTTGAGTTTGTTGACAGTGCGCGGCATGTAGACAGTATAATCAGCAGCATAGGTTGTCCACCCAGATGCAAACCCGAATACAATACCACCTAAACTGATGATGCCGGCCGCTGTGTCGCTGCCTTGTTTCCATGGGCCGACTTCGAAAGAACCACTACGGTGAATGCGTGCGATAACAATTAAGAATACGGCAGCGTTTGGTACCCAAGCCCATTTCTGGTACATATGAATGACGCGGTAGCCGAAAAACGAGACGATGATTGTTGAACAAACTATAATCAGACAGCCGGCCCATGGGGGGCAGCGAGCACCATGAGGATTTACCATATGAAGAAGCTGGGCGGATGCTATAGTATTTACAGCACCCCAACCAACACAGGCAATGATGTTTATCAGAGCAAATATGCGTGCAGTTGCATTGCCTAGCAGGTAGCGTGAAAGCACCATTTGACGAAGGCCCAGCTCGGCCCCAAACAAGGAGAAAAACGAAACTGGCAAGACCCCGAGCAAACCAAATATTAGAATAGAAATAACACAGCCCCAGAAGTTCAGTTCAAAACTAAAGGTCCAAGCAATCCCACCGAAAATGCTGCGATGACTAAGTTGGCGGAAAACCACATTGACGCGGCGTTCCATAATGAAGCGTCATTTTTTTCATCTTCTGTCACAGGTTCGATGCCTTTGGTTTCTGTCCCAGTCTTAGCACTAAAAGATTTCAGGTAATCATAAAAAGAGCTTTTTGGACCTTTGGCTACATTTTCTGTGCTGTCAAAAGATAGCACGGTGTGAAGATCACTATTTTTCTCCAGATCACGTTGTTGAACATCATTTATCGATGACATCGAGTTTTCAAAGAGCCGATAGAAGATCCTACAAATTAAAGGTTCCTATCCTCGGACTAAAAGGAACTTAATGGCTACAAAGACAAAGTCTCAAGGGCCTCGAAAGAATACACGTCCCGACCATTTCCCTCGATTAGTTGCCCACGAATTTTTATACATGTGAAAGGAAGTTACATGTTAAAGGCCGCCAAAACACAAGATGGCTCCAGATGCTTGATGGCTCTAGATGCTTGATGGCTCTAAATGCTTGACGGCAATCCCGGCATCGACTAAAAACGAAGAATCAAGCACATCCGCCCGGGTGTTCCGGCGAAAAATCTTGCCTTTCTTTCATGGCATTATAAACGAGTAAGGATATCTTGTGCTCAGCAACCAGTGTGGCACAAGTTCTAGTGTGAAATAGTCGAGATCGCGCTATTCCGATGGCTTTAAACTTTTTACGACAAAATCTGCGCCGCCTGTCGGTACCGGCCTCTTTCCACTCAGCTTGAATGTTGGAAGCTTATCTGATCTAGCAGCAGAGGCTGTTCGTTCAGTGCTGTTTTTCGGTATTTTTCAAAGACAAATCCGCAGAAGAGTAGAAAATTTTGTGCCACTGGTGATGCCCTCAAACCGCGTGATTCTGAAAATTAATTGAAGCGCCAAAACCGTTGCCGCTAGCGATGCGTAGCCGCTCACAACCATCACTCCCGCCGCAGACTTAACGCAGGGTGTATCTACATTTCTCTGCAGCGTCGCGTGACCGGCTAAACTTGGCGTTTAAGACTGTTCTTTCTTATTGCTATAGGGAACGGTAAGTACACAACTCATGTTCGATTTTATTTGGAAATATAGAAGATCGCATTCAAGCGACGCTATGAATCTGGCTACTCTGATAGCCAATCCTTACATCTCAACATTTGAACGTATTGAGGCGGCTCGCAGATTTTTGCCATGAGGGAAAGTCTGTGATTGCGATAAACTCAGCGTACCCCATCATTCTTCCCCTCACTGGTTACCGCTTTTCGCTCAATAAAACATTGGGCTGTGAGAAGTCTATGCTCGGCTTTCCATATTAATTTCGCCTGGAACACTTCAGCGCTGCCATGCATTAAATTCAGAGCAACGGGTTGGTCTCTCTTCGTTTTGAATGGTCAGTTGTCTTCAGCAAATACATTACGAGCAGCAGGGTAGTAAGTTTTAACTTCATATATTGATTTGGAAAATACATGCTCTAAATTGCGCAGTGCCCATATATATCATCGTCGATGATAAAGCGCGGACTGATAGACAGCGAGACGTTGTGCGCTCGAAACCACTCAAATTAATGCAATGGGTATGGTTTTTGTTCATGTAGTAACGAAAAGAGCTGTTAGCGATCTTGAAAAGCACTTTAATTCATGATTGATGTTCTCTCTGACCGGCCTCATAATTTTGACTTCATTGGAGCTCCAGAAGCATCACAATTTCTCAAAGATTGTGGTTTTGGGGACAATGTGAGTACTTTCAGCTTCATAGCGTCGAAAATTTTGAATAAATTTTTGGCGATTGTTCTTTTCGGGCTTATTTCACGCACAGTCGCGGAAAAGCGCAAACCTTACTGTTCACAATTGAGCTTTGTGGTGATAAGTATTCAAAGCAAAATGTGGTAAGCTTTTAGTGCATGCTTTTAATGGAACTAAATGCTTTCGCGGCTAGATTGTGATTCTAATACTGTTCCCCAAGAACGACAACTTATGATAAAGTTTGGAGGGATTTGAGCTTAGAGTGGCTCACTGCTAAAGTTGTTTGGAAGCAATTTTAAAGTCCATGAACTTTCATAACCCTTGTGTTGTTTATTTGAAGCCTGCGTTTATAATACTTCCGTAAAAACTGTTCGAGCAACTTATGATACAGTTTGATCAAGTCCTGGAATGGCAGCGTCGAGTTAAACCATTTTCCGTTATGAGACTCCCAGCAACTGTTTTTGAGGTTAGTCATGAAAGTGAGCAGCTTCAACTTTTGGGATACACGCTCCCAAAATCTCTCAACTGATGCTGCCAGGGCGAGCTTTAGTACAAAAAAGAACGACTTTACACGGGTCAGCTTAGTTGTTGCCACTTACAGCTCGAAGAGAGACTGCAATTTAGCCCCACGGGTCTCTAGTGGCGTTAAATCTATATTAAAAACATTGCGGGGTAGGTGAACGCTTAAATTGAGATGTTGCATTAACCTTCTTTTATTAATTAGCATACACAAACCAATGCGAAAGCTTTTGCAAGAGCTTTTGAATTCCGTATTCGAAATTCTTACCACGCTCACAATCACACATTTCGCTGATTCACTGAGAAATCGAGCTTTAACGCACGCCAAAATCGTTTTTTCGTATGCGACATGAAATACTAGAACCCCCAAATCTTTTTTTTTGAGAGGGAATCTCGATAATGTTGCATACTCAAATTATGTTTTAACAGAGCTTCGACTGTCGAAAAACCATATCAAGTCCATTTCGCATACACAAAAAATACAGCTCTGCGAACGTGCCGCTCTTTACAACATTTCCTTCGGACACTCCCCGGTGAGTTCGCGGCCGCTAATCTTCCTACTTTGGCAATGGCAACGTAAGCTCCGAGGCTCGCTGGCGTTAAAATTCTCAATTGACCAAAACTGTGCCGTTACTCGTTGCGATATCTACTTGGATTACTAGCTCGACTACTCGGTGTTGGGCCGCATCATTTTCTACAAGGGGACGACGCCATGAGAGACAAAAAAAAAAACCATTGGTGTTGGTCACATATGAAAATTCTCGTTGGTCGAGTAATGGTGTCGACGCTTAAAGATCTTAAGTTTGCTTCCTGCAGATTCCTGTATCTTTTTCACCCGCCTCGCGCGCTACAGCTTTTTTTGGTCGCAGTGCCATCGAAGGCCTTCTTACAAAGAAAGCTGCAGAAAAAAAATTCCATTAGGAAGTCCGATTTTTGCCTGCGACAGATATACAAAATTATCTTATCATCGAATGGAGGACCGCTACAGGGTCAAGAGGCGTCCCTTCGCGCTTGAAAGAGTTTCTGGTCAAGATCGTTGATGGCTGACAGCTCTATAAAAGAGTGGCTCGCAAGATGGAAGCCTTATGCCTGCTAGAGCTTTCTTGATACATCAAAATTTCAATGATGATCTTAGCACCCCCTCGGGGTGCTCTTGGCGGCTCTTTAACTCGCCTGGGCCGCCTCAGTCAACCAAGGTGCCTGTTCACGGATGCAAGCCTTCTCTGCTGACACCTAGTTTCTCGGTAACGTACTATAGTATGACCATGCCTCAGAGGGCCTCTCCATGCTACGACCCGGAGTACTCGAACCCCGCGTACTTGCATGGCGGATACGAAAGACACGGCAACGGTAAGCAGGGCAGCAGTCTCTTTGTTACCGACCTAACTTTTAGCTTTGGTTCTATGGAACCATTGTGTGCGAGCGTCGAGAGCCGCATGCCCTCAAATTACAACTACGCCTCACAAATCACAGTCAAAAACTTTTTCATGCTGATAACAAGGTACCTCTACGCCCCGACCATTGGTACCTATATCTTTAATCTTGCCTATGTCGATGACTTGGCGTACATTAATGTCGGTGCGGACAGCGCCTTCGAATGCTGTCAAATAAACTCGACGGTTTCAAATCCTGGCCCCTCTACCTTATATGTATTGTGGCCTCAAAGTTTGAATAAAATCAGCATCGATCTGGATGGCGGAATCTATGACCCCCTTCGTCTGTTTTATGTAAACAGAAACTACTTGGCTGGATTGCAATTTCAATTCAGTGACCCGCAAGGAGTCGAGCATAAAAACTGGACGTCCTACATATTCTCAGCATTGGATGGAGATAAGTGTGATGTACCTCCCTTCTATTCGACAAGCCTGTGGTCTAAAACCTACACATCTTTTTTTACTGTCGTTTCCACTTTCGCTAATACAAAAGGGCAACTAACCACTACTAACATGGTCTTCGTAGAGGAACCGCCCGTCTACACTTTCACCTCTACGTCTGTGGAGCCCTACAGCGGATTCTTGACATCAACCTATTCTAATACTCGAATAACGACGACTGGTGCCAATGGATATCAAACCGTTAACACTGTCTACTTTGTTGAGACTCCTGATGTTGAAGTTCAGTCCACTAAAATTACCGGCTGGACTGGATCTGTCACCTCAACCTACTCCACAGAACTGACCTCCTTCACCGGCTCAGACGGTATCCCAACCACCGAGACCACTTACTACATCGAAACGCCAGTATCTGCTTATTATGGAAACACAACTATTCAAAGGAACTCTGCTCAAGGCTCGTCAACTCTCTTGCCCGGACCAAGTTCGCTGATTTCAACGGGCTTGAAGGTGACTACCACCGAAACTCCCCCTGCCCCCGGCGCGTCAACCACTTCTATCGTGACTACCACAGTCAGCGGGGCTGAGACTATTTACACGACCACCTGTCCTGTAAGCAATCCTACAGGAGCCTCGAACTTCCCTGGTCCTGGCTCCAGCGCCTCGACAACTTCTGTCGTGACTACCACAGTTAGTGGCATCGAGACGATTTACACCACAACCTGTCCTGTAAGCGATATGACCACTGGTGCACCTGCTGCTAGTGGTTCCAACTCGGGCTCCAACTCTGGCTCCAACTCTGGCTCTGGCTCCTATGCAGCCTCAACCTCCGGCTCTGGTTCTACTCCAGGCT